GGTTCCGTCTACGTCGCGGCTAGATTGAACAGGCGGGGAAAACGATGTGCGTGACTAAACATGATAGGCGACGGAAAAGCGTGCTTGGAAACGCGCGGCTCTTCGAATTAGGGTTTCGACAATGAAGGGCGCACCGAAAGGGAAGGAAGAGTGCTAACTACGGGCGGAAGCTAAGTCAGTGACTTCGAGAGAGGGAAACCGCGGGAAAAAACTCGGTATTTGGTAATCACTTCGAATGGAAAAAAAGCCGTGAGCAGAAAAGAGCGGGGGATAAGGAGAGTGTCGAGAGAGGGGATGGGCGGGAACACCGTGTCTGGCGGAGTTGTGGTTGTGAGTCGCGCGCGCTGTTACACTCCGCGGGCGAACGTCGCGTCACGCCCCACCTCCCGTTACACCGGCTGCAGCGCTGATCCGCTAGCGATCCCGCGATGGCGGGGTCGAACAAACGGTTCCGTAACACCCCGCGAGTTCCGTTTCCGAGAATCCTGAGGGTCGCGCGCGAAACTCGCGACCCCCGTCCCGTCGAACTCGACAGTCGAAACTAAAAAACTAACCGTTGGAAACGCTTATAACTATAACATAAACAACTATCACAATCACTTTGTCCTTAAGCAACTCGAAATAGTAGGTTTATGAGGCTCCTTAGTAGGCAGCCATGGCTAGGTAAGCTAGGTCAAGGTAAGAGCGCCGGTGGGCGAGAGCAGTACTGGGCTGGGTGACCTCCCGGGAAGTCCTCAGTGTTGTACCCATTTATGCCCCTTGCTCGGCACGTGCCGGGGGAGGGGCAAGCGGGAAAAAGAAAGGACGATTTTAGCGCGTCCGATTCTTTTCTTTTCGTTTTTTTGCCCAAACAACGACCCAGCGGGGTGGGGGGCCCCCGGGGAGGCTTGCCCATGCGAAGAAACGCCCCGTGCGCACCACCGTTGGGCGGTTGGAAAGCCGCACACGGTCGCGGGGGTGGAGAGCGGAAACGGGCAGCCGGGGGAGGGTGGGGGCGGTTGGATGGGACTTGGGGTGTACGGGGGGCAGGGGAGTTGAGGGGGCAAGGGGAGGGGCAGCAACGGGCAGGGGCTGGGCCAACTGAGGGCACGGAAAAGGGGCGGGCAGAGGGTGAGCAGAGGGGCGAGCGATGCAAGGGTGGCACCATAGGGGGGAAACCAGTTGCACGGAGGTGGGAGGTGAGGGGCGTGCGAGGGGGTGGGAAAGGGGCAGGGAGGGGCAGAATGGGAGGATGTAGGTGGGGGGGGGTGGGGGAGGGGAGTGTGCGTGTGTGTGTGTGTGTGAGAAAGAGAGAGAGAGAGAGAGAGAGAGAGAGAGAGAGAGAGGGAGGGGGGGATTGAAGGGTGGGAGGGGGGCTGGTCGTGGGGATGGGCTGATGGTGGTAAGAGGGCAGCAGGGATGGGGAGAAGGGAGCGTAACGAGGGGAGAGCAAAGGGCAGGGGGGGAGGAAGGGAGGGGCAGGGAGGGAAGAGGCTGAACGTACAAAGGGGGGAAACGAGGGGCATGGATGATAGGAAACGAGGGCAGGGGTGTGGGAAATCAAGGGCAGGGAGGAGAGAAGCAATGGGTGAGGGGAAAACAAGGGAGGGGCAGACGGGGGGCAGGGAGGGAAGAAACGTGGGGCAGGGAGGGGAGAAGCCAAAGACAGGGGCATGGGCAGGCGGGGGCAGGGAGGGAGCAAAGGAGAGGCACGGAGAAAGAAAGGGAGGCGCGGGGAGGGGAGAAACCGGGCGTGGGGGGGGGGCGGAAAATGAGGGGCAGGGCGGGGAGGAGGGAGGGGCAGGGAGGGGAGAAGCTGAGCACACGGAGGGGGGAAAGGTGAGGCAGGGAGGTAGGAAGCCAAGGACAAGGGGGGGGGAGAGGGCGTGGGGGGGGCAGGGAGAGGGGGGAGGTGGGGAGCGGGGAAAGGCGGCGAGGGGCAGGGAGGGGAGAAACCAAGCATAGGGGGGCGAGATACGAGGGGCAGGGTGCGGATTGAGGAGGGGCAGGGAGTGGAGTGGGTCGGCGAGGGGAAGGAAGAGGCGTGCAGCAGAGGAGGGGAGGGGGGAGGAGAAGGTAAAGGAGGGGAGCGCACGGGCGGGGAGGAGCGAATGGCGGGCGGTGGGAAACGGCGAGGGGGGGCAGGGAGGGTCAAAAGAGGCGGCAAGGGAGCGGGCACGCGGAGGGTAGGGGCGGGGGGGAGCGGATGGCATGAGGGGGCAGGGGGTGTGACTATGAAGGGGGGGACCCGGGCAAGGGGTGTGTAGCGGTCGGGGCACGAGGTTGACGTGGTACGATCATACCTCGGCTACTACGCCGGATCCCATCAGAACTCCGAAGCTAAGCGCCGGTGGGCGAGAGCAGTTATTCATTAATAGGGGAAGAGCAAATACAAGCCGAATGTAATGGTTTTTCCAAGACTAGGAAATTTCGACATAGCCTTATCGCTATGAGGACGGTATATATATTTTGTAGGAAAAGGGGGAAAGAAAGGAAAGGAAGGAAGGATGAAGGAGTAAGAAAAGTGGTAGGGAAAAGAAGAGGGTGGTAGGAAGAGAAGGGAAGGATAGAAGAAGGGAACAGAAAGAGGGAGGTGGGAAGAGAAGAGGAGAAAGGGAGAGAGACTAAGGAGGAGGAAGCACCAAAGGACCAAAACACGGCAGCAACCCGCACGACCGCACGGGCACAGCGTTTCAAGCACAGCCACTATTGTTTTTTACACATATGCATCATATATATACTGCATATCAGCCACACTCTCGAAGCACCCTGTGACGTGGTGCCAAGTACCCTGCCCCGCACCCAGTGGGACTGGTGCAGGCATCCACCCGTCGTCGGATCCCCCTAACTGCCGCACCGCATGCTGGATCATGCATTGAGCCTGCGCGCGCTGCAGTGCAACGGAGAGGCGTGTAGTGAGTCCTGCCTCAAATATCCGTGCCGATCCGTCATCCCCCCCACCTCTATCCCTCCTCCGCTGTGCTATCCTCTTTGCGCAGAGCCCCAGAAACTGACGCAGCGGCTCACTCAAAAGGCCAAAGGTCTCCGCCACGCACGCGTAAAAGTGTGGTGCCGGCTGCAGCCCCTCTAAGTGCGGCCCCCAGTGCCTCAGCTTCTCCTGCACCCGTCTAGCTGCTGCCACTCCAATCTGTGTGGGGGTCGCCCGTCTCAGCTGCACGTTCCCCTCGCGCTATGGATCCGCTATGGAGACATCCACAAGAACCATCAGACCCTGGCCAACGTCGCGGCAGGTGAGGTCTGGGATGCGGGAGGCGGTGCCTACACGGCCTGTGCGTCCGACTGGTCCCTGCTGTTGCGCTGGCTGCTGCCCTTGTCTGGTCCCTTGGTGCCTCCTCTCCAATCGTCTCTCTCCCCCTCTCCTCTCCTCCATCCACCTGTCCTCTCCCCTCCCCCTCTCTACCCTCCCCCAACCCTCCCGACCCCCCTGCTCCATCCCCTGCTGCCTCTCTCACTCCCTGGCCCTCCCCTCCCAATCCCGCTGCCCCTCCTGTACCTCCGTCCGCTCTCTGCTGCTCCCGCCCCTGCCCCACCCCGAGGCCGAACCTGGAGGCGCGGCGCCCTGGGCCCGCGGCCTCCCCTGGCTCTCCTGCTGCTGCCTGTGCCGTCTCCCCTCTCCGTCCTGGCCCGTCTGCTCCCCCTGCGGACCCCTCTGCCCCCCTATCCCTCGCTCCACCTGACCCCGCAGCTGGTGCTGTCCCCACTGTCCCCCGCCACCCGGCTGATCCCGCCTCGCCTCTCTGCTCCCCCGGTCCCTCAGCCCGCGTCCCCTCTCCCACCACTGGCTGTCCCAGTAGTCTCGCTCGAGCCGCCTCCAACTGTGTGAACAGCGTAGAGTCCTCCACCTTTACTGCGAAGCCCGCCTCGACCGCAAAGTCTCGAAGCATGTACTTCACCGTGTCGTGGATGGTAGTGGCGACCCCGTAGCGCGGGCACCGAACCGCGTGATGAGGCACCGTCATGTCGTCAATCGCCTGTCCGCAGGAGCACTGACCTGCAAGGGCTAACTGGGGGATAGGGAGACCAAGACGAGAAGATGAAGCCGCCTGCCACAGCGCCTCCGGGATGCGCAGTGGGTCAGCGTACGGCACCGACGTCAACCACGCCCCTGCACCTGCGCCCTGAAGGGAAGTCAAACGGGCAAGGTGCAAGGGAGAGGCGTGACGGGCACGCACGGCCTCCAAGGCATGCGCCTCCAGAAGACGGCTCGCTCCTGCAAAAAGGGAATCGGGGGAGGCAGAAGCGCAAGAGGGCCAGGGGGGAAGGAGAGAGAGAACGTCAGGTGGGAGACCCTCTAGCGCCGTCTGCAGAGCCCGGTCGATCTGCCTCTGGCTCACCTGAAGCGAAGCTCTGCCGAAACAGCCTCGCCACACGCAGGGAGAGAACAGAGAATGGGAGCACACTGCACCCAGGAGCACACGAAACTCACCGGGGCAATGCGTGCCATGCGACGAATGCCGAAACCCCCGAGACGGATGGGGAGGAAGATCTGGTCTAGGGCGGCCTCTCGGACGTCCTCGCGACAAGCCCAGGTCCCTGAAGCTAAAAGCTGCTGAAATGTCTCTCCCAGGCGTGCGTCCCACCGTGTAAAACTAGAGATCACTGCGGGCGAAGGAGGGACGGTCCTCGACAGGTACTGCGGACGAGTGCTGACACACGCCGACAGAAGGCGGGCAGCTGTCTGGGGCTGGCGCAACCTCGGAAGCCAAGGTAGCACCCGCCCCATCCTCTCGAGACGATCCGGGAGACTCTGCTCCACGAACGAAACGGTGCCTACCGGTACGCCTGTCACGGTGAGCCCTCGGCGTGCGACCTCGATCCCTAGGCCCGTGAAGGCCTCCAGATCCCTGGACAGAAAGGACTCTGTCTGGTAGACGAGGCACTTGTGCGGCTGGGCTGCAAGGCCCATCTCGCCCAAGCGCCTCACGATCTCGGCAAAGTGGTGCAGCACCCTGTCTGGGGGACCTAGCACGTACGTGTCATCGGCGTACGACCAGAGCTGGACATCCCCCTCCACCAGAACCGGCTCCAAAGCAAGACGCTGTGTCAGAGCGTACAAGAAGGGGCTGAGAGGGTCTCCCTGGCGAGTGCCCCGCTCCGAGTGCATCGTGACCACTCCCGTGCCTGACCTGTAGTGGAGATCCGAGGGCGTCCCGTAGAAGAGGCCGATGAAGGGGATCAGGCACTGGAACTCCGGGCTGGCCTGCAGCGCCTGGAACATCCTGTCTCGGTGGAAAGAGTTAAAGGCGTTCGCCACGTCTAGCTGCAGGACCACCCAGTCTGGGTGGTCAGCCAGAGCGCGGCGGACGCCTCTAACTACGACCTCTGTCCCGCACGTAACCCCCACCCCAAACTGCTGTGACGCCAAGAAGACCCTCGCCATCTGGTCACGTAGCTGGAGACAGACTGCACGAGAAAGAATGCGGACCAAGACCTCGCCGATGGCAATCGGCCGAACATCCATGTTCGACTTCGCCAGAGCCACGAGGGTGGAAGACGCTAGCAAGGAGCGCGTAGCTGGAGCGCAACGGCCTCGGAGCCACTGCTGGTACACGGCCAGGAGGAAATGGAGACTCTGGGGGAAAGCTAGGAAAGTGTCTCGCAGGTGCTCAGCGACCCAACCGGACGGTCCTCCCGAAGAGCCCCGCGGAGCTGTGAAAATCGCGCGGCGTAAGTGGTCCACCGAGAGCACGAGAGGGGACCCCTGGAAGCCAGACTGCCAAGCTGGGGTCGGCCTCTCCGCGTTGGGGTGCTTCGACTGCAGGCGCTGTATCGTCCCCTGTGTATCTGGGGCTGCCTCCGCGGACTCGAGAGCCGCGCACGCCCGTGAGGTCTCATTGCACGCTGCCAGACGTAGGCAACGTGCGATGCGGCGCTCATCTGCTGTAGAGGGATCGGTGGCGGTGCGTGACCGGTGACCTGTGCGCCGAGGAAGGGGTGTGCGACGGCCTAGTGCATCTGAGACTAGCTCAGCCCACTCACCTCGACCAAAGCGGGAGATGCGCGTTGCAATGGCAGCCGTGTGCGAGCGGTCGGGTGGCGTCGCTGGAACAAGGAAAAGAGTCGGCGCTGCGGCGAGGAGGAAGGTAGGGCCAGCAGCCTCCGGGTCCTGGGCAATGCGGACTAGGATCGCACTGAGGACGTCGAGATATCCTCCGCGGACCCTCTCCGGGACACGTCGGAGAGGGCGTGCATGGATACGCTCGGGCGAGAAGTACTCTGTCTTGTCCACCGAGTCGAGCGTCTGCCACTGTGCGTCGGTGAACTGTATCCCGGTCGCACGGGGCTGTGAGAGGGAAGGGATGATCGAGGCGGTGTCATGGGCAGCCTGCGCCCTGCGAGCCGCGTCCGCAGGATGGCAGAAGGGAAAGTGGTGCTGGAGCGCGCGTCGGTTCGCGAGAGAGCTCCTGCAGGTGGGGCAACTCACGACCTGGTCGGGTGATGTCGCCGTGTCGGCGGGGTCAATCGGGGCCGTGGCGTCGGAACTGGCTGTAGAGGGGACCCCGTGGGCGGCCTGAGCTCCGAGAGGATCGCCTGGGATGAGGGGAGGCGACGACTCACCAACCCCGTGCATGGGGGGTGTCAGCGAAGATAGAGGTGGTGTCGCACAGGATAGGGCCGGGCCTCGTGCCGGAACCGGTGTCGAAGCTGGGGAGGGGGGACGTGGGGGTGAGCCTGAAGTGTGTGCCGTGGTGTGCTCCTGCCCCTCGGCGAGGTGCGGTTCAAGTGACGGCTCTGCTACCCCAGGCGGAGGGGTCTCGGTAGGGGCGGATGCCTCATCCCTACTGCTGGTGACCTCCTGCGCCACGGGCTGAACGGGGGGAGGCGCCACCCCATCTAGGTGCGCGTGACACGGCCTCTGAACCTGGTCCGTCTCCATTGGGGTCGGGAGTGACGCGCCTGGCTGAGTGGCAGGGGGGATAAAAGAAGGGACAGACCGGGTGACCTCCGCATACGTCCGGGTCCGGTCCTGTGGGACTGGGAGGGTGGGGGCAGCCGGAGAGCTGCTCGGGCGGTGTATCGCCAGCAAATCTGAAATGCCAGCCCTCACCTCCTCTGGGGTCTCGAAGACCTGCCTGCCTGTAGGTGAGAGTAGGAGGGCTGGCAGGGTAGAGGGTGGAGTGGGGCTTGCTGGCTGAGCGGAGCTCGGGTGTGGACCCTGCCCTAGAAGGCCCCCTTGGCCCTCCCCAATCACCATGGGTTGCGGTAGGGGGTCGTCGACATGGAAGGGGTGGGAGGGATGGGAGGGGGAGTCGGTGGCGTCTTCCATGGGCGCATCCCTCAACCCGACGGCCTCCATCCCCGTAGCGATCGCGGCCCGCCGCCACCTGGGAGGGGGACACAGCAAGGGAGGGGCAGAATGGGGGAGAGTGGGCTGGTCCGCTCCCATGGCCCTGTGGAGGTGTAGGAGCGGGGCGGGAGTGTGGGTTTGGTGGTCGGGCTGTAGCGGTAGGGCCTGGTAAGGGTTCAACAGGATGCGGGGTGGGGAGGGGCTCTTGGTGGGGGAGGGAGGGAGGGGGGAGTACGTGGGCTGACCCTCTGCCTCCTCTGCCCCTGTTCTTCCGCCGGCGGCCAACCCGGTTGTCCGCGCCTGTTTGTGAAGGAAGGGGGGGCTGTGGGGCCAAAGGGGTGGTTGGAGGGAGGATGGGTGGTTCGCCGGGCGGGGGGTGCTCTGTGTGCATCCCCTCTCTCCTCGAGACATCCCCCTCCGTGGGGACAGATCGGGCAGGCTGTGTGTGGGGGGTGATGGCTGCCCAACGGGGCCACTCGTGGGGAACCCGGCCGGGAGGGGGGGTTGAAGGTGGGGGTCGAGGGGCTGGGCCAGTGTGGAGGTTAGAGCGAGGTACAAACGGTGGGGGGAGAGGGGTTTGTGTGGGCTCTGTGGTGGCCTCTCCTGTGGGCCCCTCTACCCGGGTGCCGCCGCTCCCATGAGCCTGGGGCGCAAGCCCTTGCGGGTGGGTCTCGGCTGCCTGGGGGGGGTGGTGTGAGGGGGGCAGCCTGTTGGGTGGGCGTGTTGGGGCTGTGCGGCGACTCGGGTGGTTTGGGTGCCTGTAGCGTGTGGGAGAGGGATTTGGCCGCAGAGATGCTTCAACCTCCGAGATGTGTGTACTACCGGGTGGGGGGGGGGCTGGTGGAGGGGGGGGTAGTGGGCCGGTAGGGGGTGGCTGGGTGTTGGTAGGGGTCGGGGAGCATGGCTCCTCTAGGAAGGCCAGAGCCCTGGCTGCTCCACGTGGTGCTCTAAGGAGCCCCTGAGGGTGGGGGCAGAGGTGTGCTGCCCTTGGGGGTGAGGGGAGGAGTGAGGGAAGGGGCGGGGAGGGGTGAGAGGTGAGAGAAGGGGTGCCCTCGGGTGACTCTGCTCTTGTCGCACCCGCGTGCTCTCCCGGTGGACCGCCTGCAACCGTGGGGTCAGGGGTTGGGGACGGAGAGGGGGGCTGGCCATGGAGCAACGTGGGGGTCGGGGAGCACGGCTCCGCCAAGAAGGCCAGGGCCTTGGCTGCCCCCCTGGATACTACCGGGACCTGAGGGTGGGGGTGGGGAAATGGTGCTCCTGGGGGTGGGTGGGCTGGAGGACGGGAGGTGAGGATGGGGGCTCCCTCGTGCGGCTCTGTCCTCAAGGTCTCCCCCAGCCCCTCCATCGGTCCTTCTGCTAGCATGTGGACGGGCATGGGGGGTAGAGGGGGAACCTCGACGTGAGGCTGCACGGGGGCCGGGTCGGCCTCACCGTCAGGCGTGAGGTATTGGGCCAGTGGCCCGTCAATGTGCATCACATCCTCTCCCTCATCCTCCTCTATCGCTATCACATCCCCCTCTTCCGTGCCCACCCCGGTCGGGACCACACTCACCTCTCCTTCCCCTGTTGCCCCTATGTCCCCCGAGCCCACCCCGCCTGCTGCCGCTTTACTGCTAGCCCCTTTTGCGGTCTCTGCCGGCCCTGCTGTGTGTTTCCCCGCGTTTGCTGCGGCCCCTGCCGCCCCTACTGGCCGTGCTATGGCCCTCCCTGCTGCTTCAGCTGCAGCCTCACCTTCTGCCTTTGAGGCCACTGCTGACCCTTCTCCCACTCTAGCCCCTGCCGTACCCTCTCTTGCTACAACCGAGGCAGCACTCTCCCTCACACCAGTCCCCGTACCCCCTTCTCCGCTGCACCCGTAGCACCTCCCCCTGTACCGGCCCCCACTGTGGCCTCTGTCGCTCCTGCTGCAGTCCTTGCAGCCTCGACTGCTGCAGTCTGTAAAATTTCGCCTGCCGTAATCTGATCAGCCTCACCAGCCGCGGTCCCTGCAGCCTTGCCTGCCGCGGTCCCTGCAGCCTCACGTGCAGCAGTCCCTGCAGCCTCACCTGCTGCAGTCCCTGCGGCCTCCCCTGCTGCAGTCTGTGCGGCCTCACCTGCTAGAATCTGCTCAACCTCAACTGCTGCGGCTATTTCAGCCTCACCTGCTGTGCTCCCTGCGGCCTCACCTGCCCTGGTCCCGCCTGCAGCCTCATCCGCTGTGGTCCCTGCAGCCTCACCTGCTGCAGTCCCTGCGGCCTCACCTATTGCAGTCCCTGCGACCTCACCAGCTGTAGCCTGTGCAGCCTCACCTGCGAGAGTCTGCCCAACCTTACATGCTGCAGCCCTCGCAGCCTCACCTGCTGCGTCCGCCGCAGCCTCACCTGCTGCGGCCCCTACAGCCCCGCCTGCTGCGCTCCCCGCAGCCTCGCCTGCTGCGCTCCCTGCAGCCTCGCCTGCTGCGCTCCCTGCGGCCTCACCTGCTGCGCTCTCTGCAGCCTCCCCTGCTGCGCTCCCTACAGCCTCACCTACTGCGCTCTCTGCGGCTTCACCTGCCATGGTCCCTCCTGAAGCCTCACCCGTTGTGATCCCTGCAGCCACACCTGCTGTGGTCTGTGCGGCCTCGCCTGGTGCGGTCCCTATAGCCTCCTCTGCTGCGGTTCCCCCAGCCGACACAGCTGCAGGTTCCGTGGCCCCTACTCCTGCAAAACCTGTCTCCATGGCCTCTGCCCTTTGCCTGGCCAGAGTCACGGTCCCTGCCGCCCCTTCCCGTGCAGCCTCTGCCGCCCTTTCCCGTGCAGCCGCTGCTGCCCCTTCCCTTGCAGCCTCTGCTGCCCTTTCCTCTGCAACCTCTGCTGCCCCTTCCCCCACAACCCCCATTGCCCCTTCCCGTGCAGCCTTTGCTGCCCCATCCTCTGCAGCCTCTGCTGCTCCTTCGCACACACATTCACTTACCCCTTCCCGTGCAGTGTTAGCTGCAAGTTCCCCCCTGGCTCTGCCCCCTCCCGCTTCTATGTGCTTGGGGGTGCTAGTAGGATTAAGTGTTTTCACAAGTAATCTGGTTTGCGAATGGGAAGTAGCGAGAGAGTTGGGGGATCTCTCCACTTGGCATGCATGGGTGCCGTCCCCGCTGTCACCTGAAGGGGGGGTAGGCTGGGATGGGGCCGCGGGGGTAGGGCGCGGTTTTGAGCGTGCTGGCTCCTCCTTGTGTATTTCCTCCAGTGGGGCTTGGCGTTCCTCTGTTCCATCCTCTTCAAGGGTACGCTTCTGGCCCCTAGGATCAGATTGTGTGAGTGTTTTCGCTTGGTCAAGTGTGTGTTGTTTCTTCCTGACTGTTGAAGTGGGGGGAGTGGGAGAGTAGGGGGTGGCTCGGCTGCGGGACCTCCTAGATCGCCGAGGGGCTCCCGGGTCTGCCTTTTCCCCACTCGCGGGGTGCTGGGGCATTGTTACAGAGGCAGCATGCCTGGCGGTGGCGGCGTGAGTTGCTGGAGTTGGCTCAAGAGGGCGTCAAAGGGGGAAGGGACTCCCTGGCAGAGGCCGGGGTGCGGGGGGTTAGCTTGGGGAAATGGAAAAAGGGTGGGGAAAGCGGTGCGCAGTGGGTGGAAGAGAGGGTAGAGGGGGCCTGACAGTTGGAGGGGATTGGGGCCCAAGGGGGGGGCGGGCTGGGGGCCGGTTGAGAGGGGAAGTGTTGGCGGGCTGTAGTGGAGGTGGGGGGGCGGGGGTGATGTAGTGGTGGGTGAGCAGGGTGTGGGGACAGGTGGTGGGCCAGAGGTGGGGAGGGCAGGGCAGAATTCCACGGGAGGTGGGGGTGGGCAGGTGGAGCCAAGTGGGGGAGGAAGGGTGGGGAACAGAGAGGAAGGGGCAAAGGGTAGTGGGTAGTCGGGTTGGCGTGAGCCTGGTAGCGGGTAATGAGAAGGTTGGAGGGCGGGGGGTGAGAACGTGGGAGGGCCGAGAGGGCACCGAAAGGAGGCGCTGTGGTAAATGCAGAGAAAGATGGGGGGCCGGGAAACAGGGGACAGAGGGAATTGGGGAATTGATGAAGGGTGATACCTGCGGATGGGCGAGCCCCAGGGGGGAGGAAATATGGAGGGTGTTGGAGAAGGGGGAGACTGGGGGGGGTTGGGGTAGGGTGTTGGAAGGCACAAGGGGCAGGAACAGGGGGTGCAGAGGTTGGCTGGGGGAGGGAGAGGCGGTCTGGTGCCGCGGAAAGGCGGACGGAGGTTGGGGACGGCACAGCACAGGGAGCAAAAGCAAGGGGTGTAGACCCTGGCTGGGGGTAGGAACGGCAGCGTGGAGTTAGGGAGAGGTAGAGGGAGGCTGGGGTAGGTGGCTGGATTGCGCAGGGAGCAGGGGCAGGGGGTGTAGAGATTGGATGGGGGTGGGAAAGGCGGCGTGGTGTCAGGTGGCGGCAGTTGGGTCCTCGGAGGGCCTGGCAGGGCATGATGCAGAGGTGCAGCCCACGCTGGATGCGGAAATAGCTGGGGGGGAAAAGGGAGGCTGGAGGGGGAGGTACGGCTCGTAGAGGTGTGGGGGACAGAGTGGGAGTGGGGAAGGCAGGAGGGGGGGTGGAGGAGGGACGTTGTGGACAGGGGAGTGGGGGAACATGCGGGTGATGATAGGGGGAAGCCGGGGGGGGGAGAAGGGGGAGGTGGTATGAAGTGGGCGAGGGTGACGCGCGGGCAGAGCGCGGCGGTACTAAGGGCAGGGAGACGGGGGGCTGGGGGGAGAAAGGCCTGCTTGGGGGCGTGGTGGGGGATAAGGGGAGAGTGGCGGTAATGCTGGTGGGCAAAAGGGGAGGGTGTGGTGTAGTATGATGAAACAGAATGGGGGGGTGGCGGACTGGATGGGGCCCTGGAGGGTTGGGAGAACAAGGTGTAAGCTGCCTTTCTGATTTTTCCTGGTTTTTTCCGATTCATATGAATTTCTTTTTTCTTTTCTTTTTTCCTTGAAGTTGTTTCCTCTTATTTCCTACGGTTTCCAGAGACAGGGCGGCCTCTGCTAGCTAAGCGCCGTTAGGGAAAGAGGTTAGGTGGCGGGGTGGCTAAAGCGTGCGTGTGAGGGGGAAAGGGGCGGTGTGAGCAGAGAGGTGACTATGAGGGTGGCGACGGGGTAAGATTACGACGTGTGGGTGGCATGCACGAGTGCGCGACGAGGCATGGCAGGGTGGGAGTGAGCAAAGGGGGAGTGGGGCGGCTTGTGTGCCAAACGTGGGCGGCTAAAACGCTCTAGGCAGAAAACGCGCTTCGGGAGGCGCGCAAGGGGAGGGCTGTTTAATCGCTACGAACGTAGCGATTTCGCCTCCCTCCGCGCTGCCTTTCCCTGGCGGTGAGCGCCCCGTGCGCGGTTCCGTCTACGTCGCGGCTAGATTGAACGGGCGGGGAAAAAAAAAGAGTGCGTGACTAAGCGTGATAGGCGACGAGAAAGCGTGCTTGAAAACGCGCGGCTCTTTGAATTAGGGTTTCGATAAAGAAGGGCGCACTGAAAGGGAAGGAAGAATGCTAACTACGGGCGGAAGCTAAGCTCAGTGACTTCGAGAGAGGGAAACCGCGGGAAGTGACTCGGTATTTGCTAATCGCTTCGAATAGCAAAGCCGTGGGCAGAAAAGAGCGGGGGGATAAGGGAGAGTGTCGAGAGAGGGGATGGGAGGGAACACCGTGTCTGGCGGAGTTGTGGTTGTGAGTCGCGCGCGCTGTTACACTCCACGGGCGAACTTCGCGTCAACGCCCCACCTCCCGTTACACCGGCTGCAGCGCGTCCGCAGCCTTCCCGCGATGGCGGGGTCGAACGAGCGGTTCAGTAACACCCCGCGAGTTCCGTTTCCGAGACTCCTGAGGGTCGCGCGCGAAACTCGCGACCCCCGTCCCGTCGAACTCGACAGTCGAAACTAAAAAACTAACCGTTGGAAACGCTTATAACTATAACATAAACAACTATCACAATCACTTTGTCCTTAAGCAACTCGAAATAGTAGGTTTAGGAGGCTCCTTAGTAGGCAGCCATGGCTAGGTAAGCTAGGTCAAGGTAAGAGCGCCGGTGGGCGAGAGCAGTACTGGGCTGGGTGACCTCCCGGGAAGTCCCCGTATTGTACCCATTTATGCCCCTTGCTCGGCACGCGCCGGGGGAGGGGCAAGCGGGAAAAAGAAAGGACGATTTTAGCGCGTCCGATTCTTTCATTTTCGTTTTTTTGCCCAAACAACGACCCAGCGGGGTGGGGGGCCCCCGGGGAGGCTTGCCCGTGCGAAGAAACGCCCCGTGCGCACCACCGTTGGGCGGTTGGAAGCCGCACACGGTCGCGGGGGTGGAGAGCGGAAACGGGCAGCCGGGGGAGGGTGGGGGCGGTTGGATGGGACTTGGGGTGTACGGGGGGCAGGGGAGTTGAGGGGGCAAGGGGAGGGGCAGCAACGGGCAGGGGCTGGGCCAACTGAGGGCACGGAAAAGGGGCGGGCAGAGGGTGAGCAGAGGGGCGAGCGATGCAAGGGTGGCACCATAGGGGGGAAACCAGTTGCACGGAGGTGGGAGGTGAGGGGCGTGCGAGGGGGTGGGAAAGGGGCAGGGAGGGGCAGAATGGGAGGATGTACGTGGGGGGGGTGGGGGAGGGGAGTGTGCGTGTGTGTGTGTGTGAGAAAGAGAGAGAGAGAGAGAGAGAGAGAGAGAGAGAGAGGGAGGGGGGGATTGAAGGGTGGGAGGGGGGCTGGTCGTGGGGATGGGCTGATGGTGGTAAGAGGGCAGCAGGGATGGGGAGAAGGGAGCGTAACGAGGGGAGAGCAAAGGGCAGGGGGGGAGGAAGGGAGGGGCAGGGAGGGAAGAGGCTGAACGTACAAAGGGGGGAAACGAGGGGCATGGATGATAGGAAACGAGGGCAGGGGTGTGGGAAATCAAGGGCAGGGAGGAGAGAAGCAATGGGTGAGGGGAAAACAAGGGAGGGGCAGACGGGGGGCAGGGAGGGAAGAAACGTGGGGCAGGGAGGGGAGAAGCCAAAGACAGGGGCATGGGCAGGCGGGGGCAGGGAGGGAGCAAAGGAGAGGCACGGGGAAAGAAAGGGAGGCGCGGGGAGGGGAGAAACCGGGCGTGGGGGGGGCGGAAAATGAGGGGCAGGGCGGGGAGGAGGGAGGGGCAGGGAGGGGAGAAGCTGAGCACACGGAGGGGGGAAAGGTGAGGCAGGGAGGTAGGAAGCCAAGGACAAGGGGGGGGAGAGTGGGGGGGGCAGGGAGAGGGGGGAGGTGGGGAGCGGGGAAAGGCGGCAAGGGGCAGGGAGGGGAGAAACCAAGCATAGGGGGGCGAGATACGAGGGGCAGGGTGCGGATTGAGGAGGGGCAGGGAGTGGAGTGGGTCGGCGAGGGGAAGGAAGAGGCGTGCAGCAGAGGAGGGGAGGGGGGAGGAGAAGGTAAAGGAGGGGAGCGCACGGGCGGGGAGGAGCGAATGGCGGGCGGTGGGAAACGGCGAGGGGGGGCAGGGAGGGTCAAAAGAGGCGGCAAGGGAGCGGGCACGCGGAGGGTAGGGGCGGGGGGAGCGGATGGCATGAGGGGGCAGGGGGTGTGACTATGAAGGGGGGGACCCGGGCAAGGGGTGTGTAGCGGTCGGGGCACGAGGTTGACGTGGTACGATCATACCTCGGCTACTACGCCGGATCCCATCAGAACTCCGAAGCTAAGCGCCGGTGGGCGAGAGCAGTTATTCATTAATAGGGGAAGAGAAAATACAAGCCGAATATAATGGTTTTTCCAAGACTAGGAAATTTCGACATAGCCTTATCGCTATGAGGACGGTATATATATTTTGTAGGAAAAGGGGGAAAGAAAGGAAAGGAAGGAAGGATGAAGGAGTAAGAAGAAGTGGTAGGGAAAAGAAGAGAAGGGAGAAGAGGGTGGTAGGAAGAGAAGGGAAGGATAGAAGAAGGGAACAGAAAGAGGGAGGTGGGAAGAGAAGAGGAGAGAGGGAGAGAGACTAAGGAGGAGGAAGCACCAAAGGACCAAAACACGGCAGCAACCCGCACGACCGCACGGGCACAGCGTTTCAAGCACAGCCACTATTGTTTTTTACACATATGCATCATATATATACTGCATATCAGCCACACTCTCGAAGCACCCTGTGACGTGGTGCCAAGTACCCTGCCCCGCACCTAGTGGGACTGGTGCGGGCATCCACCCGTCGTCGGATCCCCCTAACTGCCGCACCGCATGCTGGATCATGCATTGAGCCTGCGCGCGCTGCAGTGCAACGGAGAGGCGTGTAGTGAGTCCTGCCTCAAATATCCGTGCCGATCCGTCATCCCCCCCACCTCTATCCCTCCTCCGCTGTGCTATCCTCTTTGCGCAGAGCCCCAGGAACTGACTCAGCGGCTCACTCAGAAGGCCAAAGGTCTCCGCCACGCACGCGTAAAAGTGTGGTGCCGGCTGCAGCCCCTCTAAGTGCGGCCCCCAGTGCCGCAACTTCTCCTGCACCCGTCTAGCTGATGCCACTCCAATCTGTGTGGGGGTCGCCCGTCTCAGCTGCACGTTCCCCTCCCGCTGTGGATCCGCTATGGAGACATCCACAAGAACCATCAGACCCTGGCCAACGTCGCGGCAGGTGAGGTCTGGGATGCGGGAGGCGGTGCCTACACGGCCTGTGCGTCCGACTGGTCCCTGCTGTTGCGCTGGCTGCTGCCCTGTCTGGTCCCTTGGTGCCTCCTCTCCGATCGTCTCTCTCCCCCTCTCCTCTCCTCCATCCACCTGTCCTCTCCCCTCCCCCTCTCTACCCTCCCCCAACCCTCCCGACCCCCCTGCTCCATCCCCTGCTGCCTCTCTCACTCCCTGGCCCTCCCCTCCCAATCCCGCTGCCCCTCCTGTACCTCCGTCCGCTCTCTGCTGCTCCCGCCCCTGCCCCTGAGGCCGAACCTGGAGGCGCGGCGCCCTGGGCCCGCGGCCTCCACTGGCTTTCCTGCTGCTGCCTGTGCCGTCTCCCCTCCCCGTTCTGGCCCGTCTGCTCCCCCTGCCGTCCCCTCCGCCCACCTATCCCTCGCTCCACCTGACCCCGCAGCTGGTGCTGTCCCCACTGTCCCCCGCCACCCGGCTGTCCCGCCTCGCCTCTCTGCTCCCCCGGTCCCTCAGCCCGCGTCCCCTCTCCCACCACTGGCTGTCCCAGTAGTCTCGCTCGAGCCGCCTCCAACTGTGTGAACAGCGTAGAGTCCTCCACCTTTACCGCGAAGCCCGCCTCGACCGCAAAGTCTCGAAGCATGTACTTCACCGTGTCGTGGATGGTAGTGGCGACCCCGTAGCGCGGGCACCGAACCGCGTGATGAGGCACCGTCATGTCGTCAATCGCCTGTCCGCAGGAGCACTGACCTGCAAGGGCTAACTGGGGGATAGGGAGACCGAGACGAGAAGATGAAGCCGCCTGCCACAGCGCCTCCGGGATGCGCAGTGGGTCAGCGTACGGCACCGACGTCAACCACGCCCCTGCACCTCCGCCCTGAAGGGAAGTCAAACGGGCAAGGTGCAAGGGAGAGGCGTGACGGGCACGCACGGCCTCCAAGGCCTGCGCCTCCAGAAGACGGCTCGCTCCTGCAAAAAGGGAATCGGGGGAGGCAGAAGCGCAAGAGGGCCAGGGGGGAAGGAGAGAGAGAACGTCGGGTGGGAGACCCTCTAGCGCCGTCTGCAGAGCCCGGTCGATCTGCTCTGGCTCACCTGAAGCGAAGCTCTGCCGAAACACCTCGCCACACGCAGGGAGAGAACAGAGAATGGGAGCACACTGCACCCAGGAGCACACGAAACTCACCGGGGCGATGCGTGCCATGCGACGAATGCCAAAACCCCCGAGACGGATGGGGAGGAAGATCTGGTCTAGGGCGGCCTCTCGGACGTCCTCGCGACAAGCCCAGGTCCGTGAAGCTAAAAGCTGCTGGAATGTCTCTCCCAGGCGTGCGTCCCACCGTGTAAAACTAGAGATCACTGCGGGCGAAGGAGGGACGGTCCTCGACAGGTACTGCGGACGAGTGCTGACACACGCCGACAGAAGGCGGGCAGCTGTCTGGGGCTGGCGCAACCTCGGAAGCCAAGGTAGCACCCGCCCCATCCTCTCGAGACGATCCGGGAGACTCTGCTCCACAAACGAAACGGTGCCTACTGGTACGCCTGTCACGGTGAGCCCTCGGCGTGCGACCTCGACCCCTAGGCCCGTGAAGGCCTCCAGATCCCTGGACAGAAAGGACTCTGTCTGGTAGACGAGGCACTTGTGCGGCTGGGCTGCAAGGCCCATCTCGCCCAAGCGCCTCACGATCTCGGCAAAGTGGTGCAGCACCCTGTCTGGGGGACCTAGCACGTACGTGTCATCGGCGTACGACCAGAGCTGGACATCCCCCTCCACCAGAACCGGCTCCAAAGCAAGACGCTGTGTCAGAGCGTACAAGAAGGGGCTGAGAGGGTCTCCCTGGCGAGTGCCCCGCTCCGAGTGCATCGTGACCACTCCCGTGCCTGACCTGTAGTGGAGATCCGAGGGCGTCCCGTAGAAGAGGCCGATGAAGGGGATCAGGCACTGAAACTCCGGGCTGGCCTGCAATGCCTGGAACATCCAGTCTCGGTGGAAGGAGTTAAAGGCATTCGCCACGTCTAGCTGTAGGACCACCCAGTCTGGGTGGTCAGCCAGAGCGCGGCGGACGCCTCTAACTACGACCTCTGTCCCGCACGTAACCCCCACCCCAAACTGCTGTGACGCCAAGAAGACCCTCGCCATCTGGTCACGCAGCTGGAGACAGACTGCACGAGAAAGAATGCGGACCAAAACCTCGCCGATGGCAATCGGCCGAACATCCATGTTCGACTTCGCCAGAGCCACGAGGGTGGAAGACGCTAGCAAGGAGCGCGTAGCTGGAGCGCAACGGCCTCGGAGCCACTGCTGGTACACGGCCAGGAGGAAATGGAGACTCTGAGGGAAAGCTAGGAAAGTGTCTCGCAGGTGCTCAGCGACCCAACCGGACGGTCCTCCCGAAGAGCCCCGCGGAGCTGTGAAAATCGCGTGGCGTAAGTGATCCACCGAGAGCACGAGAGGGGACCCCTGGAAGCCAGACTGCCAAGCTGGGGTCGGCCTCTCCGCGTTGGGGTGCTTCGACTGCAGGCGCTGTATCGTCCCCTGTGTATCTGGGGCTGCCTCCGCGGACTCGAGAGCCGCGCACGCCCGTGAGGTCTCATTGCACGCTGCCAGACGAAGGCAACGTGCAATGCGGCGCTCATCTGCTGTAGAGGGATCGGTGGCGGTGCGTGACCGGTGACCTGTGCGCCGAGGAAGGGGTGTGCGACGGCCTAGTGCATCTGAGACTAGCTCAGCCCACTCACCTCGACCAAAGCGGGAGATGCGCGTTGCAATGGCAGCCGTGTGCGAGCGGTCGGGTGGCGTCGCTGGAACAAGGAAAAGAGTCGGCGCTGCAGCGAGGAGGAAGGTAGGGCCAGCAGCCTCCGGGTCCTGGGCAATGCGGACTAGGATCGCACTGAGGACGTCGAGATATCCTCCGCGGACCCTCTCCGGGATACGTCGGAGAGGGCGTGCGTGGATACGCTCGGGCGAGAAGTACTCTGTCCAGTCCACCGATTCGAGCGTCTGCCACTGTGCGTCGGTGAACTGTATCCCGGTCGCACGGGGCTGTGAGAGGGAAGGGATGATCGAGGCGGTGTCCTGGGCAGCCTGCGCCCTGCGAGCCGCGTCCGCAGGATGGCAGAAGGGAATGTGGTGCTGGAGCGCGCGTCGGTTCGCGAGAGAGCTCCTGCAGGTGGGGCAACTCACGACCTGGTCGGGTGATGTCGCCGTGTCGGCGGGGTCAATCGGGGCCGTGGCGTCGGAACTGGCTGTAGAGGGGACCCCGTGGGCGGCCTGAGCTCCGAGAGGATCGCCTGGGATGAGGGGAGGAGACGACTCACCAGCCCCGTGCATGGGGGGTGTCAGCGAAGATAGAGGTGGTGTCGCACAGGATAGGGCCGGGCCTCGTGCCGGTACCGGTGTCGAAGCTGGGGACGGGGGACGTGGAGGTGAGCCTGAAGTGTGTGCCGTGGTGTGCTCCTGCCCCTCGGCGGGGTGCGGTTCAAGTGACGGCTCTGCTACCCCAGGCGGAGGGGTCTCGGTAGGGGCGGATGCCTCATCCCTACTGCTGGTGACCTCCTGCGCCACGGGGTGAACGGGGGGAGGCGCCACCCCATCTAGGTGCGCGTGACACGGCCTCAGAACCTGGTCCGTCTCCATTGGGGTCGGGAGTGACGCGCCTGGCTGAGTGGCGGGGGGGAGAAAAGAAGGGACAGACCGGGTGACCTCCGCATACGTCCGCGTCCGGTCCTGTGGGACTGGAAGGGTGGGGGCAGCCGGAGAGCTGCTCGGGCGGTGTATCGCCAGCAAATCTGAAATGCCAGCCCTCACCTCCTCTGGGGTCTCGAAGACCTGCCTGCCTGTAGGTGAGAGTAGGAGGGCTGGCAGGGTAGAGGGTGGGGTGGGGCTTGCTGGCTGAGCGGAGCTCAGGTGTGGACCCTGCCCTAGAAGGCCCCCTTGGCCCTCCCCAATCACCATGGGTTGCGGTAGGGGGTCGTCGACGTGGAAGGGGTGGGAGGGATGGGAGGGGGAGTCGGTGGCGTCTTCCATGGGCGCATCCCTCAACCCGACGGCCTCCATCCCAGTAGCGATCGCGGCCGCCGCCACCTGGGAGGGGGACACAGCACGAGAGGGGCAGAATGGGGGTGAGTGGGCTGGTCCGCTCCCATGGCCCTGTGGAGGTGCAGGAGCGGGGCGGGAGTGTAGGTTTGGTGGTCGGGCTGTAGAGGTAGGGCCTGGTAAGGGTTCAACGGGATGTGGGGTGGGGAGGGGCTCTTGGTGGGGGAGGGAGGGAGGGGGGAGTACGTGGGCTGACCCTCTGCCTCCTCTGCCCCTGTTCTTCCGCCGGCGGCCAACCTGGTTGTCCGCGCCTGTTTGTGAAGGAAGGGGGGGCTGTGGGGCCAAAGGGGTGGGTGGAGGGAGGATGGGTGGTTCGCCGGGCGGGGGGTGCTCTGTGTGCATCCCCTCTCTCCTCGAAACATCCCCCTCCGTGGGAACAGATCGGGCAGGCTGTGTGTGGGGGGTGATGGCTGCCCAACGGGGCCACTCGTGGGGAACCCGGCCGGGAGGGGGGGTTGGAGGTGGGGGTCGAGGGGCTGGGCCAGTGTGGAGGTTAGAGCGAGGTACAAGCGGTGGGGGGAGAGAGATTTGTGTGGGCTCTGAGGTGGCCTCTCCTGTGGGCCCCTCTACCCGGGTGCCGCCGCTCCCATGAGCCTGGGGCGCAAGCCCTTGTGGGTGGGTCTCGGCTGCCTGGGGGGGGTGGTGTGAGGGGGGCAGCCTGTTGGGTGGGCGTATTGGGGCTGTGCGGCGACTCGGGTGGTTTGGGTGCCTGTAGCGTGTGGGAGAGGGATTTGGCCGCAGAGATGCTTCAACCTCCGAGATGTGTGTACTACCGGGTGGGGGGGGGCCTGGTGGAGGGGGGGGGTAGTGGGCCGGTAGGGGGTGGCTGGGTGTTGGTAGGGGTCGGGGAGCATGGCTCCTCTAGGAAGGCCAGAGCCCTGGCTGCTCCACGTGGTGCTCTAAGGAGCCCCTGAGGGTGGGGGCAGAGGTGTGCTGCCCTTGGGGGTGAGGGGAGGAGTGAGGGAAGGGGCGGGGAGGGGTGAGAGGTGAGAGAAGGGGTGCCCTCGGGTGACTCTGCTCTTGTCGCACCCGCGTGCTCTCCCGGTGGACCGCCTGCAACCGTGGGGTCAGGGGTTGGGGACGGAGAGGGGGGCTGGCCATGGAGCAACGTGGGGGTCGGGGAGCACGGCTCCGCCAAGAAGGCCAGGGCCTTGGCTGCCCCCCTGGATACTACCGGGACCTGAGGGTGGGGGTGGGGAAGTGGTGCTCTTGGGGGTGGGTGGGCTGGGGGACGGGAGGTGAGGATGGGGGCTCCCTCGTGCGGCTCTGTCCTCAAGGTCTCCCCCAGCCCCTCCTTCGGTCCTTCTGCTAGCATGGGGACGGGCATGGGGGGTAGAGGGGGAACCTCGACGTGAGGCTGCAGGGGGGCCGGGTCGGCCTCACCGTCAGGCGTGAGGTATTGGGCCAGTGGCCCGTCAATGTGCATCACATCCTCTCCCTCATCCTCCTCTATCGCTATCACATCCCCCTCTTCAGTGCCCACCCCGGTCGGGACCACACTCACCTCTCCTTCCCCTGTTGCCCCTATGTCCTCCGAGCCCACCCCGCCTGCTGCCGCTTTACTGCTAGCCCCTTTTGCAGTCTCTGCCGGCCCTACTGTGTGTTTCCCCGCGTTTGCTGCGGCCCCTGCCGCCCCTACTGGCCGTGCTATGGCCCTCCCTGCTGCTTCAGCTACAGCCTCACCTTCTACCTTTGAGGCCACTGTTGTCCCTTCTCCCACTCTAGCCCCTGCCGTACCCTCTCTTGCTACAGCCGGGGCAGCACTCTCCCTCGCACCAGTCCCCGTTACCCCCTTCCCCGCTGCACCCGTAGCACCTCCCCCTGTACCGGCCCCCACTGTGGCCTCTGTCGCTCCTGCTGCAGTCCTTGCAGCCTCGACTGCTGCAGTCTGTAAAACCTCGCCTGCCGTAATCTGCTCAGCCTCACCAGCCGCGATCCCTGCAGCCTTGCCTGCCGCGGTCCTTGCAGCCTCACGTGCTGCAGTCCCTGCAGCCTCACGTGCTGCAGTCCCTGCAGCCTCACATGCTGCGGCCTCTGCAGCCTCACCTGCTGCGGCTATTTCAGCCTCACCTGCTGCGCTCCCTGCGGCCTCACCTGCCCTGGTCCCGCCTGCAGCCTCATCCGCTGTGGTCCCTGCAGCCTCACCTGCTGCAGTCCCTGCGGCCTCACCTGTTGCAGTCCTTGCGACCTCACCAGCTGTAGACTGTGCAGCCTCACCTGCTAGAGTCTGCCCAACCTTACATGATGCAGCCCTCGCAGCCTCACCTGCTGCGTCCGCCGCAGCCTCACCTGCTGCGGCCCCTGCAGCCCCGCCTGCTGCGCTCCCCGCAGCCTCGCCTGCTGCGCTCCCTGCAGCCTCGCCTGCTGCGCTCCCTCCGGCCTCACCTGCTGCGCTCTCTGCAGCCTCACCTGCTGCGCTCCCTACAGCCTCACCTGCTGCGCTCCCTGCAGCCTCACCTACTGCGCTCCCTGCGGCTTCACCTGCCCTGGTCCCTCCTGCAGCCTCACCCGTTGTGATCCCTGCAGCCACACCTGCTGTGGTCTGTGCGGCCTCGCCTGGTGCGGTCCCTATAGCCTCCTCTGCTGCGGTTCCCCCAGCCGACACAGCAGCAGGTTCCGTGGCCCCTACTCCTGCAAAACCTGTCTCCATGGCCTCTGCCCTTTGCCTGGCCAGAGTCACGGTCCCTGCCGCCCCTTCCCGTGCAGCCTCTGCCGCCCTTTCCCGTGCAGCCGCTGCTGCCCCTTCCCTTGCAGCCTCTGCTGCGTTTTCCTCTGCAACCTCTGCTGCCCCTTCCCCCACAACCCCCATTGCCCCTTCCCGTGCAGCCTTTGCTGCCCCACCCTCTGCAGCCTCTGCTGCTCCTTCGCCCACACATTCACTTACCCCTTTCCGTGCAGTGTTAGCTGCAAGTTCCCCCCTGGCTCTGCCCCCTCCCGCTTCTATGTGCTTGGGGGTGCTAGTAGGATTAAGTGTTTTCACAAGTAATCTGGTTTGCGAATGGGAGGTAGTGAGTGAGTTGGGGGATCTCTCCACTTGGCATGCATGGGTACCGTCCCCGCTGTCACCTGAAGGGGGGGTAGGCTGGGATGGGGCCGCGGGGGTAGGGCGCGGTTTTGAGCGTGCTGGCTCCTCCTTGTGTATTTCCTCCAGTGGGGCTTGGCGTTCCTCTGTTCCATCCTCTTCAAAGGCGGCGTGGTGTCAGGTGGCGGCAGTTGGGTCGTAGAAGGGCCTGGCAGGGCAGGATGCAGAGGTGCAGCCCACGCTGGATGCGGAAGTAGCTGGGGGGGAAAAGGGAGGCTGGAGGGGGAGGTACGGCTCGTAGAGGTGTGGGGGGCAGAGTGGGAGTGGGGAAGGCAGGAGGGGGGGTGGAGGAGGGACGTTGTGGACAGGGGAGTGGGGGAACATGCGGGTGATGATAGGGAGAAGCCGGGGGGGGGGAGAAGGGGGAGGTGGTATGAAGTGGGCGAGGGTGACGCACGGGCAGAGCGCGGCGGTACTAAGGGCAGGGAGACGGGGGGCTGGGGGGAGAAAAGCCTGCTTGGGGGCGTGGTGGGGGATAAGGGGAGAGGGGCGGTAATGCTGGTGGGCAAAAGGGGAGGGTGTGGTGCAGTATGATGAAACAGAATGGGGGGGTGGCGGACTGGATGGGGCCCTGGAGGGTTGGGAGAACAAGGTGTAAGCTGCCTTTCTGATTTTTCCTGGTTTTTTCCGATTTACATGAATTTCTTTTTTCTTTTCTTTTTTCTTTGAAGTTGTTTCCTCTTATTTCCTACGGTTTCCAGAGACAGGGCGGCCTCTGCTAGCTAAGCGCCGTTAGGGAAAGAGGTTAGGTGGCGGGGTGGCTAAAGCGCGCGTGTGAGGGGGAAAGGGGCGGTGTGAGCAGGAAGGTGAATATGTGGGTGGCGACGGGGTAAGATTACGACGTGTGGGTGGCATGCACGAGTGCGCGACGAGGCATGGCAGGGTGGGAGTGAGCAAACGGGGAGTGGGGCGGCTTGTGTGCCAAACGTGGGCGGCTAAAACGCTCTAGGCAGAAAACGCGCTTCGGGAGGCGCGCAAGGGGAGGGCTGCTTAATCGCTACGAACGTAGCAATTTCGCCTCCCTCCGCGCTGCCTTTCCCTGGCGGTAAGCGCCCCGTGCGCGGTTCCGTCTACGTCGCGGCTAGATTGAACGGGCGGGGAAAACGAGTGCGTGACTAAACATGATAGGCGACGAGAAAGCGTGCTTGAAAACGCGCGGCTCTTCGAGTTAGGGTTTCGATCAAGAAGGGCGCACTGAAAGGGAAGGAAGAATGCTAACTACGGGCGGAAGCTAAGCTCAGTGACTTCGAGAGAGGGAAAACGCGGGAAGAAACTCGGTAGCAGCTAATCGCTTCGAATAGCAAAGCCGTGGGCAGAAAAGAGCGGGGGGATAAGGGAGAGTGTCGAGAGAGGGGATGGGCGGGAACACCGTGTCTGGCGGAGTTGTGGTTGTGAGTCGCGCGCGCTGTTACACTCCGCGGGCGAACTTCGCGTCAACGCCCCACCTCCCGTTACACCGGCTGCAGAGCGTCCGCAGCCTTCCCGCGATGGCGGGGTCGAACGAGCGGTTCCGTAACACCCCGCGAGTTCCGTTTCCGAGACTCCTGAGGGTCGCGCGCGAAACTCGCGACCCCCGTCCCGTCGAACTCGACAGTCGAAACTGGAAAACTAACCGTTGGAAACGCTTATAACTATAACATAAACAACTATCACAATCACTTTGTCCTTAAGCAACTCGAGATAGTAGGTTTAGGAGGCTTCTTAGTAGGCAGCCATGGCTAGGTAAGCTAGGTCAAGGTAAGAGCGCCGGTGGGCGAGAGCAGTACTGGGCTGGGTGACCTCCCGGGAAGTCCTCGTGTTGTACCCATTTATGCCCCTTGCTCGGCACGTGCCGGGGGAGGGGCAAGCGGGAAAAAGAAAGGACGATTTTAGCGCGTCCGATTCTTTCATTTTTGTTTTTTTTTCCCAAACAACGACCCAGCGGGGTGGGGGGCCCCCGGGGAGGCTTGCCCACGCGAAGAAACGCCCCGTGCGCACCACCCTTGGGCGGTTGGAAGCCGCACACGGTCGCGGTGGTGGAGAGCGGAAACGGGCAGCCGGGGGAGGGTGGGGGCGGTTGGATGGGACTTGGGGTGTACGGGGGGCAGGGGAGTTGAGGGGGCAAGGGGAGGGGCAGCAACGGGCAGGGGCTGGGCCAACTGAGGGCACGGAAAAGGGGCGGGCAGAGGGTGAGCAGAGGGGCGAGCGATGCAAGGGTGGCACCATAGGGGGGAAACCAGTTGCACGGAGGTGGGAGGTGAGGGGCGTGCGAGGGGGTGGGAAAGGGGCAGGGAGGGGCAGAATGGGAGGATGTACGTGGGGGGGGTGGGGGAGGGGAGTGTGCGTGTGTGTGTGTGTGAGAAAGAGAGAGAGAGAGAGAGAGAGAGAGAGAGAGAGAGAGAGAGCGAGAGAGAGAGAGAGAGAGAGAGAGAGGGAGGGGGGGATTGAAGGGTGGGAGGGGGGCTGGTCGTGGGGACGGGCTGATGGTGGTAAGAGGGCAGCAGGGATGGGGAGAAGGGAGCGTAACGAGGGGAGAGCAAAGGGCAGGGGGGGAGGAAGGGAGGGGCAGGGAGGGAAGGGGGGAAACGAGGGGCATGGATGATAGGAAACGAGGGCAGGGCTGTGGGAAATCAAGGGCAGGGAGGAGAGAAGCAATGGGTGAGGGGAAAACAAGGGAGGGGCAGACGGGGGGCAGGGAGGGAAGAAACGTGGGGCAGGGAGTGGAGAAGCCAAAGACAAGGGCATGGGCAGGCGGGGGCAGGGAGGGAGCAAAGGAGAGGCACGGAGAAAGAAAGGGAGGCGCGGGGAGGGGAGAAACCGGGCGTGGGGGGGGCGGAAAATGAGGGGCAGGGCGGGGAGGAGGGAGGGGCAGGGAGGGGAGAAGCTGAGCACACGGAGGGGGGAAAGGTGAGGCAGGGAGGTAGGAAGCCAAGGACAAGGGGGGGGAGAGTGGGGGGGCAGGGAGAGGGGGGAGGTGGGGAGCGGGGAAAGGCGGCGAGGGGCAGGGAGGGGAGAAACCAAGCATAGGGGGGCGAGATACGAGGGGCAGGGTGCGGATTGAGGAGGGGCAGGGAGTGGAGTGGGTCGGCGAGGGGAAGGAAGGGGCGTGCAGCAGAGGAGGGAAGGGGGGAGGAGAAGGTAAAGGAGGGGAGCGCACGGGCGGGGAGGAGCGAATGGCGGGCGGTTGGAAACGGCGAGGGGGGGCAGGGAGGGTCAAAAGAGGCGGCAAGGGAGCGGGCACGCGGAGGGTAGGGGCGGGGGGAGCGGATGGCATGAGGGGGCAGGGGGTGTGACCACGAAGGGGGGGACCCGGGCAAGGGGTGTGTAGCGGTCGGGGCACGAGGTTGACGTGGTACGATCATACCTCGGCTACTACGCCGGACCCATCAGAACTCCGAAGCTAAGCGCCGGTGGGCGAGAGCAGATATTCATTATTAGGGGAAGAGCAAATACAAGCCGAATATAATGGTTTTTCCAAGACTAGGAAATTTTGACATAGCCTTATCGCTATGAGGACGGTATATATATTTTGTAGGAAAAGGGGGAAAGAAAGGAAAGGAAGGAAGGATGAAGGAGTAAGAAGAAGTGGTAGGGAAAAGAAGAGGGTGGGAGGAAGAGAAGGGAAGGATAGAAGAAGGGAACAAAACGAGGGAGGTGGGAAGAGAAGAGGAGAGAGGGAGAGAGACTAAGGAGGGGGAAGCACCAAAGGACCAAAACACGGCAGCAACCCGCACGACCGCACGGGCACAGCGTTTCAAGCACAGCCACTATTGTTTTTTACACATATGCATCATATATATACTGCATATCAGCCACACTCTCGAAGCACCCTGTGACGTGGTGCCAAGTACCCTGCCCCGCACCCAGTGGGACTGGTGCGGGCATCCACCCGTCGTCGGATCTCCCTAATTGCCGCACCGCATGCTGGATCATGCATTGAGCCTGCGCGCGCTGCAGTGCAACGGAGAGGCGTGTAGTGAGTCCTGCCTCAAATATCCGTGCCGATCCGTCATCCCCCCCACCTCTATCCCTCCTCCGCTGTGCTATCCTCTTTGCGCAGAGCCCCAGAAACTGACGCAGCGGCTCACTCAGAAGGCCAAAGGTCTCTGCCACGCACACGTAAAAGTGTGGTGCCGGCTGCAGCCCCTCTAAGTGCGGCCCCCAGTGCCGCAGCTTCTCCTGCACCCGCCTAGCTGCTGCCACTCCAATCTGTGTGGGGGTCGCCCGTCTCAGCTGCACGTTCCCCTCCCGCTGTGGATCCGCTATGGAGACATCCACAAGAACCATCAGACCCTGGCCAACGTCGCGGCAGGTGAGGTCTGGGATGCGGGAGGCGGTGCCTACACGGCCTGTGCGTCCGACTGGTCCCTGCTGTTGCGCTGGCTGCTGCCCTGTCTGGTCCCTTGGTGCCTCCTCTCCGATCGTCTCTCTCCCCCTCTCCTCTCCTCCATCCACCTGTCCTCTCCCCTCCCCCTCTCTACCCTCCCCCAACCCTCCCGACCCCCCTGCTCCATCCCCTGCTGCCTCTCTCACTCCTTGGCCCTCCCCTCCCAATCCCGCTGCCCCTCCTGTACCTCCGTCCGCTCTCTGCTGCTCCCGCCCCTGCCCCACCCCCGAGGCCGAACCTGGAGGCGCGGCGCCCTGGGCCCGCGGCCTCCATTGGCTCTCCTGCTGCTGCCTGTGCCGTCTCCCCTCCCCGTCCTTGCCCGTGTGCTCCCCCTGCCGTCCCCTCTGCCCACCTATCCCTCGCTCCACCTGACCCTGCAGCTGGTGCTGTCCCCACTGTCCCCCGCCACCCGGCGATCCCGCCTCGCCTCTCTGCTCCCCCGCTCCCTCAGCCCGCGTCCCCTCTCCCACCACTGGTTGTCCCAGTAGTCTCGCTCGAGCCGCCTCCAACTGTGTGAACAGCGTAGAGTCCTCCACCTTTACCGCGAAGCCCGCCTCGACCGCAAAGTCTCGAAGCATGTACTTCACCGTGTCGTGGATGGTAGTGGCGACCCCGTAGCGCGGGCACCGAACCGCGTGATGAGGCACCGTCATGTCGTCAATCGCCTGTCCGCAGGAGCACTGACCTGCAAGGGCTAACTGGGGGATAGGGAGACCAAGACGAGAAGATGAAGCCGTCTGCCACAGCGCCTCCGGGATGCGCAGTGGGTCAGCGTACGGCACCGACGTCAACCACGCCCCTGCACCTCCGCCCTGAAGGGAGGTCAAACGGGCAAGGTGCAAGGGAGAGGCGTGACGGGCACGCACGGCCTCCAAGGCATGCGCCTCCAGAAGACGGCTCGCTCCTGCAAAAAGGGAATCGGGGGAGGCAGAAGCGCAAGAGGGCCAGGGGGGAAGGAGAGAGAGAACGTCAGGTGGGAGACCCTCTAGCGCCGTCTGCAGAGCCCGGTCGATCTGCTCTGGCTCACCTGAAGCGAAGCTCTGCCGAAACGCCTCGCCACACGCAGGGAGAGAACAGAGAATGGGAGCACACTGCACCCAGGAGCACACGAAACTCACCGGGGCAATGCGTGCCATGCGACAAATGCCGAAACCCCCGAGACGGATGGGGAGGAAGATCTGGTCTAGGGCGGCCTCTCGGACGTCCTCGCGACAAGCCCAGGTCCCTGAAGCTAAAAGCTGCTGAAATGTCTCTCCCAGGCGTGCGTCCCACCGTGTAAAACTAGAGATCACTGCGGGCGAAGGAGGGACGGTCCTCGACAGGTACTGCGGACGAGTGCTGACACACGCCGACAGAAGGCGGGCAGCTGTCTGGGGCTGGCGCAACCTTGGAAGCCAAGGTAGCACCCGCCCCATCCTCTCGAGACGATCCGGGAGACTCTGCTCCACGAACGAAACGGTGCCTACCGGTACGCCTGTCACGGTGAGCCCTCGGCGTGCGACCTCGATCCCTAGGCCCGTGAAGGCCTCCAGATCCCTGGACAGAAAGGACTCTGTCTGGTAGACGAGGCACTTGTGCGGCTGGGCTGCAAGGCCCATCTCGCCCAAGCGCCTCACAATCTCGGCAAAGTGGTGCAGCACCCTGTCTGGGGGACCTAGCACGTACGTGTCATCGGCGTACGACCAGAGCTGGACATCCCCCTCCACCAGAACTGGCTCCAAAGCAAGACGCTGTGCCAGAGCGTACAAGAAGGGGCTGAGAGGGTCTCCCTGGCGAGTGCCCCGCTCCGAGTGCATCGTGACCACTCCCGTGCCTGACCTGTAGTGGAGATCCGAGGGCGTCCCGTAGAAGAGGCCGATGAAGGGGATCAGGCACTGAAACTCCGGGCTGGCCTGCAGCGCCTGGAACATCCTGTCTCGGTGGAAGGAGTTAAAGGCATTCGCCACGTCTAGCTGCAAGACCACCCAGTCTGGGTGGTCAGCCAGAGCGCGGCGGACGCCTCTAACTACGACCTCTGTCCCGCACGTAACCCCCACCCCAAACTGCTGTGACGCCAAGAAGACCCTCGCCATCTGGTCACGTAGCTGGAGACAGACTGCACGAGAAAGAATGCGGACCAAAACCTCGCCGATGGCAATCGGCCGAACATCCATGTTCGACTTCGCCAGAGCCACGAGGGTGGAAGACGCTAGCAAGGAGCGCACAGCTGGAGCGCAACGGCCTCGAAGCCACTGCTGGTACACGGCAAGGAGGAAATGGAGACTCTGAGGGAAAGCTAGGAAAGTGTCTCGCAGGTGCTCAGCGACCCAACCGGACGGTCCTCTCGAAGAGCCCCGCGGAGCTGTGAAAATCGCGCGGTGTAAGTGATCCACCGAGAGCACGAGAGGGGACCCCTGGAAGCCTGACTGCCAAGCTGGGGTCGGCCTCTCCGCGTTGGGGTGCTTCGACTGCAGGCGCTGTATCGTCCCCTGTGTATTTGGGGCTGCCTCCGCGGACTCGAGAGCCGCGCACGCCCGTGAGGTCTCATTGCACGCAGCCAGACGAAGGCAACGTGCAATGCGGCGCTCATCTGCTGTAGAGGGATCGGTGGCGGTGCGTGACCGGTGACCTGTGCGCCGAGGAAGGGGTGTGCGACGGCCTAGTGCATCTGAGACTAGCTCAGCCCACTCACCTCGACCAAAGCGGGAGATGCGCGTTGCAATGGCAGCCGTGTGCGAGCGGTCGGGTGGCGTCGCTGGAACAAGGAAAAGAGTCGGCGCTGCAGCGAGGAGGAAGGTAGGGCCAGCAGCCTCCGGGTCCTGGGCAATGCGGACTAGGATCGCACTGAGGACGTCGAGATATCCTCCGCGGACCCTCTCCGGGACACGTCGGAGAGGGCGTGCATGGATACGCTCGGGCGAGAAGTACTCTGTCCAGTCCACCGAGTCGAGCGTCTGCCACTGTGCGTCGGTGAACTGTATCCCGGTTGCACGGGGCTGTGAGAGGGAAGGGATGATCGAGGCGGTATCATGGGCAGCCTGCGCCTTGCGAGCCGCGTCCGCAGGATGGTAGAAGGGAATGTGGTGCTGGAGCGCGCGTCGGTTTGCGAGAGAGCTCCTGCAGGTGGGGCAACTCACGACCTGGTCGGGTGATGTCGCCGTGTCGGCGGGGTCAATCGGGGCCGTGGCGTCGGAACTGGCTGTAGAGGGGACCCAGTGGGCGGCCTGAGCTCCGAGAGGATCGCCTGGGATGAGGGGAGGAGACGACTCACCCGCCCCGTGCGGGGGGGGTGTCAGCGAAGATAGAGGTGGTGTCGCACAGGATAGGGCCGGGCCTCGTGCCGGTACCGGTGTCGAAGCTGGGGAGGGGGGACGTGGAGGTGAGCCTGAAGTGTGTGCCGTGGTGTGCTCCTGCCCCTCGGCGGGGTGCGGTTCAAGTGACGGCTCTGCTACCCCAGGCGGAGGGGTCTCGGTAGGGGCGGATGCCTCATCCCTACTGCTGGTGACCTCCTGCGCCACGGGCTGAACGGGGGGAGGCGCCACCCCATCTAGGTGCGCGTGACATGGCCTCAGAACCTGGTCCGTCTCCATTGGGGTCGGGAGTGACGCGCCTGGCTGAGTGGCGGGGGGGATAAAAGAAGGGACAGACCGGGTGACCTCCGCATACGTCCGGGTCCGGTCCTGTGGGACTGGAAGGGTGGGGGCAGCCGGAGAGCTGCTCGGGCAGTGTATCGCCAGCAAATCTGAAATGCCAGCCCTCACCTCCTCTGGGGTCTCGAAGACCTGCCTGCCTGTGGGTGAGAGTAGGAGGGCTGGCAGGGTGGAGGGTGGAGTGGGGCGTGCTGGCTGAGCGGAGCTCGGGTGTGGACCCTGCCCTAGAAGGCCCCCTTGGCCCTCCCCAATCACCATGGGTTGCGGTGGGGGGTCGTCGACATGGAAGGGGTGGGAGGGATGGGAGGGAGAGTCGGTGGCGTCTTCCATGGGCGCATCCCTCAACCCGACGGCCTCCATCCCAGTAGCGATCGCGGCCACCGCCACCTGGGAGGGGGACACAGCACGAGAGGGGCAGAATGGGGGTGAGTGGGCTGGTCCGCTCCCATGGCCCTGTGGAGGTGCAGGAGCGGGGCGGGAGTGTAGGTTTGGTGGTCGGGCTGTAGAGGTAGGGCCTGGTAAGGGTTCAATGGGATGTGGGGTGGGGAGGGGCTCTTGGTGGGGGAGGGAGGGAGGGGGGAGTACGTGGGCTGACCCTCTGCCTCCTCTGCCCCTATTCTTCCGCCGGCGGCCAACCTGGTTGTCCGCGCCTGTTTGTGAAGGAAGGGGGGGCTGTGGGGCCAAAGGGGTGGGTGGAGGGAGGATGGGTGGTTCGCCAGGCGGGGGGTGCTCTGTGTGCATCCCCTCTCTCCTCGAAACATCCCCGTCCGTGGGAACAGATCGGGCAGGCTGTGTGTGGGGGGTGATGGCTGCCCAACGGGGCCACTCGTGGGGAACCCGGCCGGGAGAGGGGGTTGGAGGTGGGGGTCGAGGGGCTGGGCCAGTGTGGAGGTTAGAGCGAGGTACAAGCGGTGGGGGGAGAGAGATTTGTGTGGGCTCTGTGGTGGCCTCTCCTGTGGGTCCCTCTACCCGGGTGCCGTCGCTCCCATGAGCCTGGGGCGCAAGCCCTTGCGGGTGGGTCTCGGCTGCCTGGGGTGGGTGGTGTGAGGGGGGCAGCCTGTTGGGTGGGCGTGTTGGGGCTGTGCGGCGACTCGGGTGGTTTGGGTGCCTGTAGCGTGTGGGAGAGGGATTTGGCCGTAGAGATGCTTCAACCTCCGAGATGTGTGTACTGCCGGGTGGGGGGGAGCCTGGTGGAGGGGGGGGTAGTGGGCCGGTAGGGGGTGGCTGGGTGTTGGTAGGAGTCGGGGAGCATGGCTCCTCTAGGAAGGCCAGAGCCCTGGCTGCTCCACGTGGTGCTCTAAGGAGCCCCTGAGGGTGGGGGCAGAGGTGTGCTGCCCTTGGGGGTGAGGGAAGGAGTGAGGGAAGGGGCGGGGAGGGGTGAGAGGTGAGAGAAGGGGTGCCCTCGGGTGACTCTGCTCTGGTCGCACCCGCGTGCTCTCCCGGTGGACCGCCTGCAACCGTGGGGTCAGGCGTTGGGGGCCGGTTGAGAGGGGAAGTGTTGGCGGGTTGTAGTGGAGGTGGGGGGGGCGGGGGTGATGTAGTGGTGGGTGAGCAGGGTGTGGGGACAGGTGGTGGGCCAGAGGTGGGGAGGGCAGGGCAGAATTCCACGGGAGGTGGGGGTGGGCAGGTGGAGCCAAGTGGGGAAGGAAGGGTGGGGAACAGAGAGGAAGGGGCAAAGGGTAGTGGGTAGTCGAGTTGGCGTGGCCTGGTAGCGGGTAATGAGAAGGTTGGGAGGCGGGGGGTGAGAACGTGGGAGGGCCGAGAGGGCACCGAAAGGAGGCGCTGTGGTAAATGCAGAATAGGATGCGGGGCCGGGAAACAGGGGACAGAGGGAATTGGGGAATTGATGAAGGGTGATAACTGCGGATGGGCGAGCCCCAGGGGGGAGGAAATATGGAGGGTGTTGGAGAAGGGGGAGACTGGGGGGGGTTGGGGTAGGGTGTTGGAAGGCACAAGGGGCAGGAACAGGGGGTGCAGAGGTTGGCTGGGGGAGGGAGAGGCGGTCTGGTGCCGCGGAAAGGCGGACGGAGGTTGGGGACGGCACAGCACAGGGAGCAAAAGCAAGGGGTGTAGACCCTGGCTGGGGGTAGGAACGGCGGTGTGGAGTTAGGGAGAGGTAGAGGGAGGCTGGGGTAGGTGGCTGGATTGCGCAGGGAGCAGGGGCAGGGGGTGTAGAGATTGGATGGGGGTGGGAAAGGCGGCGTGGTGTCAGGTGGCGGCAGTTGGGTCGTCGAAGGGCCTGGCAGGGCAGGATGCAGAGGTGCAGCCCACGCTGGATGCGGAAGTAGCTGGGGGGGAAAAGGGAGGCTGGAGGGGGAGGTACGGCTCGTAGAGGTGTGGGGGGCAGAGTGGGAGTGGGGAAGGCAGGAGGGGGGGTGGAGGAGGGACGTTGTGGACAGGGGAGTGGGGGAACATGCGGGTGATGATAGGGAGAAGCCGGGGGGGGGAGAAGGGGGAGGTGGTATGAAGTGGGCAAGGGTGACGCACGGGCAGAGCGCGGCGGTACTAAGGGCAGGGAGACGGGGGGCTGGGGGGAGAAAAGCCTGCTTGGGGGCGTGGTGGGGGATAAGGGGAGAGGGGCGGTAATGCTGGTGGGCAAAAGGGGAGGGTGTGGTGCAGTATGATGAAACAGAATGGGGGGGTGGCGGACTGGATGGGGCCCTGGAGGGTTGGGAGAACAAGGTGTAAGCTGCCTTTCTGATTTCTCCTGGTTTTTTCCGATTTATATGAATTTCTTTTTTCTTTTCTTTTTTCCTTGAAGTTGTTTCCTCTTATTTCCTACGGTTTCCAGAGATAGGGCGGCCTCTGCTAGCTAAGCGCCGTTAGGGAAAGAGGTTAGGTGGCGGGGTGGCTAAAGCGCGCGTGTGAGGGGGAAAGGGGCGGTGTGAGCAGGAAGGTGAATATGTGGGTGGCGACGGGGTAAGATTACGGCGTGTGGGTGGCATGCACGAGTGCGCGACGAGGCATGGCAGGGTGGGAGTGAGCAAAGGGGGAGTGGGGCGGCTTGTGTGCCAAACGTGGGCGGCTAAAACGCTCTAGGCAGAAAACGCGCTTCGGGAGGCGCGCAAGGGGAGGGCTGCTTAAACGCTACGAACGCAGCAATTTCGCCTCCCTCCGCGCTGCCTTTCCCTGGCGGTAAGCGCCCCGTGCGCGGTTCCGTCTACGTCGCGGCTAGATTGAACGGGCGGGGAAAAACGAGTGCGTGACTAAACGTGATAGGCGACGAGAAAGCGTGCTTGAAAACAAGCGGCTCTTCGAATTAGGGTTTCGATAAAGAAGGGCGCACTGAAAGGGAAGGAAGAATGCTAACTACGGGCGTAAGCTAAGCTCAGTGACTTCGAAAGAGGGAAACTGCGGGAAGAAACTCGGAAGAATAGCAAAGCCGTGGGCAGAAAAGAGCGGGGGGATAAGGGAGAGTGTCGAGAGAGGGGATGGGCGGGAACACCGTGTCTGGCGGAGTTGTGGTTGTGAGTCGCGCGTGCTGTTGTTACACTCCGCGGGCGAACTTCGTGTCAACGCCCCACCTCCCATTACACCGGCTGCAGCGCGTCCGCAGCCTTCCCGCGATGGCGGGGTCGAACGAGCAGTTCCGTAACACCCTGCGAGTTCCGTTTCCGAGACTCCTGAGGGTCGCGCGCGAAACTCGCGACCCCCGTCCCGTCGAACTCGACAGTCGAAACAAGAAAACTAACCGTTAGAAACGCTTATAACTATAACCTAAACAACTATCACAATCACTTTGTCCTTAAGCAACTCGAAATAGTAGGTTTAGGAGGCTCCTTAGTAGGCAGCCATGGCTAGGTAAGCTAGGTCAAGGTAAGAGCGCCGGTGGGCGAGAGTAGTACTGGGCTGGGTGACCTCCCGGGAAGTCCTCGTGTTGTACCCATTTATGCCCCTTGCTCGGCACGTGCCGGGGGAGGGGCAAGCGGGAAAAAGAAAGGACGATTTTAGCGCGTCCGATTCTTTTCTTTTCGTTTTTTTGCCCAAACAACGACCCAGCGGGGTGGGGGGCCCCCGGGGAGGCTTGCCCATGCGAAGAAACACCCCGTGCGCCCTGTCCTCTGCCCCTAGCCTCTGTCCTTGCCTCTCAGCCATATTTAAGGCCTTCCTAAGGCCGTTCTCTTCTTCATTAGTTTGGCGGCTGGAATTTTCGCTCGCGCCGGCCGCCTTCGGCGGTCGTCGCTCGACGGCGCGGCCTTCGGCCGCGCGAGAGGTGTGGCAAGCGCAAACACAATCGAGTAACAATAAGCAACGACACGCATACACGCAATGGCTGGTCCTACTCGGAACTTGGAACAAATGGCATCAATTGGGCAGCAGGAGCCCGCATCTACATGCGGTGAGCTCCAAGGGCGTGAAGTACGCCCGTCAGGGAGCGCCACAGCTTCCGGACTACAAGCGTGCTTGCGCCGATCGCCGCGGCTCCAAACCCAGCGCGCAAATGCCGCTTCAAGCTCCGTACTGCCTCGTCTAGCTGTCCCACAGCAGCAGCGCCTCTCTCCGCGGGCGCAGCCAGCACAGGCGCCAGCAGCACGGCGAGCTGGTCCGCTGCATCCAAGCAAGTCTCGCGCGGACGGTCGGGGAACGTCTCTGGAGAGACCACAGGGAGCGAAGAATGGGCAAGGACCTGTATCAGCAGCAAAGCGTGGAGACTCTCGGCAAGACGGTGGAGCTGACCGAGAGTCGACTGAGGAACACGAGTTTGCGGAGGCTGAAGCGCCTCCACCAGGAACTGGTGCGGCTCATCAGCTGCACATTGAGCCGACCCCGCGACACCACCCGCGGCCACGAACTCCACCCCTGCAACAGGCGGAAGCGGCGGTAGCCGCAGACGGGAACCAGGAACGGGCGCCGAGGCGGGAGGAGACGGAGCAGACGGGGCGAGGACGGAAGGAAGGACGGCAGCTACCGGCGGAGGGGCTACAGGAGGCTCAAGGGGACGGGGAGCCTCAAGTGCTGGCGCGGCCTGCAGGGAACTGCTTTGACTCTGTGCCGCCCGCTCCTTGCGCACAGCCCGCGACACCTCCCGCTGGAGATCCGCCATCGTCACAGGCGGACGATACCTCCCGCCACCACCTCGACCGTAGGGGCCCCTCCAGCCCCCATTGCCACCAGGATGGGCAGGCCTGTGTGCCTGCTGCGGTTAGCGCTGGGGAGAATTGCGCCGGCGCCGCGACGTCTCGCGCTCCTGTTGGGGCGCAGGAGAATGGGGGCGGGACTGGCGGCGGTCCGGCGACGGGGGGCGAGACGACTGCACCCCAGGGACCGCCGGCGGCTGAGCAGGAGCAGCCGGGTCGGCGTCAGGAGGAGCATCCATCGGATCAGGGTCGTCAGTGGTGGCGGACGCCGCCTTCGGGGAAGAAGCAGACACAGGCACAGGCACGCCGGGGACCGAAGCAGACGGCACAACGAGCGCGCGACCAACGGGACCGGAGCGAGCAGCTGCTTCCCCAGCAGGCGCGGACACCACCGGTGGAACCGCAGGAGCCAGGTGCGCTGGAGCAGGAGCAGCGGACGGGACAGGCGGAGCCTCAGCGGGAGCAGACGGGCCAGCCGCCCCCCCCCCCCCCCCCCCCTGGGGAGCCACGGGTGCGGGGGGATGAATCTTTTCAGCGTCTGCTAACGAGGGTTTCGGAGCCGGCGGTAGAGGAGGTTTCGAGGCAGTGGTCGCCCTTTCGGGCTCCGACCGAGGCCTGGCGATGACAGCCGACCAGGCGGCAGCGAGCTCTGGCGACGGCTCGTCAGCAGCAGCAATCACCATCTCAAGCGCGGGGAACTCGTGGGACGGAACGGCAAACGGCAAGCGGGATTGGCGGAGGCCCGGAGAATGGTTACCAAGCAGCGGCTAGAGTGGCTTTAACTAATTTGACTACAGCGAATGATGAAGACGAGCGGCAGGATCCCTCTTATATAGAAGAAGCAGCACCTGCTAGCGAGGGCGAAGAGACAGTGGAAGAAGAAGGCAGGGCGAGAAGGAACACAGGCGGATTGACTGTGGTGAGGGAGCAAGCACACTTGGACACGCCCCGTGAGATACGCCCACCGCTCGATGCAGAACGGACGGAGGGGATTCCAACCTCCGCTCCCAGGGCGCGAGGGAATCGCCCAAGAGGAAATCGGCCAGCAGACATTGGGACTGCAACACGCCCAGCCGCTTCGGTCCCCCGCTATTTTTCGCCAGACGACCTCGCGAAGCGGGCAGACCTGTTCGTTGCAATCAGTGCTTGGGATATCACGGCCCTGTGCGACAGTCGCCAGCCTTCACTGTCGCGGCGCTTACCGCCAAATTTGTGTCAGCTGTTCTCACTCGCGATGCTGACGCCGTTACTACACCTCTCACGAGACCCCGAGTCAGAGGCAGGATGGCGCCTGCTGCTATTTCTCCCGCGCCTAACCCTTCGCCAGACCTCGCCTCGCCGCCCGAATCGGACCAAAATCAAAGCTCGTCTGCGAGCTTTCCAGCGTGGCGAATGGGAGCAATTGTATCAGGACGCGGTCGACGCGGTCAACATGCCACCTCTGCCCCGCCACCGTCCCGATGCGACAGGTGTGATCAGCCGGGCTGAGGGTCTAGCGAAACGTGGCAGCCTTCGAAGGGCCGTACTCGCCCTTGAGTCAACCCCTGTCTGCACTCCCAGCCAAGAAATTTTGGAAGAGCTGCGTCGGAAACACCCTCCAGCAGCGAGCGAAGGGGTCACCTGGCCAACCACGAGCGAGTCAACACTTTCAATCGCCCACGCGGAATTCGCCAAGATGTTGGGCAGATGCGAAAATGGAGTTGGAGCGGGGCCTTCTGGGATGACATTTGAGCATTTGCGCGACGCGTCATTCACAAACGCGTTGGTCCAACCCATCTGCACGCCTTGGTTAACACCATCCTGGGTGGAAATCTGCCAGGCCCGGTGGCGACCCTCTTGACCGCATCGCGGCTTATTGCTCTGGCCAAGCCGGGAGGAGGCGCTCGGCCAATCGCGATCGGCAAGTGTTTGACCAGGCTGGCAGCCAAGGCTGCCCTGATGGTGATGGGCGAAGCTGCCCGCGATTTCTTCCTCCCCCTTCAGTATGGAGTGGCAGTGCCAGGTGGCGCCGAAACCGTAATCCACGCGGCCAGAGCTTTTCTGGATTCCAACCCTAACAGCCTGGTATTGCAAGCGGACATACAAAACGCTTTCAACAGTATTTCGCGACAGGCCATCGCCACTGCGTTACACGCCCCCGAACTCTCGCCACTGCTGTCGCTCGTCAAACTAACCTACGGTAACCCGTCGCAGCTGTTCCTGGATTCCAACTACAACTCCGAACCACTGCACAGCGAACGCGGGGTTCGCCAGGGGGACCCACTTGGGCCACTACTGTTTGCAGCGGGGATTCATGCTACACTACGCGACACTGCAGATGCCCACGCTGGGGTACTTTGCTTGGCGTATGCGGACGACGTGACTTTCATAGGGGACTTTGAAGACACTGTAGCAGCATTTACACATTTCACGAGCAAGCTGTCGTGCCTGGGACTTGAGCACAACCCACACAAGTGCGCCGCCTGGAATTCGAGCGCAGTCCAAGCAGCACGCCTACCTCAAGGGGTCCCCTTAACCAAGGACAGCGTGCAATTACTTGGCAGTTTCATTGGGCCTGATAGCGGCGCGACGACTTTCCTAACTAGGCAGCTTGACGAGATGGCCAAGCCGCTAGGACTCATCGAACAGACAGACCCACAGGTTGCGGCACTTCTCATCACCCGCTGCATTTCGAGACGGGTCGCATACCTCACACGGACCACTCCTCTCAACCTCCTGCCCCGTGACAGATGGAGCCAGTGGGGTATGGACCTGCTCACCACGCTCCTCATTGCTTGTGACATCCGCACGCCGACCTGCAGGACGGAGCAGACGCGCATCTGGGAGCAGGCGTCGTTACCCCCATCACTAGGAGGCCTCGGAATCACTAATCCCCTCGTCGAAGGGGTTTACGGCTTCGCGGCGAGTTTTACCCAGGCAGCGTTATTCCTCAACGAACTCATGCTGGAAGAGGGGACCGCGCTCTCGTTGGCAAGGAATCATATGCTCCTCCCGCGCGACGTCAGCACTCCACTACACACATGGCTGAGGGGGTGTGAAGCCGCACTGCCAACAGACGCGCTGGAGGTTTTAGAGAAGGAGCGGCTGGAGCGTTCTGACATTCGGCTCCAGCACGTGCTCGGCCTGAAGGTGCACGGGAGCCGGTATGCCGTACAGGTGCAGGCGACGAGGCGAATGGAGTTGAACCCGCTAGCCGGACACACGCAGCAGATGTACTCCCTGACTGGATATGGCACGGGCGACTGGATTACGGCCATCCCAGTGGCTCCCACAAGGCGGATTGGGCCGGTGCATTTCGCCAATGCAGTGCGCTTCCGCCTCGCGCTCCCGTTTTCCACACCTAAAAACTGCGACTGCTCAGAGCACACGGCCATCATTGACCCCCGGCTCCCGAACCAACTTCTCCGGTGCGGCACGGGCAAGCACCGAACTAACACCCACAATGAGCTGCAGGACGCATGCGTAAGCATGGCGCAGGATGCGGGCTTTATAGTACACAGGGAGTCAACGGCCTACTGCCCCATCGAGGAACAAACGGCCGATTTCACAATGTCGGACAGGAGCAGTGGAGCGGTCTACATCTGTGACGTCACGGTCACTGACCCAATTAGCACTAGGGATCCAGAGGCTCAGAAAGGCAGAGGGTGGGCGGCACGTGAGCAGGCCGACAAGAAGATCAAGCACTATGCCAACCGCCCAGAGACCGTTGGCTTCTTACCCCTCGCAGTGGACACTTACGGCTGCCCGTGTGCTGAGGTTCCCGTATTCCTCAAGCTCCTGGCAGACTCGGCGGCCCGGAGGCACTTCAATGCCGACTCCAAATCATTCTATGCAGCCAAGTTCTTGCATCAGTTCCGGCAGCGTTGGTCCGTGGCCCTTCAACGAGCCCAATCCGTGGGGCTTCTGATGAAATTGGGTGAGGCTGCAGCAGCAGAGAATCCTCCTGTGGGGGGCATCGGCAATGAACTGCACCTGGGGGACTGTTTTGCGGTGGTGGAACCACTCCTGGAGATTTAGACTGGGGTATCAGTTGCAGAGGTAGCCTAGGAGATGTAGCCTAGGAGATGTTGCATCAGGTTTCATGTTGCTTGCTTTCTACCTTGCATGTGTGTACCTTCCGGCTCTATCAATACAAGGACCATTAGAGAGAGAGAGGGGGAGGGGGGGATTGAAGGGTGGGAGGGGGGCTGGTCGTGGGGATGGGCTGATGGTGGTAAGAGGGCAGCAGGGATGGGGAGAAGGGAGCGTAACGAGGGGAGAGCAAAGGGCAGGGGGGGAGGAAGGGAGGGGCAGGGAGGGAAGAGGCTGAACGTACAAAGGGGGGAAACGAGGGGCATGGATGATAGGAAACGAGGGCAGGGGTGTGGGAAATCAAGGGCAGGGAGGAGAGAAGCAATGGGTGAGGGGAAAACAAGGGAGGGGCAGACGGGGGGCAGGGAGGGAAGAAACGTGGGGCAGGGAGGGGAGAAGCCAAAGACAGGGGCATGGGCAGGCGGGGGCAGGGAGGGAGCAAAGGAGAGGCACGGAGAAAGAAAGGGAGGCGCGGGGAGGGGAGAAACCGGGCGTGGGGGGGGGGGCGGAAAATGAGGGGCAGGGCGGGGAGGAGGGAGGGGCAGGGAGGGGAGAAGCTGAGCACACGGAGGGGGGAAAGGTGAGGCAGGGAGGTAGGAAGCCAAGGACAAGGGGGGGGAGAGTGGGGGGGCAGGGAGAGGGGGGAGGTGGGGAGCGGGGAAAGGCGGCGAGGGGCAGGGAGGGGAGAAACCAAGCATAGGAGGGCGAGATACGAGGGGCAGGGTGCGGATTGAGGAGGGGCAGGGAGTGGAGTGGGTCGGCGAGGGGAAGGAAGAGGCGTGCAGCAGAGGAGGGGAGGGGGGAGGAGAAGGTAAAGGAGGGGAGCGCACGGGCGGGGAGGAGCGAATGGCGGGCGGTGGGAAACGGCGAGGGGGGGCAGGGAGGGTCAAAAGAGGTGGCAAGGGAGCGGGCACGCGGAGGGTAGGGGCGGGGGGAGCGGATGGCATGAGGGGGCAGGGGGTGTGACTATGAAGGGGGGGACCCGGGCAAGGGGTGTGTAGCGGTCGGGGCACGAGGTTGACGTGGTACGATCATACCTCGGCTACTACGCCGGATCCCATCAGAACTCCGAAGCTAAGCGCCGGTGGGCGAGAGCAGTTATTCATTAATAGGGGAAGAGCAAATACACGCAGAATATAATGGTTTTTCCAAGACTAGGAAATTTCGACATAGCCTAATCGCTATGAGGACGGTATATTTTGTAGGAAAAGGGGGAAAGAAAGGAAAGGAAGGAAGGATGAAGGAGTAAGAAGAAGTGGTAGGTAAAAGAAGAGGGTGGTAGGAAGAGAAGGGAAGGATAGAAGAAGGGAACTGAAAGAGGGAGGTGGGAAGAGAAGAGGAGAGAGGGAGAGAGACTAAGGAGGAGGAAGCACCAAAGGACCACAACACGGCAGCAACCCGCACGACCGCACGGGCACAGCGTTTCAAGCACAGCCACTATTGTTTTTTACACATATGCATCATATATATACTGCATATCAGCCACACTCTCGAAGCACCCCGTGACGTGGTGCCAAGTACCCTGCCCCGCACCCAGTGGGATTGGTGCGGGCATCCACCCGTCGTCGGATCTCCCTAACTGCCGCACCGCATGCTGGATCATGCATTGAGCCTGCGCGCGCTGCAGTGCAACGGAGAGGCGTGTAGTGAGTCCTACCTCAAATATCCGTGCCGATCCGTCATCCCCCCCACCTCTATCCCTCCTCCGCTGTGCTATCCTCTTTGCGCAGAGCCCCAGAAACTGACGCAGCGGCTCACTCAGAAGGCCAAAGGTCTCCGCCACGCACGCGTAGAAGTGTGGTGCCGGCTGCAGCCCCTCTAAATGCGGCCCCTAGTGCCGCAGCTTCTCCTGCACCCGCCTAGCTGCTGCCACTCCAATTTGTGTGGGGGTCGCCCGTCTCAGCTGCACGTTCCCCTCCCGCTGTGGATCCGCTATGGAGACATCCACAAGAACCATCAGACCCTGGCTAACGTCGTGGCAGGTGAGGTCTGGGATGCGGGAGGCCGTGCCTACACGACCTGTGTGTCCGACTGGTCCCTGCTGTTGCGCTGGCTGCTGCCCTGTCTGGTCCCTTGGTGCCTCCTCTCCGATCGTCTCTCTCCCCCTCTCCTCTCCTCCATCCACCTGTCCTCTCCCCTCCCCCTCTCTACCCTCCCCCAACCCTCCCGACCCCCCTGCTCCATCCCCTGCTGCCTCTTTCACTCCCTGGCCCTCCCCTCCCAATCCCGCTGCCCCTCCTGTACCTCCGTCCGCTCTCTGCTGCTCCCGCCCCTGCCCCACCTCCGAGGCTGAACCTGGAGGCGCGGCGCCCTGGGCCCGCGGCCTCCACTGGCTCTCCTGCTGCTGCCTGTGTTGTCTCCCCTCCCCGTCCTGGCCCGTCTGCTCCCCCTGCCGTCCCCTCTGCCCACCTATCCCTCGCTCCACCTGACCCCGCAGCTGGTGCTGTCCCCAATGTCCCCCGCCACCCGGCTGTCCCGCCTCGCCTCTCTGCTCCCCCGGTCCCTCAGCCCGTGTCCCCTCTCCCACCACTGGCTGTCCCAGTAGTCTCACTCGAGCCGCCTCCAACTGTGTGAACAGCGTAGAGTCCTCCACCTTTACCGCGAAGCCCGCCTCGACCGCAAAGTCTCGAAGCATGTACTTCACCGTGTCGTGGATGGTAGTGGCGACCCCGTAGGGCGGGCACCGGACCGCGTGATGAGGCACCGTCATGTCGTCAATCGCCTGTCCGCAGGAGCACTGACCTGCAAGGGCTAACTGGGGGATCGGGAGACCAAGACGAGAAGATGAAGCCGCCTGCCACAGCGCCTCCGGGATGCGCAGTGGGTCAGCGTACGGCACCGACGTCAACCACGCCCCTGCACCTCCGCCCTGAAGGGAAGTCAAACGGGCAAGGTGCAAGGGAGAGGCGTGACGGGCACGCACGGCCTCCAAGGCCTGCGCCTCCAGAAGACGGCTCGCTCCTGCAAAAAGGGAATCGGGGGAGGCAGAAGCGCAGGAGGGCCAGGGGGGAAGGAGAGAGAGAACGTCAGGTGGGAGACCCTCTAGCGCCGTCTGCAGAGCCCGGTCGATCTGCTCTGGCTCACCTGAAGCGAAGCTCTGCCGAAACACCTCGCCACACGCAGGGAGAGAACAGAGAATGGGAGCACACTGCACCCAGGAGCACACGAAACTCACCGGGGCAATGCGTGCCATGCGACGAATGCCGAAACCCCCGAGACGGATGGGGAGGAAGATCTGGTCTAGGGCGGCCTCTCGGACGTCCTCGCGACAAGCCCAGGTCCCTGAAGCTAAAAGCTGCTGAAATGTCTCTCCCAGGCGTGCGTCCCACCATGTAAAACTAGAGATCACTGCGGGCGAAGGAGGGACGGTCCTCGACAGGTACTGCGGACGAGTGCTGACACACGCCGACAGAAGGCGGGCAGCTGTCTGGGGCTGGCGCAACCTCGGAAGCCAAGGTAGCACCCGCCCCATCCTCTCGAGACGATCCGGGAGACTCTGCTCCACGAACGAAACAGTGCCTACCGGTACGCCTGTCATGGTGAGCCCTCGGCGTGCGACCTCGATCCCTAGGCCCGTGAAGGCCTCCAGATCCCTGGACAGAAAGGACTCTGTCTGGTAGACGAGGCACTTGTGCGGCTGGGCTGCAAGGCCCATCTCGCCCAAGCACCTCACGATCTCGGTAAAGTGGTGCAGCACCCTGTCTGGGGGACCTAGCACGTACGTGTCATCGGCGTACGACCAGAGCTGGACATCCCCCTCCACCAGAACCGGCTCCAAAGCAAGACGCTGTGTCAGAGCGTACAAGAAGGGGCTGAGAGGGTCTCCCTGGCGAGTGCCCCGCTCCGAGTGCATCGTGACCACTCCCGTGCCTGACCTGTAGTGGAGATCCGAGGGCGTCCCGTACTGAAACTCCGGGCTGGCCTGCAGCGCCTGGAACATCCTATCTCGGTGAAAGGAGTTAAAGGCATTCGCCACGTCTAGCTGCAGGACCACCCAGTCTGGGTGGTCAGCCAGAGCGCGGCGGACGCCTCTAACTACGACCTCTGTCCCGCACGTAACCCCCACCCCAAACTGCTGTGACGCCAAGAAGACCCTCGCCATCTGGTCACGTAGCTGGAGACAGACTGCACGAGAAAGAATGCGGACCAAAACCTCGCCGATGGCAATCGGCCGAACATCCATGTTCGACTTCGCCAGAGCCACGAGGGTGGAAGACGCTAGCAAGGAGCGCGCAGCTGGAGCGCAACGGCCTCGAAGCCACTGCTGGTACACGGCAAGGAGGAAATGGAGACTCTGAGGGAAAGCTAGGAAAGTGTCTCGCAGGTGCTCAGCGACCCAACCGGACGGTCCTCCCGAAGAGCCCCGCGGAGCTGTGAAGATCGCGCGGCGTAAGTGATCCACCGAGAGCACGAGAGGGGACCCTTGGAAGCCAGACTGCCAAGCTGGGGTCGGCCTCTCCGCGTTGGGGTGCTTCGACTGCAGGCGCTGTATCGTCCCCTGTGTATCTGGGGCTGCCTCCGCGGACTCGAGAGCCGCGCACGCCCGTGAGGTCTCGTTGCACGCTGCCAGACGAAGGCAACGTGCAATGCGGCGCTCATCTGCTGTAGAGGGATCGGTGGCGGTGCGTGACCGGTGACCTGTGCGCTGAGGAAGGGGTGTGCGACGGCCTAGTGCATCTGAGACTAGCTCAGCCCACTCACCTCGACCAAAGCGGGAGATGCGCGTTGCAATGGCAGCCGTGTGCGAGCGGTCGGGTGGCGTCGCTGGAACAAGGAAAAGAGTCGGCGCTGCAGCGAGGAGGAAGGTAGGGCCAGCAGCCTCCGGGTCCTGGGCAATGCGGACTAGGATCGCACTGAGGACGTCGAGATATCCTCCGCGGACCCTCTCCGGGACACGTCGGAGAGGGCGTGCATGGATACGCTCGGGCGAGAAGTACTCTGTCCAGTCCACCGAGTCGAGCGTCTGCCACTGTGCGTCGGTGAACTGTATCCCGGTTGCACGGGGCTGTGAGAGGGAAGGGATGATCGAGGCGGTATCATGGGCAGCCTGCGCCCTGCGAGCCGCGTCTGCAGGATGGCAGAAGGGAATGTGGTGCTGGAGCGCGCGTCGGTTCGCGAGAGAGCTCCTGCAGGTGGGGCAACTCACGACCTGGTCGGGTGATGTCGCCGTGTCGGCGGGGTCGATCGGGGCCGTGGCGTCGGAACTGGCTGTAGAGGGGACCCCGTGGGCGGCCTGAGCTCCGAGAGGATCGCCTGGGACGAGGGGAGGAGACGACTCACCAGCCCCGTGCGGGGGGGGTGTCAGCGAAGATAGAGGTGGTGTCGCACAGGATAGGGCCGGGCCTCGTGCCGGTACCGGTGTCGAAGCTGGGGAGGGGGGACGTGGAGGTGAGCCTGAAGTGTGTACCGTGGTGTGCTCCTGCCCCTCGGCGGGGTGCGGTTCAAGTGACGGCTCTGCTACCCCAGGCGGAGGGGTCTCGGTAGGGGCGGATGCCTCATCCCTACTGCTGGTGACCTCCTGCGCCACGGGCTGAACGGGGGGAGGCGCCACCCCCTCTAGGTGCGCGTGACACGGCCTCAGAACCCGGTCCGTCTCCATTGGGGTCGGGAGTGACGCGCCTGGCTGAGTGGCGGGGGGGATAAAAGAAGGGACAGACCGGGTGACTTCCGCATACGTCCGGGTCCGGTCCTGTGGGACTGGAAGGGTGGGGGCAGCCGGAGAGCTGCTCGGGCGGTGTATCACCAGCAAATCTGAAATGCCAGCCCTCACCTCCTCTGGGGTCTCGAAGACCTGCCTGCCTGTAGGTGAGAGTAGGAGGGCTGGCAGGGTAGAGGGTGGAGTGGGGCTTGCTGGCTGAGCGGAGCTCGGGTGTGGACCCTGCCCTAGAAGGCCCCCTTGGCCCTCCCCAATCACCATGGGTTGCGGTAGGGGGTCGTCGACATGGAAGGGGTGGGAGGGATGGGAGGGGGAGTCGGTGGCGTCTTCCATGGGCGCATCCCTCAACCCGACGGCCTCCATCCCCGTAGCGATCGCGGCCGCCGCCACCTGGGAGGGGGACACAGCAAGGGAGGGGCAGAATGGGGGAGAGTGGGCTGGTCCGCTCCCATGGCCCTGTGGAGGTGCAGGAGCGGGGCGGGAGTGTGGGTTTGGTGGTCGGGCTGTAGCGGTAGGGCCTGGTAAGGGTTCAACGGGATGCGGGGTGGGGAGGGGCTCTTGGTGGGGGAGGGAGGGAGGGGGGAGTACGTGGGCTGACCCTCTGCCTCCTCTGCCCCTGTTCTTCCGCCGGCGGCCAACCTGGTTGTCTGCGCCTGTTTGTGAAGGAAGGGGGGGCTGTGGGGCCAAAGGGGTGGTTGGAGGGAGGATGGGTGGTTCGCCGGGCGGGGGGTGCTCTGTGTGCATCCCCTCTCTCCTCGAGGCATCCCCCTCCGTGGGGACAGATCGGGCAGGCTGTGTGTGGGGGGTGATGGCTGCCCAACGGGGCCACTCGTGGGGAACCCGGCCGGGAGGGGGGGTTGAAGGTGGGGGTCGAGGGGCTGGGCCAGTGTGGAGGTTAGAGCGAGGTACAAACGGTGGGGGGAGAGAGGTTTGTGTGGGCTCTGTGGTGGCCTCTCCTGTGGGCCCCTCTACCCGGGTGCCGCCGCTCCCATGAGCCTGGGGCGCAAGCCCTTGCGGGTGGGTCTCGGCTGCCTGGGGGGGGTGGTGTGAGGGGGGCAGCCTGTTGGGTGGGCGTGTTGGGGCTGTGCGGCGACTCGGGTGGTTTGGGTGCCTGTAGCGTGTGGGAGAGGGATTTGGCCGCAGAGATGCTTCAACCTCCGAGATGTGTGTACTACCGGGTGGGGGGGGGCCTGGTGGAGGGGGGGGTAGTGGGCCGGTGGGGGGTGGCTGGGTGTTGGTAGGGGTCGGGGAGCATGGCTCCTCTAGGAAGGCCAGAGCCCTGGCTGCTCCACGTGGTGCTCTAAGGAGCCCCTGAGGGTGGGGGCAGAGGTGTGCTGCCCTTGGGGGTGAGGGGAGGAGTGAGGGAAGGGGCGGGGAGGGGTGAGAGGTGAGAGAAGGGGTGCCCTCGGGTGACTCTGCTCTTGTCGCACCCGCGTGCTCTCCCGGTGGACCGCCTGCAACCGTGGGGTCAGGGGTTGGGGACGGAGAGGGGGGCTGGCCATGGAGCAACGTGGGGGTCGGGGAGCACGGCTCCGCCAAGAAGGCCAGGGCCTTGGCTGCCCCCCTGGATACTACCGGGACCTGAGGGTGGGGGTGGGGAAATGGTGCTCCTGGGGGTGGGTGGGCTGGTGGACGGGAGGTGAGGATGGGGGCTCCCTCGTGCGGCTCTGTCCTCAAGGTCTCCCCCAGCCCCTCCATCGGTCCTTCTGCTAGCATGTGGACGGGCATGGGGGGTAGAGGGGGAACCTCGACGTGAGGCTGCAGGGGGGCCGGGTCGGCCTCACCGTCAGGCGTGAGGTATTGGGCCAGTGGCCCGTCAATGTGCATCACATCCTCTCCCTCATCCTCGTCTATCGCTATCACATCCCCCTCTTCCGTGCCCACCCCGGTCGGGACCACACTCACCTCTCCTTCCCCTGTTGCCCCTATGTCCCCCCGAGCCCACCCCGCCTGCTGCCGCTTTACTGCTAGCCCCTTTTGCGGTCTCTGCCGGCCCTGCTGTGTGTTTCCCCGCGTTTGCTGCGGCCCCTGCCGCCCCTACTGGCCGTGCTATGGCCCTCCCTGCTGCTTCAGCTGCAGCCTCACCTTCTGCCTTTGAGGCCACTGCTGTCCCTTCTCCCACTCTAGCCCCTGCCGTACCCTCTCTTGCTACAACCGAGGCAGCACTCTCCCTCGCACCAGTCCCCGTTACCCCCTTCCCCGCTGCACCCGTAGCACCTCCCCCTGTACCGGCCCCCACTGTGGCCTCTGTCGCTCCTGCTGCAGTCCTTGCAGCCTCGACTGCTGCAGTCTGTAGAACCTCACCTGCCGTAATCTGCTCAGCCTCACCAGCCGCGGTCCCTGCAGCCTTGCCTGCCGCGGTCCCTGCAGCCTCACGTGCAGCAGTCCCTGCAGCCTCACCTGCTGCAGTCCCTGCGGCCTCACCTGCTGCAGTCTGTGCGGCCTCACCTGCTAGAATCTGCTCAACCTCAACTGCTGCGGCTATTTCAGCCTCACCTGCTGCGCTCCCTGCGGCCTCACCTGCCCTGGTCCCGCCTGCAGCCTCATCCGCTGTGGTCCCTGCAGCCTCACCTGCTGCAGTCCCTGCTGCCTCACCTATTGCAGTCCCTGCGACCTCACCAGCTGTAGACTGTACAGCCTCACCTGCTAGAGTCTGCCTAACCTTACATGCTGCAGCCCTCGCAGCCTCACCTGCTGCGTCCGCCGCAGCCTCACCTGCTGCGGCCCCTGCAGCCCCGCCTGCTGCGCTCCCCGCAGCCTCGCCTGCTGCGCTCCCTGCAGCCTCGCCCGCTGCGCTCCCTGCGGCCTCACCTGCTGCGCTCTCTGCAGCCTCACCTGCTGCGCTCCCTACAGCCTCACCTGCTGCGCTCCCTGCAGCCTCACCTACTGCGCTCTCTGCGGCTTCACCTGCCATGGTCCCTCCTGCAGCCTCACCCGTTGTGATCCCTGCAGCCACACCTGCTGTGGTCTGTGCGGCCTCGCCTGGTGCGGTCCCTATAGCCTCCTCTGCTGCGGTTCCCCCAGCCGACACAGCTGCAGGTTCCGTGGCCCCTACTCCTGCAAAACCTGTCTCCATGGCCTCTGCCCTTTGCCTGGCCAGAGTCACGGTCCCTGCCGCCCCTTCCCGTGCAGCCTCTGCCGCCCTTTCCCGTGCAGCCGCTGCTGCCCCTTCCCTTGCAGCCTCTGCTGCCCTTTCCTCTGCAACCTCTGCTGCCCCTTCCCCCACAACCCCCATTGCCCCTTCCCGTGCAGCCTTTGCTGCCCCATCCTCTGCAGCCTTTGCTGCTCCTTCGCACACACATTCACTTACCCCTTCCCGTGCAGTGTTAGCTGCAAGTTCCCCCCTGGCTCTGCCCCCTCCCGCTTCTATGTGCTTGGGGGTGCTAGTAGGATTAAGTGTTTTCACAAGTAATCTGGTTTGTGAATGGGAAGTAGCGAGTGAGTTGGGGGATCTCTCCACTTGGCATGCATGGGTGCCGTCCCCGCAGTCACCTGAAGGGGGGGTAGGCTGGGATGGGGCCGCGGGGGTAGGGCGCGGTTTTGAGCGTGCTGGCTCCTCCTTGTGTATTTCCTCCAGTGGGGCTTGGCGTTCCTCTGTTCCATCCTCTTCAAGGGTACGCTTCTGGCCCCTAGGGTCAGATTGTGTGAGTGTTTTCGCTTGGTCAGGTGTGTGTTGTTTCTTCCTGACTGTTGAAGTGGGGGGAGTGGGAGAGTAGGGGGTGGCTCGGCTGCGGGACCTCCTAGATCGCCGAGGGGCTCCCGGGTCTGCCTTTTCCCCACTCGCGGGGTGCTGGGGCATTGTTACAGAGGCAGCATGCCTGGCGGTGGCGGCGTGAGTTGCTGGAGTTGGCTCAAGAGGGCGTCAAAGGGGGAAGGAACTCCCTGGCAGAGGCCGGGGTGCGGGGGGTTAGCTTGGGGAAATGGAAAAAGGGTGGGGAAAGCGGTGCGTAGTGGGTGAAAGAGAGGGTAGAGGGGGCCTGACAGTTGGAGGGGATTGGGGCCCAAGGGGGGGGCGGGCTGGGGGCCGGTTGAGAGGGGAAGTGTTGGCGGGCTGTAGTGGAGGTGGGGGGGCGGGGGTGATGTAGTGGTGGGTAAGCAGGGTGTGGGGACAGGTGGTGGGCCAGAGGTGGGGAGGGCAGGGCAGAATTCCACGGGAGGTGGGGGTGGGCAGGTGGAGCCAAGTGGGGAAGGAAGGGTGGGGAACAGAGAGGAAGGGGCAAAGGGTAGTGGGTAGTCGAGTTGGCGTGAGCCTGGTAGCGGGTAATGAGAAGGTTGGAAGGCGGGGGGTGAGAACGTGGGAGGGCCGAGAGGGCACCGAAAGGAGGCGCTGTGGTAAATGCAGAAAAAGATGCGGGGCCGGGAAACAGGGGACAGAGGGAATTGGGGAATTGATGAAGGGTGATACCTGCGGATGGGCGAGCCCCAGGGGGGAGGAAATATGGAGGGTGTTGGAGAAGGGGGAGACTGGGGGGGGTTGGGGTAGGGTGTTGGAAGGCACAAGGGGCAGGAACAGGGGGTGCAGAGGTTGGCTGGGGGAGGGAGAGGCGGTCTGGTGCCGCGGAAAGGCGGACGGAGGTTGGGGACGGCACAGCACAGGGAGCAAAAGCAAGGGGTGTAGACCCTGGCTGGGGGTAGGAACGGCGGCGTGGAGTTAGGGAGAGGTAGAGGGAGGCTGGGGTAGGTGGCTGGATTGCGTAGGGAGCAGGGGCAGGGGGTGTAGAGATTGGATGGGGGTGGGAAAGGCGGCGTGGTGTCAGGTGGCGGCAGTTGGGTCCTCGGAGGGCCTGGCAGGGCAGGATGCAGAGGTGCAGCTCACGCTGGATGCGGAAATAGCTGGGGGGGAAAAGGGAGGCTGGAGGGGGAGGTACGGCTCGTAGAGGTGTGGGGGACAGAGTGGGAGTGGGGAAGGCAGGAGGGGGGGTGGAGGAGGGACGTTGTGGACAGGGGAGTGGGGGAACATGCGGGTGATGATAGGGGGAAGCCGGGGGAGGGAGAAGGGGGAGGTGGTATGAAGTGGGCGAGGGTGACGCACGGGCAGAGCGCGGCGGTACTAAGGGCAGGGAGACTGGGGGCTGGGGGGAGAAAGGCCTGCTTGGGGGCGTGGTGGGGGATAAGGGGAGAGGGGCGGTAATGCTGGTGGGCAAAAGGGGAGGGTGTGGTGTAGTATGATGAAACGGAATGGGGGGGTGGCGGACTGGATGGGGCCCTGGAGGGTTGGGAGAACAAGGTGTAAGCTGCCTTTCTGATTTTTCCTGGTTTTTACCGATTTATATGAATTTCTTTTTTCTTTTCTTTTTTCCTTGAAGTTGTTTCCTCTTATTTCCTACGGTTTCCAGAGACAGGGCGGCCTCTGCTAGCTAAGCCCCGTTAGGGAAAGAGGTTAGGTGGCGGGGTGGCTAAAGCGTGCGTGTGAGGGGGAAAGGGGCGGTGTGAGCAGAGAGGTGACTATGAGGGTGGCGACGGGGTAAGATTACGACGTGTGGGTGGCATGCACGAGTGCGCGACGAGGCATGGCAGGGTGGGAGTGAGCAAAGGGGGAGTGGGGCGGCTTGTGTGCCAAACGTGGGCAGCTAAAACGCTCTAGGCAGAAAACGTGCTTCGGGAGGCGCGCAGGGGGAGGGCTGCTTAATCGCTACGAACGTAGCGATTGCGCCTCCCTCCGCGCTGCCTTTCCCTGGCGGTAAGCGCCCCGTACGCGGTTCCGTCTACGTCGCGGCTAGATTGGACGGGCGGGGAAAACGAGTACGTGACTAAACATGATAAGCGACGAGAAAGCGTGCTTGGAAATGCGCGGCTCTTCGAATTAGGGTTTCGAAAAAGAAAAAAAAAAAAGGGCGCACCAAAAGGGAAGGAAGAGTGCTAACTACGGGCGGAAGCTAAGCTCAGTGACTTCGAGAGAGGGAAACCGCGGGAAGAGACTCGGTATTTGCTAATCGCTTCGAATAGCAAAGCCGTGGGCAGAAAAGAGCGGGGGGATAAGGGAGAGTGTCAAGAGAGGGGATGGGAGGGAACACCGTGTCTGGCGGAGTTGTGGTTGTGAGTCGCGCGCGCTGTTACACTCCGCGGGCGAACTTCGCGTCAACGCCCCACCTCCCGTTACACCGGCTGCAGCGCGTCCGCAGCCTTCCCGCGATGGCGGGGTCGAACGAGCGGTTCAGTAACACCCCGCGAGTTCCGTTTCCGAGACTCCTGAGGGTCGCACGCGAAACTCGCGACCCCCGTCCCGTCGAACTCGACAGTCGAAACTAAAAAACTAACCGTTGGAAACGCTTATAACTATAACATAAACAACTATCACAATCACTTTGTCCTTAAGCAACTCGAAATAGTAGGTTTAGGAGGCTCCTTAGTAGGCGGCCATGGCTAGGTAAGCTAGGTCAAGGTAAGAGCGCCGGTGGGCGAGAGCAGTACTGGGCTGGGTGACCTCCCGGGAAGTCCTCGTGTTGTACCCATTTATGCCCCTTGCTCGGCACGTGCCGGGGGAGGGGCAAGCGGGAAAAAGAAAGGACGATTTTAGCGCGTCCGATTCTTTCATTTTCGTTTTTTTGCCCAAACAACGACCCAGCGGGGTGGGGGGCCCCCGGGGAGGCTTGCCCGTGCGAAGAAACGCCCCGTGCGCACCATGGGGGGGAAACCAGTTGCACGGAGGTGGGAGGTGAGGGGCGTGCGAGGGGGTGGGAAAGGGGCAGGGAGGGGCAGAATGGGAGGATGTACGTGGGGGGGTGGGGGGGGGGGAGTGTGCGTGTGTGTGTGTGTGAGAAAGAGAGAGAGAGAGAGAGAGAGAGGGAGGGGGGGATTGAAGGGTGGGAGGGGGGCTGGTCGTGGGGATGGGCTGATGGTGGTAAGAGGGCAGCAGGGATGGGGAGAAGGGAGCGTAACGAGGGGAGAGCAAAGGGCAGGGGGGGAGGAAGGGAGGGGCAGGGAGGGAAGAGGCTGAACGTACAAAGGGGGGAAACGAGGGGCATGGATGATAGGAAACGAGGGCAGGGGTGTGGGAAATCAAGGGCAGGGAGGAGAGAAGCAATGGGTGAGGGGAAAACAAGGGAGGGGCAGACGGGGGGCAGGGAGGGAAGAAACGTGGGGCAGGGAGGGGAGAAGCCAAAGACAGGGGCATGGGCAGGCGGGGGCAGGGAGGGAGCAAAGGAGAGGCACGGAGAAAGAAAGGGAGGCGCGGGGAGGGGAGAAACCGGGCGTGGGGGGGGGCGGAAAATGAGGGGCAGGGCGGGGAGGAGGGAGGGGCAGGGAGGGGAGAAGCTGAGCACACGGAGGGGGGAAAGGTGAGGCAGGGAGGTAGGAAGCCAAGGACAAGGGGGGGGGAGAGTGGGGGGGCAGGGAGAGGGGGGAGGTGGGGAGCGGGGAAAGGCGGCGAGGGGCAGGGAGGGGAGAAACCAAGCATAGGGGGGCGAGATACGAGGGGCAGGGTGCGGATTGAGGAGGGGCAGGGAGTGGAGTGGGTCGGCGAGGGGAAGGAAGAGGCGTGCAGCAGAGGAGGGGAGGGGGGAGGAGAAGGTAAAGGAGGGGAGCGCACGGGCGGGGAGGAGCGAATGGCGGGCGGTGGGAAACGGCGAGGGGGGGCAGGGAGGGTCAAAAGAGGCGGCAAGGGAGCAGGCACGCGGAGGGTAGGGGCGGGGGGAGCGGATGGCATGAGGGGGCAGGGGGTGTGACTATGAAGGGGGGGACCCGGGCAAGGGGTGTGTGGCGGTCGGGGCACGAGGTTGACGTGGTACGATCATACCTCGGCTACTACGCCGGATCCCATCAGAATTCCGAAGCTAAGCGCCGGTGGGCGAGAGCAGTACTGGGCTGGGTGACCTCCTGGGAAGTCCTCGTGTTGTACACATTTATGCCCCTTGCTCGGCACGTGCCGGGGGAGGGGCAAGCGGGAAAAAGAAAGGACGATTTTAGCGCGTCCGATTCTTTCATTTTCGTTTTTTTGCCCAAACAACGACCCAGCGGGGTGGGGGGCCCCCGGGGAGGCTTGCCCGTGCGAAGAAACGCCCCGTGCGCACCATGGGGGGGAAACCAGTTGCACGGAGGTGGGAGGTGAGGGGCGTGCGAGGGGGTGGGAAAGGGGCAGGGAGGGGCAGAATGGGAGGATGTAGGTGGGGGGGGGGTGGGGGAGGGGAGTGTGCGTGTGTGTGTGTGTGTGAGAAAGAGAGAGAGAGAGAGAGAGAGAGGGAGGGGGGGATTGAAGGGTGGGAGGGGGGCTGGTCGTGGGGATGGGCTGATGGTGGTAAGAGGGCAGCAGGGATGGGGAGAAGGGAGCGTAACGAGGGGAGAGCAAAGGGCAGGGGGGGAGGAAGGGAGGGGCAGGGAGGGAAGAGGCTGAACGTACAAAGGGGGGAAACGAGGGGCATGGATGATAGGAAACGAGGGCAGGGGTGTGGGAAATCAAGGGCAGGGAGGAGAGAAGCAATGGGTGAGGGGAAAACAAGGGAGGGGCAGACGGGGGGCAGGGAGGGAAGAAACGTGGGGCAGGGAGGGGAGAAGCCAAAGACAGGGGCATGGGCAGGCGGGGGCAGGGAGGGAGCAAAGGAGAGGCACGGAGAAAGAAAGGGAGGCGCGGGGAGGGGAGAAACCGGGCGTGGGGGGGGCGGAAAATGAGGGGCAGGGCGGGGAGGAGGGAGGTGCAGGGAGGGGAGAAGCTGAGCACACGGAGGGGGGAAAGGTGAGGCAGGGAGGTAGGAAGCCAAGGACAAGGGGGGGGGAGAGTGGGGGGGGGCAGGGAGAGGGGGGAGGTGGGGAGCGGGGAAAGGCGGCGAGGGGCAGGGAGGGGAGAAACCAAGCATAGGGGGGCGAGATACGAGGGGCAGGGTGCGGATTGAGGAGGGGCAGGGAGTGGAGTGGGTCGGCGAGGGGAAGGAAGAGGCGTGCAGCAGAGGAGGGGAGGGGGGAGGAGAAGGTAAAGGAGGGGAGCGCACGGGCGGGGAGGAGCGAATGGCGGGCGGTGGGAAACGGCGAGGGGGGGCAGGGAGGGTCAAAAGAGGCGGCAAGGGAGCGGGCACGCGGAGGGTAGGGGCGGGGGGAGCGGATGGCATGAGGGGGCAGGGGGTGTGACTATGAAGGGGGGGACCCGGGCAAGGGGTGTGTAGCGGTCGGGGCACGAGGTTGACGTGGTACGATCATACCTCGGCTACTACGCCGGATCCCATCAGAACTCCGAAGCTAAGCGCCGGTGGGCGAGAGCAGATATTCATTAATAGGGGAAGAGCAAATACAAGCCGAATATAATGGTTTTTCCAAGACTAGGAAATTTTGACATAGCCTTATCGCTATGAGGACGGTATATATATTTTGTAGGAAAAGGGGGAAAGAAAGGAAAGGAAGGAAGGATGAAGGAGTAAGAAGAAGTGGTAGGGAAAAGAAGAGGGTGGGAGGAAGAGAAGGGAAGGATAGAAGAAGGGAACTGAAAGAGGGAGGTGGGAAGAGAAAAGGAGAGAGGGAGAGAGACTAAGGAGGAGGAAGCACCAAAGGACCACAACACGGCAGCAACCCGCACGACCGCACGGGCACAGCGTTTCAAGCACAGCCACTATTGTTTTTTACACATATGCATCATATATATACTGCATATCAGCCACACTCTCGAAGCACCCTGTGACGTGGTGCCAAGTACCCTGCCCCGCACCCAGTGGGACTGGTGCGGGCATCCACCCGTCGTCGGATCTCCCTAACTGCCGCACCGCATGCTGGATCATGCATTGAGCCTGCGCGCGCTGCAGTGCAACGGAGAGGCGTGTAGTGAGTCCTGCCTCAAATATCCGTGCCGATCCGTCATCCCCCCCACCTCTATCCCTCCTCCGCTGTGCTATCCTCTTTGCGCAGAGCCCCAGAAACTGACGCAGCGGCTCACTGAGAAGGCCAAAGGTCTCCGCCACGCTCGCGTAAAAGTGTGGTGCCGGCTGCAGCCCCTCCAAATGCGGCCCCCAGTGCCGCAGCTTCTCCTGCACCCGCCTAGCTGCTGCCACTCCAATTTGTGTGGGGGTCGCCCGTCTCAGCTGCACGTTCCCCTCCCGCTGTGGATCCGCTATGGAGACATCCACAAGAACCATCAGACCCTGGCCAACGTCGCGGCAGGTGAGGTCTGGGATGCGGGAGGCGGTGCCTACACGGCCTGTGTGTCCGACTGGTCCCTGCTGTTGCGCTGGCTGCTGCCCTGTCTGGTCCCTTGGTGCCTCCTCTCCGATCGTCTCTCTCCCCCTCTCCTCTCCTCCATCCACCTGTCCTCTCCCCTCCCCCTCTCTACCCTCCCCCAACCCTCCCGACCCCCCTGCTCCATCCCCTGCTGCCTCTCTCACTCCCTGGCCCTCCCCTCCCAATCCCGCTGCCCCTCCTGTACCTCCGTCCGCTCTCTGCTGCTCCCGCCCCTGCCCCACCTCCGAGGCCGAACCTGGAGGCGCGGCGCCCTAGGCCCGCGGCCTCCACTGGCTCTCCTGCTGCTGCCTGTGTTGTCTCCCCTCCCCGTCCTGGCCCGTCTGCTCCCCCTGCCGTCCCCTCTGCCCACCTGTCCCTCGCTCCACCTGACCCCGCAGCTGGTGCTGTCCCCAATGTCCCCCGCCACCCGGCTGTCCCGCCTCGCCTCTCTGCTCCCCCGGTCCCTCAGCCCGCGTCCCCTCTCCCACCACTGGCTGTCCCAGTAGTCTCGCTCGAGCCGCCTCCAACTGTGTGAACAGCGTAGAGTCCTCCACCTTTACCGCGAAGCCCGCCTCGACCGCAAAGTCTCGAAGCATGTACTTCACCGTGTCGTGGATGGTAGTGGCGACCCCGTAGCGCGGGCACCGGACCGCGTGATGAGGCACCATCATGTCGTCAATCGCCTGTCCGCAGGAGCACTGACCTGCAAGGGCTAACTGGGGGATCGGGAGGCCAAGACGAGAAGATGAAGCCGCCTGCCACAGCGCCTCCGGGATGCGCAGTGGGTCAGCGTACGGCACCGACGTCAACCACGCCCCTGCACCTGCGCCCTGAAGGGAAGTCAAACGGGCAAGGTGCAAGGGAGAGGCGTGACGGGCACGCACGGCCTCCAAGGCCTGCGCCTCCAGAAGACGGCTCGCTCCTGCAAAAAGGGAATCGGGGGAGGCAGAAGCGCAGGAGGGCCAGGGGGGAAGGAGAGAGAGAACGTCAGGTGGGAGACCCTCTAGCGCCGTCTGCAGAGCCCGGTCGATCTGCTCTGGCTCACCTGAAGCGAAGCTCTGCCGAAACACCTCGCCACACGCAGGGAGAGAACAGAGAATGGGAGCACACTGCACCCAGGAGCACACGAAACTCACCGGGGCAATGCGTGCCATGCGACGAATGCCGAAACCCCCGAGACGAATGGGGAGGAAGATCTGGTCTAGGGCGGCCTCTCGGACGTCCTCGCGACAAGCCCAGGTCCCTGAAGCTAAAAGCTGCTGAAATGTCTCTCCCAGGCGTGCGTTCCACCGTGTAAAACTAGAGATCACTGCGGGCGAATGAGGGACGGTCCTCGACAGGTACTGCGGACGAGTGCTGACACACGCCGACAGAAGGCGGGCAGCTGTCTGGGGCTGGCGCAACCTCGGAAGCCAAGGTAGCACCCGCCCCATCCTCTCGAGACGATCCGGGAGACTCTGCTCCACGAACGAAACGGTGCCTACCGGTACGCCTGTCACGGTGAGCCCTCGGCGTGCGACCTCGATCCCTAGGCCCGTGAAGGCCTCCAGATCCCTGGACAGAAAGGACTCTGTCTGGTAGACGAGGCACTTGTGCGGCTGGGCTGCAAGGTCCATCTCGCCCAAGCGCCTCACGATCTCGGTAAAGTGGTGCAGCACCCTGTCTGGGGGACCTAGCACGTACGTGTCATCGGCGTACGACCAGAGCTGGACATCCCCCTCCACCAGAACCGGCTCCAAAGCAAGACGCTGTGTCAGAGCGTACAAGAAGGGGCTGAGAGGGTCTCCCTGGCGAGTGCCCCGCTCCGAGTGCATCGTGACCACTCCCGTGCCTGACCTGTAGTGGAGATCCGAGGGCGTCCCGTAGAAGAGGCCGATGAAGGGGATCAGGCACTGAAACTCCAGGCTGGCCTGTAGCGCCTGGAACATCCTGTCTCGGTGGAAGGAGTTAAAGGCATTCGCCACGTCTAGCTGCAGGACCACCCAGTCTGGGTGGTCAGCCAGAGCGCGGCGGACGCCTCTAACTACGACCTCTGTCCCGCACGTAACCCCCACCCCAAACTGCTGTGACGCCAAGAAGACCCTCGCCATCTGGTCACGTAGCTGGAGACAGACTGCACGAGAAAGAATGCGGACCAAAACCTCGCCGATGGCAATCGGCCGAACATCCATGTTCGACTTCGCCAGAGCCACGAGGGTGGAAGACGCTAGCAAGGAGCGCGCAGCTGGAGCGCAACGGCCTCGAAGCCACTGCTGGTACACGGCAAGGAGGAAATGGAGACTCTGAGGGAAAGCTAGGAAAGTGTCTCGCAGGTGCTCAGCGACCCAACCGGACGGTCCTCCCGAAGAGCCCCGCGGAGCTGTGAAGATCGCGCGGCGTAAGTGATCCACCGAGAGCACGAGAGGGGACCCTTGGAAGCCAGACTGCCAAGCTGGGGTCGGCCTCTCCGCGTTGGGGTGCTTCGACTGCAGGCGCTGTATCGTCCCCTGTGTATCTGGGGCTGCCTCCGCGAACTCGAGAGCCGCGCACGCCCGTGAGGTCTCATTGCACGCTGCCAGACGAAGGCAACGTGCAATGCGGCGCTCATCTGCTGTAGAGGGATCGGTGGCGGTGCGTGACCGGTGACCTGTGCGCTGAGGAAGGGGTGTGCGACGGCCTAGTGCATTTGAGACTAGCTCAGCCCACTCACCTCGACCAAAGCGGGAGATGCGCGTTGCAATGGCAGCCGTGTGTGAGCGGTCGGGTGGCGTCGCTGGAACAAGGAAAAGAGTCGGCGCTGCAGCGAGGAGGAAGGTAGGGCCAGCAGCCTCCGGGTCCTGGGCAATGCGGACTAGGATCGCACTGAGGACGTCGAGATATCCTCCGCGGACCCTCTCCGGGACACGTCGGAGAGGGCGTGCATGGATACGCTCGGGCGAGAAGTACTCTGTCCAGTCCACCGAGTCGAGCGTCTGCCACTGTGCGTCGGTGAACTGTATCCCGGTCGCACGGGGCTGTGAGAGGGAAGGGATGATCGAGGCGGTGTCATGGGCAGCCTGCGCCCTGCGAGCCGCGTCCGCAGGATGGCAGAAGGGAAAGTGGTGCTGGAGCGCGCGTCGGTTCGCGAGAGAGCTCCTGCAGGTGGGGCAACTCACGACCTGGTCGGGTGATGTCGCCGTGTCGGCGGGGTCAATCGGGGCCGTGGCGTCGGAACTGGCTGTAGAGGGGACCCCGTGGGCGGCCTGAGCTCCGAGAGGATCGCCTGGGATGAGGGGAGGAGACGACTCACCAGCCCCGTGCGGGGGGGGTGTCAGCGAAGATAGAGGTGGTGTCGCACAGGATAGGGCCGGGCCTCGTGCCGGTACCGGTGTCGAAGCTGGGGAGGGGGGACGTGGAGGTGAGCCTGAAGTGTGTACCGTGGTGTGCTCCTGCCCCTCGGCGGGGTGCGGTTCAAGTGACGGCTCTGCTACCCCAGGCGGAGGGGTCTCGGTAGGGGCGGATGCCTCATCCCTACTGCTGGTGACCTCCTGCGCCACGGGCTGAACGGGGGGAGGCGCCACCCCCTCTAGGTGCGCGTGACACGGCCTCAGAACCTGGTCCGTCTCCATTGGGGTCGGGAGTGACGCGCCTGGCTGAGTGGCGGGGGGGATAAAAGAAGGGACAGACCGGGTGACTTCCGCATACGTCCGGGTCCGGTCCTGTGGGACTGGAAGGGTGGGGGCAGCCGGAGAGCTGCTCGGGCGGTGTATCGCCAGCAAATCTGAAATGCCAGCCCTCACCTCCTCTGGGGTCTCGAAGACCTGCCTGCCTGTAGGTGAGAGTAGGAGGGCTGGCAGGGTAGAGGGTGGAGTGGGGCTTGCTGGCTGAGCGGAGCTCGGGTGTGGACCCTGCCCTAGAAGGCCCCCTTGGCCCTCCCCAATCACCATGGGTTGCGGTAGGGGGTCGTCGACATGGAAGGGGTGGGAGGGATGGGAGGGGGAGTCGGTGGCGTCTTCCATGGGCGCATCCCTCAACCCGACGGCCTCCATCCCCGTAGCGATCGCGGCCGCCGCCACCTGGGAGGGGGACACAGCAAGGGAGGGGCAGAATGGGGGAGAGTGGGCTGGTCCGCTCCCATGGCCCTGTGGAGGTGCAGGAGCGGGGCGGGAGTGTGGGTTTGGTGGTCGGGCTGTAGCGGTAGGGCCTGGTAAGGGTTCAACGGGATGCGGGGTGGGGAGGGGCTCTTGGTGGGGGAGGGAGGGAGGGGGGAGTACGTGGGCTGACCCTCTGCCTCCTCTGCCCCTGTTCTTCCGCCGGCGGCCAACCTGGTTGTCTGCGCCTGTTTGTGAAGGAAGGGGGGGCTGTGGGGCCAAAGGGGTGGTTGGAGGGAGGATGGGTGGTTCGCCGGGCGGGGGGTGCTCTGTGTGCATCCCCTCTCTCCTCGAGGCATCCCCCTCCGTGGGGACAGATCGGGCAGGCTGTGTGTGGGGGGTGATGGCTGCCCAACGGGGCCACTCGTGGGGAACCCGGCCGGGAGGGGGGGTTGAAGGTGGGGGTCGAGGGGCTGGGCCAGTGTGGAGGTTAGAGCGAGGTACAAACGGTGGGGGGAGAGAGGTTTGTGTGGGCTCTGTGGTGGCCTCTCCTGTGGGCCCCTCTACCCGGGTGCCGCCGCTCCCATGAGCCTGGGGCGCAAGCCCTTGCGGGTGGGTCTCGGCTGCCTGGGGGGGGTGGTGTGAGGGGGGCAGCCTGTTGGGTGGGCGTGTTGGGGCTGTGCGGCGACTCGGGTGGTTTGGGTGCCTGTAGCGTGTGGGAGAGGGATTTGGCCGCAGAGATGCTTCAACCTCCGAGATGTGTGTACTACCGGGTGGGGGGGGGCCTGGTGGAGGGGGGGGTAGTGGGCCGGTGGGGGGTGGCTGGGTGTTGGTAGGGGTCGGGGAGCATGGCTCCTCTAGGAAGGCCAGAGCCCTGGCTGCTCCACGTGGTGCTCTAAGGAGCCCCTGAGGGTGGGGGCAGAGGTGTGCTGCCCTTGGGGGTGAGGGGAGGAGTGAGGGAAGGGGCGGGGAGGGGTGAGAGGTGAGAGAAGGGGTGCCCTCGGGTGACTCTGCTCTTGTCGCACCCGCGTGCTCTCCCGGTGGACCGCCTGCAACCGTGGGGTCAGGGGTTGGGGACGGAGAGGGGGGCTGGCCATGGAGCAACGTGGGGGTCGGGGAGCACGGCTCCGCCAAGAAGGCCAGGGCCTTGGCTGCCCCCCTGGATACTACCGGGACCTGAGGGTGGGGGTGGGGAAATGGTGCTCCTGGGGGTGGGTGGGCTGGAGGATGGGAGGTGAGGATGGGGGCTCCCTCGTGCGGCTCTGTCCTCAAGGTCTCCCCCAGCCCCTCCATCGGTCCTTCTGCTAGCATGTGGACGGGCATGGGGGGTAGAGGGGGAACCTCGACGTGAGGCTGCAGGGGGGCCGGGTCGGCCTCACCGTCAGGCGTGAGGTATTGGGCCAGTGGCCCGTCAATGTGCATCACATCCTCTCCCTCATCCTCCTCTATCACTATCACATCCCCCTCTTCCGTGCCCACCCCGGTCGGGACCACACTCACCTCTCCTTCCCCTGTTGCCCCTATGTCCCCCGAGCCCACCCCGCCTGCTGCCGCTTTACTGCTAGCCCCTTTTGCGGTCTCTGCCGGCCCTGCTGTGTGTTTCCCCGCGTTTGCTGCGGGCCCTGCCGCCCCTACTGGCCGTGCTATGGCCCTCCCTGCTGCTTCAGCTGCAGCCTCACCTTCTGCCTTTGAGGCCACTGCTGTCCCTTCTCCCACTCTAGCCCCTGCCGTACCCTCTCTTGCTACAACCGAGGCAGCACTCTCCCTCGCACCAGTCCCCGTTACCCCCTTCCCCGCTGCACCCGTAGCACCTCCCCCTGTACCGGCCCCCACTGTGGCCTCTGTCGCTCCTGCTGCAGTCCTTGCAGCCTCGACTGCTGCAGTCTGTAAAACCTCACCTGCCGTAATCTGCTCAGCCTCACCAGCCGCGGTCCCTGCAGCCTTGCCTGCCGCGGTCCCTGCAGCCTCACGTGCAGCAGTCCCTGCAGCCTCACCTGCTGCAGTCCCTGCGGCCTCACCTGCTGCAGTCTGTGCGGCCTCACCTGCTAGAATCTGCTCAACCTCAACTGCTGCGGCTATTTCAGCCTCACCTGCTGCGCTCCCTGCGGCCTCACCTGCCCTGGTCCCGCCTGCAGCCTCATCCGCTGTGGTCCCTGCAGCCTCACCTGCTGCAGTCCCTGCTGCCTCACCTATTGCAGTCCCTGCGACCTCACCAGCTGTAGACTGTGCAGCCTCACCTGCTAGAGTCTGCCCAACCTTACATGCTGCAGCCCTCGCAGCCTCACCTGCTGCGTCCGCCGCAGCCTCACCTGCTGCGGCCCCTGCAGCCCCGCCTGCTGCGCTCCCCGCAGCCTCGCCTGCTGCGCTCCCTGCAGCCTCGCCTGCTGCGCTCCCTGCGGCCTCACCTGCTGCGCTCTCTGCAGCCTCCCCTACTGCGCTCCCTACAGCCTCACCTGCTGCGCTCCCTGCAGCCTCACCTACTGCGCTCTCTGCGGCTTCACCTGCCATGGTCCCTCCTGCAGCCTCACCCGTTGTGATCCCTGCAGCCACACCTGCTGTGGTCTGTGCGGCCTCGCCTGGTGCGGTCCCTATAGCCTCCTCTGCTGCGGTTCCCCCAGCCAACACAGCTGCAGGTTCCGTGGCCCCTACTCCTGCAAAACCTGTCTCCATGGCCTCTGCCCTTTGCCTGGCTAGAGTCACGGTCCCTGCCGCCCCTTCCCGTGCAGCCTCTGCCGCCCTTTCCCGTGCAGCCGCTGCTGCCCCTTCCCTTGCAGCCTCTGCTGCCCTTTCCTCTGCAACCTCTGCTGCCCCTTCCCCCACAACCCCCATTGCCCCTTCCCGTGCAGCCTTTGCTGCCCCATCCTCTGCAGCCTCTGCTGCTCCTTCGCACACACATTCACTTACCCCTTCCCGTGCAGTGTTAGCTGCAAGTTCCCCCCTGGCTCTGCCCCCTCCCGCTTCTATGTGCTTGGGGGTGCTAGTAGGATTAAGTGTTTTCACAAGTAATCTGGTTTGCGAATGGGAAGTAGCGAGTGAGTTGGGGGATCTCTCCACTTGGCATGCATGGGTGCCGTCCCCGCTGTCACCTGAAGGGGGGGTAGGCTGGGATGGGGCCGCGGGGGTAGGGCGCGGTTTTGAGCGTGCTGGCTCCTCTTTGTGTATTTCCTCCAGTGGGGCTTGGCGTTCCTCTGTTCCATCCTCTTCAAGGGTACGCTTCTGGCCCCTAGGGTCGGATTGTGTGAGTGTTTTCGCTTGGTCAGGTGTGTGTTGTTTCTTCCTGACTGTTGAAGTGGGGGGAGTGGGAGAGTAGGGGGTGGCTCGGCTGCGGGACCTCCCAGATCGCCGAGGGGCTCCCGGGTCTGCCTTTTCCCCACTCGCGGGGTGCTGGGGCATTGTTACGGAGGCAGCATGCCTGGCGGTGGCGGTGTGAGTTGCTGGAGTTGGCTCAAGAGGGCGTCAAAGGGGGAAGGGACTCCCTGGCAGAGGCCGGGGTGCGGGGGGTTAGCTTGGGGAAATGGAAAAAGGGTGGGGAAAGCGGTGCGCAGTGGGTGGAAGAGAGGGTAGAGGGGGCCTGGCAGTTGGAGGGGATTGGGGCCCAAGGGGGGGGCGGGCTGGGGGCCGGTTGAGAGGGGAAGTGTTGGCGGGCTGTAGTGGAGGTGGGGGGGGCGGGGGTGATGTAGTGGTGGGTGAGCAGGGTGTGGGGACAGGTGGTGGGCCAGAGGTGGGGAGGGCAGGGCAGAATTCCACGGGAGGTGGGGGTGGGCAGGTGGAGCCAAGTGGGGAAGGAAGGGTGGGGAACAGAGAGGAAGGGGCAAAGGGTAGTGGGTAGTCGAGTTGGCGTGAGCCTGGTAGCGGGTAATGAGAAGGTTGGAAGGCGGGGGGTGAGAACGTGGGAGAGCCGAGAGGGCACCGAAAGGAGGCGCTGTGGTAAATGCAGAATAGGATGCGGGGCCGGGAAACAGGGGACAGAGGGAATTGGGGAATTGATGAAGGGTGATGAGTGCGGATGGGCGAGCCCCAGGGGGGAGGAAATATGGAGGGTGTTGGAGAAGGGGGAGACTGGGGGGGGTTGGGGTAGGGTGTTGGAAGGCACCAGGGGCAGGAACAGGGGGTGCAGAGGTTGGCTGGGGGAGGGAGAGGCGGTCTGGTGCCGCGGAAAGGCGGACGGAGGTTGGGGACGGCACAGCGCAGGGAGCAAAAGCAAGGGGTGTAGACCCTGGCTGGGGGTAGGAACGGCAGTGTGGAGTTAGGGAGAGGTAGAGGGAGGCTGGGGTAGGTGGCTGGATTGCGCAGGGAGCAGGGGCAGGGGGTGTAGAGATTGGATGGGGGTGGGAAAGGCGGCGTGGTGTCGGGTGGCCGCAGTTGGGTCCTCGAAGGGCCTGGCAGGGCAGGATGCAGAGGTGCAGCCCACGCTGGATGCGGAAGTAGCTGGGGGGGAAAAGGGAGGCTGGAGGGGGAGGGACGGCTCGTAGAGGTGTGGGGGGCAGAGTGGGAGTGGGGAAGGCAGGAGGGGGGGTGGAGGAGGGACGTTGTGGACAGTGGAGTGGGGGAACATGCGGGTGATGATAGGGAGAAGCCGGGGGGGGGGGGGGGGGGGAGAAGGGGGAGGTGGTATGAAGTGGGCGAGGGTGACGCACGGGCGGAGCGCGGCGGTACTAAGGGCACGGAGACGGGGGGCTGGGGGGAGAAAGGCCTGCTTGAGGGCGTGGTGGGGGATAAGGGGAGAGGGGCGGTAATGCTGGTGGGCAAAAGGGGAGGGTGTGGTGTAGTATGATGAAACAGAATGGGGGGGTGGCGGACTGGATGGGGCCCTGGAGGGTTGGGAGAACAAGGTGTAAGCTGCCGTTCTGATTTTTCCTGTTTTTTTTTTCCGATTTATATGAATTTCTTTTTCTTTTCTTTTTTCCTTGAAGTTGTTTCCTCTTATTTCCTACGGTTTCCAGAAACAGGGCGGCCTCTGCTAGCTAAGCGCCGTTAGGGAAAGAGGTTAGGTGGCGGGGTGGCTAAAGCGCGTGTGTGAGGGGGAAAGGGGCGGTGTGAGCAGGGAGGTGACTATGTGGGTGGCGACGGGGTAAGATTACGACGTGTGGGTGGCATGCACGAGTGCGCGACGAGGCATGGCAGGGTGGGAGTGAGCAAAAGGGGAGTGGGGCGGCTTGTGTGCCAAACGTGGGCGGCTAAAACGCTCTAGGCAGAAAACGCGCTTCGGGAGGCGCGCAAGGGGAGGGCTGCTTAAACGCTACGAACGCAGCAATTTCGCCTCCCTCCGCGCTGCCTTTCCCTGGCGGTAAGCGCCCCGTGCGCGGTTCCGTCTACGTTGCGGCTAGATTGAACGGGCGGGGAAAACGAGTGCGTGACTAAACATGATAGGCGACGAGAAAGCGTGCTTGGAAACGCGCGGCTCTTCGAATTAGGGTTTCGATAAAGGAGGGCGCACCGAAAGGGAAGGAAGAGTGCTAACTACGGGCGGAAGCTAAGCTCAGTGACTTCGAGAGAGGGAAACCGCGGGAAAAAACTCGGTATTTGCTAATCGCTTCGAATAGCAAAGCCGTGGGCAGAAAAGAGCGGGGGGATAAGGGAGAGTGTCGAGAGAGGGGATGGGCGGGAACACCGTGTCTGGCGGAGTTGTGGTTGTGAGTCGCGCGCGCTGTTACACTCCGCGGGCGAACTTCGCGTCAACGCCCCACCTCCCGTTACACCGGCTGCAGCGCGTCCGCAGCGATCCCGCGATGGCGGGGTCGAACAAACGGTTCCGTAACACCCCGCGAGTTCCGTTTCCGAGACTCCTGAGGGTCGCGCGCGAAACTCGCGACCCCCGTTCCGTCGAACTCCACAGTCGAAACTGGAAAACTAACCGTTGGAAACGCTTATAACTATAACATAAACAACTATCACAATCACTTTGTCCTTAAGCAACTCGAAATAGTAGGTTTAGGAGGCTCCTTAGTAGGCAGCCATGGCTAGGTAAGCTAGGTCAAGGGCTAAGCGCCAGTGGGCGAGAGCAGTACTGGGCTGGGTGACCTCCCGGGAAGTCCTCGTGTTGTACCCATTTATGCCCCTTGCTCGGCACGTGCCGGGGGAGGGGCAAGCGGGAAAAAGAAAGGACGATTTTAGCGCGTCCGATTCTTTCATTTTCGTTTTTTTGCCCAAACAACGACCCAGCGGGGTGGGGGGCCCCCGGGGAGGCTTGCCCGTGCGAAGAAACGCCCCGTGCGCACCACCGTTGGGCGGTTGGAAGCCGCACACGGTCGCGGGGGTGCAGAGCGGAAACGGGCAGCCGGGGGAGGGTGGGGGCGGTTGGATGGGACTTGGGGTGTACGGGGGGCAGGGGAGTTGAGGGGGCAAGGGGAGGGGCAGCAACGGGCAGGGGCTGGGCCAACTGAGGGCACGGAAAAGGGGCGGGCAGAGGGTGAGCAGAGGGGCGAGCGATGCAAGGGTGGCACCATAGGGGGGAAACCAGTTGCACGGAGGTGGGAGGTGAGGGGCGTGCGAGGGGGTGGGAAAGGGGCAGGGAGGGGCAGAATGGGAGGATGTAGGTGGGGGGGGTGGGGGAGGGGAGTGTGCGTGTGTGTGTGTGTGTGTGAGAAAGAGAGAGAGAGAGAGAGAGAGGGAGGGGGGGATTGAAGGGTGGGAGGGGGGCTGGTCGTGGGGATGGGCTGATGGTGGTAAGAGGGCAGCAGGGATGGGGAGAAGGGAGCGTAACGAGGGGAGAGCAAAGGGCAGGGGGGGAGGAAGGGAGGGGCAGGGAGGGAAGAGGCTGAACGTACAAAGGGGGGAAACGAGGGGCATGGATGATAGGAAACGAGGGCAGGGGTGTGGGAAATCAAGGGCAGGGAGGAGAGAAGCAATGGGTGAGGGGAAAACAAGGGAGGGGCAGACGGGGGGCAGGGAGGGAAGAAACGTGGGGCAGGGAGGGGAGAAGCCAAAGACAGGGGCATGGGCAGGCGGGGGCAGGGAGGGAGCAAAGGAGAGGCACGGAGAAAGAAAGGGAGGCGCGGGGAGGGGAGAAACCGGGCGTGGGGGGGGCGGAAAATGAGGGGCAGGGCGGGGAGGAGGGAGGGGCAGGGAGGGGAGAAGCTGAGCACACGGAGGGGGGAAAGGTGAGGCAGGGAGGTAGGAAGCCAAGGACAAGGGGGGGGAGAGTGGGGGGGGGCAGGGAGAGGGGGGAGGTGGGGAGCGGGGAAAGGCGGCGAGGGGCAGGGAGGGGAGAAACCAAGCATAGGGGGGCGAGATACGAGGGGCAGGGTGCGGATTGAGGAGGGGCAGGGAGTGGAGTGGGTCGGCGAGGGGAAGGAAGAGGCGTGCAGCAGAGGAGGGGAGGGGGGAGGAGAAGGTAAAGGAGGGGAGCGCACGGGCGGGGAGGAGCGAATGGCGGGCGGTGGGAAACGGCGAGGGGGGGCAGGGAGGGTCAAAAGAGGCGGCAAGGGAGCGGGCACGCGGAGGGTAGGGGCGGGGGGAGCGGATGGCATGAGGGGGCAGGGGGTGTGACTATGAAGGGGGGGACCCGGGCAAGGGGTGTGTAGCGGTCGGGGCACGAGGTTGACGTGGTACGATCATACCTCGGCTACTACGCCGGACCCATCAGAACTCCGAAGCTAAGCGCCGGTGGGCGAGAGCAGATATTCATTATTAGGGGAAGAGCAAATACAAGCCGAATATAATGGTTTTTCCAAGACTAGGAAATTTTGACATAGCCTTATCGCTATGAGGACGGTATATATATTTTGTAGGAAAAGGGGGAAAGAAAGGAAAGGAAGGAAGGATGAAGGAGTAAGAAGAAGTGGTAGGGAAAAGAAGAGGGTGGGAGGAAGAGAAGGGAAGGATAGAAGAAGGGAACTGAAAGAGGGAGGTGGGAAGAGAAAAGGAGAGAGGGAGAGAGACTAAGGAGGAGGAAGCACCAAAGGACCACAACACGGCAGCAACCCGCACGACCGCACGGGCACAGCGTTTCAAGCACAGCCACTATTGTTTTTTACACATATGCATCATATATATACTGCATATCAGCCACACTCTCGAAGCACCCTGTGACGTGGTGCCAAGTACCCTGCCCCGCACCCAGTGGGACTGGTGCGGGCATCCACCCGTCGTCGGATCTCCCTAACTGCCGCACCGCATGCTGGATCATGCATTGAGCCTGCGCGCGCTGCAGTGCAACGGAGAGGCGTGTAGTGAGTCCTGCCTCAAATATCCGTGCCGATCCGTCATCCCCCCCACCTCTATCCCTTCTCCGCTGTGCTATCCTCTTTGCGCAGAGCCCCAGAAACTGACGCAGCGGCTCACTGAGAAGGCCAAAGGTCTCCGCCACGCACGCGTAAAAGTGTGGTGCCGGCTGCAGCCCCTCTAAATGCGGCCCCCAGTGCCGCAGCTTCTCCTGCACCCGCCTAGCTGCTGCCACTCCAATTTGTGTGGGGGTCGCCCGTCTCAGCTGCACGTTCCCCTCCCGCTGTGGATCCGCTATGGAGACATCCACAAGAACCATCAGACCCTGGCTAACGTCGCGGCAGGTGAGGTCTGGGATGCGGGAGGCGGTGCCTACACGGCCTGTGTGTCCGACTGGTCCCTGCTGTTGCGCTGGCTGCTGCCCTGTCTGGTCCCTTGGTGCCTCCTCTCCGATCGTCTCTCTCCCCCTCTCCTCTCCTCCATCCACCTGTCCTCTCCCCTCCCCCTCTCTACCCTCCCCCAACCCTCCCAACCCCCCTGCTCCATCCCCTGCTGCCTCTCTCACTCCCTGGCCCTCCCCTCCCAATCCCGCTGCCCCTCCTGTACCTCCGTCCGCTCTCTGCTGCTCCCGCCCCTGCCCCACCTCCGAGGCCGAACCTGGAGGCGCGGCGCCCTGGGCCCGCGGCCTCCACTGGCTCTCCTGCTGCTGCCTGTGTTGTCTCCCCTCCCCGTCCTGGCCCGTCTGCTCCCCCTGCCGTCCCCTCTGCCCACCTGTCCCTCGCTCCACCTGACCCCGCAGCTGGTGCTGTCCCCAATGTCCCCCGCCACCCGGCTGTCCCGCCTCGCCTCTCTGCTCCCCCGGTCCCTCAGCCCGCGTCCCCTCTCCCACCACTGGCTGTCCCAGTAGTCTCGCTCGAGCCGCCTCCAACTGTGTGAACAGCGTAGAGTCCTCCACCTTTACCGCGAAGCCCGCCTCGACCGCAAAGTCTCGAAGCATGTACTTCACCGTGTCGTGGATGGTAGTGGCGACCCCGTAGCGCGGGCACCGGACCGCGTGATGAGGCACCATCATGTCGTCAATCGCCTGTCCGCAGGAGCACTGACCTGCAAGGGCTAATTGGGGGATCGGGAGGCCAAGACGAGAAGATGAAGCCGCCTGCCACAGCGCCTCCGGGATGCGCAGTGGGTCAGCGTACGGCACCGACGTCAACCACGCCCCTGCACCTCCTCCCTGAAGGGAAGTCAAACGGGCAAGGTGCAAGGGAGAGGCGTGACGGGCACGCACGGCCTCCAAGGCCTGCGCCTCCAGAAGACGGCTCGCTCCTGCAAAAAGGGAATCGGGGGAGGCAGAAGCGCAGGAGGGCCAGGGGGGAAGGAGAGAGAGAACGTCAGGTGGGAGACCCTCTAGCGCCGTCTGCAGAGCCCGGTCGATCTGCTCTGGCTCACCTGAAGCGAAGCTCTGCCGAAACACCTCGCCACACGCAGGGAGAGAACAGAGAATGGGAGCACACTGCACCCAGGAGCACACGAAACTCACCGGGGCAATGCGTGCCATGCGACGAATGCCGAAACCCCCGAGACGAATGGGGAGGAAGATCTGGTCTAGGGCGGCCTCTCGGACGTCCTCGCAACAAGCCCAGGTCCCTGAAGCTAAAAGCTGCTGAAATGTCTCTCCCAGGCGTGCGTTCCACCGTGTAAAACTAGAGATCACTGCGGGCGAATGAGGGACGGTCCTCGACAGGTACTGCGGACGAGTGCTGACACACGCCGACAGAAGGCGGGCAGCTGTCTGGGGCTGGCGCAACCTCGGAAGCCAAGGTAGCACCCGCCCCATCCTCTCGAGACGATCCGGGAGACTCTGCTCCACGAACGAAACGGTGCCTACCGGTACGCCTGTCACGGTGAGCCCTCGGCGTGCGACCTCGATCCCTAGGCCCGTGAAGGCCTCCAGATCCCTGGACAGAAAGGACTCTGTCTGGTAGACGAGGCACTTGTGCGGCTGGGCTGCAAGGCCCATCTCGCCCAAGCGCCTCACGATCTCGGTAAAGTGGTGCAGCACCCTGTCTGGGGGACCTAGCACGTACGTGTCATCGGCGTACGACCAGAGCTGGACATCCCCCTCCACCAGAACCGGCTCCAAAGCAAGACGCTGTGTCAGAGCGTACAAGAAGGGGCTGAGAGGGTCTCCCTGGCGAGTGCCCCGCTCCGAGTGCATCGTGACCACTCCCGTGCCTGACCTGTAGTGGAGATCCGAGGGCGTCCCGTAGAAGAGGCCGATGAAGGGGATCAGGCACTGAAACTCCGGGCTGGCCTGCAGCGCCTGGAACATCCTGTCTCGGTGGAAGGAGTTAAAGGCATTCGCCACATCTGGCTGCAGGACCACCCAGTCTGGGTGGTCAGCCAGAGCGCGGCGGACGCCTCTAACTACGACCTCTGTCCCGCACGTAACCCCCACCCCAAACTGCTGTGACGCCAAGAAGACCCTCGCCATCTGGTCACGTAGCTGGAGACAGACTGCACGAGAAAGAATGCGGACCAAAACCTCGCCGATGGCAATCGGCCGAACATCCATGTTCGACTTCGCCAGAGCCACGAGGGTGGAAGACGCTAGCAAGGAGCGCGCAGCTGGAGCGCAACGGCCTCGAAGCCACTGCTGGTACACGGCAAGGAGGAAATGGAGACTCTGAGGGAAAGCTAGGAAAGTGTCTCGCAGGTGCTCAGCGACCCAACCGGACGGTACTCCCGAAGAGCCCCGCGGAGCTGTGAAGATCGCGCGGCGTAAGTGATCCACCGAGAGCACGAGAGGGGACCTCTGGAAGCCAGACTGCCAAGCTGGGGTCGGCCTCTCCGCGTTGGGGTGCTTCGACTGCAGGCGCTGTATCGTCCCCTGTGTATCTGGGGCTGCCTCCGCGGACTCGAGAGCCGCGCACGCCCGTGAGGTCTCATTGCACGCTGCCAGACGAAGGCAACGTGCAATGCGGCGCTCATCTGCTGTAGAGGGATCGGTGGCGGTGCGTGACCGGTGACCTGTGCGCCGAGGAAGGGGTGTGCGACGGCCTAGTGCATCTGAGACTAGCTCAGCCCACTCACCTCGACCAAAGCGGGAGATGCGCGTTGCAATGGCAGCCGTGTGCGAGCGGTCGGGTGGCGTCGCTGGAACAAGGAAAAGAGTCGGCGCTGCAGCGAGGAGGAAGGTAGGGCCAGCAGCCTCCGGGTCCTGGGCAATGCGGACTAGGATCGCACTGAGGACGTTGAGATATCCTCCGCGGACCCTCTCCGGGACACGTCGGAGAGGGCGTGCATGGATACGCTCGGGCGAGAAGTACTCTGTCCAGTCCACCGAGTCGAGCGTCTGCCACTGTGCGTCGGTGAACTGTATCCCGGTTGCACGGGGCTGTGAGAGGGAAGGGATGATCGAGGCGGTATCATGGGCAGCCTGCGCCCTGCGAGCCGCGTCTGCAGGATGGCAGAAGGGAATGTGGTGCTGGAGCGCGCGTCGGTTCGCGAAAGAGCTCCTGCAGGTGGGGCAACTCACGACCTGGTCGGGTGATGTCGCCGTGTCGGCGGGGTCGATCGGGGCCATGGCGTCGGAACTGGCTGTAGAGGGGACCCCGTGGGCGGCCTGAGCTCCGAGAGGATCGCCTGGGATGAGGGGAGGAGACGACTCACCAGCCCCGTGCGGGGGGGGTGTCAGCGAAGATAGAGGTGGTGTCGCACAGGATAGGGCCGGGCCTCGTGCCGGTACCGGTGTCGAAGCTGGGGAGGGGGGACGTGGAGGTGAGCCTGAAGTGTGTACCGTGGTGTGCTCCTGCCCCTCGGCGGGGTGCGGTTCAAGTGACGGCTCTGCTACCCCAGGCGGAGGGGTCTCGGTAGGGGCGGATGCCTCATCCCTACTGCTGGTGACCTCCTGCGCCACGGGCTGAACGGGGGGAGGCGCCACCCCCTCTAGGTGCGCGTGACACGGCCTCAGAACCCGGTCCGTCTCCATTGGGGTCGGGAGTGACGCGCCTGGCTGAGTGGCGGGGGGGATAAAAGAAGGGACAGACCGGGTGACTTCCGCATACGTCCGGGTCCGGTCCTGTGGGACTGGAAGGGTGGGGGCAGCCGGAGAGCTGCTCGGGCGGTGTATCGCCAGCAAATCTGAAATGCCAGCCCTCACCTCCTCTGGGGTCTCGAAGACCTGCCTGCCTGTAGGTGAGAGTAGGAGGGCTGGCAGGGTAGAGGGTGGAGTGGGGCTTGCTGGCTGAGCGGAGCTCGGGTGTGGACCCTGCCCTAGAAGGCCCCCTTGGCCCTCCCCAATCACCATGGGTTGCGGTAGGGGGTCGTCGACATGGAAGGGGTGGGAGGGATGGGAGGGGGAGTCGGTGGCGTCTTCCATGGGCGCATCCCTCAACCCGACGGCCTCCATCCCCGTAGCGATCGCGGCCGCCGCCACCTGGGAGGGGGACACAGCAAGGGAGGGGCAGAATGGGGGAGAGTGGGCTGGTCCGCTCCCATGGCCCTGTGGAGGTGTAGGAGCGGGGCGGGAGTGTGGGTTTGGTGGTCGGGCTGTAGCGGTAGGGCCTGGTAAGGGTTCAACAGGATGCGGGGTGGGGAGGGGCTCTTGGTGGGGGAGGGAGGGAGGGGGGAGTACGTGGGCTGACCCTCTGCCTCCTCTGCCCCTGTTCTTCCGCCGGCGGCCAACCCGGTTGTCCGCGCCTGTTTGTGAAGGAAGGGGGGGCTGTGGGGCCAAAGGGGTGGTTGGAGGGAGGATGGGTGGTTCGCCGGGCGGGGGGTGCTCTGTGTGCATCCCCTCTCTCCTCGAGACATCCCCCTCCGTGGGGACAGATCGGGCAGGCTGTGTGTGGGGGGTGATGGCTGCCCAACGGGGCCACTCGTGGGGAACCCGGCCGGGAGGGGGGGTTGAAGGTGGGGGTCGAGGGGCTGGGCCAGTGTGGAGGTTAGAGCGAGGTACAAACGGTGGGGGGAGAGGGGTTTGTGTGGGCTCTGTGGTGGCCTCTCCTGTGGGCCCCTCTACCCGGGTGCCGCCGCTCCCATGAGCCTGGGGCGCAAGCCCTTGCGGGTGGGTCTCGGCTGCCTGGGGGGGGTGGTGTGAGGGGGGCAGCCTGTTGGGTGGGCGTGTTGGGGCTGTGCGGCGACTCGGGTGGTTTGGGTGCCTGTAGCGTGTGGGAGAGGGATTTGGCCGCAGAGATGCTTCAACCTCCGAGATGTGTGTACTACCGGGTGGGGGGGGGCCTGGTGGAGGGGGGGGTAGTGGGCCGGTAGGGGGTGGCTGGGTGTTGGTAGGGGTCGGGGAGCATGGCTCCTCTAGGAAGGCCAGAGCCCTGGCTGCTCCACGTGGTGCTCTAAGGAGCCCCTGAGGGTGGGGGCAGAGGTGTGCTGCCCTTGGGGGTGAGGGGAGGAGTGAGGGAAGGGGCGGGGAGGGGTGAGAGGTGAGAGAAGGGGTGCCCTCGGGTGACTCTGCTCTTGTCGCACCCGCGTGCTCTCCCGGTGGACCGCCTGCAACCGTGGGGTCAGGGGTTGGGGACGGAGAGGGGGGCTGGCCATGGAGCAACGTGGGGGTCGGGGAGCACGGCTCCGCCAAGAAGGCCAGGGCCTTGGCTGCCCCCCTGGATACTACCGGGACCTGAGGGTGGGGGTGGGGAAATGGTGCTCCTGGGGGTGGGTGGGCTGGAGGACGGGAGGTGAGGATGGGGGCTCCCTCGTGCGGCTCTGTCCTCAAGGTCTCCCCCAGCCCCTCCATCGGTCCTTCTGCTAGCATGTGGACGGGCATGGGGGGTAGAGGGGGAACCTCGACGTGAGGCTGCAGGGGGGCCGGGTCGGCCTCACCGTCAGGCGTGAGGTATTGGGCCAGTGGCCCGTCAATGTGCATCACATCCTCTCCCTCATCCTTCTCTATCGCTATCACATCCCCCTCTTCCGTGCCCACCCCGGTCGGGACCACACTCACCTCTCCTTCCCCTGTTGCCCCTATGTCCCCCGAGCCCACCCCGCCTGCTGCCGCTTTACTGCTAGCCCCTTTTGCGGTCTCTGCCGGCCCTGTTGTGTGTTTCCCCGCGTTTGCTGCGGCCCCTGCCGCCCCTATTGGCCGTGCTATGGCCCTCCCTGCTGCTTCAGCTGCAGCCTCACCTTCTGCCTTTGAGGCCACTGCTGTCCCTTCTCCCACTCTAGCCCCTGCCGTACCCTCTCTTGCTACAACCGAGGCAGCACTCTCCCTCGCACCAGTCCCCGTTACCCCCTTCCCCGCTGCACCCGTAGCACCTCCCCCTGTACCGGCCCCCACTGTGGCCTCTGTCGCTCCTGCTGCAGTCCTTGCAGCCTCGACTGCTGCAGTCTGTAAAACCTCACCTGCCGTAATCTGCTCAGCCTCACCAGCCGCGGTCCCTGCAGCCTTGCCTGCCGCGGTCCCTGCAGCCTCACGTGCAGCAGTCCCTGCAGCCTCACCTGCTGCAGTCCCTGCGGCCTCACCTGCTGCAGTCTGTGCGGCCTCACCTGCTAGAATCTGCTCAACCTCAACTGCTGCGGCTATTTCAGCCTCACCTGCTGCGCTCCCTGCGGCCTCACCTGCCCTGGTCCCGCCTGCAGCCTCATCCGCTGTGGTCCCTGCAGCCTCACCTGCTGCAGTCCCTGCTGCCTCACCTATTGCAGTCCCTGCGACCTCACCAGCTGTAGACTGTGCAGCCTCACCTGCTAGAGTCTGCCCAACCTTACATGCTGCAGCCCTCGCAGCCTCACCTGCTGCGTCCGCCGCAGCCTCACCTGCTGCGGCCCCTTCCCTTGCAGCCTCTGCTGCCCTTTCCTCTGCAACCTCTGCTGCCCCTTCCCCCACACCCCCCATTGCCCCTTCCCGTGCAGCCTTTGCTGCCCCATCCTCTGCAGCCTCTGCTGCTCCTTCGCACACACATTCACTTACCCCTTCCCGTGCAGTGTTAGCTGCAAGTTCCCCCCTGGCTCTGCCCCCTCCCGCTTCTATGTGCTTGGGAGTGCTAGTAGGATTAAGTGTTTTCACAAGTAATCTGGTTTGCGAATGGGAAGTAGCGAGAGAGTTGGGGGATCTCTCCACTTGGCATGCATGGGTGCCGTCCCCGCTGTCACCTGAAGGGGGGGTAGGCTGGGATGGGGCCGCGGGGGTAGGGCGCGGTTTTGAGCGTGCTGGCTCCTCCTTGTGTATTTCCTCCAGTGGGGCTTGGCGTTCCTCTGTTCCATCCTCTTCAAGGGTACGCTTCTGGCCCCTAGGATCAGATTGTGTGAGTGTTTTCGCTTGGTCAAGTGTGTGTTGTTTCTTCCTGACTGTTGAAGTGGGGGGAGTGGGAGAGTAGGGGGTGGCTCGGCTGCGGGACCTCCTAGATCGCCGAGGGGCTCCCGGGTCTGCCTTTTCCCCACTCGCGGGGTGCTGGGGCATTGTCACAGAGGCAGCATGCCTGGCGGTGGCGGTGTGAGTTGCTGGAGTTGGCTCAAGAGGGCGTCAAAGGGGGAAGGAACTCCCTGGCAGAGGCCGGGGTGCGGGGGGTTAGCTTGGGGAAATGGAAAAAGGGTGGGGAAAGCGGTGCGCAGTGGGTGGAAGAGAGGGTAGAGGGGGCCTGACAGTTGGAGGGGATTGGGGCCCAAGGGGGGGGCGGGCTGGGGGCCGGTTGAGAGGGGAAGTGTTGGCGGGCTGTAGTGGAGGTGGGGGGGCGGGGGTGATGTAGTGGTGGGTGAGCAGGGTGTGGGGACAGGTGGTGGGCCAGAGGTGGGGAGGGCAGGGCAGAATTCCACGGGAGGTGGGGGTGGGCAGGTGGAGCCAAGTGGGGGAGGAAGGGTGGGGAACAGAGAGGAAGGGGCAAAGGGTAGTGGGTAGTCGGGTTGGCGTGAGCCTGGTAGCGGGTAATGAGAAGGTTGGAGGGCGGGGGGTGAGAACGTGGGAGGTCCGAGAGGGCACCGAAAGGAGGCGCTGTGGTAAATGCAGAGAAAGATGCGGGGCCGGGAAACAGGGGACAGAGGGAATTGGGGAATTGATGAAGGGTGATACCTGCGGATGGGCGAGCCCCAGGGGGGAGGAAATATGGAGGGTGTTGGAGAAGGGGGAGACTGGGGGGGGTTGGGGTAGGGTGTTGGAAGGCACAAGGGGCAGGAACAGGGGGTGCAGAGGTTGGCTGGGGGAGGGAGAGGCGGTCTGGTGCCGCGGAAAGGCGGACGGAGGTTGGGGACGGCACAGCACAGGGAGCAAAAACAAGGGGTGTAGACCCTGGCTGTTATAGTCACAGTAGGCTCCAATGTGCCTAAAACGAAAGATAGAGTGCACAGTCGGATTTCTGCACAGCGGCTTCAAACGTTCATAGCGTTCTGGTGACAGCTTCAAATGACTTGATTCAACTTGGATCTGGAGCGTCTTATTGTCGCCTACAATAGGCAATTTAGATCGCACGATTTGACCAAGTATTGACGACACAGTGTCGGTTTGAACGAACGGCACTATGGCAGCCACTCTAGTCTTAGAACACAAAATAGGAAGAGATCTGAAGAGTTACGAGTTGGGAATGACTCCCAGCTCCTACAAACCCCAAGAGCCGAGGTACAGTGATGTGGAACAGTGCCACACTGTCCCCAACCACGAAGGGTCTCGAAACTACCCTTCACTAGGGCCTACACCAAGTGAAATGTTACACTACACAAAGTAATGTAACTATCTTCAATATCTTGAGGTGTACCCTTTTGGCGAGCTTTGAAATCACTTGAGGCTTGACACCAAGGCTCGGGCTCTTCATCACAAACTCATCCTTGAGTTCTTGATGGGTCTGCTGCACACACCTGCGACACACCGAACGTTCGACACAGGACAAAATAGAAACCGCGCACGACAAAATAGAAACCGCGCGCGAGACACAAACGACCGCGTAACACGCGTCTAGCGATAACTCGCTATTGACCCGACACATACACTCGACATCATGACTCAACATTCACACACAATTATAAGCATGAAATATATATTATCCCATGCCCTCATACCATTCCATACACACACACACATGCACGCACATGGACAACAAGCCGAGTGCAAACCATAGGGTTGCACCAACAAACTCCCCCTCGGATTGTTGGCCCTTCGGATATGTTGCTCTCTCAGTTCAGAGCCATCCCAGCCAGCTTGCAACACTTCCAATGCTGCTGCTCCACCAGCCTCTTGGTCATCATGTCAGCCGGCTGCCCCGTGGTTTTCACGTAGCGCAACTCAACTTCACCCGCGGTTACCATGCTCCTCGTCCAATGCCACTTCACCCTCATGTGCTTCGTGAGTCCATGCAACACAGGGTTCTTAGCAAGAGCAATGGCACCCTGGCTGTCACAATATAGTGGGGTAGGTCCTTGCTGCTCCTCCCCCAATTCAGCCAACAAACGCCGCTGCCACACAATCTCCCGTACGGCACGGAAGAGTGCCATGTACTCGGACTCCACTGAGCTCAAAGCTTGGTCAACCTGCTTCTTGCTCTCCCAAGCAGTTGGGCCTCCACCAACACAGCATATGAAGCCTCCCACACTTGTCATGTCCTCTGGTTCTGATGCATATGAAGCATCCGAGTAGGCGGTGAGGAACAAACGCCCGGGTTCAACACCATCCGCGCCCTTTTGGCGCCTTTGTGCCGCCGCCGAGTATTGCAGCCCAACGGTCGGTGTTTGGCCAAGGTACTTGGCCACCCTCATTCCAGCTGCTACCTGCTCCTCATTAGGGCATTGCACAACCCTAGCCAGCTGCCCGGTAGCAAACGCGACGTCCGGTCGGGTGTTTACCGCCGCATACATGAGGCTGCCCACCAACGAGTGAAATCGGCGCCTCTCCTCTTCTCCAACGCTCTCCTCCTCTGGCCCCTTCACACACTTGAACCCAGAGGGAAAGGGAGTAGCCACATGACCTTCACTCTGGCCAAAGTTGGCAGCCAACGCCTCCAGGTACTTCCGTTGGTGCACTCGCATGCTCCGCTTCTCCACGTCTCGTTCGATGTGGAGCCCAAGGTAGAAGTTCACGTCACCAAGGGACTTGCACTTGAACTTGTCATGCAGCTTCAGCATCACCTCCTTCACAAGGTCAGAGGAGGGTGAGAATATGAGAATGTCATCCACATAAACCACCATGAAGCTCCTCTGTTCCCCCTCGCCAAGCATGAACAAGGAGTGATCGGCCGTTGAGGGAGTGAAGCCGATCTCCTCCAACACTTCGCGCAGCTTCATGTACCATTGCCTAGGGGCCTGCTTCAGCCCATAGAGGGCCTTCTTCAGCTTCCACACTCTGCCACTACCATCATCAAACCCCTCTGGCTGCGCCATAAAAATCTCCTCCTCAAGGATGCCGTTGAGGAATGCCGTCACAATGTCCATTTGCTTCACCACCCATCCTTTGATGGCGGCTCCCGCGAATAGGGTTCGCAGCGTCGTCGGCTTCACCACAGGGGCAAACAGCTCCTTGAAGTCCACCTTCTCCTTCTGCTGGTACCCCTTGGCTACAAGCCTAGACTTGTAACGCTCGATCTTGCCGTCGGCATCCGACTTGATTTTGAAGAGCCACTTGGACGTTATCGCCGTACGCCCCTCCGGTAGCTCCACCAATTCAAACGTGTCATTCTCCTCGATGCTCTTCAGCTCACTCTCCATGGCCTTCTTCCACTCCTCAGCATCACTACTCTCCAAAGCCTCCTTGAGAGTTGCTGGTTCTCCTGGCATCTCCACCGGAGAGAAGAACGCGAAGGCACACTCCTCGTAGTCACTCTCCTCGTCGTCTCCGACCATCATTGCCGCTCCGGCCAGGGCTGTCTTGCCTTGCTTTCCAAGTGCATCATAGGTCAGCCTATTAGGGGGTTGAACTCTCCTCTTCCCCCTTCCTTCCTCCTCAGCTGCAGGGACTTGAAGGCCTTGGCGTTGCTGGGGTGTGGCTCGATTCCGTGGAGCACTCGTGGTACGGGAAGGGAGTGACGGTGCACGCTCGCTCACTTGCTGCACCTCCTCCTCTTCTTCCTCTGCATCAGTGGCCTCCTCTCCCCCATGCACAAGGGAGGATTGCCTCGTGGTTGTGCTGCCGCTGCTCAGCTCCAAAGGCAGCTCCACATGCTCCAAACCGGAACTCTTCACCTCCCCAAACCGCACGCCTATCTTCGCCTCATTCTCCGCCTTCCAATCCTTGTACATGAAGTTCTCCATGAACTTGCAGTCCCTGCTCACCAAGAACTTCTTGGTGAATGGGTCCCAAAGAAGCCATCCCTTGCTGTTTTGAGCCATGCCCAAGTGCACGGCCCACACCGCCTTGGCACCAAGCTTGTTGTGCCGAAGATGCTTAGGCACAAGCGCCATGCACATGCACCCGAACACCCGAAGCATATCCACCTTTGGCTTCCTTCCTAGCCACTCCACATAGGGCACCCATTTGTCTGCTCCCACATGAGTCAAGGCTCTGTTCTTGGCCACACATGCGCTCCGCACCGCATCAGGCCAGAAATAGTCGGGTAGCCCGGCTTCAATGAGCAACCCGCGTGCCGCCTCCGTGATTGTGCGGTTCGCTCGCTCAGCGATGCCGTTCATTGCAGGGGAGTATGGCATGGTGAGGGAGTGCCGAATACCATTCTTCTTCAGCCACAACCCAAACTCCTTGCTCAGGAACTCTCCCCCTCGATCGGTGCGGATTGACTTGACTAGACGGTCTTGTTGCCGCTCCACCATCGGGAACCAATCCGCCTTCAACGTTTCAGCCACGTCGCTCTTCTTGGCCAGCACGTACACCCAAGTCATACGGGTGTAGACGTCCACAATAGTGAGGAAGTACTCAGCTCCAGCAGCTCCAAGCTTCAGGGGGCCCACCACGTCCATCACCACCTCATCAAGTGGTGCCTTAGCCGTTGCCTCCGAACTAGAGAATGGGAAACGGGTGAACTTGGCTTGCATGCACGTCGGGCAGCCAAGTACCTCATCGGGCTCCCCCTTCACACGTATGCCAGCAACCATCTCATTCTTCACTAGCTGCTGCAAGATGGGCAGGGCCACATGCCCCATGCGCCGATGCAAGGTGAGCCAATCACACTCCCCCGTAGCCGAAGTTGGATTGGAGAATGCCGCGCTCGCAATAGCGCCCCACATACTCTCTCCGTAGTCCTCCTCCGCTGTTGCCTCGGGGTTCTCCTCACCCTTTTGCTGCTCCTTGGTTGCTGCACCACTCTCCTTAGGTTCACTGAACTTGCTGGTCCCTCCAAGATTGCACTTCTTGGACTCCTTCTCCTTAGCGCGACCGTCCGCGCAATCGCCGCTACCAATCGCTCCACCTTTAGTGCTGACGCTTGCTGCCACTTGCCTCTCCTTAGGCATTGGGACCACAGGGATCTGCCACATCTCGTTGTAGACATCTCTGTCCTCATGAAGGTCCCAAAGAATCCGATCGCCAAGCTTTGCGGTGTAGGTCTTGGCTCCCTTCGAGTTAGTGTCCATGCCGGCCTTTGCCAACCGCCGCACGGAAATCAGGTTCGCAGCAAGGCTGGGCACCCAAAGCACGTTCTTGAGGCCCACCATCTTCCCATCAGCACCCTTGAACATGGCCTTCCCCATGCCTTTCACCTCTGCTCGCTGCCCCAAAGCCGATGTGACATGCTTCACCGGTGACGGCTCGAGTTCGGTGAGCAAGTCCGGGCGAGATGTCATGCTATAGGTAGCGCCACTATCAATCACCCAATAGTCCAGGGGGTGTAGGGTCACCTTCCCCACAGCTGCTGGCTCCTCAAAGCCTTCATCCTTCTCTGGACCAGCCGGGTACTTGCGTCGACACGAAGTAGAATAGACCCGGGTATCGATCGTCGCTCGGGTCCTTGTCGTTGTCTCCGCTCTTCATGTTTGCAGCTCCGCCACCGCGACCGCCACGGCCTCCACGGCCTCGTCCTCTCCCTCCTCCTGCTCCTCTACCCTCTTGGCCTTGAGCAGGGGTCCAACCATCAGGGAGTTTGTAGCAGTCGCGCCACATGTGTCCGCTCTTGTGGCAATAGTGACACTCGCCGTCGAATCGGCCGCGACCGCGTCCGTAGCTCTTGTCGTCGCTGCCGTAACCGCCACTCCTGCGGCCTCCGCCGAAGTTGCTGCCACCAAACCTTCCTCCCCCTCGTCCTCTGCCTCTTCCTCGACCATATCCACGGCCGATGCTCGCTGCCCCAGCGCCATCCGCACTCGCCAACTCACGGCGGCGGAAATCCTCTTGAAGGATAGCTCGCTTCACGTCTTCAAGCGAGAGGCGGGGCAAGTCGCGATTAAGGTTGATGATGAGCGAGGACCATGACTCCGGGAGTAGGGCCAGCAACTTGGTCTTCTTTTGGAGCTCACTATAGTTCAAATCAGCTCCCTCAAGCCGCGTCAACAAGTCGAAGAATTTCTGCACCCCTTCTTCAACCGCTTCATCCTCTTCAATTCGTAACGTCGCCATTTGCCGTTCCAACACCACAGCTACCGCCGCTGTTGCAGGAGCGTGTACACCCTTGAGAGCAGCCCATGCTTTTGGTCCCTTCTCTGGTTCACGCTGGAAAGGCTTGATGTGACGGATTTGGCTGCTCCCCAACGCTTGCCCAAGTAGGAGGTAGCCTTGTGCGCTCTTCCGCACCCACGGGCTCTTCTCCGGGTCGTTCTCGGGACGCTTCTCCGTTCCTTCCATCACCTCCAGCAGGTCATAGTGGTCAAATATGTTCTCCATTCTGAAGGACCACTCAGCAAAGTTGTCACCATTGAACTTGTCAAGGCCAAACACTCTAGGCTCATCCCTAGATGGGCCAACACTTGGTTGCACGGGCGCCATGGCTGAGTCACGGGGTTGGCCTTGAGCTTGGGCTTCTCCTCTGCCACCAGCACCTCTGCCACCCCTTTCCTCAGGTCCAGCCATTGTCGAAACTGCTCCAAGGGGCTCTGATACCACTTGTTATAGTCACAGTAGGATTTCTGCACAGCGGCTTCAAACGTTCATAGCGTTCTGGTGACAGCTTCAAATGACTTGATTCAACTTGGATCTGGAGCGTCTTATTGTCGCCTACAATAGGCAATTTAGATCGCACGATTTGACCAAGTATTGACGACACAGTGTCGGTTTGAACGAACGGCACTATGGCAGCCACTCTAGTCTTAGAACACAAAATAGGAAGAGATCTGAAGAGTTACGAGTTGGGAATGACTCCCAGCTCCTACAAACCCCAAGAGCCGAGGTACAGTGATGTGGAACAGTGCCACACTGTCCCCAACCACGAAGGGTCTCGAAACTACCCTTCACTAGGGCCTACACCAAGTGAAATGTTACACTACACAAAGTAATGTAACTATCTTCAATATCTTGAGGTGTACCCTTTTGGCGAGCTTTGAAATCACTTGAGGCTTGACACCAAGGCTCGGGCTCTTCATCACAAACTCATCCTTGAGTTCTTGATGGGTCTGCTGCACACACCTGCGACACACCGAACGTTCGACACAGGACAAAATAGAAACCGCGCACGACAAAATAGAAACCGCGCGCGAGACACAAACGACCGCGTAACACGCGTCTAGCGATAACTCGCTATTGACCCGACACATACACTCGACATCATGACTCAACATTCACACACAATTATAAGCATGAAATATATATTATCCCATGCCCTCATACCATTCCATACACACACACACATGCACGCACATGGACAACAAGCCGAGTGCAAACCATAGGGTTGCACCAACACTGGCTGGGGGTAGGAACGGCAGCGTGGAGTTAGGGAGAGGTAGAGGGAGGCTGGGGTAGGTGGCTGGATTGCGCAGGGAGCAGGGGCAGGGGGTGTAGAGATTGGATGGGGGTGGGAAAGGCGGCGTGGTGTCAGGTGGCGGCAGTTGGGTCCTCGGAGGGCCTGGCAGGGCAGGATGCAGAGGTGCAGCCCACGCTGGATGCGGAAATAGCTGGGGGGGAAAAGGGAGGCTGGAGGGGGAGGTACGGCTCGTAGAGGTGTGGGGGACAGAGTGGGAGTGGGGAAGGCAGGAGGGGGGGTGGAGGAGGGACGTTGTGGACAGTGGAGTGGGGGAACATGCGGGTGATGATAGGGAGAAGCCGGGGGGGGGGGGGGGGGGAGAAGGGGGAGGTGGTATGAAGTGGGCGAGGGTGACGCACGGGCGGAGCGCGGCGGTACTAAGGGCACGGAGACGGGGGGCTGGGGGAGAAAGGCCTGCTTGAGGGCGTGGTGGGGGATAAGGGGAGAGGGGCGGTAATGCTGGTGGGCAAAAGGGGAGGGTGTGGTGTAGTATGATGAAACAGAATGGGGGGGTGGCGGACTGGATGGGGCCCTGGAGGGTTGGGAGAACAAGGTGTAAGCTGCCGTTCTGATTTTCCCTGTTTTTTTTTTCCGATTTATATGAATTTCTTTTTCTTTTCTTTTTTCCTTGAAGTTGTTTCCTCTTATTTCCTACGGTTTCCAGAAACAGGGCGGCCTCTGCTAGCTAAGCGCCGTTAGGGAAAGAGGTTAGGTGGCGGGGTGGCTAAAGCGCGCGTGTGAGGGGGAAAGGGGCGGTGTGAGCAGGGAGGTGACTATGTGGGTGGCGACGGGGTAAGATTACGACGTGTGGGTGGCATGCACGAGTGCGCGACGAGGCATGGCAGGGTGGGAGTGAGCAAAAGGGGAGTGGGGCGGCTTGTGTGCCAAACGTGGGCGGCTAAAACGCTCTAGGCAGAAAACGCGCTTCGGGAGGCGCGCAAGGGGAGGGCTGCTTAAACGCTACGAACGCAGCAATTTCGCCTCCCTCCGCGCTGCCTTTCCTTGGCGGTAAGCGCCCCGTGCGCGGTTCCGTCTACGTTGCGGCTAGATTGAACGGGCGGGGAAAACGAGTGCGTGACTAAACATGATAGGCGACGAGAAAGCGTGCTTGGAAACGCGCGGCTCTTCGAATTAGGGTTTCGATAAAGGAGGGCGCACCGAAAGGGAAGGAAGAGTGCTAACTACGGGCGGAAGCTAAGCTCAGTGACTTCGAGAGAGGGAAACCGCGGGAAAAAACTCGGTATTTGCTAATCGCTTCGAATAGCAAAGCCGTGGGCAGAAAAGAGCGGGGGGATAAGGGAGAGTGTCGAGAGAGGGGATGGGCGGGAACACCGTGTCTGGCGGAGTTGTGGTTGTGAGTCGCGCGCGCTGTTACACTCCGCGGGCGAACTTCGCGTCAACGCCCCACCTCCCGTTACACCGGCTGCAGCGCGTCCGCAGCGATCCCGCGATGGCGGGGTCGAACAAACGGTTCCGTAACACCCCGCGAGTTCCGTTTCCGAGACTCCTGAGGGTCGCGCGCGAAACTCGCGACCCCCGTCCCGTCGAACTCCACAGTCGAAACTGGAAAACTAACCGTTGGAAACGCTTATAACTATAACATAAACAACTATCACAATCACTTTGTCCTTAAGCAACTCGAAATAGTAGGTTTAGGAGGCTCCTTAGTAGGCAGCCATGGCTAGGTAAGCTAGGTCAAGGGCTAAGCGCCGGTGGGCGAGAGCAGTACTGGGCTGGGTGACCTCCCGGGAAGTCCTCATGTTGTACCCATTTATGCCCCTTGCTCGGCACGTGCCGGGGGAGGGGCAAGCGGGAAAAAGAAAGGACGATTTTAGCGCGTCCGATTCTTTCATTTTCGTTTTTTTGCCCAAACAACGACCCAGCGGGGTGGGGGGCCCCCCGGGAGGCTTGCCCGTGCGAAGAAACGCCCCGTGCGCACCACCGTTGGGCGGTTGGAAGCCGCACACGGTCGCGGGGGTGCAGAGCGGAAACGGGCAGCCGGGGGAGGGTGGGGGCGGTTGGATGGGACTTGGGGTGTACGGGGGGCAGGGGAGTTGAGGGGGCAAGGGGAGGGGCAGCAACGGGCAGGGGCTGGGCCAACTGAGGGCACGGAAAAGGGGCGGGCAGAGGGTGAGCAGAGGGGCGAGCGATGCAAGGGTGGCACCATAGGGGGGAAACCAGTTGCACGGAGGTGGGAGGTGAGGGGCGTGCGAGGGGGTGGGAAAGGGGCAGGGAGGGGCAGAATGGGAGGATGTAGGTGGGGGGGGGGTGGGGGAGGGGAGTGTGCGTGTGTGTGTGCGTGTGAGAAAGAGAGAGAGAGAGAGAGAGAGAGAGAGAGAGAGAGAGAGGGAGGGGGGGATTGAAGGGTGGGAGGGGGGCTGGTCGTGGGGATGGGCTGATGGTGGTAAGAGGGCAGCAGGGATGGGGAGAAGGGAGCGTAACGAGGGGAGAGCAAAGGGCAGGGGGGGAGGAAGGGAGGGGCAGGGAGGGAAGAGGCTGAACGTACAAAGGGGGGAAACGAGGGGCATGGATGATAGGAAACGAGGGCAGGGGTGTGGGAAATCAAGGGCAGGGAGGAGAGAAGCAATGGGTGAGGGGAAAACAAGGGAGGGGCAGACGGGGGGCAGGGAGGGAAGAAACGTGGGGCAGGGAGGGGAGAAGCCAAAGACAGGGGCATGGGCAGGCGGGGGCAGGGAGGGAGCAAAGGAGAGGCACGGAGAAAGAAAGGGAGGCGCGGGGAGGGGAGAAACCGGGCGTGGGGGGGGCGGAAAATGAGGGGCAGGGCGGGGAGGAGGGAGGGGCAGGGAGGGGAGAAGCTGAGCACACGGAGGGGGGAAAGGTGAGGCAGGGAGGTAGGAAGCCAAGGACAAGGGGGGGGGAGAGTGGGGGGGGCAGGGAGAGGGGGGAGGTGGGGAGCGGGGAAAGGCGGCGAGGGGCAGGGAGGGGAGAAACCAAGCATAGGGGGGCGAGATACGAGGGGCAGGGTGCGGATTGAGGAGGGGCAGGGAGTGGAGTGGGTCGGCGAGGGGAAGGAAGAGGCGTGCAGCAGAGGAGGGGAGGGGGGAGGAGAAGGTAAAGGAGGGGAGCGCACGGGCGGGGAGGAGCGAATGGCGGGCGGTGGGAAACGGCGAGGGGGGGCAGGGAGGGTCAAAAGAGGCGGCAAGGGAGCGGGCACGCGGAGGGTAGGGGCGGGGGGAGCGGATGGCATGAGGGGGCAGGGGGTGTGACTATGAAGGGGGGGACCCGGGCAAGGGGTGTGTAGCGGTCGGGGCACGAGGTTGACGTGGTACGATCATACCTCGGCTACTACGCCGGATCCCATCAGAACTCCGAAGCTACGCGCCGGTGGGCGAGAGCAGTACTGGGCTGGGTGACCTCCCGGGAAGTCCTCGTGCTGTACCCATTTATGCCCCTTGCTCGGCACGTGCCGGGGGAGGGGCAAGCGGGAAAAAGAAAGGACGATTTTAGCGCGTCCGATTCTTTCATTTTCGTTTTTTTGCCCAAACAACGACCCAGCGGGGTGGGGGGGCCCCCGGGGAGGCTTGCCCGTGCGAAGAAACGCCCCGTGCGCACCACCGTTGGGCGGTTGGAAGCCGCACACGGTCGCGGGGGTGGAGAGCGGAAACGGGCAGCCGGGGGAGGGTGGGGGCGGTTGGATGGGACTTGGGGTGTACGGGGGGCAGGGGAGTTGAGGGGGCAAGGGGAGGGGCAGCAACGGGCAGGGGCTGGGCCAACTGAGGGCACGGAAAAGGGGCGGGCAGAGGGTGAGCAGAGGGGCGAGCGATGCAAGGGTGGCACCATAGGGGGGAAACCAGTTGCACGGAGGTGGGAGGTGAGGGGCGTGCGAGGGGGTGGGAAAGGGGCAGGGAGGGGCAGAATGGGAGGATGTAGGTGGGGGGCGTGGGGGAGGGGAGTGTGCGTGTGTGTGTGTGTGTGAGAAAGAGAGAGAGAGAGAGAGAGAGAGGGAGGGGGGGGATTGAAGGGTGGGAGGGGGGCTGGTCGTGGGGATGGGCTGATGGTGGTAAGAGGGCAGCAGGGATGGGGAGAAGGGAGCGTAACGAGGGGAGAGCAAAGGGCAGGGGGGGAGGAAGGGAGGGGCAGGGAGGGAAGAGGCTGAACGTACAAAGGGGGGAAACGAGGGGCATGGATGATAGGAAACGAGGGCAGGGGTGTGGGAAATCAAGGGCAGGGAGGAGAGAAGCAATGGGTGAGGGGAAAACAAGGGAGGGGCAGACGGGGAGCAGGGAGGGAAGAAACGTGGGGCAGGGAGGGGAGAAGCCAAAGACAGGGGCATGGGCAGGCGGGGGCAGGGAGGGAGCAAAGGAGAGGCACGGAGAAAGAAAGGGAGGCGCGGGGAGGGGAGAAACCGGGCGTGGGGGGGGGTGGAAAATGAGGGGCAGGGCGGGGAGGAGGGAGGGGCAGGGAGGGGAGAAGCTGAGCACACGGAGGGGGGAAAGGTGAGGCAGGGAGGTAGGAAGCCAAGGACAAGGGGGGGGGAGAGTGGGGGGGGCAGGGAGAGGGGGGAGGTGGGGAGCGGGGAAAGGCGGCGAGGGGCAGGGAGGGGAGAAACCAAGCATAGGGGGGCGAGATACGAGGGGCAGGGTGCGGATTGAGGAGGGGCAGGGAGTGGAGTGGGTCGGCGAGGGGAAGGAAGAGGCGTGCAGCAGAGGAGGGGAGGGGGGAGGAGAAGGTAAAGGAGGGGAGCGCACGGGCGGGGAGGAGCGAATGGCGGGCGGTGGGAAACGGCGAGGGGGGGCAGGGAGGGTCAAAAGAGGCAGCAAGGGAGCGGGCACGCGGAGGGTAGGGGCGGGGGGAGCGGATGGCATGAGGGGGCAGGGGGTGTGACTATGAAGGGGGGGACCCGGGCAAGGGGTGTGTAGCGGTCGGGGCACGAGGTTGACGTGGTACGATCATACCTCGGCTACTACGCCGGATCCCATCAGAACTCCGAAGCTACGCGCCGGTGGGCGAGAGCAGTACTGGGCTGGGTGACCTCCCGGGAAGTCCTCGTGTTGTACCCATTTATGCCCCTTGCTCGGCACGTGCCGGGGGAGGGGCAAGCGGGAAAAAGAAAGGACGATTTTAGCGCGTCCGATTCTTTTCTTTTCGTTTTTTTGCCCAAACAACGACCCAGCGGGGTGGGGGGCCCCCGGGGAGGCTTGCCCATGCGAAGAAACGCCCCGTGTGCACCACCGTTGGGCGGTTGGAAGCCGCACACGGTCGCGGGGGTGGAGAGCGGAAACGGGCAGCCGGGGGAGGGTGGGGGCGGTTGGATGGGACTTGGGGTGTACGGGGGGCAGGGGAGTTGAGGGGGCAAGGGGAGGGGCAGCAACGGGCAGGGGCTGGGCCAACTGAGGGCACGGAAAAGGGGCGGGCAGAGGGTGAGCAGAGGGGCGAGCGATGCAAGGGTGGCACCATAGGGGGGAAACCAGTTGCACGGAGGTGGGAGGTGAGGGGCGTGTGAGGGGGTGGGAAAGGGGCAGGGAGGGGCAGAATGGGAGGATGTAGGTGGGGGGGGGTGGGGGAGGGGAGTGTGCGTGTGTGTGTGTGTGTGAGAAAGAGAGAGAGAGAGAGAGAGAGAGAGAGAGAGAGAGAGAGAGAGGGAGGGGGGCTGGTCGTGGGGATGGGCTGATGGTGGTAAGAGGGCAGCAGGGATGGGGAGAAGGGAGCGTAACGAGGGGAGAGCAAAGGGCAGGGGGGGAGGAAGGGAGGGGCAGGGAGGGAAGAGGCTGAACGTACAAAGGGGGGAAACGAGGGGCATGGATGATAGGAAACGAGGGCAGGGGTGTGGGAAATCAAGGGCAGGGAGGAGAGAAGCAATGGGTGAGGGGAAAACAAGGGAGGGGCAGACGGGGGGCAGGGAGGGAAGAAACGTGGGGCAGGGAGGGGAGAAGCCAAAGACAGGGGCATGGGCAGGCGGGGGCAGGGAGGGAGCAAAGGAGAGGCACGGAGAAAGAAAGGGAGGCGCGGGGAGGGGAGAAACCGGGCGTGGGGGGGGCGGAAAATGAGGGGCAGGGCGGGGAGGAGGGAGGGGCAGGGAGGGGAGAAGCTGAGCACACGGAGGGGGGAAAGGTGAGGCAGGGAGGTAGGAAGCCAAGGACAAGGGGGGGGAGAGTGGGGGGGGCAGGGAGAGGGGGGAGGTGGGGAGCGGGGAAAGGCGGCGAGGGGCAGGGAGGGGAGAAACCAAGCATAGGGGGGCGAGATACGAGGGGCAGGGTGCGGATTGAGGAGGGGCAGGGAGTGGAGTGGGTCGGCGAGGGGAAGGAAGAGGCGTGCAGCAGAGGAGGGGAGGGGGGAGGAGAAGGTAAAGGAGGGGAGCGCACGGGCGGGGAGGAGCGAATGGCGGGCGGTGGGAAACGGCGAGGGGGGGCAGGGAGGGTCAAAAGAGGCGGCAAGGGAGCGGGCACGCGGAGGGTAGGGGCGGGGGGAGCGGATGGCATGAGGGGGCAGGGGGTGTGACTATGAAGGGGGGGACCCGGGCAAGGGGTTTGTAGCGGTCGGGGCACGAGGTTGACGTGGTACGATCATACCTCGGCTACTACGCCGGATCCCATCAGAACTCCGAAGCTAAGCGCCGGTGGGCGAGAGCAGTACTGGGCTGGGTGACCTCCCGGGAAGTCCTCGTGTTGTACCCATTTATGCCCCTTGCTCGGCACGTGCCGGGGGAGGGGCAAGCGGGAAAAAGAAAGGACGATTTTAGCGCGTCCGATTCTTTTCTTTTCGTTTTTTTGCCCAAACAACGACCCAGCGGGGTGGGGGGCCCCCGGGGAGGCTTGCCCATGCGAAGAAACGCCCCGTGCGCACCACCGTTGGGCGGTTGGAAGCCGCACACGGTCGCGGGGGTGGAGAGCGGAAACGGGCAGCCGGGGGAGGGTGGGGGCGGTTGGATGGGACTTGGGGTGTACGGGGGGCAGGGGAGTTGAGGGGGCAAGGGGAGGGGCAGCAACGGGCAGGGGCTGGGCCAACTGAGGGCACGGAAAAGGGGCGGGCAGAGGGTGAGCAGAGGGGCGAGCGATGCAAGGGTGGCACCATAGGGGGGAAACCAGTTGCACGGAGGTGGGAGGTGAGGGGCGTGCGAGGGGGTGGGAAAGGGGCAGGGAGGGGCAGAATGGGAGGATGTAGGTGGGGGGGGGTGGGGGAGGGGAGTGTGCGTGTGTGTGTGTGTGTGAGAAAGAGAGAGAGAGAGAGAGAGAGAGAGAGAGAGAGAGGGAGGGGGGGATTGAAGGGTGGGAGGGGGGCTGGTCGTGGGGATGGGCTGATGGTGGTAAGAGGGCAGCAGGGATGGGGAGAAGGGAGCGTAACGAGGGGAGAGCAAAGGGCAGGGGGGGAGGAAGGGAGGGGCAGGGAGGGAAGAGGCTGAACGTACAAAGGGGGGAAACGAGGGGCATGGATGATAGGAAACGAGGGCAGGGGTGTGGGAAATCAAGGGCAGGGAGGAGAGAAGCAATGGGTGAGGGGAAAACAAGGGAGGGGCAGACGGGGGGCAGGGAGGGAAGAAACGTGGGGCAGGGAGGGGAGAAGCCAAAGACAGGGGCATGGGCAGGCGGGGGCAGGGAGGGAGCAAAGGAGAGGCACGGAGAAAGAAAGGGAGGCGCGGGGAGGGGAGAAACCGGGCGTGGGGGGGGGGGGGCGGAAAATGAGGGGCAGGGCGGGGAGGAGGGAGGGGCAGGGAGGGGAGAAGCTGAGCACACGGAGGGGGGAAAGGTGAGGCAGGGAGGTAGGAAGCCAAGGACAAGGGGGGGGGAGAGTGGGGGGGGCAGGGAGAGGGGGGAGGTGGGGAGCGGGGAAAGGCGGCGAGGGGCAGGGAGGGGAGAAACCAAGCATAGGGGGGCGAGATACGAGGGGCAGGGTGCGGATTGAGGAGGGGCAGGGAGTGGAGTGGGTCGGCGAGGGGAAGGAAGAGGCGTGCAGCAGAGGAGGGGAGGGGGGAGGAGAAGGTAAAGGAGGGGAGCGCACGGGCGGGGAGGAGCGAATGGCGGGCGGTGGGAAACGGCGAGGGGGGGCAGGGAGGGTCAAAAGAGGCGGCAAGGGAGCGGGCACGCGGAGGGTAGGGGCGGGGGGAGCGGATGGCATGAGGGGGCAGGGGGTGTGACTATGAAGGGGGGGACCCGGGCAAGGGGTGTGTAGCGGTCGGGGCACGAGGTTGACGTGGTACGATCATACCTCGGCTACTACGCCGGATCCCATCAGAACTCCGAAGCTAAGCGCCGGTGGGCGAGAGCAGTTATTCATTAATAGGGGAAGAGCAAATACAAGCCGAATATAATGGTTTTTCCAAAACTAGGAAATTTCGACATAGCCTTATCGCTATGGGGACGGTATATATATTTTGTAGGAAAAGGGGGAAAGAAAGGAAAGGAAGGAAGGATGAAGGAGTAAGAAGAGGTGGTAGGGAGAAGAAGAGGGTGGTAGGAAGAGAAGGGAAGGACAGGAGAAGGGAACAGAAAGAGGGAGGTGGGGAGAGAAGAGGAGAGAGGGAGAGAGACTAAGGAGGAGGAAGCACCAAAGGACCACAACACGGCAGCAACCCGCACGACCGCACGGGCACAGCGTTTCAAGCACAGCCACTATTTTTTTTTTCCACATATGCATCATATATATACTGCATATCAGCCACACTCTCGAAGCACCCTGTGACGTGGTGCCAAGTACCCTGCCCCGCACCCAGTGGGACTGGTGCGGGCATCCACCCGTCGTCGGATCCCCCTAACTGCCGCACCGCATGCTGGATCATGCATTGAGCCTGCGCGCGCTGCAGTGCAACGGAGAGGCGTGTAGTGAGTCCTGCCTCAAATATCCGTGCCGATCCGTCATCCCCCCCACCTCTATCCCTCCTCCGCTGTGCTATCCTCTTTGCGCAGAGCCCCAGAAACTGACGTAGCGGCTCACTCAGAAGGCCAAAGGTCTCCGCCACGCACGCGTAAAAGTGTGGTGCCGGCTGCAGCCCCTCTAAGTGCGGCCCCCAGTGCCGCAGCTTCTCCTGCACCCGCCTAGCTGCTGCCACTCCAATCTGTGTGGGGGTCGCCCGTCTCAGCTGCACGTTCCCCTCCCGCTGTGGATCCGCTATGGAGACATCCACAAGAACCATCAGACCCTGGCCAACGTCGCGGCAGGTGAGGTCTGGGATGCGGGAGGCGGTGCCTACACGGCCTGTGCGTCCGACTGGTCCCTGCTGTTGCGCTGGCTGCTGCCCTGTCTGGTCCCTTGGTGCCTCCTCTCCGATCGTCTCTCTCCCCCTCTCCTCTCCTCCATCCACCTGTCCTCTCCCCTCCCCCTCTCTACCCTCCCCCAACCCTCCCGACCCCCCTGCTCCATCCCCTGCTGCCTCTCTCACTCCCTGGCCCTCCCCTCCCAATCCCGCTGCCCCTCCTGTACCTCCGTCCGCTCTCTGCTGCTCCCGCCCCTGCCCCTCCTCCGAGGCCGAACCTGGAGGCGCGGCGCCCTGGGCCCGCGGCCTCCCCTGGCTCTCCTGCTGCTGCCTGTGCCGTCTCCCCTCCCCGTCCTGGCCCGTCTGCTCCCCCTGCCGTCCCCTCCGCCCACCTATCCCTCGCTCCACCTGACCCCGCAGCTGGTGCTGTCCCCACTGTCCCCCGCCACCCGGCTGTCCCGCCTCGCCTCTCTGCTCCCCCGGTCCCTCAGCCCGCGTCCCCTCTCCCACCACTGGCTGTCCCAGTAGTCTCGCTCGAGCCGCCTCCAACTGTGTGAACAGCGTAGAGTCCTCCACCTTTACCGCGAAGCCCGCCTCGACCGCAAAGTCTCGAAGCATGTACTTCACCGTGTCGTGGATGGTAGTGGCGACCCCGTAGCGCGGGCACCGAACCGCGTGATGAGGCACCGTCATGTCGTCAATCGCCTGTCCGCAGGAGCACTGACCTGCAAGGGCTAACTGGGGGATAGGGAGACCGAGACGAGAAGATGAAGCCGCCTGCCACAGCGCCTCCGGGATGCGCAGTGGGTCAGCGTACGGCACCGACGTCAACCACGCCCCTGCACCTCCGCCCTGAAGGGAAGTCAAACGGGCAAGGTGCAAGGGAGAGGCGTGACGGGCACGCACGGCCTCCAAGGCATGCGCCTCCAGAAGACGGCTCGCTCCTGCAAAAAGGGAATCGGGGGAGGCAGAAGCGCAAGAGGGCCAGGGGGGAAGGAGAGAGAGAACGTCGGGTGGGAGACCCTCTAGCGCCGTCTGCAGAGCCCGGTCGATCTGCTCTGGCTCACCTGAAGCTGAAGCTCTGCCGAAACACCTCGCCACACGCAGGGAGAGAACAGAGAATGGGAGCACACTGCACCCAGGAGCACACGAAACTCACCGGGGCGATGCGTGCCATGCGACGAATGCCGAAAACCCCCGAGACGGATGGGGAGGAAGATCTGGTCTAGGGCGGCCTCTCGGACGTCCTCGCGACAAGCCCAGGTCCCTGAAGCTAAAAGCTGCTGAAATGTCTCTCCCAGGCGTGCGTCCCACCGTGTAAAACTAGAGATCACTGCGGGCGAAGGAGGGACGGTCCTCGACAGGTACTGCGGACGAGTGCTGACACACGCCGACAGAAGGCGGGCAGCTGTCTGGGGCTGGCGCAACCTCGGAAGCCAAGGTAGCACCCGCCCCATCCTCTCGAGACGATCCGGGAGACTCTGCTCCACGAACGAAACGGTGCCTACTCGGTACGCCTGTCACGGTGAGCCCTCGGCGTGCGACCTCGATCCCTAGGCCCGTGAAGGCCTCCAGATCCCTGGACAGAAAGGACTCTGTCTGGTAGACGAGGCACTTGTGCGGCTGGGCTGCAAGGCCCATCTCGCCCAAGCGCCTCACGATCTCGGCAAAGTGGTGCAGCACCCTGTCTGGGGGACCTAGCACGTACGTGTCATCGGCGTACGACCAGAGCTGGACATCCCCCTCCACCAGAACCGGCTCCAAAGCAAGACGCTGTGTCAGAGCGTACAAGAAGGGGCTGAGAGGGTCTCCCTGGCGAGTGCCCCGCTCCGAGTGCATCGTGACCACTCCCGTGCCTGACCTGTAGTGGAGATCCGAGGGCGTCCCGTAGAAGAGGCCGATGAAGGGGATCAGGCACTGAAACTCCGGGCTGGCCTGCAACGCCTGGAACATCCAGTCTCGGTGGAAGGAGTTAAAGGCATTCGCCACGTCTAGCTGCAGGACCACCCAGTCTGGGTGGTCAGCCAGAGCGCGGCGGACGCCTCTAACTACGACCTCTGTCCCGCACGTAACCCCCACCCCAAACTGCTGTGACGCCAAGAAGACCCTCGCCATCTGGTCACGCTAGCTGGAGACAGACTGCACGAGAAAGAATGCGGACCAAAACCTCGCCGATGGCAATCGGCCGAACATCCATGTTCGACTTCGCCAGAGCCACGAGGGTGGAAGACGCTAGCAAGGAGCGCGTAGCTGGAGCGCAACGGCCTCGGAGCCACTGCTGGTACACGGCCAGGAGGAAATGGAGACTCTGAGGGAAAGCTAGGAAAGTGTCTCGCAGGTGCTCAGCGACCCAACCGGACGGTCCTCCCGAAGAGCCCCGCGGAGCTGTGAAAATCGCGCTGGCGTAAGTGATCCACCGAGAGCACGAGAGGGGACCCCTGGAAGCCAGACTGCCAAGCTGGGGTCGGCCTCTCCGCGTTGGGGTGCTTCGACTGCAGGCGCTGTATCGTCCCCTGTGTATCTGGGGCTGCCTCCGCGGACTCGAGAGCCGCGCACGCCCGTGAGGTCTCATTGCACGCTGCCAGACGAAGGCAACGTGCAATGCGGCGCTCATCTGCTGTAGAGGGATCGGTGGCGGTGCGTGACCGGTGACCTGTGCGCCGAGGAAGGGGTGTGCGACGGCCTAGTGCATCTGAGACTAGCTCAGCCCACTCACCTCGACCAAAGCGGGAGATGCGCGTTGCAATGGCAGCCGTGTGCGAGCGGTCGGGTGGCGTCGCTGGAACAAGGAAAAGAGTCGGCGCTGCAGCGAGGAGGAAGGTAGGGCCAGCAGCCTCCGGGTCCTGGGCAATGCGGACTAGGATCGCACTGAGGACGTCGAGATATCCTCCGCGGACCCTCTCCGGGACACGTCGGAGAGGGCGTGCTATGGATACGCTCGGGCGAGAAGTACTCTGTCCAGTCCACCGAGTCGAGCGTCTGCCACTGTGCGTCGGTGAACTGTATCCCGGTCGCACGGGGCTGTGAGAGGGAAGGGATGATCGAGGCGGTAGTCATGGGCAGCCTGCGCCCTGCGAGCCGCGTCCGCAGGATGGCAGAAGGGAATGTGGTGCTGGAGCGCGCGTCGGTTCGCGAGAGAGCTCCTGCAGGTGGGGCAACTCACGACCTGGTCGGGTGATGTCGCCGTGTCGGCGGGGTCAATCGGGGCCGTGGCGTCGGAACTGGCTGTAGAGGGGACCCCGTGGGCGGCCTGAGCTCCGAGAGGATCGCCTGGGATGAGGGGAGGAGACGACTCACCAGCCCCGTGCATGGGGGGGTGTCAGCGAAGATAGAGGTGGTGTCGCACAGGATAGGGCCGGGCCTCGTACCGGTACCGGTGTCGAAGCTGGGGAGGGGGGACGTGGAGGTGAGCCTGAAGTGTGTGCCGTGGTGTGCTCCTGCCCCTCGGCGGGGTGCGGTTCAAGTGACGGCTCTGCTACCCCAGGCGGAGGGGTCTCGGTAGGGGCGGATGCCTCATCCCTACTGCTGGTGACCTCCTGCGCCACGGGGCTGAACGGGGGGAGGCGCCACCCCATCTAGGTGCGCGTGACACGGCCTCAGAACCCTGGTCCGTCTCCATTGGGGTCGGGAGTGACGCGCCTGGCTGAGTGGCGGGGGGGATAAAAGAAGGGACAGACCGGGTGACCTCCGCATACGTCCGGGTCCGGTCCTGTGGGACTGGAAGGGTGGGGGCAGCCGGAGAGCTGCTCGGGCGGTGTATCGCCAGCAAATCTGAAATGCCAGCCCTCACCTCCTCTGGGGTCTCGAAGACCTGCCTGCCTGTAGGTGAGAGTAGGAGGGCTGGCAGGGTAGAGGGTGGGAGTGGGGCTTGCTGGCTGAGCGGAGCTCGGGTGTGGACCCTGCCCTAGAAGGCCCCCTTGGCCCTCCCCAATCACCATGGGTTGCGGTAGGGGGTCGTCGACATGGAAGGGGTGGGAGGGATGGGAGGGGGAGTCGGTGGCGTCTTCCATGGGCGCATCCCTCAACCCGACGGCCTCCATCCCAGTAGCGATCGCGGCCGCCGCCACCTGGGAGGGGGACACAGCACGAGAGGGGCAGAATGGGGGTGAGTGGGCTGGTCCGCTCCCATGGCCCTGTGGAGGTGCAGGAGCGGGGCGGGAGTGTAGGTTTGGTGGTCGGGCTGTAGAGGTAGGGCCTGGTAAGGGTTCAACGGGATGTGGGGTGGGGAGGGGCTCTTGGTGGGGGAGGGAGGGAGGGGGGAGTACGTGGGCTGACCCTCTGCCTCCTCTGCCCCTGTTCTTCCGCCGGCGGCCAACCTGGTTGTCCGCGCCTGTTTGTGAAGGAAGGGGGGGCTGTGGGGCCAAAGGGGTGGGTGGAGGGAGGATGGGTGGTTCGCCAGGCGGGGGGTGCTCTGTGTGCATCCCCTCTCTCCTCGAAACATCCCCCTCCGTGGGAACAGATCGGGCAGGCTGTGTGTGGGGGGTGATGGCTGCCCAACGGGGCCACTCGTGGGGAACCCGGCCGGGAGGGGGGGTTGGAGGTGGGGGTCGAGGGGCTGGGCCAGTGTGGAGGTTAGAGCGAGGTACAAGCGGTGGGGGGAGAGAGATTTGTGTGGGCTCTGTGGTGGCCTCTCCTGTGGGCCCCTCTACCCGGGTGCCGCCGCTCCCATGAGCCTGGGGCGCAAGCCCTTGTGGGTGGGTCTCGGCTGCCTGGGGGGGGTGGTGTGAGGGGGGCAGCCTGTTGGGTGGGCGTGTTGGGGCTGTGCGGCGACTCGGGTGGTTTGGGTGCCTGTAGCGTGTGGGAGAGGGATTTGGCCGCAGAGATGCTTCAACCTCCGAGATGTGTGTACTACCGGGTGGGGGGGGGCCTGGTGGAGGGGGGGGTAGTGGGCCGGTAGGGGTGGCTGGGTGTTGGTAGGAGTCGGGGAGCATGGCTCCTCTAGGAAGGCCAGAGCCCTGGCTGCTCCACGTGGTGCTCTAAGGAGCCCCTGAGGGTGGGGGCAGAGGTGTGCTGCCCTTGGGGGTGAGGGAAGGAGTGAGGGAAGGGGCGGGGAGGGGTGAGAGGTGAGAGAAGGGGTGCCCTCGGGTGACTCTGCTCTTGTCGCACCCGCGTGCTCTCCCGGTGGACCGCCTGCAACCGTGGGGTCAGGGGTTGGGGACGGAGAGGGGGGCTGGCCATGGAGCAACGTGGGGGTCGGGGAGCACGGCTCCGCCAAGAAGGCCAGGGCCTTGGCTGCCCCCCTGGATACTACCGGGACCTGAGGGTGGGGGTGGGGAAGTGGTGCTCTTGGGGGTGGGTGGGCTGGAGGACGGGAGGTGAGGATGGGGGCTCCCTCGTGCGGCTCTGTCCTCAAGGTCTCCCCCAGCCCCTCCATCGGTCCTTCTGCTAGCATGGGGACGGGCATGGGGGGTAGAGGGGGAACCTCGACGTGAGGCTGCAGGGGGGCCGGGTCGGCCTCACCGTCAGGCGTGAGGTATTGGGCCAGTGGCCCGTCAATGTGCATCACATCCTCTCCCTCATCCTCCTCTATCGCTATCACATCCCCCTCTTCAGTGCCCACCCCGGTCGGGACCACCCTCCCCTCTCCTTCCCCTGTTGCCCCTATGTCCCCCAAGCCCACCCCGCCTGCTGCCGCTTTACTGCTAGCCCCTTTTGCAGTCTCTGCCGGCCCTGCCGGCCCTGCTGTGTGTTTCCCCGAGTTTGCTGCGGCCCCTGCCGCCCCTACTGGCCGTGCTATGGCCCTCCCTGCTGCTTCAGCTGCAGCCTCACCTTCTGCCTTTGAGGCCCCTGCCGTACCCTCTCTTGCTACAGCCGGGGCGGCACTCTCCCTCGCACCAGTCCCCGTTACCCCCTTCCCCGCTGCACCCGTAGCACCTCCCCCTATACCAGCCCCCGCTGTGGCCTCTGTCGCTCCTGCTGCAGTCCTTGCAGCCTCGACTGCTGCAGTCTGTAAAACCTCGCCTACCGTAATCTGCTCAGCCTCACCAGCCGCGGTCCCTGCAGCCTCACGTGCTGCAGTCCCTGCAGCCTCACCTGCTGCAGTCCCTGCGGCCTCGCCTGCTGCAGTCTGTGCTAGCCTCACCTGCTAGAATCTGCTCAACCTCACATGCTGCGGCCTCTGCAGCCTCACCTGCTGCGGCTATTTCAGCCTCACCTGCTGCGCTCCCTGCCACCTGCCCTGGTCCCGCCTGCAGCCTCATCCGCTGTGGTCCCTGCAGCCTCACCTGCTGCAGTCCCTGCGGCCTCACCTGTTGCAGTCCCTGCGACCTCACCAGCTGTAGACTGTGCAGCCTCACCTGCTAGAGTCTGCCCAACCTTACATGATGCAGCCCTCGCAGCCTCACCTGCTGCGTCCGCCGCAAGCCTCACCTGCTGCGGCCCCTGCAGCCCCGCCTGCTGCGCTCCCTGCAGCCTCGCCTGCTGCGCTCCCTGCAGCCTCGCCTGCTGCGCTCCCTGCGGCCTCACCTGCTGCGCTCTCTGCAGCCTCACCTGCTGCGCTCCCTACAGCCTCACCTGCTGCGCTCCCTGCAGCCTCACCTACTGCGCTCCCTGCGGCTTCACCTGCCATGGTCCCTCCTGCAGCCTCACCCGTTGTGATCCCTGCAGCCACACCTGCTGTGGTCTGTGCGGCCTCGCCTGGTGCGGTCCCTATAGCCTCCTCTGCTGCGGTTCCCCCAGCCGACACAGCAGCAGGTTCCGTGGCCCCTACTCCTGCAAAACCTGTCTCCATGGCCTCTGCCCTTTGCCTGGCCAGAGTCACGGTCCCTGCCGCCCCTTCCCGTGCAGCCTCTGCCGCCCTTTCCCGTGCAGCCGCTGCTGCCCCTTCCCTTGCAGCCTCTGCTGCCCTTTCCTCTGCAACCTCTGCTGCCCCTTCCCCCACAACCCCCTATTGCCCCTTCCCGTGCAGCCTTTGCTGCCCCACCCTCTGCAGCCTCTGCTGCTCCTTCGCACACACATTCACTTACCCCTTCCCGTGCAGTGTTAGCTGCAAGTTCCCCCCTGGCTCTGCCCCTCTCCCGCTTCTATGTGCTTGGGGGTGCTAGTAGGATTAAGTGTTTTCACAAGTAATCTGGTTTGCGAATGGGAGGTAGCGAGTGAGTTGGGGGATCTCTCCACTTGAGCATGCATGGGTACCGTCCCCGCTGTCACCTGAAGGGGGGGTAGGACTGGGATGGGGCAGCGGGGGTAGGGCGCGGTTTTGAGCGTGCTGGCTCCTCCTTGTGTATTTCCTCCAGTGGGGCTTGGCGTTCCTCTGTTCCATCCTCTTCAAGGGTACGCTTTCTGGCCCCTAGGGTCAGATTGTGTGAGTGTTTTCGCTTGGTCAGGTGTGTGTTGTTTCTTCCTGACTGTTGAAGTGGGGGGAGTGGGAGAGTAGGGGGTGGCTCGGCTGCGGGACCTCCCAGATCGCCGAGGGGCTCCCGGGTCTGCCTTTTCCCCACTCGCGGGGTGCTGGGGCATTGTTACAGAGGCAGCATGCCTGGCGGTGGCGGTGTGAGTTGCTGGAGTTGGCTCAAGAGGGCGTCAAAGGGGGAAGGAACTCCCTGGCAGAGGCCGGGGTGCGGGGGGTTAGCTTGGGAAGATGGAAAAAGGGTGGGGAAAGCGGTGCGCAGTGGGTGGAAGAGAGGGTAGAGGGGGCCTGACAGGTTGGAGGGGATTGGGGCCCAAGGGGGGGGCGGGCTGGGGGCCGGTTGAGAGGGGAAGTGTTGGCGGGCTGTAGTGGAGGTGGGGGGGCGGGGGTGATGTAGTGGTGGGCGAGCAGGGTGTGGGGACAGGTGGTGGGCCAGAGGTGGGGAGGGCAGGGCAGAATTCCACGGGAGGTGGGGGTGGGCAGGTGGAGCCAAGGTGGGGAAGGAAGGGTGGGGAACAGAGAGGAAGGGGCAAAGGGTAGTGGGTAGTCGAGTTGGCGTGAGCCTGGTAGCGGGTAATGAGAAGGTTGGAAGGCGGGGGGTGAGAACGTGGGAGGGCAGAGAGGGCACCGAAAGGAGGCGCTGTGGTAAATGCAGAAATAGATGCGGGGCCGGGAAGCAGGGGACAGAGGGAATCGGGGAATTGATGAAGGGTGATACCTGCGGATGGGCGAGCCCCAGGGGGGAGGAAATATGGAGGGTGTTGGAGAAGGGGGAGACTGGGGGGGGTTGAGGTAGGGTGTTGGAAGGCACAAGGGGCAGGAACAGGGGGTGCAGAGGTTGGTTGGGGGAGGGAGAGGCGGTCTGGTGCCGCGGAAGGGCGGACGGAGGTTGGGGACGGCACAGCACAGGGAGCAAAAGCAAGGGGTGTAGACCCTGGCTGGGGGTAGGAACGGCAGGTGTGGAGTTAGGGAGAGGTAGAGGGAGGCTGGGGTAGGTGGCTGGATTGCGCAGGGAGCAGGGGCAGGGGGTGTAGAGATTGGATGGGGGTGGGAAAGGCGGCGTGGTGTCAGGTGGCGGCAGTTGGGTCCTCGAAGGGCCTGGCAGGGCAGGATGCAGAGGTGCAGCCCACGCTGGATGCGGAAGTAGCTGGGGGGGAAAGGGAAGGCTGGAGGGGGAAGGTACGGCTCGTAGAGGTGTGGGGGGCAGAGTGGGAGTGGGGAAGGTAGGAGGGGGGTGGAGGAGGGACGTTGTGGACAGGGGAGTGGGGGAACATGCGGGTGATGATAGGGAGAAGCCGGGGGGAGGGAGAAGGGGGAGGTGGTATGACGTGGGCGAGGGTGACGCACGGGCAGAGCGCGGCGGTACTAAGGGCAGGGAGACGGGGGGCTGGGGGGAGAAAGGCCTGCTTGGGGGCGTGGTGGGGGATAAGGGGAGAGGGGCGGTAATGCTGGTGGGCAAAAGGGGAGGGTGTGGTGTAGTATGATGAAACAGAATGGGGGGGGTGGCGGACTGGATGGGGCCCTGGAGGGTTGGGAGAACAAGGTGTAAGCTGCCTTTCTGATTTTTCCTGGTTTTTTTCGGATTTATATGAATTTCTTTTTCTTTTCTTTTTTTTTTCCTTGAAGTTGTTTCCTCTTATTTCCTACGGTTTCCAGAAACAGGGCGGCCTCTGCTAGCTAAGCGCCGTTAGGGAAAGAGGTTAGGTGGCGGGGTGGCTAAAGCGCGCGTGTGAGGGGGAAAGGGGCGGTGTGAGCAGGGAGGTGACTATGTGGGTGGCGACGGGGTAAGGTTACGACGTGTGGGTGGCATGCACGAGTGCGCGACGAGGCATGGCAGGGTGGGGAGTGAGCAAAAGGGGAGTGGGGCGGCTTGTGTGCCAAACGTGGGCGGCTAAAACGCTCTAGGCAGAAAACGCGCTTCGGGAGGCGCGCAAGGGGAGGGCTGCTTAATCGCTACGAACGTAGCAATTTCGCCTCCCTCCGCGCTGCCTTTCCCTGGCGGTAAGCGCCCCGCGCGGTTCCGTCTACGTCGCGGCTAGATTGAACAGGCGGGGAAAACGAGTGCGTGACTAAACATGATAGGCGACGAGAAAGCGTGCTTGGAAACGCGCGGCTCTTCGAATTAGGGTTTCGACAATGAAGGGCGCACCGAAAGGGAAGGAAGAGTGCTAACTACGGGCGGAAGCTAAGCTCAGTGACTTCGAGAGAGGGAAACCGCGGGAAAAAACTCGGTATTTGCTAATCGCTTCGAATGGAAAAGCCGTGAGCAGAAAAGAGCGGGGGGATAAGGGAGAGTGTCGAGAGAGGGGATGGGCGGGAACACCGTGTCTGGCGGAGTTGTGGTTGTGAGTCGCGCGCGCTGTTACACTCCGCGGGCGAACTTCGCGTCCACGCCCCACCTCCCGTTACACCGGCTGCAGCGCGTCCGCAGCGATCCCGCGATGGCGGGGTCGAACAAACGGTTCCGTAACACCCCGCGAGTTCCGTTTCCGAGACTCCTGAGGGTCGCGCGCGAAACTCGCGACCCCCGTCCCGTCGAACTCGACAGTCGAAACTAAAAAACTAACCGTTGGAAACGCTTATAACTATAACATAAACAACTATCACAATCACTTTGTCCTTAAGCAACTCGAAATAGTAGGTTTAGGAGGCTCCTTAGTAGGCAGCCATGGCTAGGTAAGCTAGGTCAAGGTAAGAGCGCCGGTGGGCGAGAGCAGTACTGGGCTGGGTGACCTCCCGGGAAGTCCTCGTGTTGTACCCATTTATGCCCCTTGCTCGGCACGTGCCGGGGGAGGGGCAAGCGGGAAAAAGAAAGGACGATTTTAGCGCGTCCGATTCTTTTCTTTTCGTTTTTTTTGCCCAAACAACGACCCAGCGGGGTGGGGGGCCCCCGGGGAGGCTTGCCCATGCGAAGAAACGCCCCGTGCGCACCACCGTTGGGCGGTTGGAAGCCGCACACGGTCGCGGGGGTGGAGAGCGGAAACGGGCAGCCGGGGGAGGGTGGGGGCGGTTGGATGGGACTTGGGGTGTACGGGGGGCAGGGGAGTTGAGGGGGCAAGGGGAGGGGCAGCAACGGGCAGGGGCTGGGCCAACTGAGGGCACGGAAAAGGGGCGGGCAGAGGGTGAGCAGAGGGGCGAGCGATGCAAGGGTGGCACCATAGGGGGGAAACCAGTTGCACGGAGGTGGGAGGTGAGGGGCGTGCGAGGGGGTGGGAAAGGGGCAGGGAGGGGCAGAATGGGAGGATGTAGGTGGGGGGGGGTGGGGGAGGGGAGTGTGCGTGTGTGTGTGTGTGTGAGAAAGAGAGAGAGAGAGAGAGAGAGAGAGAGAGAGAGAGAGAGGGAGGGGGGGATTGAAGGGTGGGAGGGGGGCTGGTCGTGGGGATGGGCTGATGGTGGTAAGAGGGCAGCAGGGATGGGGAGAAGGGAGCGTAACGAGGGGAGAGCAAAGGGCAGGGGGGGAGGAAGGGAGGGGCAGGGAGGGAAGAGGCTGAACGTACAAAGGGGGGAAACGAGGGGCATGGATGATAGGAAACGAGGGCAGGGGTGTGGGAAATCAAGGGCAGGGAGGAGAGAAGCAATGGGTGAGGGGAAAACAAGGGAGGGGCAGACGGGGGGCAGGGAGGGAAGAAACGTGGGGCAGGGAGGGGAGAAGCCAAAGACAGGGGCATGGGCAGGCGGGGGCAGGGAGGGAGCAAAGGAGAGGCACGGAGAAAGAAAGGGAGGCGCGGGGAGGGGAGAAACCGGGCGTGGGGGGGGGGGGCGGAAAATGAGGGGCAGGGCGGGGAGGAGGGAGGGGCAGGGAGGGGAGAAGCTGAGCACACGGAGGGGGGAAAGGTGAGGCAGGGAGGTAGGAAGCCAAGGACAAGGGGGGGGGAGAGTGGGGGGGGCAGGGAGAGGGGGGAGGTGGGGAGCGGGGAAAGGCGGCGAGGGGCAGGGAGGGGAGAAACCAAGCATAGGGGGGCGAGATACGAGGGGCAGGGTGCGGATTGAGGAGGGGCAGGGAGTGGAGTGGGTCGGCGAGGGGAAGGAAGAGGCGTGCAGCAGAGGAGGGGAGGGGGGAGGAGAAGGTAAAGGAGGGGAGCGCACGGGCGGGGAGGAGCGAATGGCGGGCGGTGGGAAACGGCGAGGGGGGGCAGGGAGGGTCAAAAGAGGCGGCAAGGGAGCGGGCACGCGGAGGGTAGGGGCGGGGGGAGCGGATGGCATGAGGGGGCAGGGGGTGTGACTATGAAGGGGGGGACCCGGGCAAGGGGTGTGTAGCGGTCGGGGCACGAGGTTGACGTGGTACGATCATACCTCGGCTACTACGCCGGATCCCATCAGAACTCCGAAGCTAAGCGCCGGTGGGCGAGAGCAGTTATTCATTAATAAGGGAAGAGCAAATACAAGCCGAATATAATGGTTTTTCCAAGACTAGGAAATTTCGACATAGCCTAAGCGCTATGAGGACGATTTATATATTTTGTAGGAAAAGGGGGAAAGAAAGGAAAGGAAGGAAAGATGAAGGAGTAAGAAGAAGTGGTAGGGAAAGGAAGAGGGTGGTAGGAAGAGAAGGGAAGGATAGAAGAAGGGAACAGAAAGAGGGAGGTGGGAAGAGAAGAGGAGAGAGAGAGAGAGACTAAGGAGAAGGAAGCACCAAAGGACCAAACACGGCAGCAACCCGCACGACCGCACGGGCACAGCGTTTCAAGCACAGCCACTATTGTTTTTTACACATATGCATCATATATATACTGCATATCAGCCACACTCTCGAAGCACCCTGTGACGTGGTGCCAAGTTCCCTGCCCCGCACCCAGTGGGACTGGTGCGGGCATCCACCCGTCGTCGGACCTCCCTAACTGCCGCACCGCATGCTGGATCATGCATTGAGCCTGCGCGCGCTGCAGTGCAACGGAGAGGCGTGTAGTGAGTCCTGCCTCAAATATCCGTGCCGATCCGTCATCCCCCCCACCTCTATCCCTCCTCCGCTGTGCTATCCTCTTTGCGCAGAGCCCCAGAAACTGACGCAGCGGCTCACTCAGAAGGCCAAAGGTCTCCGCCACGCACGCGTAAAAGTGTGGTGCCGGCTGCAGCCCCTCTAAGTGCGGCCCCCAGTGACGCAGCTTCTCCTGCACCCGCCTAGCTGCTGCCACTCCAATCTGTGTGGGGGTCGCCCGTCTCAGCTGCACGTTCCCCTCCCGCTGTGGATCCGCTATGGAGACATCCACAAGAACCATCAGACCCTGGCCAACGTCGCGGCAGGTGAGGTCTGGAATGCGGGAGGCGGTGCCTACACGGCCTGTGCGTCCGACTGGTCCCTGCTGTTGCGCTGGCTGCTGCCCTGTCTGGTCCCTTGGTGCCCCCTCTCCGATCGTCTCTCTCCCCCTCTCCTCTCCTCCATCCACCTGTCCTCTCCCCTCCCCCTCCCTACCCTCCCCCAAACCTCCCGACCCCCCTGCTCCATCCCCTGCTGCCTCTCTCACTCCCTGGCCCTCCCCTCCCAATCCCGCTGCCCCTCCTGTACCTCCGTCCGCTCTCTGCTGCTCCCGCCCCTGCCCCGCCCCCGAGGCCGAACCTGGAGGCGCGGCGCCCTGGGCCCGCGGCCTCCACTGGCTCTCCTGCTGCTGCCTGTGCCGTCCCCCCTCCCCGTCCTGGCCCGTCTGCTCCCCCTGCCGTCCCCTCTGCCCACCTGTCCCTCGCTCCACCTGACCCCGCAGCTGGTGCCGTCCCCACTGTCCCCCGCCACCCGGCTGTCCCGCCTCGCCTCTCCGCTCCCCCGGTCCCTCAGCCCGTGTCCCCTCTCCCACCACTGGCTGTCCCAGTAGTCTCGCTCGAGCCGCCTCCAACTGTGTGAACAGCGTAGAGTCCTCCACCTTTACCGCGAAGCCCGCCTCGACCGCAAAGTCTCGAAGCATGTACTTCACCGTGTCGTGGATGGTAGTGGCGACCCCGTAACGCGGGCACCGAACCGCGTGATGAGGCACCGTCATGTCGTCAATCGCCTGTCCGCAGGAGCACTGACCTGCAAGGGCTAACTGGGGGATAGGGAGACCAAGACGAGAAGATGAAGCCGCCTGCCACAGCGCCTCCGGGATGCGCAGTGGGTCGGCGTACGGCACCGACGTCAACCACGCTCCTGCACCTCCGCCCTGAAGGGAAGTCAAACGGGCAAGGTGCAAGGGAGAGGTGTGACGGGCACGCACGGCCTCCAAGGCATGCGCCTCCAGAAGACGGCTCGCTCCTGCAAAAAGGGAATCGGGGGAGGCAGAAGCGCAAGAGGGCCAGGGGGGAAGGAGAGAGAGAACGTCAGGAGGGAGACCCTCTAGCGCCGTCTGCAGAGCCCGGTCGATCTGCTCTGGCTCACCTGAAGCGAAGCTCTGCCGAAACACCTCGCCACACGCAGGGAGAGAACAGAGAATGGGTGCACACTGCACCCAGGAGCACACGAAACTCACCGGGGCCATGCGCGCCATGCGACGAATGCCGAAACCCCCGAGACGGATGGGGAGGAAGATCTGGTCTAGGGCGGCCTCTCGGACGTCCTCGCGACAAGCCCAGGTCCCTGAAGCTAAAAGCTGCTGAAAAGTCTCTCCCAGGCGTGCGTCCCACCGTGTAAAACTGGAGATCACTGCGGGCGAAGGAGGGACGGTCCTCGACAGGTACTGCGGACGAGTGCTGACACACGCCGAAAGAAGGCGGGCAGCTGTCTGGGGCTGGCGCAACCTCGGAAGCCAAGGTAGCACCCGCCCCATCCTCTCGAGACGATCCGGGAGACTCTGCTCCACGAACGAAACGGTGCCTACCGGTACGCCTGTCACGGTGAGCCCTCGGCGTGCGACCTCGATCCCTAGGCCCGTGAAAGCCTCCAGATCCCTGGACAGAAAGGACTCTGTCTGGTAGACGAGGCACTTGTGCGGCTGGGCTGCAAGGCCCATCTCGCCCAAGCGCCTCACGATCTCGGCAAAATGGTGCAGCACCCTGTCTGGGGGACCTAGCACGTACGTGTCATCGGCGTACGACCAGAGCTGGACATCCCCCTCCGCCAGAACCGGCTCCAAAGCAAGACGCTGTGTCAGAGCGTACAAGAAGGGGCTGAGAGGGTCTCCCTGGCGAGTGCCCCGCTCCGAGTGCATCGTGACCACTCCCGTGCCTGACCTGTAGTGGAGATCCGAGGGCGTCCCGTAGAAGAGGCCGATGAAGGGGATCAGACACTGAAACTCCGGACTGGCCTGCAGCGCCTGAAACATCCTGTCTCGGTGGAAAGAGTTAAAGGCATTCGCCACGTCTAGCTGCAGGACCACCCAGTCTGGGTGGTCAGCCAGAGCGCGGCGGACGCCTCTAACTACGACCTCTGTCCCGCACGTAACCCCCACCCCAAACTGCTGTGATGCCAAGAAGACCCTCGCCATCTGGTCACGTAGCTGGAGACAAACTGCCCGAGAAAGAATGCGGACCAAAACCTCGCCGATGGCAATCGGCCGAACATCCATGTTCGACTTCGCCAGAGCCACGAGGGTGGAGGACGCTAGCAAGGAGCGCGCAGCTGGAGCGCAACGGCCTCGGAGCCACTGCTGGTACACGGCCAGGAGGAAATGGAGACTCTGAGGGAAAGCTAGGAAAGTGTCTCGCAGGTGCTCAGCGACCCAACCGGACGGTCCTCCCGAAGAGCCCCGCGGAGCTGTGAAAATCGCGCGGCGTAAGTGATCCACCGAGAGCACGAGAGGGGACCCCTGGAAGCCAGACAGCCAAGCTGGGGTCGGCCTCTCCGCGTTGGGGTGCTTCGACTGCAGGCGCTGTATCGTCCCCTGTGTATCTGGGGCTGCCTCCGCGGACTCGAGAGCCGCGCACGCCCGTGAGGTCTCATTGCACGCTGCCAGACGAAGGCAACGTGCAATGCGGCGCTCATCTGCTGCAGAGGGATCGGTGGCGGTGCGTGACCGGTGACCTGTGCGGCGAGGAAGGGGTGTGCGACGGCCTAGTGCATCTGAGACTAGCTCAGCCCACTCACCTCGACCAAAGCGAGAGATGCGCGTTGCAATGGCAGCCGTGTGCGAGCGGTCGGGTGGCGTCGCTGGAACAAGGAAAAGAGTCGGCGCTGCAGCGAGGAGGAAGGTAGGGCCAGCAGCCTCCGGGTCCTGGGCAATGCGGACTAGGATCGCACTGAGGACGTCAAGATATCCTCCGCGGACCCTCTCCGGGACACGTCGGAGAGGGCGTGTATGGATACGCTCGGGCGAGAAGTACTCTGTCCAGTCCACCGAGTCGAGCGTCTGCCACTGTGCGTCGGTGAACTGCATCCCGGTCGCACGGGGCTGTGAGAGGGAAGGGATGATCGAGGCGGTATCATGGGCAGCCTGCGCCCTGCGAGCCGCGTCCGCAGGATGGCAGAAGGGAATGTGGTGCTGGAGCGCGCGTCGGTTCGCGAGAGAGCTCCTGCAGGTGGGGCAACTCACGACCTGGTCGGGTGATGTCGCCGTGTCGGCGGGGTCAATCGGGGCCGTGGCGTCGGAACTGGCTGTAGAGGGGACCCCGTGGGCGGCCTGAGCTCCGACAGGATCGCCTGGGATGAGGGGAGGAGACGACTCACCAGCCCCGCGCGGGGGGGGTGTCAGCGAAGATAGAGGTGGTGTCGCACAGGATAGGGCCGGGCCTCGTGCCGGCACCGGTGTTGAAGCTGGGGAGGGGGGACGTGGAGGTGAGCCTGAAGTGTGTGCCGTGGTGTGCTCCTGCCCCTCGGCGGGGTGCGGTTCAAGTGACGGCTCTGCTACCCCAGGCGGAGGGGTCTCGGTAGGGGCGGATGCCTCATCCCTACTGCTGGTGACCTCCTGCGCCACGGGCTGAACGGGGGGAGGCGCCACCCCGTCTAGGTGCGAGTGACACGGCCTCAGACCCCGGTCCGTCTCCATTGGGGTCGGGAGTGACGCGCCTGGCTGAGTGGCGGGGGGGATAAAAGAAGGGACAGACCGGGTGACCTCCGCATACGTCCGGGTCCGGTCCTGTGGGACTGGAAGGGTGGGGGCAGCCGGAGAGCTGCTCAGGCGGTGTATCGCCAGCAAATCTGAAATGCCAGCCCTCACCTCCTCTGGGGTCTCGAAGACCTGCCTGCCTGTAGGTGAGAGTAGGAGGGCTGGCAGGGTAGAGGGTGGAGTGGGGCGTGCTGGCTGAGCGGAGCTCGGGTGTGGACCCTGCCCTAGAAGGCCCCCTTGGCCCTCCCCAATCACCATGGGTTGCGGTAGGGGGTCGTCGACATGGAAGGGGTGGGAGGGATGGGAGGGGGAGTCGGTGGCGTCTGCCATGGGCGCATCCCTCAACCCGACGGCCCCCCTCCCAGTAGCGATCGCGGCCGCCGCCACCTGGGAGGGGGACACAGCACGGGAGGGGCAGAATGGGGGTGAGTGGGCTGGTCCGCTCCCATGGCCCTGTGGAGGTGCAGGAGCGGGGCGGGAGTGTAGGTTTGGTGGACGGGCTGTAGAGGTAGGGCCTGGTAATTGTTCAACGGGATGTGAGGTGGGGAGGGGCTCTTGGTGGGGGAGGGAGGGAGGGGGGAGTACGTGGGCTGACCCTCTGCCTCCTCTGCCCCTGTTCTTCCGCCGGCGGCCAACCTGGTTGTCCGCGCCTGTTTGTGAAGGAAGGGGGGGCTGTGGGGCCAAAGGGGTGGGTGGAGGGAGGATGGGTGGTTCGCCAGGCAGGGGGTGCTCTGTGTGCATCCCCACTCTCCTCGAAACATCCCCCTCCGTGGGAACAGATCGGGCAAGCTGTGTGTGGGGGGTGATGGCTGCCCAACGGGGCCACTCGTGGGGAACCCGGCCGGGAGAGGGGGTTGGAGGTGGGGGTCGAGGGGCTGGGCCAGTGTGGAGGTTAGAGCGAGGTACAAACGGTGGGGGGAGAGAGATTTGTGTGGGCTCTGTGGTGGCCTCTCCTGTGGGCCCCTCTACCCGGGTGCCGCCGCTCCCATGAGCCTGGGGCGCAAGCCCTTGCGGGTGGGTCTCGGCTGCCTGGGGGGGGTGGTGTGGGGAGGGCAGCCTGTTGGGTGGGCGTGTTGGGGCTGTGCGGCGACTCGGGTGGTTTGGGTGCCTGTAGCGTGTGGGAGAGGGATTTGGCCGCAGAGATGCTTCAACCTCCGAGATGTGTGTACTACCGGGTGGGGGGGGGCCTGGTGGAGGAGGGGGTAGTGGGCCGGTAAGGGGTGGCTGGGTGTTGGTAGGAGTCGGGGAGCATGGCTCCTCTAGGAAGACCAGAGCCCTGGCTGCTCCACGTGGTGCTCTAAGGAGCCCCTGAGGGTGGGGGCAGAGGTGTGCTGCCCTTGGGGGTGAAGGAAGGAGTGAGGGAAGGGGCGGGGAGGGGTGAGAGGTGAGAGAAGGGGTGCCCTCGGGTGACTCTGCTCTTGTCGCACCCGCGTGCTCTCCCGGTGGACCGCCTGCAACCGTGGGGTCAGGCGTTGGGGACGGAGAGGGGGGCTGGCCATGGAGCAGCGTGGGGGTCGGGGAGCACGGCTCCGCCAAGAAGGCCAGGGCCTTGGCTGCCCCCCTGGACACTACCGGGACCTGAGGGTGGGGGTGGGGAAGTGGTGCTCCTGGGGGCTGGTGGGCTGGAGGACGGGAGGTGAGGATGGGGGCTCCCTCGCGCGGCTCTGTCCTCAAGGTCTCCCCCAGCCCCTCCATCGGTCCTTCTGCTAGCATGGGGACGGGCATGGGGGGTAGAGGGGGAACCTCGACGTGAGGCTGCAGGGGGGCCGGGTCGGCCTCACCGTCAAGCGTGAGGTATTGGGCCAGTGGCCCGTCAATGTGCATCACATCCTCTCCCTCATCCTCCTCTATCGCTATCACATCCCCCTCTTCAGTGCCCACCCCGGTCGGGACCACCCTCCCCTCTCCTTCCCCTGTTGCCCCTATGTCCCCCAAGCCCACCCCGCCTGCTGCCGCTTTACTGCTAGCCCCTTTTGCAGTCTCTGCCGGCCCTGCCGGCCCTGCTGTGTGTTTCCCCGAGTTTGCTGCGGCCCCTGCCGCCCCTACTGGCCGTGCTATGGCCCTCCCTGCTGCTTCAGCTGCAGCCTCACCTTCTGCCTTTGAGGCCCCTGCCGTACCCTCTCTTGCTACAGCCGGGGCGGCACTCTCCCTCGCACCAGTCCCCGTTACCCCCTTCCCCGCTGCACCCGTAGCACCTCCCCCTATACCAGCCCCCGCTGTGGCCTCTGTCGCTCCTGCTGCAGTCCTTGCAGCCTCGACTGCTGCAGTCTGTAAAACCTCGCCTACCGTAATCTGCTCAGCCTCACCAGCCGCGATCCCTGTAGCCTCACGTGCTGCAGTCCCTGCAGCCTCACGTGCTGCAGTCCCTGCAGCCTCACCCGCTGCAGTCCCTGCGGCCTCACCTGCTGCAGTCTGTGCAGCCTCACCTGCTAGAATCTGCTCAACCTCACATGCTGCGGCCTCTGCAGCCTCACCTGCTGCGGCTATTTCAGCCTCACCTGCTGCGCTCCCTGCGGCCTCACCTGCCATGGTCCCGCCTGCAGCCTCATCCGCTGTGGTCCCTGCCGCCTCACCTGCTGCAGTCCCTGCGGCCTCACCTGTTGCAGTCCATGCGACCTCACCAGCTGTAGACTGTGCAGCCTCACCTGCTAGAGTCTGCCCAACCTTACATGATGCAGCCCTCGCAGCCTCACCTGCTGCGTCCGCCGCAGCCTCACCTGCTGTGGCCCCTGCAGTCCCGCCTGCTGCGCTCCCTGCAGCCTCGCCTGCTGCGCTCCCTGCAGCCTCGCTTGCTGCGCTCCCTGCGGCCTCACCTGCTGCGCTCTCTGCAGCCTCACCTGCTGCGCCCCCTACAGCCTCACCTGCTGCGCTCCCCGCAGCCTCACCTACTGCGCTCCCTGCGGCCTCACCTGCCATGGTCCCTCCTGCAGCCTCACCCGTTGTGATCCCTGCAGCCACACCTGCTGTGGTCTGTGCGGCCTCACCTGGTGCGGTCCCTATAGCCTCCTCTGCTGCGGTTCCCCCAGCCGACACAGCAGCAGGTTCCGTGGCCCCTACTCCTGCAAAACCTGTCTCCATGGCCTCTGCCCTTTGCCTGGCCAGAGTCACGGTCCCTGCCGCCCCTTCCCGTGCAGCCCCTGCCGCCCTTTCCCGTGCAGCCGCTGCTGCCCCTTCCCTTGCAGCCTCTGCTGCCCTTTCCTCTGCAGCCTCTGCTGCCCCTTCCCCCACAACCCCCATTGCCCCTTCCCGTGCAGCCTTTGCTGCCCCATCCTCTGTAGCCTCTGCTGCTCCTTCACACACAAACTCACTTACCCCTTCCCGTGCAGTGTCAGCTGCAAGTTCCCCCCTGGCTCTGCCCTCTCCCGCTTCTATGTGCTTGGGGGTGCGGGTAGGATTAAGTGTTTTCACAAGTAATCTGGTTTGCGAATGGGAGGTAGCGAGTGAGTTGGAGGATCTCTCTACTGAGCATGCATGGGTGCCGCCCCCGCTGTCACCTGAAGGGGGGGTAGACTGGGATGGGGCAGCGGGGGTAGGGCGCGGTTTTGAGCGTGCTGGCTCCTCCTCGTGTATTTCCTCCAGTGGGGCTTGGCGTTCCTCTGTTCCATCCTCTTCAAAGGTACGCTTCTGGCCCCTAGGGTCAGATTGTGTGAGTGTTTTCGCTTGGTCAGGTGTGTGTTGTTTCTTCCTGACTGTTGAAGTGGGGGGAGTGGGAGAGTAGGGGGTGGCTCGGCTGCGGGACCTCCCAGATCGCCGAGGGGCTCCCGGGCCTGCCTTTCCCCCACTCGCGGGGTGCTGGGGCATTGTTACAGAGGCAGCATGCCTGGCGGTGGCGGTGTGAGTTGCTGGGGTTGGCTCAAGAGGGCGTCAAAGGGGGAAGGAACTCCCTGGCAGAGGCCGGGGTGCGGGGGGTTAGCTTGGGGAAAGGGGAAAAGGGTGGGGAAAGCGGTGCGCAGTGGGTGGAAGAGAGGGTAGAGGGGGCCTGACAGTTGGAGGGGATTGGGGCCCAAGGGGGGGGCGGGCTGGGGGCCGATTGAGAGGGGAAGTGTTGGCGGGCTGTAGTGGAGGTGGGGGGGCGGGGGTGGTGTAGCGGTGGGTGAGCAGGGTGTGGGGACAGGTGGTGGGCCAGAGGTGGGGAGGGCAGGGCAGAATTCCACGGGAGGTGGGGGTGGGCAGGTGGAGCCAGGTGGGAAAGGAAGGGTGGGGAACAGAGAGGAAGGGGCAAAGGGTAGTGGGTAGTCGAGTTGGCGTGAGCCTGGTAGCGGGTAATGAGAAGGTTGGGAGGCGGGGGGTGAGAACGTGGGAGGGCAGAGAGGGCACCGAAAGGAGGTGCTGTGGTAAATGCAGGATAGGATGCGGGGCCGGGAAACAGGGGACAGAGGGAATTGGGGAATCGATGAAGGGTGATAGCTGCGGATGGGCGAGCCCCAGGGGGGAGGAAATATGGAGGGTGTTGGAGAAGGGGGAGACTGGGGGGGGTTGAGGTAGGGTGTTGGAGGGCACAAGGGGCAGGAACAGGGGGTGCAAAAGTTGGCTGGGGGAGGGAGAGGCGGTCTGGTGCCGCGGAAAGGCGGAGGGAGGTTGGGGACGGCACAGCCCAGGGAGCAAAAGCAAGGGGTGTAGACCTTGGCTGGGGGTAGGAACGGCGGTGTGGAGTTAGGGAGAGGTAGAGGGAGGCTGGGGTAGGTGGCTGGATTGCGCAGGGAGCAGGGGCAGGGGGTGTAGAGATTGGATGGGGGTGGGAAAGGCGGCGTGGTGCCAGGTGGCGGCAGTTGGGTCACCGAAGGGCCTGGCAGGGCGGGATGCAGAGGTGCAGCCCACGCTGGATGCGGAAGTAGCTGGGGGGGAAAGGGAGGCTGGAGGGGGAAGTACGGCTCGTAGAGGTGTGGGGGGCAGAGTGGGAGTGGGGAAAGCAGGAAGGGGGGTGGAGGGACGTTGTGGACAGGGGAGTGGGGGAACATGCGGGTGATGATAGGGAGAAGCCGGGGGGGGGGGAGAAGGGGGAGGTGGTATGAAGTGGGCAAGGGTGACGCACGGGCAGAGCGCGGCGGTACTAAGGGCAGGGAGACGGGAGGCTGGGGGGAGAAAGGCCTGCTTGGGGGCGTGGTGGGGGATAAGGGGAGAGGGGCGGTAATGCTGGTGGGCAAAAGGGGAGGGTGTGGTGTAGTATGATGAAACAGAATGGGGGGGTGGCGGACTGGGTGGGGCCCTGGAGGGTTGGGAGAACAAGGTGTAAGCTGCCTTTCTGATTTTTCCTGGTTTTTTCGGATTTATATGAATTTCTTTTTCTTTTCTTTTTTCCTTGAAGTTGTTTCCTCTTATTTCCTACGGTTTCCAGAAACAGGGCGGCCTCTGCTAGCTAAGCGCCGTTAGGGAAAGAGGTTAGGTGGCGGGGTGGCTAAAGCGCGCGTGTGAGGGGGAAAGGGGCGGTGTGAGCAGGGAGGTGACTATGTGGGTGGCGACGGGGTAAAATTACGACGTGTGGGTGGCATGCACGAGTGCGCGACGAGGCACGGCAGGGTGGGAGTGAGCAAAAGGGGAGTGGGGCGGCTTGTGTGCCAAACGTGGGCGGCTAAAACGCTCTAGGCAGAAAACGCGCTTCGGGAGGCGCGCAAGGGGAGGGCTGCTTAATCGCTACGAACGTAGCAATTTCGCCTCCCTCCGCGCTGCCTTTCCCTGGCGGTAAGCGCCCCGTGCGCGGTTCCGTCTACGTCGCGGCTAGATTGAACAGGCGGGGAAAACGAGTGCATGACTAAACATGATAGGCGACGAGAAAGCGTGCTTGGAAACGCGCGGCTCTTCGAATTAGGGTTACGATAAAGAAGGGCGCACCGAAAGGGAAGGAAGAGTGCTAACTACGGGCGGAAGCTAAGCTCAGTGACTTCGAGAGAGGGAAACCGCGGGAAAAAACTCGGTAGCAGCTAATCGCTTACCGGGCTGAGAGCAGTACTGGGCTGGGTGACCTCCCGGGAAGTCCTCGTGTTGTACCCATTTATGCCCCTTGCTCGGCACGTGCCGGGGGAGGGGCAAGCGGGAAAAAGAAAGGACGATTTTAGCGCGTCCGATTCTTTTCTTTTCGTTTTTTTTGCCCAAACAACGACCCAGCGGGGTGGGGGGCCCCCGGGGAGGCTTGCCCATGCGAAGAAACGCCCCGTGCGCACCACCGTTGGGCGGTTGGAAGCCGCACACGGTCGCGGGGGTGGAGAGCGGAAACGGGCAGCCGGGGGAGGGTGGGGGCGGTTGGATGGGACTTGGGGTGTACGGGGGGCAGGGGAGTTGAGGGGGCAAGGGGAGGGGCAGCAACGGGCAGGGGCTGGGCCAACTGAGGGCACGGAAAAGGGGCGGGCAGAGGGTGAGCAGAGGGGCGAGCGATGCAAGGGTGGCACCATAGGGGGGAAACCAGTTGCACGGAGGTGGGAGGTGAGGGGCGTGCGAGGGGGTGGGAAAGGGGCAGGGAGGGGCAGAATGGGAGGATGTAGGTGGGGGGGGGTGGGGGAGGGGAGTGTGCGTGTGTGTGTGGTGTGAGAAAGAGAGAGAGAGAGAGAGAGAGAGAGAGAGAGGGAGGGGGGGATTGAAGGGTGGGAGGGGGGCTGGTCGTGGGGATGGGCTGATGGTGGTAAGAGGGCAGCAGGGATGGGGAGAAGGGAGCGTAACGAGGGGAGAGCAAAGGGCAGGGGGGGAGGAAGGGAGGGGCAGGGAGGGAAGAGGCTGAACGTACAAAGGGGGGAAACGAGGGGCATGGATGATAGGAAACGAGGGCAGGGGTGTGGGAAATCAAGGGCAGGGAGGAGAGAAGCAATGGGTGAGGGGAAAACAAGGGAGGGGCAGACGGGGGGCAGGGAGGGAAGAAACGTGGGGCAGGGAGGGGAGAAGCCAAAGACAGGGGCATGGGCAGGCGGGGGCAGGGAGGGAGCAAAGGAGAGGCACGGAGAAAGAAAGGGAGGCGCGGGGAGGGGAGAAACCGGGCGTGGGGGGGGGGGGGCGGAAAATGAGGGGCAGGGCGGGGAGGAGGGAGGGGCAGGGAGGGGAGAAGCTGAGCACACGGAGGGGGGAAAGGTGAGGCAGGGAGGTAGGAAGCCAAGGACAAGGGGGGGGAGAGTGGGGGGGGCAGGGAGAGGGGGGAGGTGGGGAGCGGGGAAAGGCGGCGAGGGGCAGGGAGGGGAGAAACCAAGCATAGGGGGGCGAGATACGAGGGGCAGGGTGCGGATTGAGGAGGGGCAGGGAGTGGAGTGGGTCGGCGAGGGGAAGGAAGAGGCGTGCAGCAGAGGAGGGGAGGGGGGAGGAGAAGGTAAAGGAGGGGAGCGCACGGGCGGGGAGGAGCGAATGGCGGGCGGTGGGAAACGGCGAGGGGGGGCAGGGAGGGTCAAAAGAGGCGGCAAGGGAGCGGGCACGCGGAGGGTAGGGGCGGGGGGAGCGGATGGCATGAGGGGGCAGGGGGTGTGACTATGAAGGGGGGGACCCGGGCAAGGGGTGTGTAGCGGTCGGGGCACGAGGTTGACGTGGTACGATCATACCTCGGCTACTACGCCGGATCCCATCAGAACTCCGAAGCTAAGCGCCGGTGGGCGAGAGCAGTTATTCATTAATAAGGGAAGAGCAAATACAAGCCGAATATAATGGTTTTTCCAAGACTAGGAAATTTCGACATAGCCTAAGCGCTATGAGGACGATTTATATATTTTGTAGGAAAAGGGGGAAAGAAAGGAAAGGAAGGAAAGATGAAGGAGTAAGAAGAAGTGGTAGGGAAAGGAAGAGGGTGGTAGGAAGAGAAGGGAAGGATAGAAGAAGGGAACAGAAAGAGGGAGGTGGGAAGAGAAGAGGAGAGAGAGAGAGAGACTAAGGAGAAGGAAGCACCAAAGGACCAAACACGGCAGCAACCCGCACGACCGCACGGGCACAGCGTTTCAAGCACAGCCACTATTGTTTTTTACACATATGCATCATATATATACTGCATATCAGCCACACTCTCGAAGCACCCTGTGACGTGGTGCCAAGTTCCCTGCCCCGCACCCAGTGGGACTGGTGCGGGCATCCACCCGTCGTCGGACCTCCCTAACTGCCGCACCGCATGCTGGATCATGCATTGAGCCTGCGCGCGCTGCAGTGCAACGGAGAGGCGTGTAGTGAGTCCTGCCTCAAATATCCGTGCCGATCCGTCATCCCCCCCACCTCTATCCCTCCTCCGCTGTGCTATCCTCTTTGCGCAGAGCCCCAGAAACTGACGCAGCGGCTCACTCAGAAGGCCAAAGGTCTCCGCCACGCACGCGTAAAAGTGTGGTGCCGGCTGCAGCCCCTCTAAGTGCGGCCCCCAGTGACGCAGCTTCTCCTGCACCCGCCTAGCTGCTGCCACTCCAATCTGTGTGGGGGTCGCCCGTCTCAGCTGCACGTTCCCCTCCCGCTGTGGATCCGCTATGGAGACATCCACAAGAACCATCAGACCCTGGCCAACGTCGCGGCAGGTGAGGTCTGGAATGCGGGAGGCGGTGCCTACACGGCCTGTGCGTCCGACTGGTCCCTGCTGTTGCGCTGGCTGCTGCCCTGTCTGGTCCCTTGGTGCCCCCTCTCCGATCGTCTCTCTCCCCCTCTCCTCTCCTCCATCCACCTGTCCTCTCCCCTCCCCCTCCCTACCCTCCCCCAAACCTCCCGACCCCCCTGCTCCATCCCCTGCTGCCTCTCTCACTCCCTGGCCCTCCCCTCCCAATCCCGCTGCCCCTCCTGTACCTCCGTCCGCTCTCTGCTGCTCCCGCCCCTGCCCCGCCCCCGAGGCCGAACCTGGAGGCGCGGCGCCCTGGGCCCGCGGCCTCCACTGGCTCTCCTGCTGCTGCCTGTGCCGTCCCCCCTCCCCGTCCTGGCCCGTCTGCTCCCCCTGCCGTCCCCTCTGCCCACCTGTCCCTCGCTCCACCTGACCCCGCAGCTGGTGCCGTCCCCACTGTCCCCCGCCACCCGGCTGTCCCGCCTCGCCTCTCCGCTCCCCCGGTCCCTCAGCCCGTGTCCCCTCTCCCACCACTGGCTGTCCCAGTAGTCTCGCTCGAGCCGCCTCCAACTGTGTGAACAGCGTAGAGTCCTCCACCTTTACCGCGAAGCCCGCCTCGACCGCAAAGTCTCGAAGCATGTACTTCACCGTGTCGTGGATGGTAGTGGCGACCCCGTAACGCGGGCACCGAACCGCGTGATGAGGCACCGTCATGTCGTCAATCGCCTGTCCGCAGGAGCACTGACCTGCAAGGGCTAACTGGGGGATAGGGAGACCAAGACGAGAAGATGAAGCCGCCTGCCACAGCGCCTCCGGGATGCGCAGTGGGTCGGCGTACGGCACCGACGTCAACCACGCTCCTGCACCTCCGCCCTGAAGGGAAGTCAAACGGGCAAGGTGCAAGGGAGAGGTGTGACGGGCACGCACGGCCTCCAAGGCATGCGCCTCCAGAAGACGGCTCGCTCCTGCAAAAAGGGAATCGGGGGAGGCAGAAGCGCAAGAGGGCCAGGGGGGAAGGAGAGAGAGAACGTCAGGAGGGAGACCCTCTAGCGCCGTCTGCAGAGCCCGGTCGATCTGCTCTGGCTCACCTGAAGCGAAGCTCTGCCGAAACACCTCGCCACACGCAGGGAGAGAACAGAGAATGGGTGCACACTGCACCCAGGAGCACACGAAACTCACCGGGGCCATGCGCGCCATGCGACGAATGCCGAAACCCCCGAGACGGATGGGGAGGAAGATCTGGTCTAGGGCGGCCTCTCGGACGTCCTCGCGACAAGCCCAGGTCCCTGAAGCTAAAAGCTGCTGAAAAGTCTCTCCCAGGCGTGCGTCCCACCGTGTAAAACTGGAGATCACTGCGGGCGAAGGAGGGACGGTCCTCGACAGGTACTGCGGACGAGTGCTGACACACGCCGAAAGAAGGCGGGCAGCTGTCTGGGGCTGGCGCAACCTCGGAAGCCAAGGTAGCACCCGCCCCATCCTCTCGAGACGATCCGGGAGACTCTGCTCCACGAACGAAACGGTGCCTACCGGTACGCCTGTCACGGTGAGCCCTCGGCGTGCGACCTCGATCCCTAGGCCCGTGAAAGCCTCCAGATCCCTGGACAGAAAGGACTCTGTCTGGTAGACGAGGCACTTGTGCGGCTGGGCTGCAAGGCCCATCTCGCCCAAGCGCCTCACGATCTCGGCAAAATGGTGCAGCACCCTGTCTGGGGGACCTAGCACGTACGTGTCATCGGCGTACGACCAGAGCTGGACATCCCCCTCCGCCAGAACCGGCTCCAAAGCAAGACGCTGTGTCAGAGCGTACAAGAAGGGGCTGAGAGGGTCTCCCTGGCGAGTGCCCCGCTCCGAGTGCATCGTGACCACTCCCGTGCCTGACCTGTAGTGGAGATCCGAGGGCGTCCCGTAGAAGAGGCCGATGAAGGGGATCAGACACTGAAACTCCGGACTGGCCTGCAGCGCCTGAAACATCCTGTCTCGGTGGAAAGAGTTAAAGGCATTCGCCACGTCTAGCTGCAGGACCACCCAGTCTGGGTGGTCAGCCAGAGCGCGGCGGACGCCTCTAACTACGACCTCTGTCCCGCACGTAACCCCCACCCCAAACTGCTGTGATGCCAAGAAGACCCTCGCCATCTGGTCACGTAGCTGGAGACAAACTGCCCGAGAAAGAATGCGGACCAAAACCTCGCCGATGGCAATCGGCCGAACATCCATGTTCGACTTCGCCAGAGCCACGAGGGTGGAGGACGCTAGCAAGGAGCGCGCAGCTGGAGCGCAACGGCCTCGGAGCCACTGCTGGTACACGGCCAGGAGGAAATGGAGACTCTGAGGGAAAGCTAGGAAAGTGTCTCGCAGGTGCTCAGCGACCCAACCGGACGGTCCTCCCGAAGAGCCCCGCGGAGCTGTGAAAATCGCGCGGCGTAAGTGATCCACCGAGAGCACGAGAGGGGACCCCTGGAAGCCAGACAGCCAAGCTGGGGTCGGCCTCTCCGCGTTGGGGTGCTTCGACTGCAGGCGCTGTATCGTCCCCTGTGTATCTGGGGCTGCCTCCGCGGACTCGAGAGCCGCGCACGCCCGTGAGGTCTCATTGCACGCTGCCAGACGAAGGCAACGTGCAATGCGGCGCTCATCTGCTGCAGAGGGATCGGTGGCGGTGCGTGACCGGTGACCTGTGCGGCGAGGAAGGGGTGTGCGACGGCCTAGTGCATCTGAGACTAGCTCAGCCCACTCACCTCGACCAAAGCGAGAGATGCGCGTTGCAATGGCAGCCGTGTGCGAGCGGTCGGGTGGCGTCGCTGGAACAAGGAAAAGAGTCGGCGCTGCAGCGAGGAGGAAGGTAGGGCCAGCAGCCTCCGGGTCCTGGGCAATGCGGACTAGGATCGCACTGAGGACGTCAAGATATCCTCCGCGGACCCTCTCCGGGACACGTCGGAGAGGGCGTGTATGGATACGCTCGGGCGAGAAGTACTCTGTCCAGTCCACCGAGTCGAGCGTCTGCCACTGTGCGTCGGTGAACTGCATCCCGGTCGCACGGGGCTGTGAGAGGGAAGGGATGATCGAGGCGGTATCATGGGCAGCCTGCGCCCTGCGAGCCGCGTCCGCAGGATGGCAGAAGGGAATGTGGTGCTGGAGCGCGCGTCGGTTCGCGAGAGAGCTCCTGCAGGTGGGGCAACTCACGACCTGGTCGGGTGATGTCGCCGTGTCGGCGGGGTCAATCGGGGCCGTGGCGTCGGAACTGGCTGTAGAGGGGACCCCGTGGGCGGCCTGAGCTCCGACAGGATCGCCTGGGATGAGGGGAGGAGACGACTCACCAGCCCCGCGCGGGGGGGGTGTCAGCGAAGATAGAGGTGGTGTCGCACAGGATAGGGCCGGGCCTCGTGCCGGCACCGGTGTTGAAGCTGGGGAGGGGGGACGTGGAGGTGAGCCTGAAGTGTGTGCCGTGGTGTGCTCCTGCCCCTCGGCGGGGTGCGGTTCAAGTGACGGCTCTGCTACCCCAGGCGGAGGGGTCTCGGTAGGGGCGGATGCCTCATCCCTACTGCTGGTGACCTCCTGCGCCACGGGCTGAACGGGGGGAGGCGCCACCCCGTCTAGGTGCGAGTGACACGGCCTCAGACCCCGGTCCGTCTCCATTGGGGTCGGGAGTGACGCGCCTGGCTGAGTGGCGGGGGGGATAAAAGAAGGGACAGACCGGGTGACCTCCGCATACGTCCGGGTCCGGTCCTGTGGGACTGGAAGGGTGGGGGCAGCCGGAGAGCTGCTCAGGCGGTGTATCGCCAGCAAATCTGAAATGCCAGCCCTCACCTCCTCTGGGGTCTCGAAGACCTGCCTGCCTGTAGGTGAGAGTAGGAGGGCTGGCAGGGTAGAGGGTGGAGTGGGGCGTGCTGGCTGAGCGGAGCTCGGGTGTGGACCCTGCCCTAGAAGGCCCCCTTGGCCCTCCCCAATCACCATGGGTTGCGGTAGGGGGTCGTCGACATGGAAGGGGTGGGAGGGATGGGAGGGGGAGTCGGTGGCGTCTGCCATGGGCGCATCCCTCAACCCGACGGCCCCCCTCCCAGTAGCGATCGCGGCCGCCGCCACCTGGGAGGGGGACACAGCACGGGAGGGGCAGAATGGGGGTGAGTGGGCTGGTCCGCTCCCATGGCCCTGTGGAGGTGCAGGAGCGGGGCGGGAGTGTAGGTTTGGTGGACGGGCTGTAGAGGTAGGGCCTGGTAATTGTTCAACGGGATGTGAGGTGGGGAGGGGCTCTTGGTGGGGGAGGGAGGGAGGGGGGAGTACGTGGGCTGACCCTCTGCCTCCTCTGCCCCTGTTCTTCCGCCGGCGGCCAACCTGGTTGTCCGCGCCTGTTTGTGAAGGAAGGGGGGGCTGTGGGGCCAAAGGGGTGGGTGGAGGGAGGATGGGTGGTTCGCCAGGCAGGGGGTGCTCTGTGTGCATCCCCACTCTCCTCGAAACATCCCCCTCCGTGGGAACAGATCGGGCAAGCTGTGTGTGGGGGGTGATGGCTGCCCAACGGGGCCACTCGTGGGGAACCCGGCCGGGAGAGGGGGTTGGAGGTGGGGGTCGAGGGGCTGGGCCAGTGTGGAGGTTAGAGCGAGGTACAAACGGTGGGGGGAGAGAGATTTGTGTGGGCTCTGTGGTGGCCTCTCCTGTGGGCCCCTCTACCCGGGTGCCGCCGCTCCCATGAGCCTGGGGCGCAAGCCCTTGCGGGTGGGTCTCGGCTGCCTGGGGGGGGTGGTGTGGGGAGGGCAGCCTGTTGGGTGGGCGTGTTGGGGCTGTGCGGCGACTCGGGTGGTTTGGGTGCCTGTAGCGTGTGGGAGAGGGATTTGGCCGCAGAGATGCTTCAACCTCCGAGATGTGTGTACTACCGGGTGGGGGGGGGCCTGGTGGAGGAGGGGGTAGTGGGCCGGTAAGGGGTGGCTGGGTGTTGGTAGGAGTCGGGGAGCATGGCTCCTCTAGGAAGACCAGAGCCCTGGCTGCTCCACGTGGTGCTCTAAGGAGCCCCTGAGGGTGGGGGCAGAGGTGTGCTGCCCTTGGGGGTGAAGGAAGGAGTGAGGGAAGGGGCGGGGAGGGGTGAGAGGTGAGAGAAGGGGTGCCCTCGGGTGACTCTGCTCTTGTCGCACCCGCGTGCTCTCCCGGTGGACCGCCTGCAACCGTGGGGTCAGGCGTTGGGGACGGAGAGGGGGGCTGGCCATGGAGCAGCGTGGGGGTCGGGGAGCACGGCTCCGCCAAGAAGGCCAGGGCCTTGGCTGCCCCCCTGGACACTACCGGGACCTGAGGGTGGGGGTGGGGAAGTGGTGCTCCTGGGGGCTGGTGGGCTGGAGGACGGGAGGTGAGGATGGGGGCTCCCTCGCGCGGCTCTGTCCTCAAGGTCTCCCCCAGCCCCTCCATCGGTCCTTCTGCTAGCATGGGGACGGGCATGGGGGGTAGAGGGGGAACCTCGACGTGAGGCTGCAGGGGGGCCGGGTCGGCCTCACCGTCAAGCGTGAGGTATTGGGCCAGTGGCCCGTCAATGTGCATCACATCCTCTCCCTCATCCTCCTCTATCGCTATCACATCCCCCTCTTCAGTGCCCACCCCGGTCGGGACCACCCTCCCCTCTCCTTCCCCTGTTGCCCCTATGTCCCCCAAGCCCACCCCGCCTGCTGCCGCTTTACTGCTAGCCCCTTTTGCAGTCTCTGCCGGCCCTGCCGGCCCTGCTGTGTGTTTCCCCGAGTTTGCTGCGGCCCCTGCCGCCCCTACTGGCCGTGCTATGGCCCTCCCTGCTGCTTCAGCTGCAGCCTCACCTTCTGCCTTTGAGGCCCCTGCCGTACCCTCTCTTGCTACAGCCGGGGCGGCACTCTCCCTCGCACCAGTCCCCGTTACCCCCTTCCCCGCTGCACCCGTAGCACCTCCCCCTATACCAGCCCCCGCTGTGGCCTCTGTCGCTCCTGCTGCAGTCCTTGCAGCCTCGACTGCTGCAGTCTGTAAAACCTCGCCTACCGTAATCTGCTCAGCCTCACCAGCCGCGATCCCTGTAGCCTCACGTGCTGCAGTCCCTGCAGCCTCACGTGCTGCAGTCCCTGCAGCCTCACCCGCTGCAGTCCCTGCGGCCTCACCTGCTGCAGTCTGTGCAGCCTCACCTGCTAGAATCTGCTCAACCTCACATGCTGCGGCCTCTGCAGCCTCACCTGCTGCGGCTATTTCAGCCTCACCTGCTGCGCTCCCTGCGGCCTCACCTGCCATGGTCCCGCCTGCAGCCTCATCCGCTGTGGTCCCTGCCGCCTCACCTGCTGCAGTCCCTGCGGCCTCACCTGTTGCAGTCCATGCGACCTCACCAGCTGTAGACTGTGCAGCCTCACCTGCTAGAGTCTGCCCAACCTTACATGATGCAGCCCTCGCAGCCTCACCTGCTGCGTCCGCCGCAGCCTCACCTGCTGTGGCCCCTGCAGTCCCGCCTGCTGCGCTCCCTGCAGCCTCGCCTGCTGCGCTCCCTGCAGCCTCGCTTGCTGCGCTCCCTGCGGCCTCACCTGCTGCGCTCTCTGCAGCCTCACCTGCTGCGCCCCCTACAGCCTCACCTGCTGCGCTCCCCGCAGCCTCACCTACTGCGCTCCCTGCGGCCTCACCTGCCATGGTCCCTCCTGCAGCCTCACCCGTTGTGATCCCTGCAGCCACACCTGCTGTGGTCTGTGCGGCCTCACCTGGTGCGGTCCCTATAGCCTCCTCTGCTGCGGTTCCCCCAGCCGACACAGCAGCAGGTTCCGTGGCCCCTACTCCTGCAAAACCTGTCTCCATGGCCTCTGCCCTTTGCCTGGCCAGAGTCACGGTCCCTGCCGCCCCTTCCCGTGCAGCCCCTGCCGCCCTTTCCCGTGCAGCCGCTGCTGCCCCTTCCCTTGCAGCCTCTGCTGCCCTTTCCTCTGCAGCCTCTGCTGCCCCTTCCCCCACAACCCCCATTGCCCCTTCCCGTGCAGCCTTTGCTGCCCCATCCTCTGTAGCCTCTGCTGCTCCTTCACACACAAACTCACTTACCCCTTCCCGTGCAGTGTCAGCTGCAAGTTCCCCCCTGGCTCTGCCCTCTCCCGCTTCTATGTGCTTGGGGGTGCGGGTAGGATTAAGTGTTTTCACAAGTAATCTGGTTTGCGAATGGGAGGTAGCGAGTGAGTTGGAGGATCTCTCTACTGAGCATGCATGGGTGCCGCCCCCGCTGTCACCTGAAGGGGGGGTAGACTGGGATGGGGCAGCGGGGGTAGGGCGCGGTTTTGAGCGTGCTGGCTCCTCCTCGTGTATTTCCTCCAGTGGGGCTTGGCGTTCCTCTGTTCCATCCTCTTCAAAGGTACGCTTCTGGCCCCTAGGGTCAGATTGTGTGAGTGTTTTCGCTTGGTCAGGTGTGTGTTGTTTCTTCCTGACTGTTGAAGTGGGGGGAGTGGGAGAGTAGGGGGTGGCTCGGCTGCGGGACCTCCCAGATCGCCGAGGGGCTCCCGGGCCTGCCTTTCCCCCACTCGCGGGGTGCTGGGGCATTGTTACAGAGGCAGCATGCCTGGCGGTGGCGGTGTGAGTTGCTGGGGTTGGCTCAAGAGGGCGTCAAAGGGGGAAGGAACTCCCTGGCAGAGGCCGGGGTGCGGGGGGTTAGCTTGGGGAAAGGGGAAAAGGGTGGGGAAAGCGGTGCGCAGTGGGTGGAAGAGAGGGTAGAGGGGGCCTGACAGTTGGAGGGGATTGGGGCCCAAGGGGGGGGCGGGCTGGGGGCCGATTGAGAGGGGAAGTGTTGGCGGGCTGTAGTGGAGGTGGGGGGGCGGGGGTGGTGTAGCGGTGGGTGAGCAGGGTGTGGGGACAGGTGGTGGGCCAGAGGTGGGGAGGGCAGGGCAGAATTCCACGGGAGGTGGGGGTGGGCAGGTGGAGCCAGGTGGGAAAGGAAGGGTGGGGAACAGAGAGGAAGGGGCAAAGGGTAGTGGGTAGTCGAGTTGGCGTGAGCCTGGTAGCGGGTAATGAGAAGGTTGGGAGGCGGGGGGTGAGAACGTGGGAGGGCAGAGAGGGCACCGAAAGGAGGTGCTGTGGTAAATGCAGGATAGGATGCGGGGCCGGGAAACAGGGGACAGAGGGAATTGGGGAATCGATGAAGGGTGATAGCTGCGGATGGGCGAGCCCCAGGGGGGAGGAAATATGGAGGGTGTTGGAGAAGGGGGAGACTGGGGGGGGTTGAGGTAGGGTGTTGGAGGGCACAAGGGGCAGGAACAGGGGGTGCAAAAGTTGGCTGGGGGAGGGAGAGGCGGTCTGGTGCCGCGGAAAGGCGGAGGGAGGTTGGGGACGGCACAGCCCAGGGAGCAAAAGCAAGGGGTGTAGACCTTGGCTGGGGGTAGGAACGGCGGTGTGGAGTTAGGGAGAGGTAGAGGGAGGCTGGGGTAGGTGGCTGGATTGCGCAGGGAGCAGGGGCAGGGGGTGTAGAGATTGGATGGGGGTGGGAAAGGCGGCGTGGTGCCAGGTGGCGGCAGTTGGGTCACCGAAGGGCCTGGCAGGGCGGGATGCAGAGGTGCAGCCCACGCTGGATGCGGAAGTAGCTGGGGGGGAAAGGGAGGCTGGAGGGGGAAGTACGGCTCGTAGAGGTGTGGGGGGCAGAGTGGGAGTGGGGAAAGCAGGAAGGGGGGTGGAGGGACGTTGTGGACAGGGGAGTGGGGGAACATGCGGGTGATGATAGGGAGAAGCCGGGGGGGGGGGAGAAGGGGGAGGTGGTATGAAGTGGGCAAGGGTGACGCACGGGCAGAGCGCGGCGGTACTAAGGGCAGGGAGACGGGAGGCTGGGGGGAGAAAGGCCTGCTTGGGGGCGTGGTGGGGGATAAGGGGAGAGGGGCGGTAATGCTGGTGGGCAAAAGGGGAGGGTGTGGTGTAGTATGATGAAACAGAATGGGGGGGTGGCGGACTGGGTGGGGCCCTGGAGGGTTGGGAGAACAAGGTGTAAGCTGCCTTTCTGATTTTTCCTGGTTTTTTCGGATTTATATGAATTTCTTTTTCTTTTCTTTTTTCCTTGAAGTTGTTTCCTCTTATTTCCTACGGTTTCCAGAAACAGGGCGGCCTCTGCTAGCTAAGCGCCGTTAGGGAAAGAGGTTAGGTGGCGGGGTGGCTAAAGCGCGCGTGTGAGGGGGAAAGGGGCGGTGTGAGCAGGGAGGTGACTATGTGGGTGGCGACGGGGTAAAATTACGACGTGTGGGTGGCATGCACGAGTGCGCGACGAGGCACGGCAGGGTGGGAGTGAGCAAAAGGGGAGTGGGGCGGCTTGTGTGCCAAACGTGGGCGGCTAAAACGCTCTAGGCAGAAAACGCGCTTCGGGAGGCGCGCAAGGGGAGGGCTGCTTAATCGCTACGAACGTAGCAATTTCGCCTCCCTCCGCGCTGCCTTTCCCTGGCGGTAAGCGCCCCGTGCGCGGTTCCGTCTACGTCGCGGCTAGATTGAACAGGCGGGGAAAACGAGTGCATGACTAAACATGATAGGCGACGAGAAAGCGTGCTTGGAAACGCGCGGCTCTTCGAATTAGGGTTACGATAAAGAAGGGCGCACCGAAAGGGAAGGAAGAGTGCTAACTACGGGCGGAAGCTAAGCTCAGTGACTTCGAGAGAGGGAAACCGCGGGAAAAAACTCGGTAGCAGCTAATCGCTTCGATGTACTGGGCTGGGTGACCTCCCGGGAAGTCCTCGTGTTGTACCCATTTATGCCCCTTGCTCGGCACGTGCCGGGGGAGGGGCAAGCGGGAAAAAGAAAGGACGATTTTAGCGCGTCCGATTCTTTTCTTTTCGTTTTTTTGCCCAAACAACGACCCAGCGGGGTGGGGGGCCCCCGGGGAGGCTTGCCCATGCGAAGAAACGCCCCGTGCGCACCACCGTTGGGCGGTTGGAAGCCGCACACGGTCGCGGGGGTGGAGAGCGGAAACGGGCAGCCGGGGGAGGGTGGGGGCGGTTGGATGGGACTTGGGGTGTACGGGGGGCAGGGGAGTTGAGGGGGCAAGGGGAGGGGCAGCAACGGGCAGGGGCTGGGCCAACTGAGGGCACGGAAAAGGGGCGGGCAGAGGGTGAGCAGAGGGGCGAGCGATGCAAGGGTGGCACCATAGGGGGGAAACCAGTTGCACGGAGGTGGGAGGTGAGGGGCGTGCGAGGGGGTGGGAAAGGGGCAGGGAGGGGCAGAATGGGAGGATGTAGGTGGGGGGGGGTGGGGGAGGGGAGTGTGCGTGTGTGTGTGTGTGTGAGAAAGAGAGAGAGAGAGAGAGAGAGAGAGAGAGGGAGGGGGGGATTGAAGGGTGGGAGGGGGGCTGGTCGTGGGGATGGGCTGATGGTGGTAAGAGGGCAGCAGGGATGGGGAGAAGGGAGCGTAACGAGGGGAGAGCAAAGGGCAGGGGGGGAGGAAGGGAGGGGCAGGGAGGGAAGAGGCTGAACGTACAAAGGGGGGAAACGAGGGGCATGGATGATAGGAAACGAGGGCAGGGGTGTGGGAAATCAAGGGCAGGGAGGAGAGAAGCAATGGGTGAGGGGAAAACAAGGGAGGGGCAGACGGGGGGCAGGGAGGGAAGAAACGTGGGGCAGGGAGGGGAGAAGCCAAAGACAGGGGCATGGGCAGGCGGGGGCAGGGAGGGAGCAAAGGAGAGGCACGGAGAAAGAAAGGGAGGCGCGGGGAGGGGAGAAACCGGGCGTGGGGGGGGGGGGGCGGAAAATGAGGGGCAGGGCGGGGAGGAGGGAGGGGCAGGGAGGGGAGAAGCTGAGCACACGGAGGGGGGAAAGGTGAGGCAGGGAGGTAGGAAGCCAAGGACAAGGGGGGGGGAGAGTGGGGGGGGCAGGGAGAGGGGGGAGGTGGGGAGCGGGGAAAGGCGGCGAGGGGCAGGGAGGGGAGAAACCAAGCATAGGGGGGCGAGATACGAGGGGCAGGGTGCGGATTGAGGAGGGGCAGGGAGTGGAGTGGGTCGGCGAGGGGAAGGAAGAGGCGTGCAGCAGAGGAGGGGAGGGGGGAGGAGAAGGTAAAGGAGGGGAGCGCACGGGCGGGGAGGAGCGAATGGCGGGCGGTGGGAAACGGCGAGGGGGGGCAGGGAGGGTCAAAAGAGGCGGCAAGGGAGCGGGCACGCGGAGGGTAGGGGCGGGGGGAGCGGATGGCATGAGGGGGCAGGGGGTGTGACTATGAAGGGGGGGACCCGGGCAAGGGGTGTGTAGCGGTCGGGGCACGAGGTTGACGTGGTACGATCATACCTCGGCTACTACGCCGGATCCCATCAGAACTCCGAAGCTAAGCGCCGGTGGGCGAGAGCAGTTATTCATTAATAAGGGAAGAGCAAATACAAGCCGAATATAATGGTTTTTCCAAGACTAGGAAATTTCGACATAGCCTAAGCGCTATGAGGACGATTTATATATTTTGTAGGAAAAGGGGGAAAGAAAGGAAAGGAAGGAAAGATGAAGGAGTAAGAAGAAGTGGTAGGGAAAGGAAGAGGGTGGTAGGAAGAGAAGGGAAGGATAGAAGAAGGGAACAGAAAGAGGGAGGTGGGAAGAGAAGAGGAGAGAGAGAGAGAGACTAAGGAGAAGGAAGCACCAAAGGACCAAACACGGCAGCAACCCGCACGACCGCACGGGCACAGCGTTTCAAGCACAGCCACTATTGTTTTTTACACATATGCATCATATATATACTGCATATCAGCCACACTCTCGAAGCACCCTGTGACGTGGTGCCAAGTTCCCTGCCCCGCACCCAGTGGGACTGGTGCGGGCATCCACCCGTCGTCGGACCTCCCTAACTGCCGCACCGCATGCTGGATCATGCATTGAGCCTGCGCGCGCTGCAGTGCAACGGAGAGGCGTGTAGTGAGTCCTGCCTCAAATATCCGTGCCGATCCGTCATCCCCCCCACCTCTATCCCTCCTCCGCTGTGCTATCCTCTTTGCGCAGAGCCCCAGAAACTGACGCAGCGGCTCACTCAGAAGGCCAAAGGTCTCCGCCACGCACGCGTAAAAGTGTGGTGCCGGCTGCAGCCCCTCTAAGTGCGGCCCCCAGTGACGCAGCTTCTCCTGCACCCGCCTAGCTGCTGCCACTCCAATCTGTGTGGGGGTCGCCCGTCTCAGCTGCACGTTCCCCTCCCGCTGTGGATCCGCTATGGAGACATCCACAAGAACCATCAGACCCTGGCCAACGTCGCGGCAGGTGAGGTCTGGAATGCGGGAGGCGGTGCCTACACGGCCTGTGCGTCCGACTGGTCCCTGCTGTTGCGCTGGCTGCTGCCCTGTCTGGTCCCTTGGTGCCCCCTCTCCGATCGTCTCTCTCCCCCTCTCCTCTCCTCCATCCACCTGTCCTCTCCCCTCCCCCTCCCTACCCTCCCCCAAACCTCCCGACCCCCCTGCTCCATCCCCTGCTGCCTCTCTCACTCCCTGGCCCTCCCCTCCCAATCCCGCTGCCCCTCCTGTACCTCCGTCCGCTCTCTGCTGCTCCCGCCCCTGCCCCGCCCCCGAGGCCGAACCTGGAGGCGCGGCGCCCTGGGCCCGCGGCCTCCACTGGCTCTCCTGCTGCTGCCTGTGCCGTCCCCCCTCCCCGTCCTGGCCCGTCTGCTCCCCCTGCCGTCCCCTCTGCCCACCTGTCCCTCGCTCCACCTGACCCCGCAGCTGGTGCCGTCCCCACTGTCCCCCGCCACCCGGCTGTCCCGCCTCGCCTCTCCGCTCCCCCGGTCCCTCAGCCCGTGTCCCCTCTCCCACCACTGGCTGTCCCAGTAGTCTCGCTCGAGCCGCCTCCAACTGTGTGAACAGCGTAGAGTCCTCCACCTTTACCGCGAAGCCCGCCTCGACCGCAAAGTCTCGAAGCATGTACTTCACCGTGTCGTGGATGGTAGTGGCGACCCCGTAACGCGGGCACCGAACCGCGTGATGAGGCACCGTCATGTCGTCAATCGCCTGTCCGCAGGAGCACTGACCTGCAAGGGCTAACTGGGGGATAGGGAGACCAAGACGAGAAGATGAAGCCGCCTGCCACAGCGCCTCCGGGATGCGCAGTGGGTCGGCGTACGGCACCGACGTCAACCACGCTCCTGCACCTCCGCCCTGAAGGGAAGTCAAACGGGCAAGGTGCAAGGGAGAGGTGTGACGGGCACGCACGGCCTCCAAGGCATGCGCCTCCAGAAGACGGCTCGCTCCTGCAAAAAGGGAATCGGGGGAGGCAGAAGCGCAAGAGGGCCAGGGGGGAAGGAGAGAGAGAACGTCAGGAGGGAGACCCTCTAGCGCCGTCTGCAGAGCCCGGTCGATCTGCTCTGGCTCACCTGAAGCGAAGCTCTGCCGAAACACCTCGCCACACGCAGGGAGAGAACAGAGAATGGGTGCACACTGCACCCAGGAGCACACGAAACTCACCGGGGCCATGCGCGCCATGCGACGAATGCCGAAACCCCCGAGACGGATGGGGAGGAAGATCTGGTCTAGGGCGGCCTCTCGGACGTCCTCGCGACAAGCCCAGGTCCCTGAAGCTAAAAGCTGCTGAAAAGTCTCTCCCAGGCGTGCGTCCCACCGTGTAAAACTGGAGATCACTGCGGGCGAAGGAGGGACGGTCCTCGACAGGTACTGCGGACGAGTGCTGACACACGCCGAAAGAAGGCGGGCAGCTGTCTGGGGCTGGCGCAACCTCGGAAGCCAAGGTAGCACCCGCCCCATCCTCTCGAGACGATCCGGGAGACTCTGCTCCACGAACGAAACGGTGCCTACCGGTACGCCTGTCACGGTGAGCCCTCGGCGTGCGACCTCGATCCCTAGGCCCGTGAAAGCCTCCAGATCCCTGGACAGAAAGGACTCTGTCTGGTAGACGAGGCACTTGTGCGGCTGGGCTGCAAGGCCCATCTCGCCCAAGCGCCTCACGATCTCGGCAAAATGGTGCAGCACCCTGTCTGGGGGACCTAGCACGTACGTGTCATCGGCGTACGACCAGAGCTGGACATCCCCCTCCGCCAGAACCGGCTCCAAAGCAAGACGCTGTGTCAGAGCGTACAAGAAGGGGCTGAGAGGGTCTCCCTGGCGAGTGCCCCGCTCCGAGTGCATCGTGACCACTCCCGTGCCTGACCTGTAGTGGAGATCCGAGGGCGTCCCGTAGAAGAGGCCGATGAAGGGGATCAGACACTGAAACTCCGGACTGGCCTGCAGCGCCTGAAACATCCTGTCTCGGTGGAAAGAGTTAAAGGCATTCGCCACGTCTAGCTGCAGGACCACCCAGTCTGGGTGGTCAGCCAGAGCGCGGCGGACGCCTCTAACTACGACCTCTGTCCCGCACGTAACCCCCACCCCAAACTGCTGTGATGCCAAGAAGACCCTCGCCATCTGGTCACGTAGCTGGAGACAAACTGCCCGAGAAAGAATGCGGACCAAAACCTCGCCGATGGCAATCGGCCGAACATCCATGTTCGACTTCGCCAGAGCCACGAGGGTGGAGGACGCTAGCAAGGAGCGCGCAGCTGGAGCGCAACGGCCTCGGAGCCACTGCTGGTACACGGCCAGGAGGAAATGGAGACTCTGAGGGAAAGCTAGGAAAGTGTCTCGCAGGTGCTCAGCGACCCAACCGGACGGTCCTCCCGAAGAGCCCCGCGGAGCTGTGAAAATCGCGCGGCGTAAGTGATCCACCGAGAGCACGAGAGGGGACCCCTGGAAGCCAGACAGCCAAGCTGGGGTCGGCCTCTCCGCGTTGGGGTGCTTCGACTGCAGGCGCTGTATCGTCCCCTGTGTATCTGGGGCTGCCTCCGCGGACTCGAGAGCCGCGCACGCCCGTGAGGTCTCATTGCACGCTGCCAGACGAAGGCAACGTGCAATGCGGCGCTCATCTGCTGCAGAGGGATCGGTGGCGGTGCGTGACCGGTGACCTGTGCGGCGAGGAAGGGGTGTGCGACGGCCTAGTGCATCTGAGACTAGCTCAGCCCACTCACCTCGACCAAAGCGAGAGATGCGCGTTGCAATGGCAGCCGTGTGCGAGCGGTCGGGTGGCGTCGCTGGAACAAGGAAAAGAGTCGGCGCTGCAGCGAGGAGGAAGGTAGGGCCAGCAGCCTCCGGGTCCTGGGCAATGCGGACTAGGATCGCACTGAGGACGTCAAGATATCCTCCGCGGACCCTCTCCGGGACACGTCGGAGAGGGCGTGTATGGATACGCTCGGGCGAGAAGTACTCTGTCCAGTCCACCGAGTCGAGCGTCTGCCACTGTGCGTCGGTGAACTGCATCCCGGTCGCACGGGGCTGTGAGAGGGAAGGGATGATCGAGGCGGTATCATGGGCAGCCTGCGCCCTGCGAGCCGCGTCCGCAGGATGGCAGAAGGGAATGTGGTGCTGGAGCGCGCGTCGGTTCGCGAGAGAGCTCCTGCAGGTGGGGCAACTCACGACCTGGTCGGGTGATGTCGCCGTGTCGGCGGGGTCAATCGGGGCCGTGGCGTCGGAACTGGCTGTAGAGGGGACCCCGTGGGCGGCCTGAGCTCCGACAGGATCGCCTGGGATGAGGGGAGGAGACGACTCACCAGCCCCGCGCGGGGGGGGTGTCAGCGAAGATAGAGGTGGTGTCGCACAGGATAGGGCCGGGCCTCGTGCCGGCACCGGTGTTGAAGCTGGGGAGGGGGGACGTGGAGGTGAGCCTGAAGTGTGTGCCGTGGTGTGCTCCTGCCCCTCGGCGGGGTGCGGTTCAAGTGACGGCTCTGCTACCCCAGGCGGAGGGGTCTCGGTAGGGGCGGATGCCTCATCCCTACTGCTGGTGACCTCCTGCGCCACGGGCTGAACGGGGGGAGGCGCCACCCCGTCTAGGTGCGAGTGACACGGCCTCAGACCCCGGTCCGTCTCCATTGGGGTCGGGAGTGACGCGCCTGGCTGAGTGGCGGGGGGGATAAAAGAAGGGACAGACCGGGTGACCTCCGCATACGTCCGGGTCCGGTCCTGTGGGACTGGAAGGGTGGGGGCAGCCGGAGAGCTGCTCAGGCGGTGTATCGCCAGCAAATCTGAAATGCCAGCCCTCACCTCCTCTGGGGTCTCGAAGACCTGCCTGCCTGTAGGTGAGAGTAGGAGGGCTGGCAGGGTAGAGGGTGGAGTGGGGCGTGCTGGCTGAGCGGAGCTCGGGTGTGGACCCTGCCCTAGAAGGCCCCCTTGGCCCTCCCCAATCACCATGGGTTGCGGTAGGGGGTCGTCGACATGGAAGGGGTGGGAGGGATGGGAGGGGGAGTCGGTGGCGTCTGCCATGGGCGCATCCCTCAACCCGACGGCCCCCCTCCCAGTAGCGATCGCGGCCGCCGCCACCTGGGAGGGGGACACAGCACGGGAGGGGCAGAATGGGGGTGAGTGGGCTGGTCCGCTCCCATGGCCCTGTGGAGGTGCAGGAGCGGGGCGGGAGTGTAGGTTTGGTGGACGGGCTGTAGAGGTAGGGCCTGGTAATTGTTCAACGGGATGTGAGGTGGGGAGGGGCTCTTGGTGGGGGAGGGAGGGAGGGGGGAGTACGTGGGCTGACCCTCTGCCTCCTCTGCCCCTGTTCTTCCGCCGGCGGCCAACCTGGTTGTCCGCGCCTGTTTGTGAAGGAAGGGGGGGCTGTGGGGCCAAAGGGGTGGGTGGAGGGAGGATGGGTGGTTCGCCAGGCAGGGGGTGCTCTGTGTGCATCCCCACTCTCCTCGAAACATCCCCCTCCGTGGGAACAGATCGGGCAAGCTGTGTGTGGGGGGTGATGGCTGCCCAACGGGGCCACTCGTGGGGAACCCGGCCGGGAGAGGGGGTTGGAGGTGGGGGTCGAGGGGCTGGGCCAGTGTGGAGGTTAGAGCGAGGTACAAACGGTGGGGGGAGAGAGATTTGTGTGGGCTCTGTGGTGGCCTCTCCTGTGGGCCCCTCTACCCGGGTGCCGCCGCTCCCATGAGCCTGGGGCGCAAGCCCTTGCGGGTGGGTCTCGGCTGCCTGGGGGGGGTGGTGTGGGGAGGGCAGCCTGTTGGGTGGGCGTGTTGGGGCTGTGCGGCGACTCGGGTGGTTTGGGTGCCTGTAGCGTGTGGGAGAGGGATTTGGCCGCAGAGATGCTTCAACCTCCGAGATGTGTGTACTACCGGGTGGGGGGGGGCCTGGTGGAGGAGGGGGTAGTGGGCCGGTAAGGGGTGGCTGGGTGTTGGTAGGAGTCGGGGAGCATGGCTCCTCTAGGAAGACCAGAGCCCTGGCTGCTCCACGTGGTGCTCTAAGGAGCCCCTGAGGGTGGGGGCAGAGGTGTGCTGCCCTTGGGGGTGAAGGAAGGAGTGAGGGAAGGGGCGGGGAGGGGTGAGAGGTGAGAGAAGGGGTGCCCTCGGGTGACTCTGCTCTTGTCGCACCCGCGTGCTCTCCCGGTGGACCGCCTGCAACCGTGGGGTCAGGCGTTGGGGACGGAGAGGGGGGCTGGCCATGGAGCAGCGTGGGGGTCGGGGAGCACGGCTCCGCCAAGAAGGCCAGGGCCTTGGCTGCCCCCCTGGACACTACCGGGACCTGAGGGTGGGGGTGGGGAAGTGGTGCTCCTGGGGGCTGGTGGGCTGGAGGACGGGAGGTGAGGATGGGGGCTCCCTCGCGCGGCTCTGTCCTCAAGGTCTCCCCCAGCCCCTCCATCGGTCCTTCTGCTAGCATGGGGACGGGCATGGGGGGTAGAGGGGGAACCTCGACGTGAGGCTGCAGGGGGGCCGGGTCGGCCTCACCGTCAAGCGTGAGGTATTGGGCCAGTGGCCCGTCAATGTGCATCACATCCTCTCCCTCATCCTCCTCTATCGCTATCACATCCCCCTCTTCAGTGCCCACCCCGGTCGGGACCACCCTCCCCTCTCCTTCCCCTGTTGCCCCTATGTCCCCCAAGCCCACCCCGCCTGCTGCCGCTTTACTGCTAGCCCCTTTTGCAGTCTCTGCCGGCCCTGCCGGCCCTGCTGTGTGTTTCCCCGAGTTTGCTGCGGCCCCTGCCGCCCCTACTGGCCGTGCTATGGCCCTCCCTGCTGCTTCAGCTGCAGCCTCACCTTCTGCCTTTGAGGCCCCTGCCGTACCCTCTCTTGCTACAGCCGGGGCGGCACTCTCCCTCGCACCAGTCCCCGTTACCCCCTTCCCCGCTGCACCCGTAGCACCTCCCCCTATACCAGCCCCCGCTGTGGCCTCTGTCGCTCCTGCTGCAGTCCTTGCAGCCTCGACTGCTGCAGTCTGTAAAACCTCGCCTACCGTAATCTGCTCAGCCTCACCAGCCGCGATCCCTGTAGCCTCACGTGCTGCAGTCCCTGCAGCCTCACGTGCTGCAGTCCCTGCAGCCTCACCCGCTGCAGTCCCTGCGGCCTCACCTGCTGCAGTCTGTGCAGCCTCACCTGCTAGAATCTGCTCAACCTCACATGCTGCGGCCTCTGCAGCCTCACCTGCTGCGGCTATTTCAGCCTCACCTGCTGCGCTCCCTGCGGCCTCACCTGCCATGGTCCCGCCTGCAGCCTCATCCGCTGTGGTCCCTGCCGCCTCACCTGCTGCAGTCCCTGCGGCCTCACCTGTTGCAGTCCATGCGACCTCACCAGCTGTAGACTGTGCAGCCTCACCTGCTAGAGTCTGCCCAACCTTACATGATGCAGCCCTCGCAGCCTCACCTGCTGCGTCCGCCGCAGCCTCACCTGCTGTGGCCCCTGCAGTCCCGCCTGCTGCGCTCCCTGCAGCCTCGCCTGCTGCGCTCCCTGCAGCCTCGCTTGCTGCGCTCCCTGCGGCCTCACCTGCTGCGCTCTCTGCAGCCTCACCTGCTGCGCCCCCTACAGCCTCACCTGCTGCGCTCCCCGCAGCCTCACCTACTGCGCTCCCTGCGGCCTCACCTGCCATGGTCCCTCCTGCAGCCTCACCCGTTGTGATCCCTGCAGCCACACCTGCTGTGGTCTGTGCGGCCTCACCTGGTGCGGTCCCTATAGCCTCCTCTGCTGCGGTTCCCCCAGCCGACGCAGCAGCAGGTTCCGTGGCCCCTACTCCTGCAAAACCTGTCTCCATGGCCTCTGCCCTTTGCCTGGCCAGAGTCACGGTCCCTGCCGCCCCTTCCCGTGCAGCCCCTGCCGCCCTTTCCCGTGCAGCCGCTGCTGCCCCTTCCCTTGCAGCCTCTGCTGCCCTTTCCTCTGCAGCCTCTGCTGCCCCTTCCCCCACAACCCCCATTGCCCCTTCCCGTGCAGCCTTTGCTGCCCCATCCTCTGTAGCCTCTGCTGCTCCTTCACACACAAACTCACTTACCCCTTCCCGTGCAGTGTCAGCTGCAAGTTCCCCCCTGGCTCTGCCCTCTCCCGCTTCTATGTGCTTGGGGGTGCGGGTAGGATTAAGTGTTTTCACAAGTAATCTGGTTTGCGAATGGGAGGTAGCGAGTGAGTTGGAGGATCTCTCTACTGAGCATGCATGGGTGCCGCCCCCGCTGTCACCTGAAGGGGGGGTAGACTGGGATGGGGCAGCGGGGGTAGGGCGCGGTTTTGAGCGTGCTGGCTCCTCCTCGTGTATTTCCTCCAGTGGGGCTTGGCGTTCCTCTGTTCCATCCTCTTCAAAGGTACGCTTCTGGCCCCTAGGGTCAGATTGTGTGAGTGTTTTCGCTTGGTCAGGTGTGTGTTGTTTCTTCCTGACTGTTGAAGTGGGGGGAGTGGGAGAGTAGGGGGTGGCTCGGCTGCGGGACCTCCCAGATCGCCGAGGGGCTCCCGGGCCTGCCTTTCCCCCACTCGCGGGGTGCTGGGGCATTGTTACAGAGGCAGCATGCCTGGCGGTGGCGGTGTGAGTTGCTGGGGTTGGCTCAAGAGGGCGTCAAAGGGGGAAGGAACTCCCTGGCAGAGGCCGGGGTGCGGGGGGTTAGCTTGGGGAAAGGGGAAAAGGGTGGGGAAAGCGGTGCGCAGTGGGTGGAAGAGAGGGTAGAGGGGGCCTGACAGTTGGAGGGGATTGGGGCCCAAGGGGGGGGCGGGCTGGGGGCCGATTGAGAGGGGAAGTGTTGGCGGGCTGTAGTGGAGGTGGGGGGGCGGGGGTGGTGTAGCGGTGGGTGAGCAGGGTGTGGGGACAGGTGGTGGGCCAGAGGTGGGGAGGGCAGGGCAGAATTCCACGGGAGGTGGGGGTGGGCAGGTGGAGCCAGGTGGGAAAGGAAGGGTGGGGAACAGAGAGGAAGGGGCAAAGGGTAGTGGGTAGTCGAGTTGGCGTGAGCCTGGTAGCGGGTAATGAGAAGGTTGGGAGGCGGGGGGTGAGAACGTGGGAGGGCAGAGAGGGCACCGAAAGGAGGTGCTGTGGTAAATGCAGGATAGGATGCGGGGCCGGGAAACAGGGGACAGAGGGAATTGGGGAATCGATGAAGGGTGATAGCTGCGGATGGGCGAGCCCCAGGGGGGAGGAAATATGGAGGGTGTTGGAGAAGGGGGAGACTGGGGGGGGTTGAGGTAGGGTGTTGGAGGGCACAAGGGGCAGGAACAGGGGGTGCAAAAGTTGGCTGGGGGAGGGAGAGGCGGTCTGGTGCCGCGGAAAGGCGGAGGGAGGTTGGGGACGGCACAGCCCAGGGAGCAAAAGCAAGGGGTGTAGACCTTGGCTGGGGGTAGGAACGGCGGTGTGGAGTTAGGGAGAGGTAGAGGGAGGCTGGGGTAGGTGGCTGGATTGCGCAGGGAGCAGGGGCAGGGGGTGTAGAGATTGGATGGGGGTGGGAAAGGCGGCGTGGTGCCAGGTGGCGGCAGTTGGGTCACCGAAGGGCCTGGCAGGGCGGGATGCAGAGGTGCAGCCCACGCTGGATGCGGAAGTAGCTGGGGGGGAAAGGGAGGCTGGAGGGGGAAGTACGGCTCGTAGAGGTGTGGGGGGCAGAGTGGGAGTGGGGAAAGCAGGAAGGGGGGTGGAGGGACGTTGTGGACAGGGGAGTGGGGGAACATGCGGGTGATGATAGGGAGAAGCCGGGGGGGGGGGAGAAGGGGGAGGTGGTATGAAGTGGGCAAGGGTGACGCACGGGCAGAGCGCGGCGGTACTAAGGGCAGGGAGACGGGAGGCTGGGGGGAGAAAGGCCTGCTTGGGGGCGTGGTGGGGGATAAGGGGAGAGGGGCGGTAATGCTGGTGGGCAAAAGGGGAGGGTGTGGTGTAGTATGATGAAACAGAATGGGGGGGTGGCGGACTGGGTGGGGCCCTGGAGGGTTGGGAGAACAAGGTGTAAGCTGCCTTTCTGATTTTTCCTGGTTTTTTCGGATTTATATGAATTTCTTTTTCTTTTCTTTTTTCCTTGAAGTTGTTTCCTCTTATTTCCTACGGTTTCCAGAAACAGGGCGGCCTCTGCTAGCTAAGCGCCGTTAGGGAAAGAGGTTAGGTGGCGGGGTGGCTAAAGCGCGCGTGTGAGGGGGAAAGGGGCGGTGTGAGCAGGGAGGTGACTATGTGGGTGGCGACGGGGTAAAATTACGACGTGTGGGTGGCATGCACGAGTGCGCGACGAGGCACGGCAGGGTGGGAGTGAGCAAAAGGGGAGTGGGGCGGCTTGTGTGCCAAACGTGGGCGGCTAAAACGCTCTAGGCAGAAAACGCGCTTCGGGAGGCGCGCAAGGGGAGGGCTGCTTAATCGCTACGAACGTAGCAATTTCGCCTCCCTCCGCGCTGCCTTTCCCTGGCGGTAAGCGCCCCGTGCGCGGTTCCGTCTACGTCGCGGCTAGATTGAACAGGCGGGGAAAACGAGTGCATGACTAAACATGATAGGCGACGAGAAAGCGTGCTTGGAAACGCGCGGCTCTTCGAATTAGGGTTACGATAAAGAAGGGCGCACCGAAAGGGAAGGAAGAGTGCTAACTACGGGCGGAAGCTAAGCTCAGTGACTTCGAGAGAGGGAAACCGCGGGAAAAAACTCGGTAGCAGCTAATCGCTTCGAATAGAAAAGCCGTGAGCAGAAAAGAGCGGGGGGATAAGGGAGAGTGTCGAGAGAGGGGATGGGCGGGAACACCGTGTCTGGCGGAGTTGTGGTTGTGAGTCGCGCGCGCTGTTACACTCCGCGGGCGAACTTCGCGTCAGCGCCCCACCTCCCGTTACACCGGCTGCAGCGCGTCCGCAGCGATCCCGCGATGGCGGGGTCGAACAAACGGTTCCGTAACACCCCGCGAGTTCCGTTTCCGAGACTCCTGAGGGTCGCGCGCGAAACTCGCGACCCCCGTCCCGTCGAACTCGACAGTCGAAACTAAAAAACTAACCGTTGGAAACGCTTATAACTATAACATAAACAACTATCACAATCACTTTGTCCTTAAGCAACTCGAAATAGTAGGTTTAGGAGGCTCCTTAGTAGGCAGCCATGGCTAGGTAAGCTAGGTCAAGGTAAGAGCGCCGGTGGGCGAGAGCAGTACTGGGCTGGGTGACCTCCCGGGAAGTCCTCGTGTTGTACCCATTTATGCCCCTTGCTCGGCACGTGCCGGGGGAGGGGCAAGCGGGAAAAAGAAAGGACGATTTTAGCGCGTCCGATTCTTTTCTTTTCGTTTTTTTGCCCAAACAACGACCCAGCGGGGTGGGGGGCCCCCGGGGAGGCTTGCCCATGCGAAGAAACGCCCCGTGCGCACCACCGTTGGGCGGTTGGAAGCCGCACACGGTCGCGGGGGTGGAGAGCGGAAACGGGCAGCCGGGGGAGGGTGGGGGCGGTTGGATGGGACTTGGGGTGTACGGGGGGCAGGGGAGTTGAGGGGGCAAGGGGAGGGGCAGCAACGGGCAGGGGCTGGGCCAACTGAGGGCACGGAAAAGGGGCGGGCAGAGGGTGAGCAGAGGGGCGAGCGATGCAAGGGTGGCACCATAGGGGGGAAACCAGTTGCACGGAGGTGGGAGGTGAGGGGCGTGCGAGGGGGTGGGAAAGGGGCAGGGAGGGGCAGAATGGGAGGATGTAGGTGGGGGGGGGTGGGGGAGGGGAGTGTGCGTGTGTGTGTGCGTGTGAGAAAGAGAGAGAGAGAGAGAGAGAGAGAGAGAGGGAGGGGGGGATTGAAGGGTGGGAGGGGGGCTGGTCGTGGGGATGGGCTGATGGTGGTAAGAGGGCAGCAGGGATGGGGAGAAGGGAGCGTAACGAGGGGAGAGCAAAGGGCAGGGGGGGAGGAAGGGAGGGGCAGGGAGGGAAGAGGCTGAACGTACAAAGGGGGGAAACGAGGGGCATGGATGATAGGAAACGAGGGCAGGGGTGTGGGAAATCAAGGGCAGGGAGGAGAGAAGCAATGGGTGAGGGGAAAACAAGGGAGGGGCAGACGGGGGGCAGGGAGGGAAGAAACGTGGGGCAGGGAGGGGAGAAGCCAAAGACAGGGGCATGGGCAGGCGGGGGCAGGGAGGGAGCAAAGGAGAGGCACGGAGAAAGAAAGGGAGGCGCGGGGAGGGGAGAAACCGGGCGTGGGGGGGGGGGGGGCGGAAAATGAGGGGCAGGGCGGGGAGGAGGGAGGGGCAGGGAGGGGAGAAGCTGAGCACACGGAGGGGGGAAAGGTGAGGCAGGGAGGTAGGAAGCCAAGGACAAGGGGGGGGGAGAGTGGGGGGGGCAGGGAGAGGGGGGAGGTGGGGAGCGGGGAAAGGCGGCGAGGGGCAGGGAGGGGAGAAACCAAGCATAGGGGGGCGAGATACGAGGGGCAGGGTGCGGATTGAGGAGGGGCAGGGAGTGGAGTGGGTCGGCGAGGGGAAGGAAGAGGCGTGCAGCAGAGGAGGGGAGGGGGGAGGAGAAGGTAAAGGAGGGGAGCGCACGGGCGGGGAGGAGCGAATGGCGGGCGGTGGGAAACGGCGAGGGGGGGCAGGGAGGGTCAAAAGAGGCGGCAAGGGAGCGGGCACGCGGAGGGTAGGGGCGGGGGGAGCGGATGGCATGAGGGGGCAGGGGGTGTGACTATGAAGGGGGGGACCCGGGCAAGGGGTGTGTAGCGGTCGGGGCACGAGGTTGACGTGGTACGATCATACCTCAGCTATTAGCCGGATCCCATCAGAACTCCGAAGCTAAGCGCCGGTGGGCGAGAGCAGTACTGGGCTGGGTGACCTCCCGGGAAGTCCTCGTGTTGTACCCATTTATGCCCCTTGCTCGGCACGTGCCGGGGGAGGGGCAAGCGGGAAAAAGAAAGGACGATTTTAGCGCGTCCGATTCTTTTCTTTTCGTTTTTTTTGCCCAAACAACGACCCAGCGGGGTGGGGGGCCCCCGGGGAGGCTTGCCCATGCGAAGAAACGCCCCGTGCGCACCACCGTTGGGCGGTTGGAAGCCGCACACGGTCGCGGGGGTGGAGAGCGGAAACGGGCAGCCGGGGGAGGGTGGGGGCGGTTGGATGGGACTTGGGGTGTACGGGGGGCAGGGGAGTTGAGGGGGCAAGGGGAGGGGCAGCAACGGGCAGGGGCTGGGCCAACTGAGGGCACGGAAAAGGGGCGGGCAGAGGGTGAGCAGAGGGGCGAGCGATGCAAGGGTGGCACCATAGGGGGGAAACCAGTTGCACGGAGGTGGGAGGTGAGGGGCGTGCGAGGGGGTGGGAAAGGGGCAGGGAGGGGCAGAATGGGAGGATGTAGGTGGGGGGGGGTGGGGGAGGGGAGTGTGCGTGTGTGTGTGTGTGTGAGAAAGAGAGAGAGAGAGAGAGAGAGAGAGAGAGAGAGAGGGAGGGGGGGATTGAAGGGTGGGAGGGGGGCTGGTCGTGGGGATGGGCTGATGGTGGTAAGAGGGCAGCAGGGATGGGGAGAAGGGAGCGTAACGAGGGGAGAGCAAAGGGCAGGGGGGGAGGAAGGGAGGGGCAGGGAGGGAAGAGGCTGAACGTACAAAGGGGGGAAACGAGGGGCATGGATGATAGGAAACGAGGGCAGGGGTGTGGGAAATCAAGGGCAGGGAGGAGAGAAGCAATGGGTGAGGGGAAAACAAGGGAGGGGCAGACGGGGGGCAGGGAGGGAAGAAACGTGGGGCAGGGAGGGGAGAAGCCAAAGACAGGGGCATGGGCAGGCGGGGGCAGGGAGGGAGCAAAGGAGAGGCACGGAGAAAGAAAGGGAGGCGCGGGGAGGGGAGAAACCGGGCGTGGGGGGGGGGGGGGCGGAAAATGAGGGGCAGGGCGGGGAGGAGGGAGGGGCAGGGAGGGGAGAAGCTGAGCACACGGAGGGGGGAAAGGTGAGGCAGGGAGGTAGGAAGCCAAGGACAAGGGGGGGGGGAGAGTGGGGGGGGCAGGGAGAGGGGGGAGGTGGGGAGCGGGGAAAGGCGGCGAGGGGCAGGGAGGGGAGAAACCAAGCATAGGGGGGCGAGATACGAGGGGCAGGGTGCGGATTGAGGAGGGGCAGGGAGTGGAGTGGGTCGGCGAGGGGAAGGAAGAGGCGTGCAGCAGAGGAGGGGAGGGGGGAGGAGAAGGTAAAGGAGGGGAGCGCACGGGCGGGGAGGAGCGAATGGCGGGCGGTGGGAAACGGCGAGGGGGGGCAGGGAGGGTCAAAAGAGGCGGCAAGGGAGCGGGCACGCGGAGGGTAGGGGCGGGGGGAGCGGATGGCATGAGGGGGCAGGGGGTGTGACTATGAAGGGGGGGACCCGGGCAAGGGGTGTGTAGCGGTCGGGGCACGAGGTTGACGTGGTACGATCATACCTCGGCTACTACGCCGGATCCCATCAGAACTCCGAAGCTAAGCGCCGGTGGGCGAGAGCAGTTATTCATTAATAGGGGAAGAGCAAATACAAGCCGAATATAATGGTTTTTCCAAGACTAGGAAATTTCGACATAGCCTAATCGCTATGAGGACGGTATATATATTTTGTAGGAAAAGGGGGAAAGAAAGGAAAGGAAGGAAGGATGAAGGAGTAAGAAGAAGTGGTAGGGAAAAGAAGAGGGCGGTAGGAAGAGAAGGGAAGGATAGAAGAAGGGAACAGAAAGAGGGAGGTGGGAAGAAAAGAGGAGAGAGGGAGAGAGACTAAGGAGGAGGAAGCACCAAAGGACCAAAACACGGCAGCAACCCGCACGACCGCACGGGCACAGCGTTTCAAGCACAGCCACTATCGGTGGGCGAGAGCAGTACTGGGCTGGGTGACCTCCCGGGAAGTCCTCGTGTTGTACCCATTTATGCCCCTTGCTCGGCACGTGCCGGGGGAGGGGCAAGCGGGAAAAAGAAAGGACGATTTTAGCGCGTCCGATTCTTTTCTTTTCGTTTTTTTTGCCCAAACAACGACCCAGCGGGGTGGGGGGCCCCCGGGGAGGCTTGCCCATGCGAAGAAACGCCCCGTGCGCACCACCGTTGGGCGGTTGGAAGCCGCACACGGTCGCGGGGGTGGAGAGCGGAAACGGGCAGCCGGGGGAGGGTGGGGGCGGTTGGATGGGACTTGGGGTGTACGGGGGGCAGGGGAGTTGAGGGGGCAAGGGGAGGGGCAGCAACGGGCAGGGGCTGGGCCAACTGAGGGCACGGAAAAGGGGCGGGCAGAGGGTGAGCAGAGGGGCGAGCGATGCAAGGGTGGCACCATAGGGGGGAAACCAGTTGCACGGAGGTGGGAGGTGAGGGGCGTGCGAGGGGGTGGGAAAGGGGCAGGGAGGGGCAGAATGGGAGGATGTAGGTGGGGGGGGGTGGGGGAGGGGAGTGTGCGTGTGTGTGTGCGTGTGAGAAAGAGAGAGAGAGAGAGAGAGAGAGAGAGAGGGAGGGGGGGATTGAAGGGTGGGAGGGGGGCTGGTCGTGGGGATGGGCTGATGGTGGTAAGAGGGCAGCAGGGATGGGGAGAAGGGAGCGTAACGAGGGGAGAGCAAAGGGCAGGGGGGGAGGAAGGGAGGGGCAGGGAGGGAAGAGGCTGAACGTACAAAGGGGGGAAACGAGGGGCATGGATGATAGGAAACGAGGGCAGGGGTGTGGGAAATCAAGGGCAGGGAGGAGAGAAGCAATGGGTGAGGGGAAAACAAGGGAGGGGCAGACGGGGGGCAGGGAGGGAAGAAACGTGGGGCAGGGAGGGGAGAAGCCAAAGACAGGGGCATGGGCAGGCGGGGGCAGGGAGGGAGCAAAGGAGAGGCACGGAGAAAGAAAGGGAGGCGCGGGGAGGGGAGAAACCGGGCGTGGGGGGGGGGGGGGCGGAAAATGAGGGGCAGGGCGGGGAGGAGGGAGGGGCAGGGAGGGGAGAAGCTGAGCACACGGAGGGGGGAAAGGTGAGGCAGGGAGGTAGGAAGCCAAGGACAAGGGGGGGGGGAGAGTGGGGGGGGCAGGGAGAGGGGGGAGGTGGGGAGCGGGGAAAGGCGGCGAGGGGCAGGGAGGGGAGAAACCAAGCATAGGGGGGCGAGATACGAGGGGCAGGGTGCGGATTGAGGAGGGGCAGGGAGTGGAGTGGGTCGGCGAGGGGAAGGAAGAGGCGTGCAGCAGAGGAGGGGAGGGGGGAGGAGAAGGTAAAGGAGGGGAGCGCACGGGCGGGGAGGAGCGAATGGCGGGCGGTGGGAAACGGCGAGGGGGGGCAGGGAGGGTCAAAAGAGGCGGCAAGGGAGCGGGCACGCGGAGGGTAGGGGCGGGGGGAGCGGATGGCATGAGGGGGCAGGGGGTGTGACTATGAAGGGGGGGACCCGGGCAAGGGGTGTGTAGCGGTCGGGGCACGAGGTTGACGTGGTACGATCATACCTCGGCTACTACGCCGGATCCCATCAGAACTCCGAAGCTAAGCGCCGGTGGGCGAGAGCAGTACTGGGCTGGGTGACCTCCCGGGAAGTCCTCGTGTTGTACCCATTTATGCCCCTTGCTCGGCACGTGCCGGGGGAGGGGCAAGCGGGAAAAAGAAAGGACGATTTTAGCGCGTCCGATTCTTTTCTTTTCGTTTTTTTTGCCCAAACAACGACCCAGCGGGGTGGGGGGCCCCCGGGGAGGCTTGCCCATGCGAAGAAACGCCCCGTGCGCACCACCGTTGGGCGGTTGGAAGCCGCACACGGTCGCGGGGGTGGAGAGCGGAAACGGGCAGCCGGGGGAGGGTGGGGGCGGTTGGATGGGACTTGGGGTGTACGGGGGGCAGGGGAGTTGAGGGGGCAAGGGGAGGGGCAGCAACGGGCAGGGGCTGGGCCAACTGAGGGCACGGAAAAGGGGCGGGCAGAGGGTGAGCAGAGGGGCGAGCGATGCAAGGGTGGCACCATAGGGGGGAAACCAGTTGCACGGAGGTGGGAGGTGAGGGGCGTGCGAGGGGGTGGGAAAGGGGCAGGGAGGGGCAGAATGGGAGGATGTAGGTGGGGGGGGGTGGGGGAGGGGAGTGTGCGTGTGTGTGTGTGTGTGAGAAAGAGAGAGAGAGAGAGAGAGAGAGAGAGAGAGAGAGGGAGGGGGGGATTGAAGGGTGGGAGGGGGGCTGGTCGTGGGGATGGGCTGATGGTGGTAAGAGGGCAGCAGGGATGGGGAGAAGGGAGCGTAACGAGGGGAGAGCAAAGGGCAGGGGGGGAGGAAGGGAGGGGCAGGGAGGGAAGAGGCTGAACGTACAAAGGGGGGAAACGAGGGGCATGGATGATAGGAAACGAGGGCAGGGGTGTGGGAAATCAAGGGCAGGGAGGAGAGAAGCAATGGGTGAGGGGAAAACAAGGGAGGGGCAGACGGGGGGCAGGGAGGGAAGAAACGTGGGGCAGGGAGGGGAGAAGCCAAAGACAGGGGCATGGGCAGGCGGGGGCAGGGAGGGAGCAAAGGAGAGGCACGGAGAAAGAAAGGGAGGCGCGGGGAGGGGAGAAACCGGGCGTGGGGGGGGGGGGGCGGAAAATGAGGGGCAGGGCGGGGAGGAGGGAGGGGCAGGGAGGGGAGAAGCTGAGCACACGGAGGGGGGAAAGGTGAGGCAGGGAGGTAGGAAGCCAAGGACAAGGGGGGGGGAGAGTGGGGGGGGCAGGGAGAGGGGGGAGGTGGGGAGCGGGGAAAGGCGGCGAGGGGCAGGGAGGGGAGAAACCAAGCATAGGGGGGCGAGATACGAGGGGCAGGGTGCGGATTGAGGAGGGGCAGGGAGTGGAGTGGGTCGGCGAGGGGAAGGAAGAGGCGTGCAGCAGAGGAGGGGAGGGGGGAGGAGAAGGTAAAGGAGGGGAGCGCACGGGCGGGGAGGAGCGAATGGCGGGCGGTGGGAAACGGCGAGGGGGGGCAGGGAGGGTCAAAAGAGGCGGCAAGGGAGCGGGCACGCGGAGGGTAGGGGCGGGGGGAGCGGATGGCATGAGGGGGCAGGGGGTGTGACTATGAAGGGGGGGACCCGGGCAAGGGGTGTGTAGCGGTCGGGGCACGAGGTTGACGTGGTACGATCATACCTCAGCTATTAGCCGGATCCCATCAGAACTCCGAAGCTAAGCGCCGGTGGGCGAGAGCAGTACTGGGCTGGGTGACCTCCCGGGAAGTCCTCGTGTTGTACCCATTTATGCCCCTTGCTCGGCACGTGCCGGGGGAGGGGCAAGCGGGAAAAAGAAAGGACGATTTTAGCGCGTCCGATTCTTTTCTTTTCGTTTTTTTTGCCCAAACAACGACCCAGCGGGGTGGGGGGCCCCCGGGGAGGCTTGCCCATGCGAAGAAACGCCCCGTGCGCACCACCGTTGGGCGGTTGGAAGCCGCACACGGTCGCGGGGGTGGAGAGCGGAAACGGGCAGCCGGGGGAGGGTGGGGGCGGTTGGATGGGACTTGGGGTGTACGGGGGGCAGGGGAGTTGAGGGGGCAAGGGGAGGGGCAGCAACGGGCAGGGGCTGGGCCAACTGAGGGCACGGAAAAGGGGCGGGCAGAGGGTGAGCAGAGGGGCGAGCGATGCAAGGGTGGCACCATAGGGGGGAAACCAGTTGCACGGAGGTGGGAGGTGAGGGGCGTGCGAGGGGGTGGGAAAGGGGCAGGGAGGGGCAGAATGGGAGGATGTAGGTGGGGGGGGGTGGGGGAGGGGAGTGTGCGTGTGTGTGTGTGTGTGAGAAAGAGAGAGAGAGAGAGAGAGAGAGAGAGAGAGAGAGGGAGGGGGGGATTGAAGGGTGGGAGGGGGGCTGGTCGTGGGGATGGGCTGATGGTGGTAAGAGGGCAGCAGGGATGGGGAGAAGGGAGCGTAACGAGGGGAGAGCAAAGGGCAGGGGGGGAGGAAGGGAGGGGCAGGGAGGGAAGAGGCTGAACGTACAAAGGGGGGAAACGAGGGGCATGGATGATAGGAAACGAGGGCAGGGGTGTGGGAAATCAAGGGCAGGGAGGAGAGAAGCAATGGGTGAGGGGAAAACAAGGGAGGGGCAGACGGGGGGCAGGGAGGGAAGAAACGTGGGGCAGGGAGGGGAGAAGCCAAAGACAGGGGCATGGGCAGGCGGGGGCAGGGAGGGAGCAAAGGAGAGGCACGGAGAAAGAAAGGGAGGCGCGGGGAGGGGAGAAACCGGGCGTGGGGGGGGGGGGGGCGGAAAATGAGGGGCAGGGCGGGGAGGAGGGAGGGGCAGGGAGGGGAGAAGCTGAGCACACGGAGGGGGGAAAGGTGAGGCAGGGAGGTAGGAAGCCAAGGACAAGGGGGGGGGAGAGTGGGGGGGGCAGGGAGAGGGGGGAGGTGGGGAGCGGGGAAAGGCGGCGAGGGGCAGGGAGGGGAGAAACCAAGCATAGGGGGGCGAGATACGAGGGGCAGGGTGCGGATTGAGGAGGGGCAGGGAGTGGAGTGGGTCGGCGAGGGGAAGGAAGAGGCGTGCAGCAGAGGAGGGGAGGGGGGAGGAGAAGGTAAAGGAGGGGAGCGCACGGGCGGGGAGGAGCGAATGGCGGGCGGTGGGAAACGGCGAGGGGGGGCAGGGAGGGTCAAAAGAGGCGGCAAGGGAGCGGGCACGCGGAGGGTAGGGGCGGGGGGAGCGGATGGCATGAGGGGGCAGGGGGTGTGACTATGAAGGGGGGGACCCGGGCAAGGGGTGTGTAGCGGTCGGGGCACGAGGTTGACGTGGTACGATCATACCTCGGCTACTACGCCGGATCCCATCAGAACTCCGAAGCTAAGCGCCGGTGGGCGAGAGCAGTTATTCATTAATAGGGGAAGAGCAAATACAAGCCGAATATAATGGTTTTTCCAAGACTAGGAAATTTCGACATAGCCTAATCGCTATGAGGACGGTATATATATTTTGTAGGAAAAGGGGGAAAGAAAGGAAAGGAAGGAAGGATGAAGGAGTAAGAAGAAGTGGTAGGGAAAAGAAGAGGGCGGTAGGAAGAGAAGGGAAGGATAGAAGAAGGGAACAGAAAGAGGGAGGTGGGAAGAAAGAGGAGAGAGGGAGAGAGACTAAGGAGGAGGAAGCACCAAAGGACCAAAACACGGCAGCAACCCGCACGACCGCACGGGCACAGCGTTTCAAGCACAGCCACTATCGGTGGGCGAGAGCAGTACTGGGCTGGGTGACCTCCCGGGAAGTCCTCGTGTTGTACCCATTTATGCCCCTTGCTCGGCACGTGCCGGGGGAGGGGCAAGCGGGAAAAAGAAAGGACGATTTTAGCGCGTCCGATTCTTTTCTTTTCGTTTTTTTTGCCCAAACAACGACCCAGCGGGGTGGGGGGCCCCCGGGGAGGCTTGCCCATGCGAAGAAACGCCCCGTGCGCACCACCGTTGGGCGGTTGGAAGCCGCACACGGTCGCGGGGGTGGAGAGCGGAAACGGGCAGCCGGGGGAGGGTGGGGGCGGTTGGATGGGACTTGGGGTGTACGGGGGGCAGGGGAGTTGAGGGGGCAAGGGGAGGGGCAGCAACGGGCAGGGGCTGGGCCAACTGAGGGCACGGAAAAGGGGCGGGCAGAGGGTGAGCAGAGGGGCGAGCGATGCAAGGGTGGCACCATAGGGGGGAAACCAGTTGCACGGAGGTGGGAGGTGAGGGGCGTGCGAGGGGGTGGGAAAGGGGCAGGGAGGGGCAGAATGGGAGGATGTAGGTGGGGGGGGGTGGGGGAGGGGAGTGTGCGTGTGTGTGTGTGTGTGAGAAAGAGAGAGAGAGAGAGAGAGAGAGAGAGAGAGGGAGGGGGGGATTGAAGGGTGGGAGGGGGGCTGGTCGTGGGGATGGGCTGATGGTGGTAAGAGGGCAGCAGGGATGGGGAGAAGGGAGCGTAACGAGGGGAGAGCAAAGGGCAGGGGGGGAGGAAGGGAGGGGCAGGGAGGGAAGAGGCTGAACGTACAAAGGGGGGAAACGAGGGGCATGGATGATAGGAAACGAGGGCAGGGGTGTGGGAAATCAAGGGCAGGGAGGAGAGAAGCAATGGGTGAGGGGAAAACAAGGGAGGGGCAGACGGGGGGCAGGGAGGGAAGAAACGTGGGGCAGGGAGGGGAGAAGCCAAAGACAGGGGCATGGGCAGGCGGGGGCAGGGAGGGAGCAAAGGAGAGGCACGGAGAAAGAAAGGGAGGCGCGGGGAGGGGAGAAACCGGGCGTGGGGGGGGGGGGGCGGAAAATGAGGGGCAGGGCGGGGAGGAGGGAGGGGCAGGGAGGGGAGAAGCTGAGCACACGGAGGGGGGAAAGGTGAGGCAGGGAGGTAGGAAGCCAAGGACAAGGGGGGGGGAGAGTGGGGGGGGCAGGGAGAGGGGGGAGGTGGGGAGCGGGGAAAGGCGGCGAGGGGCAGGGAGGGGAGAAACCAAGCATAGGGGGGCGAGATACGAGGGGCAGGGTGCGGATTGAGGAGGGGCAGGGAGTGGAGTGGGTCGGCGAGGGGAAGGAAGAGGCGTGCAGCAGAGGAGGGGAGGGGGGAGGAGAAGGTAAAGGAGGGGAGCGCACGGGCGGGGAGGAGCGAATGGCGGGCGGTGGGAAACGGCGAGGGGGGGCAGGGAGGGTCAAAAGAGGCGGCAAGGGAGCGGGCACGCGGAGGGTAGGGGCGGGGGGAGCGGATGGCATGAGGGGGCAGGGGGTGTGACTATGAAGGGGGGGACCCGGGCAAGGGGTGTGTAGCGGTCGGGGCACGAGGTTGACGTGGTACGATCATACCTCAGCTATTAGCCGGATCCCATCAGAACTCCGAAGCTAAGCGCCGGTGGGCGAGAGCAGTACTGGGCTGGGTGACCTCCCGGGAAGTCCTCGTGTTGTACCCATTTATGCCCCTTGCTCGGCACGTGCCGGGGGAGGGGCAAGCGGGAAAAAGAAAGGACGATTTTAGCGCGTCCGATTCTTTTCTTTTCGTTTTTTTTGCCCAAACAACGACCCAGCGGGGTGGGGGGCCCCCGGGGAGGCTTGCCCATGCGAAGAAACGCCCCGTGCGCACCACCGTTGGGCGGTTGGAAGCCGCACACGGTCGCGGGGGTGGAGAGCGGAAACGGGCAGCCGGGGGAGGGTGGGGGCGGTTGGATGGGACTTGGGGTGTACGGGGGGCAGGGGAGTTGAGGGGGCAAGGGGAGGGGCAGCAACGGGCAGGGGCTGGGCCAACTGAGGGCACGGAAAAGGGGCGGGCAGAGGGTGAGCAGAGGGGCGAGCGATGCAAGGGTGGCACCATAGGGGGGAAACCAGTTGCACGGAGGTGGGAGGTGAGGGGCGTGCGAGGGGGTGGGAAAGGGGCAGGGAGGGGCAGAATGGGAGGATGTAGGTGGGGGGGGGTGGGGGAGGGGAGTGTGCGTGTGTGTGTGTGTGTGAGAAAGAGAGAGAGAGAGAGAGAGAGAGAGAGAGAGAGAGGGAGGGGGGATTGAAGGGTGGGAGGGGGGCTGGTCGTGGGGATGGGCTGATGGTGGTAAGAGGGCAGCAGGGATGGGGAGAAGGGAGCGTAACGAGGGGAGAGCAAAGGGCAGGGGGGGAGGAAGGGAGGGGCAGGGAGGGAAGAGGCTGAACGTACAAAGGGGGGAAACGAGGGGCATGGATGATAGGAAACGAGGGCAGGGGTGTGGGAAATCAAGGGCAGGGAGGAGAGAAGCAATGGGTGAGGGGAAAACAAGGGAGGGGCAGACGGGGGGCAGGGAGGGAAGAAACGTGGGGCAGGGAGGGGAGAAGCCAAAGACAGGGGCATGGGCAGGCGGGGGCAGGGAGGGAGCAAAGGAGAGGCACGGAGAAAGAAAGGGAGGCGCGGGGAGGGGAGAAACCGGGCGTGGGGGGGGGGGGGGCGGAAAATGAGGGGCAGGGCGGGGAGGAGGGAGGGGCAGGGAGGGGAGAAGCTGAGCACACGGAGGGGGGAAAGGTGAGGCAGGGAGGTAGGAAGCCAAGGACAAGGGGGGGGGAGAGTGGGGGGGGCAGGGAGAGGGGGGAGGTGGGGAGCGGGGAAAGGCGGCGAGGGGCAGGGAGGGGAGAAACCAAGCATAGGGGGGCGAGATACGAGGGGCAGGGTGCGGATTGAGGAGGGGCAGGGAGTGGAGTGGGTCGGCGAGGGGAAGGAAGAGGCGTGCAGCAGAGGAGGGGAGGGGGGAGGAGAAGGTAAAGGAGGGGAGCGCACGGGCGGGGAGGAGCGAATGGCGGGCGGTGGGAAACGGCGAGGGGGGGCAGGGAGGGTCAAAAGAGGCGGCAAGGGAGCGGGCACGCGGAGGGTAGGGGCGGGGGGAGCGGATGGCATGAGGGGGCAGGGGGTGTGACTATGAAGGGGGGGACCCGGGCAAGGGGTGTGTAGCGGTCGGGGCACGAGGTTGACGTGGTACGATCATACCTCGGCTACTACGCCGGATCCCATCAGAACTCCGAAGCTAAGCGCCGGTGGGCGAGAGCAGTTATTCATTAATAGGGGAAGAGCAAATACAAGCCGAATATAATGGTTTTTCCAAGACTAGGAAATTTCGACATAGCCTAATCGCTATGAGGACGGTATATATATTTTGTAGGAAAAGGGGGAAAGAAAGGAAAGGAAGGAAGGATGAAGGAGTAAGAAGAAGTGGTAGGGAAAAGAAGAGGGCGGTAGGAAGAGAAGGGAAGGATAGAAGAAGGGAACAGAAAGAGGGAGGTGGGAAGAAAAGAGGAGAGAGGGAGAGAGACTAAGGAGGAGGAAGCACCAAAGGACCAAAACACGGCAGCAACCCGCACGACCGCACGGGCACAGCGTTTCAAGCACAGCCACTATCGGTGGGCGAGAGCAGTACTGGGCTGGGTGACCTCCCGGGAAGTCCTCGTGTTGTACCCATTTATGCCCCTTGCTCGGCACGTGCCGGGGGAGGGGCAAGCGGGAAAAAGAAAGGACGATTTTAGCGCGTCCGATTCTTTTCTTTTCGTTTTTTTTGCCCAAACAACGACCCAGCGGGGTGGGGGGCCCCCGGGGAGGCTTGCCCATGCGAAGAAACGCCCCGTGCGCACCACCGTTGGGCGGTTGGAAGCCGCACACGGTCGCGGGGGTGGAGAGCGGAAACGGGCAGCCGGGGGAGGGTGGGGGCGGTTGGATGGGACTTGGGGTGTACGGGGGGCAGGGGAGTTGAGGGGGCAAGGGGAGGGGCAGCAACGGGCAGGGGCTGGGCCAACTGAGGGCACGGAAAAGGGGCGGGCAGAGGGTGAGCAGAGGGGCGAGCGATGCAAGGGTGGCACCATAGGGGGGAAACCAGTTGCACGGAGGTGGGAGGTGAGGGGCGTGCGAGGGGGTGGGAAAGGGGCAGGGAGGGGCAGAATGGGAGGATGTAGGTGGGGGGGGGTGGGGGAGGGGAGTGTGCGTGTGTGTGTGTGTGTGAGAAAGAGAGAGAGAGAGAGAGAGAGAGAGAGAGAGAGAGAGGGAGGGGGGGATTGAAGGGTGGGAGGGGGGCTGGTCGTGGGGATGGGCTGATGGTGGTAAGAGGGCAGCAGGGATGGGGAGAAGGGAGCGTAACGAGGGGAGAGCAAAGGGCAGGGGGGGAGGAAGGGAGGGGCAGGGAGGGAAGAGGCTGAACGTACAAAGGGGGGAAACGAGGGGCATGGATGATAGGAAACGAGGGCAGGGGTGTGGGAAATCAAGGGCAGGGAGGAGAGAAGCAATGGGTGAGGGGAAAACAAGGGAGGGGCAGACGGGGGGCAGGGAGGGAAGAAACGTGGGGCAGGGAGGGGAGAAGCCAAAGACAGGGGCATGGGCAGGCGGGGGCAGGGAGGGAGCAAAGGAGAGGCACGGAGAAAGAAAGGGAGGCGCGGGGAGGGGAGAAACCGGGCGTGGGGGGGGGGGGGCGGAAAATGAGGGGCAGGGCGGGGAGGAGGGAGGGGCAGGGAGGGGAGAAGCTGAGCACACGGAGGGGGGAAAGGTGAGGCAGGGAGGTAGGAAGCCAAGGACAAGGGGGGGGGGAGAGTGGGGGGGGCAGGGAGAGGGGGGAGGTGGGGAGCGGGGAAAGGCGGCGAGGGGCAGGGAGGGGAGAAACCAAGCATAGGGGGGCGAGATACGAGGGGCAGGGTGCGGATTGAGGAGGGGCAGGGAGTGGAGTGGGTCGGCGAGGGGAAGGAAGAGGCGTGCAGCAGAGGAGGGGAGGGGGGAGGAGAAGGTAAAGGAGGGGAGCGCACGGGCGGGGAGGAGCGAATGGCGGGCGGTGGGAAACGGCGAGGGGGGGCAGGGAGGGTCAAAAGAGGCGGCAAGGGAGCGGGCACGCGGAGGGTAGGGGCGGGGGGAGCGGATGGCATGAGGGGGCAGGGGGTGTGACTATGAAGGGGGGGACCCGGGCAAGGGGTGTGTAGCGGTCGGGGCACGAGGTTGACGTGGTACGATCATACCTCGGCTACTACGCCGGATCCCATCAGAACTCCGAAGCTAAGCGCCGGTGGGCGAGAGCAGTTATTCATTAATAGGGGAAGAGCAAATACAAGCCGAATATAATGGTTTTTCCAAGACTAGGAAATTTCGACATAGCCTAATCGCTATGAGGACGGTATATATATTTTGTAGGACAAGGGGGAAAGAAAGGAAAGGAAGGAAGGATGAAGGAGTAAGAAGAAGTGGTAGGGAAAAGAAGAGGGTGGTAGGAAGAGAAGGGAAGGATAGAAGAAGGGAACAGAAAGAGGGAGGTGGGAAGAGAAGAGGAGAGAGGGAGAGAGACTAAGGAGGAGGAAGCACCAAAGGACCACAACACGGCAGCAACCCGCACGACCGCACGGGCACAGCGTTTCAAGCACAGCCACTATCGGTGGGCGAGAGCAGTACTGGGCTGGGTGACCTCCCGGGAAGTCCTCGTGTTGTACCCATTTATGCCCCTTGCTCGGCACGTGCCGGGGGAGGGGCAAGCGGGAAAAAGAAAGGACGATTTTAGCGCGTCCGATTCTTTTCATTTTCGTTTTTTTTTGCCCAAACAACGACCCAGCGGGGTGGGGGGCCCCCGGGGAGGCTTGCCCAGTGCGAAGAAACGCCCCGTGCGCACCACCGTTGGGCGGTTGGAAGCCGCACACGGTCGCGGGGGTGGAGAGCGGAAACGGGCAGCCGGGGGAGGGTGGGGGCGGTTGGATGGGACTTGGGGTGTACGGGGGGCAGGGGAGTTGAGGGGGCAAGGGGAGGGGCAGCAACGGGCAGGGGCTGGGCCAACTGAGGGCACGGAAAAGGGGCGGGCAGAGGGTGAGCAGAGGGGCGAGCGATGCAAGGGTGGCACCATAGGGGGGAAACCAGTTGCACGGAGGTGGGAGGTGAGGGGCGTGCGAGGGGGTGGGAAAGGGGCAGGGAGGGGCAGAATGGGAGGATGTAGGTGGGGGGGGGTGGGGGAGGGGAGTGTGCGTGTGTGTGTGTGTGTGAGAAAGAGAGAGAGAGAGAGAGAGAGAGAGAGAGAGAGGGAGGGGGGGATTGAAGGGTGGGAGGGGGGCTGGTCGTGGGGATGGGCTGATGGTGGTAAGAGGGCAGCAGGGATGGGGAGAAGGGAGCGTAACGAGGGGAGAGCAAAGGGCAGGGGGGGAGGAAGGGAGGGGCAGGGAGGGAAGAGGCTGAACGTACAAAGGGGGGAAACGAGGGGCATGGATGATAGGAAACGAGGGCAGGGGTGTGGGAAATCAAGGGCAGGGAGGAGAGAAGCAATGGGTGAGGGGAAAACAAGGGAGGGGCAGACGGGGGGCAGGGAGGGAAGAAACGTGGGGCAGGGAGGGGAGAAGCCAAAGACAGGGGCATGGGCAGGCGGGGGCAGGGAGGGAGCAAAGGAGAGGCACGGAGAAAGAAAGGGAGGCGCGGGGAGGGGAGAAACCGGGCGTGGGGGGGGGGGGCGGAAAATGAGGGGCAGGGCGGGGAGGAGGGAGGGGCAGGGAGGGGAGAAGCTGAGCACACGGAGGGGGGAAAGGTGAGGCAGGGAGGTAGGAAGCCAAGGACAAGGGGGGGGGAGAGTGGGGGGGGCAGGGAGAGGGGGGAGGTGGGGAGCGGGGAAAGGCGGCGAGGGGCAGGGAGGGGAGAAACCAAGCATAGGGGGGCGAGATACGAGGGGCAGGGTGCGGATTGAGGAGGGGCAGGGAGTGGAGTGGGTCGGCGAGGGGAAGGAAGAGGCGTGCAGCAGAGGAGGGGAGGGGGGAGGAGAAGGTAAAGGAGGGGAGCGCACGGGCGGGGAGGAGCGAATGGCGGGCGGTGGGAAACGGCGAGGGGGGGCAGGGAGGGTCAAAAGAGGCGGCAAGGGAGCGGGCACGCGGAGGGTAGGGGCGGGGGGAGCGGATGGCATGAGGGGGCAGGGGGTGTGACTATGAAGGGGGGGACCCGGGCAAGGGGTGTGTAGCGGTCGGGGCACGAGGTTGACGTGGTACGATCATACCTCGGCTACTACGCCGGATCCCATCAGAACTCCGAAGCTAAGCGCCGGTGGGCGAGAGCAGTTATTCATTAATAGGGGAAGAGCAAATACAAGCCGAATATAATGGTTTTTCCAAGACTAGGAAATTTCGACATAGCCTAATCGCTATGAGGACGGTATATATATTTTGTAGGAAAAGGGGGAAAGAAAGGAAAGGAAGGAAGGATGAAGGAGTAAGAAGAAGTGGTAGGGAAAAGAAGAGGGCTGGTAGGAAGAGAAGGGAAGGATAGAAGAAGGGAACAGAAAGAGGGAGGTGGGAAGAGAAGAGGAGAGAGGGAGAGAGACTAAGGAGGAGGAAGCACCAAAGGACCAAAACACGGCAGCAACCCGCACGACCGCACGGGCACAGCGTTTCAAGCACAGCCACTATCGGTGGGCGAGAGCAGTACTGGGCTGGGTGACCTCCCGGGAAGTCCTCGTGTTGTACCCATTTATGCCCCTTGCTCGGCACGTGCCGGGGGAGGGGCAAGCGGGAAAAAGAAAGGACGATTTTAGCGCGTCCGATTCTTTTCTTTTCGTTTTTTTTGCCCAAACAACGACCCAGCGGGGTGGGGGGCCCCCGGGGAGGCTTGCCCATGCGAAGAAACGCCCCGTGCGCACCACCGTTGGGCGGTTGGAAGCCGCACACGGTCGCGGGGGTGGAGAGCGGAAACGGGCAGCCGGGGGAGGGTGGGGGCGGTTGGATGGGACTTGGGGTGTACGGGGGGCAGGGGAGTTGAGGGGGCAAGGGGAGGGGCAGCAACGGGCAGGGGCTGGGCCAACTGAGGGCACGGAAAAGGGGCGGGCAGAGGGTGAGCAGAGGGGCGAGCGATGCAAGGGTGGCACCATAGGGGGGAAACCAGTTGCACGGAGGTGGGAGGTGAGGGGCGTGCGAGGGGGTGGGAAAGGGGCAGGGAGGGGCAGAATGGGAGGATGTAGGTGGGGGGGGTGGGGGAGGGGAGTGTGCGTGTGTGTGTGTGTGTGAGAAAGAGAGAGAGAGAGAGAGAGAGAGAGAGAGAGAGAGGGAGGGGGGGATTGAAGGGTGGGAGGGGGGCTGGTCGTGGGGATGGGCTGATGGTGGTAAGAGGGCAGCAGGGATGGGGAGAAGGGAGCGTAACGAGGGGAGAGCAAAGGGCAGGGGGGGAGGAAGGGAGGGGCAGGGAGGGAAGAGGCTGAACGTACAAAGGGGGGAAACGAGGGGCATGGATGATAGGAAACGAGGGCAGGGGTGTGGGAAATCAAGGGCAGGGAGGAGAGAAGCAATGGGTGAGGGGAAAACAAGGGAGGGGCAGACGGGGGGCAGGGAGGGAAGAAACGTGGGGCAGGGAGGGGAGAAGCCAAAGACAGGGGCATGGGCAGGCGGGGGCAGGGAGGGAGCAAAGGAGAGGCACGGAGAAAGAAAGGGAGGCGCGGGGAGGGGAGAAACCGGGCGTGGGGGGGGGGGGGCGGAAAATGAGGGGCAGGGCGGGGAGGAGGGAGGGGCAGGGAGGGGAGAAGCTGAGCACACGGAGGGGGGAAAGGTGAGGCAGGGAGGTAGGAAGCCAAGGACAAGGGGGGGGGGAGAGTGGGGGGGGCAGGGAGAGGGGGGAGGTGGGGAGCGGGGAAAGGCGGCGAGGGGCAGGGAGGGGAGAAACCAAGCATAGGGGGGCGAGATACGAGGGGCAGGGTGCGGATTGAGGAGGGGCAGGGAGTGGAGTGGGTCGGCGAGGGGAAGGAAGAGGCGTGCAGCAGAGGAGGGGAGGGGGGAGGAGAAGGTAAAGGAGGGGAGCGCACGGGCGGGGAGGAGCGAATGGCGGGCGGTGGGAAACGGCGAGGGGGGGCAGGGAGGGTCAAAAGAGGCGGCAAGGGAGCGGGCACGCGGAGGGTAGGGGCGGGGGGAGCGGATGGCATGAGGGGGCAGGGGGTGTGACTATGAAGGGGGGGACCCGGGCAAGGGGTGTGTAGCGGTCGGGGCACGAGGTTGACGTGGTACGATCATACCTCGGCTACTACGCCGGATCCCATCAGAACTCCGAAGCTAAGCGCCGGTGGGCGAGAGCAGTTATTCATTAATAGGGGAAGAGCAAATACAAGCCGAATATAATGGTTTTTCCAAGACTAGGAAATTTCGACATAGCCTAATCGCTATGAGGACGGTATATATATTTTGTAGGAAAAGGGGGAAAGAAAGGAAAGGAAGGAAGGATGAAGGAGTAAGAAGAAGTGGTAGGGAAAAGAAGAGGGCTGGTAGGAAGAGAAGGGAAGGATAGAAGAAGGGAACAGAAAGAGGGAGGTGGGAAGAGAAGAGGAGAGAGGGAGAGAGACTAAGGAGGAGGAAGCACCAAAGGACCACAACACGGCAGCAACCCGCACGACCGCACGGGCACAGCGTTTCAAGCACAGCCACTATCGGTGGGCGAGAGCAGTACTGGGCTGGGTGACCTCCCGGGAAGTCCTCGTGTTGTACCCATTTATGCCCCTTGCTCGGCACGTGCCGGGGGAGGGGCAAGCGGGAAAAAGAAAGGACGATTTTAGCGCGTCCGATTCTTTTCTTTTCGTTTTTTTTGCCCAAACAACGACCCCAGCGGGGTGGGGGGCCCCCGGGGAGGCTTGCCCATGCGAAGAAACGCCCCGTGCGCACCACCGTTGGGCGGTTGGAAGCCGCACACGGTCGCGGGGGTGGAGAGCGGAAACGGGCAGCCGGGGGAGGGTGGGGGCGGTTGGATGGGACTTGGGGTGTACGGGGGGCAGGGGAGTTGAGGGGGCAAGGGGAGGGGCAGCAACGGGCAGGGGCTGGGCCAACTGAGGGCACGGAAAAGGGGCGGGCAGAGGGTGAGCAGAGGGGCGAGCGATGCAAGGGTGGCACCATAGGGGGGAAACCAGTTGCACGGAGGTGGGAGGTGAGGGGCGTGCGAGGGGGTGGGAAAGGGGCAGGGAGGGGCAGAATGGGAGGATGTAGGTGGGGGGGGTGGGGGAGGGGAGTGTGCGTGTGTGTGTGTGTGTGAGAAAGAGAGAGAGAGAGAGAGAGAGAGAGAGAGAGGGAGGGGGGGATTGAAGGGTGGGAGGGGGGCTGGTCGTGGGGATGGGCTGATGGTGGTAAGAGGGCAGCAGGGATGGGGAGAAGGGAGCGTAACGAGGGGAGAGCAAAGGGCAGGGGGGGAGGAAGGGAGGGGCAGGGAGGGAAGAGGCTGAACGTACAAAGGGGGGAAACGAGGGGCATGGATGATAGGAAACGAGGGCAGGGGTGTGGGAAATCAAGGGCAGGGAGGAGAGAAGCAATGGGTGAGGGGAAAACAAGGGAGGGGCAGACGGGGGGCAGGGAGGGAAGAAACGTGGGGCAGGGAGGGGAGAAGCCAAAGACAGGGGCATGGGCAGGCGGGGGCAGGGAGGGAGCAAAGGAGAGGCACGGAGAAAGAAAGGGAGGCGCGGGGAGGGGAGAAACCGGGCGTGGGGGGGGGGGGGCGGAAAATGAGGGGCAGGGCGGGGAGGAGGGAGGGGCAGGGAGGGGAGAAGCTGAGCACACGGAGGGGGGAAAGGTGAGGCAGGGAGGTAGGAAGCCAAGGACAAGGGGGGGGGAGAGTGGGGGGGGCAGGGAGAGGGGGGAGGTGGGGAGCGGGGAAAGGCGGCGAGGGGCAGGGAGGGGAGAAACCAAGCATAGGGGGGCGAGATACGAGGGGCAGGGTGCGGATTGAGGAGGGGCAGGGAGTGGAGTGGGTCGGCGAGGGGAAGGAAGAGGCGTGCAGCAGAGGAGGGGAGGGGGGAGGAGAAGGTAAAGGAGGGGAGCGCACGGGCGGGGAGGAGCGAATGGCGGGCGGTGGGAAACGGCGAGGGGGGGCAGGGAGGGTCAAAAGAGGCGGCAAGGGAGCGGGCACGCGGAGGGTAGGGGCGGGGGGAGCGGATGGCATGAGGGGGCAGGGGGTGTGACTATGAAGGGGGGGACCCGGGCTGGTAGCGGTCGGGGCACGAGGTTGACGTGGTACGATCATACCTCGGCTACTACGCCGGATCCCATCAGAACTCCGAAGCTAAGCGCCGGTGGGCGAGAGCAGTACTGGGCTGGGTGACCTCCCGGGAAGTCCTCGTGTTGTACCCATTTATGCCCCTTGCTCGGCACGTGCCGGGGGAGGGGCAAGCGGGAAAAAGAAAGGACGATTTTAGCGCGTCCGATTCTTTTCTTTTCGTTTTTTTTGCCCAAACAACGACCCAGCGGGGTGGGGGGCCCCCGGGGAGGCTTGCCCATGCGAAGAAACGCCCCGTGCGCACCACCGTTGGGCGGTTGGAAGCCGCACACGGTCGCGGGGGTGGAGAGCGGAAACGGGCAGCCGGGGGAGGGTGGGGGCGGTTGGATGGGACTTGGGGTGTACGGGGGGCAGGGGAGTTGAGGGGGCAAGGGGAGGGGCAGCAACGGGCAGGGGCTGGGCCAACTGAGGGCACGGAAAAGGGGCGGGCAGAGGGTGAGCAGAGGGGCGAGCGATGCAAGGGTGGCACCATAGGGGGGAAACCAGTTGCACGGAGGTGGGAGGTGAGGGGCGTGCGAGGGGGTGGGAAAGGGGCAGGGAGGGGCAGAATGGGAGGATGTAGGTGGGGGGGGGTGGGGGAGGGGAGTGTGCGTGTGTGTGTGTGTGTGAGAAAGAGAGAGAGAGAGAGAGAGAGAGAGAGAGAGGGAGGGGGGGATTGAAGGGTGGGAGGGGGGCTGGTCGTGGGGATGGGCTGATGGTGGTAAGAGGGCAGCAGGGATGGGGAGAAGGGAGCGTAACGAGGGGAGAGCAAAGGGCAGGGGGGGAGGAAGGGAGGGGCAGGGAGGGAAGAGGCTGAACGTACAAAGGGGGGAAACGAGGGGCATGGATGATAGGAAACGAGGGCAGGGGTGTGGGAAATCAAGGGCAGGGAGGAGAGAAGCAATGGGTGAGGGGAAAACAAGGGAGGGGCAGACGGGGGGCAGGGAGGGAAGAAACGTGGGGCAGGGAGGGGAGAAGCCAAAGACAGGGGCATGGGCAGGCGGGGGCAGGGAGGGAGCAAAGGAGAGGCACGGAGAAAGAAAGGGAGGCGCGGGGAGGGGAGAAACCGGGCGTGGGGGGGGGGGGCGGAAAATGAGGGGCAGGGCGGGGAGGAGGGAGGGGCAGGGAGGGGAGAAGCTGAGCACACGGAGGGGGGAAAGGTGAGGCAGGGAGGTAGGAAGCCAAGGACAAGGGGGGGGGAGAGTGGGGGGGGCAGGGAGAGGGGGGAGGTGGGGAGCGGGGAAAGGCGGCGAGGGGCAGGGAGGGGAGAAACCAAGCATAGGGGGGCGAGATACGAGGGGCAGGGTGCGGATTGAGGAGGGGCAGGGAGTGGAGTGGGTCGGCGAGGGGAAGGAAGAGGCGTGCAGCAGAGGAGGGGAGGGGGGAGGAGAAGGTAAAGGAGGGGAGCGCACGGGCGGGGAGGAGCGAATGGCGGGCGGTGGGAAACGGCGAGGGGGGGCAGGGAGGGTCAAAAGAGGCGGCAAGGGAGCGGGCACGCGGAGGGTAGGGGCGGGGGGAGCGGATGGCATGAGGGGGCAGGGGGTGTGACTATGAAGGGGGGGACCCGGGCAAGGGGTGTGTAGCGGTCGGGGCACGAGGTTGACGTGGTACGATCATACCTCGGCTACTACGCCGGATCCCATCAGAACTCCGAAGCTAAGCGCCGGTGGGCGAGAGCAGTTATTCATTAATAGGGGAAGAGCAAATACAAGCCGAATATAATGGTTTTTCCAAGACTAGGAAATTTCGACATAGCCTAATCGCTATGAGGACGGTATATATATTTTGTAGGAAAAGGGGGAAAGAAAGGAAAGGAAGGAAGGATGAAGGAGTAAGAAGAAGTGGTAGGGAAAAGAAGAGGGCTGGTAGGAAGAGAAGGGAAGGATAGAAGAAGGGAACAGAAAGAGGGAGGTGGGAAGAAAAGAGGAGAGAGGGAGAGAGACTAAGGAGGAGGAAGCACCAAAGGACCAAAACACGGCAGCAACCCGCACGACCGCACGGGCACAGCGTTTCAAGCACAGCCACTATCGGTGGGCGAGAGCAGTACTGGGCTGGGTGACCTCCCGGGAAGTCCTCGTGTTGTACCCATTTATGCCCCTTGCTCGGCACGTGCCGGGGGAGGGGCAAGCGGGAAAAAGAAAGGACGATTTTAGCGCGTCCGATTCTTTTCTTTTCGTTTTTTTTGCCCAAACAACGACCCAGCGGGGTGGGGGGCCCCCGGGGAGGCTTGCCCATGCGAAGAAACGCCCCGTGCGCACCACCGTTGGGCGGTTGGAAGCCGCACACGGTCGCGGGGGTGGAGAGCGGAAACGGGCAGCCGGGGGAGGGTGGGGGCGGTTGGATGGGACTTGGGGTGTACGGGGGGCAGGGGAGTTGAGGGGGCAAGGGGAGGGGCAGCAACGGGCAGGGGCTGGGCCAACTGAGGGCACGGAAAAGGGGCGGGCAGAGGGTGAGCAGAGGGGCGAGCGATGCAAGGGTGGCACCATAGGGGGGAAACCAGTTGCACGGAGGTGGGAGGTGAGGGGCGTGCGAGGGGGTGGGAAAGGGGCAGGGAGGGGCAGAATGGGAGGATGTAGGTGGGGGGGGGTGGGGGAGGGGAGTGTGCGTGTGTGTGTGTGTGTGAGAAAGAGAGAGAGAGAGAGAGAGAGAGAGAGAGAGAGGGAGGGGGGGATTGAAGGGTGGGAGGGGGGCTGGTCGTGGGGATGGGCTGATGGTGGTAAGAGGGCAGCAGGGATGGGGAGAAGGGAGCGTAACGAGGGGAGAGCAAAGGGCAGGGGGGGAGGAAGGGAGGGGCAGGGAGGGAAGAGGCTGAACGTACAAAGGGGGGAAACGAGGGGCATGGATGATAGGAAACGAGGGCAGGGGTGTGGGAAATCAAGGGCAGGGAGGAGAGAAGCAATGGGTGAGGGGAAAACAAGGGAGGGGCAGACGGGGGGCAGGGAGGGAAGAAACGTGGGGCAGGGAGGGGAGAAGCCAAAGACAGGGGCATGGGCAGGCGGGGGCAGGGAGGGAGCAAAGGAGAGGCACGGAGAAAGAAAGGGAGGCGCGGGGAGGGGAGAAACCGGGCGTGGGGGGGGGGGGGCGGAAAATGAGGGGCAGGGCGGGGAGGAGGGAGGGGCAGGGAGGGGAGAAGCTGAGCACACGGAGGGGGGAAAGGTGAGGCAGGGAGGTAGGAAGCCAAGGACAAGGGGGGGGGAGAGTGGGGGGGGCAGGGAGAGGGGGGAGGTGGGGAGCGGGGAAAGGCGGCGAGGGGCAGGGAGGGGAGAAACCAAGCATAGGGGGGCGAGATACGAGGGGCAGGGTGCGGATTGAGGAGGGGCAGGGAGTGGAGTGGGTCGGCGAGGGGAAGGAAGAGGCGTGCAGCAGAGGAGGGGAGGGGGGAGGAGAAGGTAAAGGAGGGGAGCGCACGGGCGGGGAGGAGCGAATGGCGGGCGGTGGGAAACGGCGAGGGGGGGCAGGGAGGGTCAAAAGAGGCGGCAAGGGAGCGGGCACGCGGAGGGTAGGGGCGGGGGGAGCGGATGGCATGAGGGGGCAGGGGGTGTGACTATGAAGGGGGGGACCCGGGCAAGGGGTGTGTAGCGGTCGGGGCACGAGGTTGACGTGGTACGATCATACCTCGGCTACTACGCCGGATCCCATCAGAACTCCGAAGCTAAGCGCCGGTGGGCGAGAGCAGTTATTCATTAATAGGGGAAGAGCAAATACAAGCCGAATATAATGGTTTTTCCAAGACTAGGAAATTTCGACATAGCCTAATCGCTATGAGGACGGTATATATATTTTGTAGGAAAAGGGGGAAAGAAAGGAAAGGAAGGAAGGATGAAGGAGTAAGAAGAAGTGGTAGGGAAAAGAAGAGGGCGGTAGGAAGAGAAGGGAAGGATAGAAGAAGGGAACAGAAAGAGGGAGGTGGGAAGAAAGAGGAGAGAGGGAGAGAGACTAAGGAGGAGGAAGCACCAAAGGACCAAAACACGGCAGCAACCCGCACGACCGCACGGGCACAGCGTTTCAAGCACAGCCACTATCGGTGGGCGAGAGCAGTACTGGGCTGGGTGACCTCCCGGGAAGTCCTCGTGTTGTACCCATTTATGCCCCTTGCTCGGCACGTGCCGGGGGAGGGGCAAGCGGGAAAAAGAAAGGACGATTTTAGCGCGTCCGATTCTTTTCTTTTCGTTTTTTTTGCCCAAACAACGACCCAGCGGGGTGGGGGGCCCCCGGGGAGGCTTGCCCATGCGAAGAAACGCCCCGTGCGCACCACCGTTGGGCGGTTGGAAGCCGCACACGGTCGCGGGGGTGGAGAGCGGAAACGGGCAGCCGGGGGAGGGTGGGGGCGGTTGGATGGGACTTGGGGTGTACGGGGGGCAGGGGAGTTGAGGGGGCAAGGGGAGGGGCAGCAACGGGCAGGGGCTGGGCCAACTGAGGGCACGGAAAAGGGGCGGGCAGAGGGTGAGCAGAGGGGCGAGCGATGCAAGGGTGGCACCATAGGGGGGAAACCAGTTGCACGGAGGTGGGAGGTGAGGGGCGTGCGAGGGGGTGGGAAAGGGGCAGGGAGGGGCAGAATGGGAGGATGTAGGTGGGGGGGGTGGGGGAGGGGAGTGTGCGTGTGTGTGTGTGTGTGAGAAAGAGAGAGAGAGAGAGAGAGAGAGAGAGAGAGGGAGGGGGGGATTGAAGGGTGGGAGGGGGGCTGGTCGTGGGGATGGGCTGATGGTGGTAAGAGGGCAGCAGGGATGGGGAGAAGGGAGCGTAACGAGGGGAGAGCAAAGGGCAGGGGGGGAGGAAGGGAGGGGCAGGGAGGGAAGAGGCTGAACGTACAAAGGGGGGAAACGAGGGGCATGGATGATAGGAAACGAGGGCAGGGGTGTGGGAAATCAAGGGCAGGGAGGAGAGAAGCAATGGGTGAGGGGAAAACAAGGGAGGGGCAGACGGGGGGCAGGGAGGGAAGAAACGTGGGGCAGGGAGGGGAGAAGCCAAAGACAGGGGCATGGGCAGGCGGGGGCAGGGAGGGAGCAAAGGAGAGGCACGGAGAAAGAAAGGGAGGCGCGGGGAGGGGAGAAACCGGGCGTGGGGGGGGGGGGGCGGAAAATGAGGGGCAGGGCGGGGAGGAGGGAGGGGCAGGGAGGGGAGAAGCTGAGCACACGGAGGGGGGAAAGGTGAGGCAGGGAGGTAGGAAGCCAAGGACAAGGGGGGGGGAGAGCGCTGGGGGGGGCAGGGAGAGGGGGGAGGTGGGGAGCGGGGAAAGGCGGCGAGGGGCAGGGAGGGGAGAAACCAAGCATAGGGGGGCGAGATACGAGGGGCAGGGTGCGGATTGAGGAGGGGCAGGGAGTGGAGTGGGTCGGCGAGGGGAAGGAAGAGGCGTGCAGCAGAGGAGGGGAGGGGGGAGGAGAAGGTAAAGGAGGGGAGCGCACGGGCGGGGAGGAGCGAATGGCGGGCGGTGGGAAACGGCGAGGGGGGGCAGGGAGGGTCAAAAGAGGCGGCAAGGGAGCGGGCACGCGGAGGGTAGGGGCGGGGGGAGCGGATGGCATGAGGGGGCAGGGGGTGTGACTATGAAGGGGGGGACCCGGCGGTCGGGGCACGAGGTTGACGTGGTACGATCATACCTCAGCTACTTAGCCGGATCCCATCAGAACTCCGAAGCTAAGCGCCGGTGGGCGAGAGCAGTACTGGGCTGGGTGACCTCCCGGGAAGTCCTCGTGTTGTACCCATTTATGCCCCTTGCTCGGCACGTGCCGGGGGAGGGGCAAGCGGGAAAAAGAAAGGACGATTTTAGCGCGTCCGATTCTTTTCTTTTCGTTTTTTTTGCCCAAACAACGACCCAGCGGGGTGGGGGGCCCCCGGGGAGGCTTGCCCATGCGAAGAAACGCCCCGTGCGCACCACCGTTGGGCGGTTGGAAGCCGCACACGGTCGCGGGGGTGGAGAGCGGAAACGGGCAGCCGGGGGAGGGTGGGGGCGGTTGGATGGGACTTGGGGTGTACGGGGGGCAGGGGAGTTGAGGGGGCAAGGGGAGGGGCAGCAACGGGCAGGGGCTGGGCCAACTGAGGGCACGGAAAAGGGGCGGGCAGAGGGTGAGCAGAGGGGCGAGCGATGCAAGGGTGGCACCATAGGGGGGAAACCAGTTGCACGGAGGTGGGAGGTGAGGGGCGTGCGAGGGGGTGGGAAAGGGGCAGGGAGGGGCAGAATGGGAGGATGTAGGTGGGGGGGGGTGGGGGAGGGGAGTGTGCGTGTGTGTGTGTGTGTGAGAAAGAGAGAGAGAGAGAGAGAGAGAGAGAGAGAGGGAGGGGGGGATTGAAGGGTGGGAGGGGGGCTGGTCGTGGGGATGGGCTGATGGTGGTAAGAGGGCAGCAGGGATGGGGAGAAGGGAGCGTAACGAGGGGAGAGCAAAGGGCAGGGGGGGAGGAAGGGAGGGGCAGGGAGGGAAGAGGCTGAACGTACAAAGGGGGGAAACGAGGGGCATGGATGATAGGAAACGAGGGCAGGGGTGTGGGAAATCAAGGGCAGGGAGGAGAGAAGCAATGGGTGAGGGGAAAACAAGGGAGGGGCAGACGGGGGGCAGGGAGGGAAGAAACGTGGGGCAGGGAGGGGAGAAGCCAAAGACAGGGGCATGGGCAGGCGGGGGCAGGGAGGGAGCAAAGGAGAGGCACGGAGAAAGAAAGGGAGGCGCGGGGAGGGGAGAAACCGGGCGTGGGGGGGGGGGGGCGGAAAATGAGGGGCAGGGCGGGGAGGAGGGAGGGGCAGGGAGGGGAGAAGCTGAGCACACGGAGGGGGGAAAGGTGAGGCAGGGAGGTAGGAAGCCAAGGACAAGGGGGGGGGGAGAGTGGGGGGGGCAGGGAGAGGGGGGAGGTGGGGAGCGGGGAAAGGCGGCGAGGGGCAGGGAGGGGAGAAACCAAGCATAGGGGGGCGAGATACGAGGGGCAGGGTGCGGATTGAGGAGGGGCAGGGAGTGGAGTGGGTCGGCGAGGGGAAGGAAGAGGCGTGCAGCAGAGGAGGGGAGGGGGGAGGAGAAGGTAAAGGAGGGGAGCGCACGGGCGGGGAGGAGCGAATGGCGGGCGGTGGGAAACGGCGAGGGGGGGCAGGGAGGGTCAAAAGAGGCGGCAAGGGAGCGGGCACGCGGAGGGTAGGGGCGGGGGGAGCGGATGGCATGAGGGGGCAGGGGGTGTGACTATGAAGGGGGGGACCCGGGCAAGGGGTGTGTAGCGGTCGGGGCACGAGGTTGACGTGGTACGATCATACCTCGGCTACTACGCCGGATCCCATCAGAACTCCGAAGCTAAGCGCCGGTGGGCGAGAGCAGTTATTCATTAATAGGGGAAGAGCAAATACAAGCCGAATATAATGGTTTTTCCAAGACTAGGAAATTTCGACATAGCCTAATCGCTATGAGGACGGTATATATATTTTGTAGGAAAAGGGGGAAAGAAAGGAAAGGAAGGAAGGATGAAGGAGTAAGAAGAAGTGGTAGGGAAAAGAAGAGGGCGGTAGGAAGAGAAGGGAAGGATAGAAGAAGGGAACAGAAAGAGGGAGGTGGGAAGAAAAGAGGAGAGAGGGAGAGAGACTAAGGAGGAGGAAGCACCAAAGGACCAAAACACGGCAGCAACCCGCACGACCGCACGGGCACAGCGTTTCAAGCACAGCCACTATCGGTGGGCGAGAGCAGTACTGGGCTGGGTGACCTCCCGGGAAGTCCTCGTGTTGTACCCATTTATGCCCCTTGCTCGGCACGTGCCGGGGGAGGGGCAAGCGGGAAAAAGAAAGGACGATTTTAGCGCGTCCGATTCTTTTCTTTTCGTTTTTTTTGCCCAAACAACGACCCAGCGGGGTGGGGGGGCCCCCGGGGAGGCTTGCCCATGCGAAGAAACGCCCCGTGCGCACCACCGTTGGGCGGTTGGAAGCCGCACACGGTCGCGGGGGTGGAGAGCGGAAACGGGCAGCCGGGGGAGGGTGGGGGCGGTTGGATGGGACTTGGGGTGTACGGGGGGCAGGGGAGTTGAGGGGGCAAGGGGAGGGGCAGCAACGGGCAGGGGCTGGGCCAACTGAGGGCACGGAAAAGGGGCGGGCAGAGGGTGAGCAGAGGGGCGAGCGATGCAAGGGTGGCACCATAGGGGGGAAACCAGTTGCACGGAGGTGGGAGGTGAGGGGCGTGCGAGGGGGTGGGAAAGGGGCAGGGAGGGGCAGAATGGGAGGATGTAGGTGGGGGGGGGTGGGGGAGGGGAGTGTGCGTGTGTGTGTGTGTGTGAGAAAGAGAGAGAGAGAGAGAGAGAGAGAGAGAGAGAGGGAGGGGGGGATTGAAGGGTGGGAGGGGGGCTGGTCGTGGGGATGGGCTGATGGTGGTAAGAGGGCAGCAGGGATGGGGAGAAGGGAGCGTAACGAGGGGAGAGCAAAGGGCAGGGGGGGAGGAAGGGAGGGGCAGGGAGGGAAGAGGCTGAACGTACAAAGGGGGGAAACGAGGGGCATGGATGATAGGAAACGAGGGCAGGGGTGTGGGAAATCAAGGGCAGGGAGGAGAGAAGCAATGGGTGAGGGGAAAACAAGGGAGGGGCAGACGGGGGGCAGGGAGGGAAGAAACGTGGGGCAGGGAGGGGAGAAGCCAAAGACAGGGGCATGGGCAGGCGGGGGCAGGGAGGGAGCAAAGGAGAGGCACGGAGAAAGAAAGGGAGGCGCGGGGAGGGGAGAAACCGGGCGTGGGGGGGGGGGGGGGCGGAAAATGAGGGGCAGGGCGGGGAGGAGGGAGGGGCAGGGAGGGGAGAAGCTGAGCACACGGAGGGGGGAAAGGTGAGGCAGGGAGGTAGGAAGCCAAGGACAAGGGGGGGGGGAGAGTGGGGGGGGCAGGGAGAGGGGGGAGGTGGGGAGCGGGGAAAGGCGGCGAGGGGCAGGGAGGGGAGAAACCAAGCATAGGGGGGCGAGATACGAGGGGCAGGGTGCGGATTGAGGAGGGGCAGGGAGTGGAGTGGGTCGGCGAGGGGAAGGAAGAGGCGTGCAGCAGAGGAGGGGAGGGGGGAGGAGAAGGTAAAGGAGGGGAGCGCACGGGCGGGGAGGAGCGAATGGCGGGCGGTGGGAAACGGCGAGGGGGGGCAGGGAGGGTCAAAAGAGGCGGCAAGGGAGCGGGCACGCGGAGGGTAGGGGCGGGGGGAGCGGATGGCATGAGGGGGCAGGGGGTGTGACTATGAAGGGGGGGACCCGGGCAAGGGGTGTGTAGCGGTCGGGGCACGAGGTTGACGTGGTACGATCATACCTCGGCTACTACGCCGGATCCCATCAGAACTCCGAAGCTAAGCGCCGGTGGGCGAGAGCAGTTATTCATTAATAAGGGAAGAGCAAATACAAGCCGAATATAATGGTTTTTCCAAGACTAGGAAATTTCGACATAGCCTAAGCGCTATGAGGACGATTTATATATTTTGTAGGAAAAGGGGGAAAGAAAGGAAAGGAAGGAAAGATGAAGGAGTAAGAAGAAGTGGTAGGGAAAGGAAGAGGGTGGTAGGAAGAGAAGGGAAGGATAGAAGAAGGGAACAGAAAGAGGGAGGTGGGAAGAGAAGAGGAGAGAGAGAGAGAGACTAAGGAGAAGGAAGCACCAAAGGACCAAACACGGCAGCAACCCGCACGACCGCACGGGCACAGCGTTTCAAGCACAGCCACTATTGTTTTTTACACATATGCATCATATATATACTGCATATCAGCCACACTCTCGAAGCACCCTGTGACGTGGTGCCAAGTTCCCTGCCCCGCACCCAGTGGGACTGGTGCGGGCATCCACCCGTCGTCGGACCTCCCTAACTGCCGCACCGCATGCTGGATCATGCATTGAGCCTGCGCGCGCTGCAGTGCAACGGAGAGGCGTGTAGTGAGTCCTGCCTCAAATATCCGTGCCGATCCGTCATCCCCCCCACCTCTATCCCTCCTCCGCTGTGCTATCCTCTTTGCGCAGAGCCCCAGAAACTGACGCAGCGGCTCACTCAGAAGGCCAAAGGTCTCCGCCACGCACGCGTAAAAGTGTGGTGCCGGCTGCAGCCCCTCTAAGTGCGGCCCCCAGTGACGCAGCTTCTCCTGCACCCGCCTAGCTGCTGCCACTCCAATCTGTGTGGGGGTCGCCCGTCTCAGCTGCACGTTCCCCTCCCGCTGTGGATCCGCTATGGAGACATCCACAAGAACCATCAGACCCTGGCCAACGTCGCGGCAGGTGAGGTCTGGAATGCGGGAGGCGGTGCCTACACGGCCTGTGCGTCCGACTGGTCCCTGCTGTTGCGCTGGCTGCTGCCCTGTCTGGTCCCTTGGTGCCCCCTCTCCGATCGTCTCTCTCCCCCTCTCCTCTCCTCCATCCACCTGTCCTCTCCCCTCCCCCTCCCTACCCTCCCCCAAACCTCCCGACCCCCCTGCTCCATCCCCTGCTGCCTCTCTCACTCCCTGGCCCTCCCCTCCCAATCCCGCTGCCCCTCCTGTACCTCCGTCCGCTCTCTGCTGCTCCCGCCCCTGCCCCGCCCCCGAGGCCGAACCTGGAGGCGCGGCGCCCTGGGCCCGCGGCCTCCACTGGCTCTCCTGCTGCTGCCTGTGCCGTCCCCCCTCCCCGTCCTGGCCCGTCTGCTCCCCCTGCCGTCCCCTCTGCCCACCTGTCCCTCGCTCCACCTGACCCCGCAGCTGGTGCCGTCCCCACTGTCCCCCGCCACCCGGCTGTCCCGCCTCGCCTCTCCGCTCCCCCGGTCCCTCAGCCCGTGTCCCCTCTCCCACCACTGGCTGTCCCAGTAGTCTCGCTCGAGCCGCCTCCAACTGTGTGAACAGCGTAGAGTCCTCCACCTTTACCGCGAAGCCCGCCTCGACCGCAAAGTCTCGAAGCATGTACTTCACCGTGTCGTGGATGGTAGTGGCGACCCCGTAACGCGGGCACCGAACCGCGTGATGAGGCACCGTCATGTCGTCAATCGCCTGTCCGCAGGAGCACTGACCTGCAAGGGCTAACTGGGGGATAGGGAGACCAAGACGAGAAGATGAAGCCGCCTGCCACAGCGCCTCCGGGATGCGCAGTGGGTCGGCGTACGGCACCGACGTCAACCACGCTCCTGCACCTCCGCCCTGAAGGGAAGTCAAACGGGCAAGGTGCAAGGGAGAGGTGTGACGGGCACGCACGGCCTCCAAGGCATGCGCCTCCAGAAGACGGCTCGCTCCTGCAAAAAGGGAATCGGGGGAGGCAGAAGCGCAAGAGGGCCAGGGGGGAAGGAGAGAGAGAACGTCAGGAGGGAGACCCTCTAGCGCCGTCTGCAGAGCCCGGTCGATCTGCTCTGGCTCACCTGAAGCGAAGCTCTGCCGAAACACCTCGCCACACGCAGGGAGAGAACAGAGAATGGGTGCACACTGCACCCAGGAGCACACGAAACTCACCGGGGCCATGCGCGCCATGCGACGAATGCCGAAACCCCCGAGACGGATGGGGAGGAAGATCTGGTCTAGGGCGGCCTCTCGGACGTCCTCGCGACAAGCCCAGGTCCCTGAAGCTAAAAGCTGCTGAAAAGTCTCTCCCAGGCGTGCGTCCCACCGTGTAAAACTGGAGATCACTGCGGGCGAAGGAGGGACGGTCCTCGACAGGTACTGCGGACGAGTGCTGACACACGCCGAAAGAAGGCGGGCAGCTGTCTGGGGCTGGCGCAACCTCGGAAGCCAAGGTAGCACCCGCCCCATCCTCTCGAGACGATCCGGGAGACTCTGCTCCACGAACGAAACGGTGCCTACCGGTACGCCTGTCACGGTGAGCCCTCGGCGTGCGACCTCGATCCCTAGGCCCGTGAAAGCCTCCAGATCCCTGGACAGAAAGGACTCTGTCTGGTAGACGAGGCACTTGTGCGGCTGGGCTGCAAGGCCCATCTCGCCCAAGCGCCTCACGATCTCGGCAAAATGGTGCAGCACCCTGTCTGGGGGACCTAGCACGTACGTGTCATCGGCGTACGACCAGAGCTGGACATCCCCCTCCGCCAGAACCGGCTCCAAAGCAAGACGCTGTGTCAGAGCGTACAAGAAGGGGCTGAGAGGGTCTCCCTGGCGAGTGCCCCGCTCCGAGTGCATCGTGACCACTCCCGTGCCTGACCTGTAGTGGAGATCCGAGGGCGTCCCGTAGAAGAGGCCGATGAAGGGGATCAGACACTGAAACTCCGGACTGGCCTGCAGCGCCTGAAACATCCTGTCTCGGTGGAAAGAGTTAAAGGCATTCGCCACGTCTAGCTGCAGGACCACCCAGTCTGGGTGGTCAGCCAGAGCGCGGCGGACGCCTCTAACTACGACCTCTGTCCCGCACGTAACCCCCACCCCAAACTGCTGTGATGCCAAGAAGACCCTCGCCATCTGGTCACGTAGCTGGAGACAAACTGCCCGAGAAAGAATGCGGACCAAAACCTCGCCGATGGCAATCGGCCGAACATCCATGTTCGACTTCGCCAGAGCCACGAGGGTGGAGGACGCTAGCAAGGAGCGCGCAGCTGGAGCGCAACGGCCTCGGAGCCACTGCTGGTACACGGCCAGGAGGAAATGGAGACTCTGAGGGAAAGCTAGGAAAGTGTCTCGCAGGTGCTCAGCGACCCAACCGGACGGTCCTCCCGAAGAGCCCCGCGGAGCTGTGAAAATCGCGCGGCGTAAGTGATCCACCGAGAGCACGAGAGGGGACCCCTGGAAGCCAGACAGCCAAGCTGGGGTCGGCCTCTCCGCGTTGGGGTGCTTCGACTGCAGGCGCTGTATCGTCCCCTGTGTATCTGGGGCTGCCTCCGCGGACTCGAGAGCCGCGCACGCCCGTGAGGTCTCATTGCACGCTGCCAGACGAAGGCAACGTGCAATGCGGCGCTCATCTGCTGCAGAGGGATCGGTGGCGGTGCGTGACCGGTGACCTGTGCGGCGAGGAAGGGGTGTGCGACGGCCTAGTGCATCTGAGACTAGCTCAGCCCACTCACCTCGACCAAAGCGAGAGATGCGCGTTGCAATGGCAGCCGTGTGCGAGCGGTCGGGTGGCGTCGCTGGAACAAGGAAAAGAGTCGGCGCTGCAGCGAGGAGGAAGGTAGGGCCAGCAGCCTCCGGGTCCTGGGCAATGCGGACTAGGATCGCACTGAGGACGTCAAGATATCCTCCGCGGACCCTCTCCGGGACACGTCGGAGAGGGCGTGTATGGATACGCTCGGGCGAGAAGTACTCTGTCCAGTCCACCGAGTCGAGCGTCTGCCACTGTGCGTCGGTGAACTGCATCCCGGTCGCACGGGGCTGTGAGAGGGAAGGGATGATCGAGGCGGTATCATGGGCAGCCTGCGCCCTGCGAGCCGCGTCCGCAGGATGGCAGAAGGGAATGTGGTGCTGGAGCGCGCGTCGGTTCGCGAGAGAGCTCCTGCAGGTGGGGCAACTCACGACCTGGTCGGGTGATGTCGCCGTGTCGGCGGGGTCAATCGGGGCCGTGGCGTCGGAACTGGCTGTAGAGGGGACCCCGTGGGCGGCCTGAGCTCCGACAGGATCGCCTGGGATGAGGGGAGGAGACGACTCACCAGCCCCGCGCGGGGGGGGTGTCAGCGAAGATAGAGGTGGTGTCGCACAGGATAGGGCCGGGCCTCGTGCCGGCACCGGTGTTGAAGCTGGGGAGGGGGGACGTGGAGGTGAGCCTGAAGTGTGTGCCGTGGTGTGCTCCTGCCCCTCGGCGGGGTGCGGTTCAAGTGACGGCTCTGCTACCCCAGGCGGAGGGGTCTCGGTAGGGGCGGATGCCTCATCCCTACTGCTGGTGACCTCCTGCGCCACGGGCTGAACGGGGGGAGGCGCCACCCCGTCTAGGTGCGAGTGACACGGCCTCAGACCCCGGTCCGTCTCCATTGGGGTCGGGAGTGACGCGCCTGGCTGAGTGGCGGGGGGGATAAAAGAAGGGACAGACCGGGTGACCTCCGCATACGTCCGGGTCCGGTCCTGTGGGACTGGAAGGGTGGGGGCAGCCGGAGAGCTGCTCAGGCGGTGTATCGCCAGCAAATCTGAAATGCCAGCCCTCACCTCCTCTGGGGTCTCGAAGACCTGCCTGCCTGTAGGTGAGAGTAGGAGGGCTGGCAGGGTAGAGGGTGGAGTGGGGCGTGCTGGCTGAGCGGAGCTCGGGTGTGGACCCTGCCCTAGAAGGCCCCCTTGGCCCTCCCCAATCACCATGGGTTGCGGTAGGGGGTCGTCGACATGGAAGGGGTGGGAGGGATGGGAGGGGGAGTCGGTGGCGTCTGCCATGGGCGCATCCCTCAACCCGACGGCCCCCCTCCCAGTAGCGATCGCGGCCGCCGCCACCTGGGAGGGGGACACAGCACGGGAGGGGCAGAATGGGGGTGAGTGGGCTGGTCCGCTCCCATGGCCCTGTGGAGGTGCAGGAGCGGGGCGGGAGTGTAGGTTTGGTGGACGGGCTGTAGAGGTAGGGCCTGGTAATTGTTCAACGGGATGTGAGGTGGGGAGGGGCTCTTGGTGGGGGAGGGAGGGAGGGGGGAGTACGTGGGCTGACCCTCTGCCTCCTCTGCCCCTGTTCTTCCGCCGGCGGCCAACCTGGTTGTCCGCGCCTGTTTGTGAAGGAAGGGGGGGCTGTGGGGCCAAAGGGGTGGGTGGAGGGAGGATGGGTGGTTCGCCAGGCAGGGGGTGCTCTGTGTGCATCCCCACTCTCCTCGAAACATCCCCCTCCGTGGGAACAGATCGGGCAAGCTGTGTGTGGGGGGTGATGGCTGCCCAACGGGGCCACTCGTGGGGAACCCGGCCGGGAGAGGGGGTTGGAGGTGGGGGTCGAGGGGCTGGGCCAGTGTGGAGGTTAGAGCGAGGTACAAACGGTGGGGGGAGAGAGATTTGTGTGGGCTCTGTGGTGGCCTCTCCTGTGGGCCCCTCTACCCGGGTGCCGCCGCTCCCATGAGCCTGGGGCGCAAGCCCTTGCGGGTGGGTCTCGGCTGCCTGGGGGGGGTGGTGTGGGGAGGGCAGCCTGTTGGGTGGGCGTGTTGGGGCTGTGCGGCGACTCGGGTGGTTTGGGTGCCTGTAGCGTGTGGGAGAGGGATTTGGCCGCAGAGATGCTTCAACCTCCGAGATGTGTGTACTACCGGGTGGGGGGGGGCCTGGTGGAGGAGGGGGTAGTGGGCCGGTAAGGGGTGGCTGGGTGTTGGTAGGAGTCGGGGAGCATGGCTCCTCTAGGAAGACCAGAGCCCTGGCTGCTCCACGTGGTGCTCTAAGGAGCCCCTGAGGGTGGGGGCAGAGGTGTGCTGCCCTTGGGGGTGAAGGAAGGAGTGAGGGAAGGGGCGGGGAGGGGTGAGAGGTGAGAGAAGGGGTGCCCTCGGGTGACTCTGCTCTTGTCGCACCCGCGTGCTCTCCCGGTGGACCGCCTGCAACCGTGGGGTCAGGCGTTGGGGACGGAGAGGGGGGCTGGCCATGGAGCAGCGTGGGGGTCGGGGAGCACGGCTCCGCCAAGAAGGCCAGGGCCTTGGCTGCCCCCCTGGACACTACCGGGACCTGAGGGTGGGGGTGGGGAAGTGGTGCTCCTGGGGGCTGGTGGGCTGGAGGACGGGAGGTGAGGATGGGGGCTCCCTCGCGCGGCTCTGTCCTCAAGGTCTCCCCCAGCCCCTCCATCGGTCCTTCTGCTAGCATGGGGACGGGCATGGGGGGTAGAGGGGGAACCTCGACGTGAGGCTGCAGGGGGGCCGGGTCGGCCTCACCGTCAAGCGTGAGGTATTGGGCCAGTGGCCCGTCAATGTGCATCACATCCTCTCCCTCATCCTCCTCTATCGCTATCACATCCCCCTCTTCAGTGCCCACCCCGGTCGGGACCACCCTCCCCTCTCCTTCCCCTGTTGCCCCTATGTCCCCCAAGCCCACCCCGCCTGCTGCCGCTTTACTGCTAGCCCCTTTTGCAGTCTCTGCCGGCCCTGCCGGCCCTGCTGTGTGTTTCCCCGAGTTTGCTGCGGCCCCTGCCGCCCCTACTGGCCGTGCTATGGCCCTCCCTGCTGCTTCAGCTGCAGCCTCACCTTCTGCCTTTGAGGCCCCTGCCGTACCCTCTCTTGCTACAGCCGGGGCGGCACTCTCCCTCGCACCAGTCCCCGTTACCCCCTTCCCCGCTGCACCCGTAGCACCTCCCCCTATACCAGCCCCCGCTGTGGCCTCTGTCGCTCCTGCTGCAGTCCTTGCAGCCTCGACTGCTGCAGTCTGTAAAACCTCGCCTACCGTAATCTGCTCAGCCTCACCAGCCGCGATCCCTGTAGCCTCACGTGCTGCAGTCCCTGCAGCCTCACGTGCTGCAGTCCCTGCAGCCTCACCCGCTGCAGTCCCTGCGGCCTCACCTGCTGCAGTCTGTGCAGCCTCACCTGCTAGAATCTGCTCAACCTCACATGCTGCGGCCTCTGCAGCCTCACCTGCTGCGGCTATTTCAGCCTCACCTGCTGCGCTCCCTGCGGCCTCACCTGCCATGGTCCCGCCTGCAGCCTCATCCGCTGTGGTCCCTGCCGCCTCACCTGCTGCAGTCCCTGCGGCCTCACCTGTTGCAGTCCATGCGACCTCACCAGCTGTAGACTGTGCAGCCTCACCTGCTAGAGTCTGCCCAACCTTACATGATGCAGCCCTCGCAGCCTCACCTGCTGCGTCCGCCGCAGCCTCACCTGCTGTGGCCCCTGCAGTCCCGCCTGCTGCGCTCCCTGCAGCCTCGCCTGCTGCGCTCCCTGCAGCCTCGCTTGCTGCGCTCCCTGCGGCCTCACCTGCTGCGCTCTCTGCAGCCTCACCTGCTGCGCCCCCTACAGCCTCACCTGCTGCGCTCCCCGCAGCCTCACCTACTGCGCTCCCTGCGGCCTCACCTGCCATGGTCCCTCCTGCAGCCTCACCCGTTGTGATCCCTGCAGCCACACCTGCTGTGGTCTGTGCGGCCTCACCTGGTGCGGTCCCTATAGCCTCCTCTGCTGCGGTTCCCCCAGCCGACACAGCAGCAGGTTCCGTGGCCCCTACTCCTGCAAAACCTGTCTCCATGGCCTCTGCCCTTTGCCTGGCCAGAGTCACGGTCCCTGCCGCCCCTTCCCGTGCAGCCCCTGCCGCCCTTTCCCGTGCAGCCGCTGCTGCCCCTTCCCTTGCAGCCTCTGCTGCCCTTTCCTCTGCAGCCTCTGCTGCCCCTTCCCCCACAACCCCCATTGCCCCTTCCCGTGCAGCCTTTGCTGCCCCATCCTCTGTAGCCTCTGCTGCTCCTTCACACACAAACTCACTTACCCCTTCCCGTGCAGTGTCAGCTGCAAGTTCCCCCCTGGCTCTGCCCTCTCCCGCTTCTATGTGCTTGGGGGTGCGGGTAGGATTAAGTGTTTTCACAAGTAATCTGGTTTGCGAATGGGAGGTAGCGAGTGAGTTGGAGGATCTCTCTACTGAGCATGCATGGGTGCCGCCCCCGCTGTCACCTGAAGGGGGGGTAGACTGGGATGGGGCAGCGGGGGTAGGGCGCGGTTTTGAGCGTGCTGGCTCCTCCTCGTGTATTTCCTCCAGTGGGGCTTGGCGTTCCTCTGTTCCATCCTCTTCAAAGGTACGCTTCTGGCCCCTAGGGTCAGATTGTGTGAGTGTTTTCGCTTGGTCAGGTGTGTGTTGTTTCTTCCTGACTGTTGAAGTGGGGGGAGTGGGAGAGTAGGGGGTGGCTCGGCTGCGGGACCTCCCAGATCGCCGAGGGGCTCCCGGGCCTGCCTTTCCCCCACTCGCGGGGTGCTGGGGCATTGTTACAGAGGCAGCATGCCTGGCGGTGGCGGTGTGAGTTGCTGGGGTTGGCTCAAGAGGGCGTCAAAGGGGGAAGGAACTCCCTGGCAGAGGCCGGGGTGCGGGGGGTTAGCTTGGGGAAAGGGGAAAAGGGTGGGGAAAGCGGTGCGCAGTGGGTGGAAGAGAGGGTAGAGGGGGCCTGACAGTTGGAGGGGATTGGGGCCCAAGGGGGGGGCGGGCTGGGGGCCGATTGAGAGGGGAAGTGTTGGCGGGCTGTAGTGGAGGTGGGGGGGCGGGGGTGGTGTAGCGGTGGGTGAGCAGGGTGTGGGGACAGGTGGTGGGCCAGAGGTGGGGAGGGCAGGGCAGAATTCCACGGGAGGTGGGGGTGGGCAGGTGGAGCCAGGTGGGAAAGGAAGGGTGGGGAACAGAGAGGAAGGGGCAAAGGGTAGTGGGTAGTCGAGTTGGCGTGAGCCTGGTAGCGGGTAATGAGAAGGTTGGGAGGCGGGGGGTGAGAACGTGGGAGGGCAGAGAGGGCACCGAAAGGAGGTGCTGTGGTAAATGCAGGATAGGATGCGGGGCCGGGAAACAGGGGACAGAGGGAATTGGGGAATCGATGAAGGGTGATAGCTGCGGATGGGCGAGCCCCAGGGGGGAGGAAATATGGAGGGTGTTGGAGAAGGGGGAGACTGGGGGGGGTTGAGGTAGGGTGTTGGAGGGCACAAGGGGCAGGAACAGGGGGTGCAAAAGTTGGCTGGGGGAGGGAGAGGCGGTCTGGTGCCGCGGAAAGGCGGAGGGAGGTTGGGGACGGCACAGCCCAGGGAGCAAAAGCAAGGGGTGTAGACCTTGGCTGGGGGTAGGAACGGCGGTGTGGAGTTAGGGAGAGGTAGAGGGAGGCTGGGGTAGGTGGCTGGATTGCGCAGGGAGCAGGGGCAGGGGGTGTAGAGATTGGATGGGGGTGGGAAAGGCGGCGTGGTGCCAGGTGGCGGCAGTTGGGTCACCGAAGGGCCTGGCAGGGCGGGATGCAGAGGTGCAGCCCACGCTGGATGCGGAAGTAGCTGGGGGGGAAAGGGAGGCTGGAGGGGGAAGTACGGCTCGTAGAGGTGTGGGGGGCAGAGTGGGAGTGGGGAAAGCAGGAAGGGGGGTGGAGGGACGTTGTGGACAGGGGAGTGGGGGAACATGCGGGTGATGATAGGGAGAAGCCGGGGGGGGGGGAGAAGGGGGAGGTGGTATGAAGTGGGCAAGGGTGACGCACGGGCAGAGCGCGGCGGTACTAAGGGCAGGGAGACGGGAGGCTGGGGGGAGAAAGGCCTGCTTGGGGGCGTGGTGGGGGATAAGGGGAGAGGGGCGGTAATGCTGGTGGGCAAAAGGGGAGGGTGTGGTGTAGTATGATGAAACAGAATGGGGGGGTGGCGGACTGGGTGGGGCCCTGGAGGGTTGGGAGAACAAGGTGTAAGCTGCCTTTCTGATTTTTCCTGGTTTTTTCGGATTTATATGAATTTCTTTTTCTTTTCTTTTTTCCTTGAAGTTGTTTCCTCTTATTTCCTACGGTTTCCAGAAACAGGGCGGCCTCTGCTAGCTAAGCGCCGTTAGGGAAAGAGGTTAGGTGGCGGGGTGGCTAAAGCGCGCGTGTGAGGGGGAAAGGGGCGGTGTGAGCAGGGAGGTGACTATGTGGGTGGCGACGGGGTAAAATTACGACGTGTGGGTGGCATGCACGAGTGCGCGACGAGGCACGGCAGGGTGGGAGTGAGCAAAAGGGGAGTGGGGCGGCTTGTGTGCCAAACGTGGGCGGCTAAAACGCTCTAGGCAGAAAACGCGCTTCGGGAGGCGCGCAAGGGGAGGGCTGCTTAATCGCTACGAACGTAGCAATTTCGCCTCCCTCCGCGCTGCCTTTCCCTGGCGGTAAGCGCCCCGTGCGCGGTTCCGTCTACGTCGCGGCTAGATTGAACAGGCGGGGAAAACGAGTGCATGACTAAACATGATAGGCGACGAGAAAGCGTGCTTGGAAACGCGCGGCTCTTCGAATTAGGGTTACGATAAAGAAGGGCGCACCGAAAGGGAAGGAAGAGTGCTAACTACGGGCGGAAGCTAAGCTCAGTGACTTCGAGAGAGGGAAACCGCGGGAAAAAACTCGGTAGCAGCTAATCGCTTCGAATAGAAAAGCCGTGAGCAGAAAAGAGCGGGGGGATAAGGGAGAGTGTCGAGAGAGGGGATGGGCGGGAACACCGTGTCTGGCGGAGTTGTGGTTGTGAGTCGCGCGCGCTGTTACACTCCGCGGGCGAACTTCGCGTCAGCGCCCCACCTCCCGTTACACCGGCTGCAGCGCGTCCGCAGCGATCCCGCGATGGCGGGGTCGAACAAACGGTTCCGTAACACCCCGCGAGTTCCGTTTCCGAGACTCCTGAGGGTCGCGCGCGAAACTCGCGACCCCCGTCCCGTCGAACTCGACAGTCGAAACTAAAAAACTAACCGTTGGAAACGCTTATAACTATAACATAAACAACTATCACAATCACTTTGTCCTTAAGCAACTCGAAATAGTAGGTTTAGGAGGCTCCTTAGTAGGCAGCCATGGCTAGGTAAGCTAGGTCAAGGTAAGAGCGCCGGTGGGCGAGAGCAGTACTGGGCTGGGTGACCTCCCGGGAAGTCCTCGTGTTGTACCCATTTATGCCCCTTGCTCGGCACGTGCCGGGGGAGGGGCAAGCGGGAAAAAGAAAGGACGATTTTAGCGCGTCCGATTCTTTTCTTTTCGTTTTTTTGCCCAAACAACGACCCAGCGGGGTGGGGGGCCCCCGGGGAGGCTTGCCCATGCGAAGAAACGCCCCGTGCGCACCACCGTTGGGCGGTTGGAAGCCGCACACGGTCGCGGGGGTGGAGAGCGGAAACGGGCAGCCGGGGGAGGGTGGGGGCGGTTGGATGGGACTTGGGGTGTACGGGGGGCAGGGGAGTTGAGGGGGCAAGGGGAGGGGCAGCAACGGGCAGGGGCTGGGCCAACTGAGGGCACGGAAAAGGGGCGGGCAGAGGGTGAGCAGAGGGGCGAGCGATGCAAGGGTGGCACCATAGGGGGGAAACCAGTTGCACGGAGGTGGGAGGTGAGGGGCGTGCGAGGGGGTGGGAAAGGGGCAGGGAGGGGCAGAATGGGAGGATGTAGGTGGGGGGGGGTGGGGGAGGGGAGTGTGCGTGTGTGTGTGCGTGTGAGAAAGAGAGAGAGAGAGAGAGAGAGAGAGAGAGGGAGGGGGGGATTGAAGGGTGGGAGGGGGGCTGGTCGTGGGGATGGGCTGATGGTGGTAAGAGGGCAGCAGGGATGGGGAGAAGGGAGCGTAACGAGGGGAGAGCAAAGGGCAGGGGGGGAGGAAGGGAGGGGCAGGGAGGGAAGAGGCTGAACGTACAAAGGGGGGAAACGAGGGGCATGGATGATAGGAAACGAGGGCAGGGGTGTGGGAAATCAAGGGCAGGGAGGAGAGAAGCAATGGGTGAGGGGAAAACAAGGGAGGGGCAGACGGGGGGCAGGGAGGGAAGAAACGTGGGGCAGGGAGGGGAGAAGCCAAAGACAGGGGCATGGGCAGGCGGGGGCAGGGAGGGAGCAAAGGAGAGGCACGGAGAAAGAAAGGGAGGCGCGGGGAGGGGAGAAACCGGGCGTGGGGGGGGGGGGGCGGAAAATGAGGGGCAGGGCGGGGAGGAGGGAGGGGCAGGGAGGGGAGAAGCTGAGCACACGGAGGGGGGAAAGGTGAGGCAGGGAGGTAGGAAGCCAAGGACAAGGGGGGGGGGAGAGTGGGGGGGGCAGGGAGAGGGGGGAGGTGGGGAGCGGGGAAAGGCGGCGAGGGGCAGGGAGGGGAGAAACCAAGCATAGGGGGGCGAGATACGAGGGGCAGGGTGCGGATTGAGGAGGGGCAGGGAGTGGAGTGGGTCGGCGAGGGGAAGGAAGAGGCGTGCAGCAGAGGAGGGGAGGGGGGAGGAGAAGGTAAAGGAGGGGAGCGCACGGGCGGGGAGGAGCGAATGGCGGGCGGTGGGAAACGGCGAGGGGGGGCAGGGAGGGTCAAAAGAGGCGGCAAGGGAGCGGGCACGCGGAGGGTAGGGGCGGGGGGAGCGGATGGCATGAGGGGGCAGGGGGTGTGACTATGAAGGGGGGGACCCGGGCAAGGGGTGTGTAGCGGTCGGGGCACGAGGTTGACGTGGTACGATCATACCTCGGCTACTACGCCGGATCCCATCAGAACTCCGAAGCTAAGCGCCGGTGGGCGAGAGCAGTTATTCATTAATAGGGGAAGAGCAAATACAAGCCGAATATAATGGTTTTTCCAAGACTAGGAAATTTCGACATAGCCTAATCGCTATGAGGACGGTATATATATTTTGTAGGAAAAGGGGGAAAGAAAGGAAAGGAAGGAAGGATGAAGGAGTAAGAAGAAGTGGTAGGGAAAAGAAGAGGGCGGTAGGAAGAGAAGGGAAGGATAGAAGAAGGGAACAGAAAGAGGGAGGTGGGAAGAAAAGAGGAGAGAGGGAGAGAGACTAAGGAGGAGGAAGCACCAAAGGACCAAAACACGGCAGCAACCCGCACGACCGCACGGGCACAGCGTTTCAAGCACAGCCACTATCGGTGGGCGAGAGCAGTACTGGGCTGGGTGACCTCCCGGGAAGTCCTCGTGTTGTACCCATTTATGCCCCTTGCTCGGCACGTGCCGGGGGAGGGGCAAGCGGGAAAAAGAAAGGACGATTTTAGCGCGTCCGATTCTTTTCTTTTCGTTTTTTTTGCCCAAACAACGACCCAGCGGGGTGGGGGGCCCCCGGGGAGGCTTGCCCATGCGAAGAAACGCCCCGTGCGCACCACCGTTGGGCGGTTGGAAGCCGCACACGGTCGCGGGGGTGGAGAGCGGAAACGGGCAGCCGGGGGAGGGTGGGGGCGGTTGGATGGGACTTGGGGTGTACGGGGGGCAGGGGAGTTGAGGGGGCAAGGGGAGGGGCAGCAACGGGCAGGGGCTGGGCCAACTGAGGGCACGGAAAAGGGGCGGGCAGAGGGTGAGCAGAGGGGCGAGCGATGCAAGGGTGGCACCATAGGGGGGAAACCAGTTGCACGGAGGTGGGAGGTGAGGGGCGTGCGAGGGGGTGGGAAAGGGGCAGGGAGGGGCAGAATGGGAGGATGTAGGTGGGGGGGGGTGGGGGAGGGGAGTGTGCGTGTGTGTGTGTGTGTGAGAAAGAGAGAGAGAGAGAGAGAGAGAGAGAGAGAGAGAGAGGGAGGGGGGGATTGAAGGGTGGGAGGGGGGCTGGTCGTGGGGATGGGCTGATGGTGGTAAGAGGGCAGCAGGGATGGGGAGAAGGGAGCGTAACGAGGGGAGAGCAAAGGGCAGGGGGGGAGGAAGGGAGGGGCAGGGAGGGAAGAGGCTGAACGTACAAAGGGGGGAAACGAGGGGCATGGATGATAGGAAACGAGGGCAGGGGTGTGGGAAATCAAGGGCAGGGAGGAGAGAAGCAATGGGTGAGGGGAAAACAAGGGAGGGGCAGACGGGGGGCAGGGAGGGAAGAAACGTGGGGCAGGGAGGGGAGAAGCCAAAGACAGGGGCATGGGCAGGCGGGGGCAGGGAGGGAGCAAAGGAGAGGCACGGAGAAAGAAAGGGAGGCGCGGGGAGGGGAGAAACCGGGCGTGGGGGGGGGGGGGGGCGGAAAATGAGGGGCAGGGCGGGGAGGAGGGAGGGGCAGGGAGGGGAGAAGCTGAGCACACGGAGGGGGGAAAGGTGAGGCAGGGAGGTAGGAAGCCAAGGACAAGGGGGGGGGGAGAGTGGGGGGGGCAGGGAGAGGGGGGAGGTGGGGAGCGGGGAAAGGCGGCGAGGGGCAGGGAGGGGAGAAACCAAGCATAGGGGGGCGAGATACGAGGGGCAGGGTGCGGATTGAGGAGGGGCAGGGAGTGGAGTGGGTCGGCGAGGGGAAGGAAGAGGCGTGCAGCAGAGGAGGGGAGGGGGGAGGAGAAGGTAAAGGAGGGGAGCGCACGGGCGGGGAGGAGCGAATGGCGGGCGGTGGGAAACGGCGAGGGGGGGCAGGGAGGGTCAAAAGAGGCGGCAAGGGAGCGGGCACGCGGAGGGTAGGGGCGGGGGGAGCGGATGGCATGAGGGGGCAGGGGGTGTGACTATGAAGGGGGGGACCCGGGCAAGGGGTGTGTAGCGGTCGGGGCACGAGGTTGACGTGGTACGATCATACCTCAGCTATTAGCCGGATCCCATCAGAACTCCGAAGCTAAGCGCCGGTGGGCGAGAGCAGTACTGGGCTGGGTGACCTCCCGGGAAGTCCTCGTGTTGTACCCATTTATGCCCCTTGCTCGGCACGTGCCGGGGGAGGGGCAAGCGGGAAAAAGAAAGGACGATTTTAGCGCGTCCGATTCTTTTCTTTTCGTTTTTTTTGCCCAAACAACGACCCAGCGGGGTGGGGGGCCCCCGGGGAGGCTTGCCCATGCGAAGAAACGCCCCGTGCGCACCACCGTTGGGCGGTTGGAAGCCGCACACGGTCGCGGGGGTGGAGAGCGGAAACGGGCAGCCGGGGGAGGGTGGGGGCGGTTGGATGGGACTTGGGGTGTACGGGGGGCAGGGGAGTTGAGGGGGCAAGGGGAGGGGCAGCAACGGGCAGGGGCTGGGCCAACTGAGGGCACGGAAAAGGGGCGGGCAGAGGGTGAGCAGAGGGGCGAGCGATGCAAGGGTGGCACCATAGGGGGGAAACCAGTTGCACGGAGGTGGGAGGTGAGGGGCGTGCGAGGGGGTGGGAAAGGGGCAGGGAGGGGCAGAATGGGAGGATGTAGGTGGGGGGGGGTGGGGGAGGGGAGTGTGCGTGTGTGTGTGTGTGTGAGAAAGAGAGAGAGAGAGAGAGAGAGAGAGAGAGAGGGAGGGGGGGATTGAAGGGTGGGAGGGGGGCTGGTCGTGGGGATGGGCTGATGGTGGTAAGAGGGCAGCAGGGATGGGGAGAAGGGAGCGTAACGAGGGGAGAGCAAAGGGCAGGGGGGGAGGAAGGGAGGGGCAGGGAGGGAAGAGGCTGAACGTACAAAGGGGGGAAACGAGGGGCATGGATGATAGGAAACGAGGGCAGGGGTGTGGGAAATCAAGGGCAGGGAGGAGAGAAGCAATGGGTGAGGGGAAAACAAGGGAGGGGCAGACGGGGGGCAGGGAGGGAAGAAACGTGGGGCAGGGAGGGGAGAAGCCAAAGACAGGGGCATGGGCAGGCGGGGGCAGGGAGGGAGCAAAGGAGAGGCACGGAGAAAGAAAGGGAGGCGCGGGGAGGGGAGAAACCGGGCGTGGGGGGGGGGGGGGCGGAAAATGAGGGGCAGGGCGGGGAGGAGGGAGGGGCAGGGAGGGGAGAAGCTGAGCACACGGAGGGGGGAAAGGTGAGGCAGGGAGGTAGGAAGCCAAGGACAAGGGGGGGGGGAGAGTGGGGGGGGCAGGGAGAGGGGGGAGGTGGGGAGCGGGGAAAGGCGGCGAGGGGCAGGGAGGGGAGAAACCAAGCATAGGGGGGCGAGATACGAGGGGCAGGGTGCGGATTGAGGAGGGGCAGGGAGTGGAGTGGGTCGGCGAGGGGAAGGAAGAGGCGTGCAGCAGAGGAGGGGAGGGGGGAGGAGAAGGTAAAGGAGGGGAGCGCACGGGCGGGGAGGAGCGAATGGCGGGCGGTGGGAAACGGCGAGGGGGGGCAGGGAGGGTCAAAAGAGGCGGCAAGGGAGCGGGCACGCGGAGGGTAGGGGCGGGGGGAGCGGATGGCATGAGGGGGCAGGGGGTGTGACTATGAAGGGGGGGACCCGGGCAAGGGGTGTGTAGCGGTCGGGGCACGAGGTTGACGTGGTACGATCATACCTCAGGCTACTACGCCGGATCCCATCAGAACTCCGAAGCTAAGCGCCGGTGGGCGAGAGCAGTACTGGGCTGGGTGACCTCCCGGGAAGTCCTCGTGTTGTACCCATTTATGCCCCTTGCTCGGCACGTGCCGGGGGAGGGGCAAGCGGGAAAAAGAAAGGACGATTTTAGCGCGTCCGATTCTTTTCTTTTCGTTTTTTTTGCCCAAACAACGACCCAGCGGGGTGGGGGGCCCCCGGGGAGGCTTGCCCATGCGAAGAAACGCCCCGTGCGCACCACCGTTGGGCGGTTGGAAGCCGCACACGGTCGCGGGGGTGGAGAGCGGAAACGGGCAGCCGGGGGAGGGTGGGGGCGGTTGGATGGGACTTGGGGTGTACGGGGGGCAGGGGAGTTGAGGGGGCAAGGGGAGGGGCAGCAACGGGCAGGGGCTGGGCCAACTGAGGGCACGGAAAAGGGGCGGGCAGAGGGTGAGCAGAGGGGCGAGCGATGCAAGGGTGGCACCATAGGGGGGAAACCAGTTGCACGGAGGTGGGAGGTGAGGGGCGTGCGAGGGGGTGGGAAAGGGGCAGGGAGGGGCAGAATGGGAGGATGTAGGTGGGGGGGGGTGGGGGAGGGGAGTGTGCGTGTGTGTGTGTGTGTGAGAAAGAGAGAGAGAGAGAGAGAGAGAGAGAGAGAGAGAGGGAGGGGGGGATTGAAGGGTGGGAGGGGGGCTGGTCGTGGGGATGGGCTGATGGTGGTAAGAGGGCAGCAGGGATGGGGAGAAGGGAGCGTAACGAGGGGAGAGCAAAGGGCAGGGGGGGAGGAAGGGAGGGGCAGGGAGGGAAGAGGCTGAACGTACAAAGGGGGGAAACGAGGGGCATGGATGATAGGAAACGAGGGCAGGGGTGTGGGAAATCAAGGGCAGGGAGGAGAGAAGCAATGGGTGAGGGGAAAACAAGGGAGGGGCAGACGGGGGGCAGGGAGGGAAGAAACGTGGGGCAGGGAGGGGAGAAGCCAAAGACAGGGGCATGGGCAGGCGGGGGCAGGGAGGGAGCAAAGGAGAGGCACGGAGAAAGAAAGGGAGGCGCGGGGAGGGGAGAAACCGGGCGTGGGGGGGGGGGGGCGGAAAATGAGGGGCAGGGCGGGGAGGAGGGAGGGGCAGGGAGGGGAGAAGCTGAGCACACGGAGGGGGGAAAGGTGAGGCAGGGAGGTAGGAAGCCAAGGACAAGGGGGGGGGAGAGTGGGGGGGGCAGGGAGAGGGGGGAGGTGGGGAGCGGGGAAAGGCGGCGAGGGGCAGGGAGGGGAGAAACCAAGCATAGGGGGGCGAGATACGAGGGGCAGGGTGCGGATTGAGGAGGGGCAGGGAGTGGAGTGGGTCGGCGAGGGGAAGGAAGAGGCGTGCAGCAGAGGAGGGGAGGGGGGAGGAGAAGGTAAAGGAGGGGAGCGCACGGGCGGGGAGGAGCGAATGGCGGGCGGTGGGAAACGGCGAGGGGGGGCAGGGAGGGTCAAAAGAGGCGGCAAGGGAGCGGGCACGCGGAGGGTAGGGGCGGGGGGAGCGGATGGCATGAGGGGGCAGGGGGTGTGACTATGAAGGGGGGGACCCGGGCAAGGGGTGTGTAGCGGTCGGGGCACGAGGTTGACGTGGTACGATCATACCTCAGCTATTAGCCGGATCCCATCAGAACTCCGAAGCTAAGCGCCGGTGGGCGAGAGCAGTACTGGGCTGGGTGACCTCCCGGGAAGTCCTCGTGTTGTACCCATTTATGCCCCTTGCTCGGCACGTGCCGGGGGAGGGGCAAGCGGGAAAAAGAAAGGACGATTTTAGCGCGTCCGATTCTTTTCTTTTCGTTTTTTTGCCCAAACAACGACCCAGCGGGGTGGGGGGCCCCCGGGGAGGCTTGCCCATGCGAAGAAACGCCCCGTGCGCACCACCGTTGGGCGGTTGGAAGCCGCACACGGTCGCGGGGGTGGAGAGCGGAAACGGGCAGCCGGGGGAGGGTGGGGGCGGTTGGATGGGACTTGGGGTGTACGGGGGGCAGGGGAGTTGAGGGGGCAAGGGGAGGGGCAGCAACGGGCAGGGGCTGGGCCAACTGAGGGCACGGAAAAGGGGCGGGCAGAGGGTGAGCAGAGGGGCGAGCGATGCAAGGGTGGCACCATAGGGGGGAAACCAGTTGCACGGAGGTGGGAGGTGAGGGGCGTGCGAGGGGGTGGGAAAGGGGCAGGGAGGGGCAGAATGGGAGGATGTAGGTGGGGGGGGGTGGGGGAGGGGAGTGTGCGTGTGTGTGTGTGTGTGTGAGAAAGAGAGAGAGAGAGAGAGAGAGAGAGAGAGAGAGAGGGAGGGGGGGATTGAAGGGTGGGAGGGGGGCTGGTCGTGGGGATGGGCTGATGGTGGTAAGAGGGCAGCAGGGATGGGGAGAAGGGAGCGTAACGAGGGGAGAGCAAAGGGCAGGGGGGGAGGAAGGGAGGGGCAGGGAGGGAAGAGGCTGAACGTACAAAGGGGGGAAACGAGGGGCATGGATGATAGGAAACGAGGGCAGGGGTGTGGGAAATCAAGGGCAGGGAGGAGAGAAGCAATGGGTGAGGGGAAAACAAGGGAGGGGCAGACGGGGGGCAGGGAGGGAAGAAACGTGGGGCAGGGAGGGGAGAAGCCAAAGACAGGGGCATGGGCAGGCGGGGGCAGGGAGGGAGCAAAGGAGAGGCACGGAGAAAGAAAGGGAGGCGCGGGGAGGGGAGAAACCGGGCGTGGGGGGGGGGGGGGCGGAAAATGAGGGGCAGGGCGGGGAGGAGGGAGGGGCAGGGAGGGGAGAAGCTGAGCACACGGAGGGGGGAAAGGTGAGGCAGGGAGGTAGGAAGCCAAGGACAAGGGGGGGGGAGAGTGGGGGGGGGCAGGGAGAGGGGGGAGGTGGGGAGCGGGGAAAGGCGGCGAGGGGCAGGGAGGGGAGAAACCAAGCATAGGGGGGCGAGATACGAGGGGCAGGGTGCGGATTGAGGAGGGGCAGGGAGTGGAGTGGGTCGGCGAGGGGAAGGAAGAGGCGTGCAGCAGAGGAGGGGAGGGGGGAGGAGAAGGTAAAGGAGGGGAGCGCACGGGCGGGGAGGAGCGAATGGCGGGCGGTGGGAAACGGCGAGGGGGGGCAGGGAGGGTCAAAAGAGGCGGCAAGGGAGCGGGCACGCGGAGGGTAGGGGCGGGGGGAGCGGATGGCATGAGGGGGCAGGGGGTGTGACTATGAAGGGGGGGACCCGGGCAAGGGGTGTGTAGCGGTCGGGGCACGAGGTTGACGTGGTACGATCATACCTCGGCTACTACGCCGGATCCCATCAGAACTCCGAAGCTAAGCGCCGGTGGGCGAGAGCAGTTATTCATTAATAGGGGAAGAGCAAATACAAGCCGAATATAATGGTTTTTCCAAGACTAGGAAATTTCGACATAGCCTAATCGCTATGAGGACGGTATATATATTTTGTAGGAAAAGGGGGAAAGAAAGGAAAGGAAGGAAGGATGAAGGAGTAAGAAGAAGTGGTAGGGAAAAGAAGAGGGCGGTAGGAAGAGAAGGGAAGGATAGAAGAAGGGAACAGAAAGAGGGAGGTGGGAAGAAAAGAGGAGAGAGGGAGAGAGACTAAGGAGGAGGAAGCACCAAAGGACCAAAACACGGCAGCAACCCGCACGACCGCACGGGCACAGCGTTTCAAGCACAGCCACTATCGGTGGGCGAGAGCAGTACTGGGCTGGGTGACCTCCCGGGAAGTCCTCGTGTTGTACCCATTTATGCCCCTTGCTCGGCACGTGCCGGGGGAGGGGCAAGCGGGAAAAAGAAAGGACGATTTTAGCGCGTCCGATTCTTTTCTTTTCGTTTTTTTTGCCCAAACAACGACCCAGCGGGGTGGGGGGCCCCCGGGGAGGCTTGCCCATGCGAAGAAACGCCCCGTGCGCACCACCGTTGGGCGGTTGGAAGCCGCACACGGTCGCGGGGGTGGAGAGCGGAAACGGGCAGCCGGGGGAGGGTGGGGGCGGTTGGATGGGACTTGGGGTGTACGGGGGGCAGGGGAGTTGAGGGGGCAAGGGGAGGGGCAGCAACGGGCAGGGGCTGGGCCAACTGAGGGCACGGAAAAGGGGCGGGCAGAGGGTGAGCAGAGGGGCGAGCGATGCAAGGGTGGCACCATAGGGGGGAAACCAGTTGCACGGAGGTGGGAGGTGAGGGGCGTGCGAGGGGGTGGGAAAGGGGCAGGGAGGGGCAGAATGGGAGGATGTAGGTGGGGGGGGGTGGGGGAGGGGAGTGTGCGTGTGTGTGTGTGTGTGAGAAAGAGAGAGAGAGAGAGAGAGAGAGAGAGAGAGGGAGGGGGGGATTGAAGGGTGGGAGGGGGGCTGGTCGTGGGGATGGGCTGATGGTGGTAAGAGGGCAGCAGGGATGGGGAGAAGGGAGCGTAACGAGGGGAGAGCAAAGGGCAGGGGGGGAGGAAGGGAGGGGCAGGGAGGGAAGAGGCTGAACGTACAAAGGGGGGAAACGAGGGGCATGGATGATAGGAAACGAGGGCAGGGGTGTGGGAAATCAAGGGCAGGGAGGAGAGAAGCAATGGGTGAGGGGAAAACAAGGGAGGGGCAGACGGGGGGCAGGGAGGGAAGAAACGTGGGGCAGGGAGGGGAGAAGCCAAAGACAGGGGCATGGGCAGGCGGGGGCAGGGAGGGAGCAAAGGAGAGGCACGGAGAAAGAAAGGGAGGCGCGGGGAGGGGAGAAACCGGGCGTGGGGGGGGGGGGGGCGGAAAATGAGGGGCAGGGCGGGGAGGAGGGAGGGGCAGGGAGGGGAGAAGCTGAGCACACGGAGGGGGGAAAGGTGAGGCAGGGAGGTAGGAAGCCAAGGACAAGGGGGGGGGGAGAGTGGGGGGGGCAGGGAGAGGGGGGAGGTGGGGAGCGGGGAAAGGCGGCGAGGGGCAGGGAGGGGAGAAACCAAGCATAGGGGGGCGAGATACGAGGGGCAGGGTGCGGATTGAGGAGGGGCAGGGAGTGGAGTGGGTCGGCGAGGGGAAGGAAGAGGCGTGCAGCAGAGGAGGGGAGGGGGGAGGAGAAGGTAAAGGAGGGGAGCGCACGGGCGGGGAGGAGCGAATGGCGGGCGGTGGGAAACGGCGAGGGGGGGCAGGGAGGGTCAAAAGAGGCGGCAAGGGAGCGGGCACGCGGAGGGTAGGGGCGGGGGGAGCGGATGGCATGAGGGGGCAGGGGGTGTGACTATGAAGGGGGGGACCCGGGCAAGGGGTGTGTAGCGGTCGGGGCACGAGGTTGACGTGGTACGATCATACCTCGGCTACTACGCCGGATCCCATCAGAACTCCGAAGCTAAGCGCCGGTGGGCGAGAGCAGTTATTCATTAATAGGGGAAGAGCAAATACAAGCCGAATATAATGGTTTTTCCAAGACTAGGAAATTTCGACATAGCCTAATCGCTATGAGGACGGTATATATATTTTGTAGGAAAAGGGGGAAAGAAAGGAAAGGAAGGAAGGATGAAGGAGTAAGAAGAAGTGGTAGGGAAAAGAAGAGGGCGGTAGGAAGAGAAGGGAAGGATAGAAGAAGGGAACAGAAAGAGGGAGGTGGGAAGAAAAGAGGAGAGAGGGAGAGAGACTAAGGAGGAGGAAGCACCAAAGGACCAAAACACGGCAGCAACCCGCACGACCGCACGGGCACAGCGTTTCAAGCACAGCCACTATCGGTGGGCGAGAGCAGTACTGGGCTGGGTGACCTCCCGGGAAGTCCTCGTGTTGTACCCATTTATGCCCCTTGCTCGGCACGTGCCGGGGGAGGGGCAAGCGGGAAAAAGAAAGGACGATTTTAGCGCGTCCGATTCTTTTCTTTTCGTTTTTTTTGCCCAAACAACGACCCAGCGGGGTGGGGGGCCCCCGGGGAGGCTTGCCCATGCGAAGAAACGCCCCGTGCGCACCACCGTTGGGCGGTTGGAAGCCGCACACGGTCGCGGGGGTGGAGAGCGGAAACGGGCAGCCGGGGGAGGGTGGGGGCGGTTGGATGGGACTTGGGGTGTACGGGGGGCAGGGGAGTTGAGGGGGCAAGGGGAGGGGCAGCAACGGGCAGGGGCTGGGCCAACTGAGGGCACGGAAAAGGGGCGGGCAGAGGGTGAGCAGAGGGGCGAGCGATGCAAGGGTGGCACCATAGGGGGGAAACCAGTTGCACGGAGGTGGGAGGTGAGGGGCGTGCGAGGGGGTGGGAAAGGGGCAGGGAGGGGCAGAATGGGAGGATGTAGGTGGGGGGGGGTGGGGGAGGGGAGTGTGCGTGTGTGTGTGTGTGTGAGAAAGAGAGAGAGAGAGAGAGAGAGAGAGAGAGAGGGAGGGGGGGATTGAAGGGTGGGAGGGGGGCTGGTCGTGGGGATGGGCTGATGGTGGTAAGAGGGCAGCAGGGATGGGGAGAAGGGAGCGTAACGAGGGGAGAGCAAAGGGCAGGGGGGGAGGAAGGGAGGGGCAGGGAGGGAAGAGGCTGAACGTACAAAGGGGGGAAACGAGGGGCATGGATGATAGGAAACGAGGGCAGGGGTGTGGGAAATCAAGGGCAGGGAGGAGAGAAGCAATGGGTGAGGGGAAAACAAGGGAGGGGCAGACGGGGGGCAGGGAGGGAAGAAACGTGGGGCAGGGAGGGGAGAAGCCAAAGACAGGGGCATGGGCAGGCGGGGGCAGGGAGGGAGCAAAGGAGAGGCACGGAGAAAGAAAGGGAGGCGCGGGGAGGGGAGAAACCGGGCGTGGGGGGGGGGGGGCGGAAAATGAGGGGCAGGGCGGGGAGGAGGGAGGGGCAGGGAGGGGAGAAGCTGAGCACACGGAGGGGGGAAAGGTGAGGCAGGGAGGTAGGAAGCCAAGGACAAGGGGGGGGGGAGAGTGGGGGGGGCAGGGAGAGGGGGGAGGTGGGGAGCGGGGAAAGGCGGCGAGGGGCAGGGAGGGGAGAAACCAAGCATAGGGGGGCGAGATACGAGGGGCAGGGTGCGGATTGAGGAGGGGCAGGGAGTGGAGTGGGTCGGCGAGGGGAAGGAAGAGGCGTGCAGCAGAGGAGGGGAGGGGGGAGGAGAAGGTAAAGGAGGGGAGCGCACGGGCGGGGAGGAGCGAATGGCGGGCGGTGGGAAACGGCGAGGGGGGGCAGGGAGGGTCAAAAGAGGCGGCAAGGGAGCGGGCACGCGGAGGGTAGGGGCGGGGGGAGCGGATGGCATGAGGGGGCAGGGGGTGTGACTATGAAGGGGGGGACCCGGGCAAGGGGTGTGTAGCGGTCGGGGCACGAGGTTGACGTGGTACGATCATACCTCGGCTACTACGCCGGATCCCATCAGAACTCCGAAGCTAAGCGCCGGTGGGCGAGAGCAGTTATTCATTAATAGGGGAAGAGCAAATACAAGCCGAATATAATGGTTTTTCCAAGACTAGGAAATTTCGACATAGCCTAATCGCTATGAGGACGGTATATATATTTTGTAGGAAAAGGGGGAAAGAAAGGAAAGGAAGGAAGGATGAAGGAGTAAGAAGAAGTGGTAGGGAAAAGAAGAGGGCGGTAGGAAGAGAAGGGAAGGATAGAAGAAGGGAACAGAAAGAGGGAGGTGGGAAGAAAGAGGAGAGAGGGAGAGAGACTAAGGAGGAGGAAGCACCAAAGGACCAAAACACGGCAGCAACCCGCACGACCGCACGGGCACAGCGTTTCAAGCACAGCCACTATCGGTGGGCGAGAGCAGTACTGGGCTGGGTGACCTCCCGGGAAGTCCTCGTGTTGTACCCATTTATGCCCCTTGCTCGGCACGTGCCGGGGGAGGGGCAAGCGGGAAAAAGAAAGGACGATTTTAGCGCGTCCGATTCTTTTCTTTTCGTTTTTTTTGCCCAAACAACGACCCAGCGGGGTGGGGGGCCCCCGGGGAGGCTTGCCCATGCGAAGAAACGCCCCGTGCGCACCACCGTTGGGCGGTTGGAAGCCGCACACGGTCGCGGGGGTGGAGAGCGGAAACGGGCAGCCGGGGGAGGGTGGGGGCGGTTGGATGGGACTTGGGGTGTACGGGGGGCAGGGGAGTTGAGGGGGCAAGGGGAGGGGCAGCAACGGGCAGGGGCTGGGCCAACTGAGGGCACGGAAAAGGGGCGGGCAGAGGGTGAGCAGAGGGGCGAGCGATGCAAGGGTGGCACCATAGGGGGGAAACCAGTTGCACGGAGGTGGGAGGTGAGGGGCGTGCGAGGGGGTGGGAAAGGGGCAGGGAGGGGCAGAATGGGAGGATGTAGGTGGGGGGGGGTGGGGGAGGGGAGTGTGCGTGTGTGTGTGTGTGTGAGAAAGAGAGAGAGAGAGAGAGAGAGAGAGAGAGAGAGAGGGAGGGGGGGATTGAAGGGTGGGAGGGGGGCTGGTCGTGGGGATGGGCTGATGGTGGTAAGAGGGCAGCAGGGATGGGGAGAAGGGAGCGTAACGAGGGGAGAGCAAAGGGCAGGGGGGGAGGAAGGGAGGGGCAGGGAGGGAAGAGGCTGAACGTACAAAGGGGGGAAACGAGGGGCATGGATGATAGGAAACGAGGGCAGGGGTGTGGGAAATCAAGGGCAGGGAGGAGAGAAGCAATGGGTGAGGGGAAAACAAGGGAGGGGCAGACGGGGGGCAGGGAGGGAAGAAACGTGGGGCAGGGAGGGGAGAAGCCAAAGACAGGGGCATGGGCAGGCGGGGGCAGGGAGGGAGCAAAGGAGAGGCACGGAGAAAGAAAGGGAGGCGCGGGGAGGGGAGAAACCGGGCGTGGGGGGGGGGGGGGCGGAAAATGAGGGGCAGGGCGGGGAGGAGGGAGGGGCAGGGAGGGGAGAAGCTGAGCACACGGAGGGGGGAAAGGTGAGGCAGGGAGGTAGGAAGCCAAGGACAAGGGGGGGGGGAGAGTGGGGGGGGCAGGGAGAGGGGGGAGGTGGGGAGCGGGGAAAGGCGGCGAGGGGCAGGGAGGGGAGAAACCAAGCATAGGGGGGCGAGATACGAGGGGCAGGGTGCGGATTGAGGAGGGGCAGGGAGTGGAGTGGGTCGGCGAGGGGAAGGAAGAGGCGTGCAGCAGAGGAGGGGAGGGGGGAGGAGAAGGTAAAGGAGGGGAGCGCACGGGCGGGGAGGAGCGAATGGCGGGCGGTGGGAAACGGCGAGGGGGGGCAGGGAGGGTCAAAAGAGGCGGCAAGGGAGCGGGCACGCGGAGGGTAGGGGCGGGGGGAGCGGATGGCATGAGGGGGCAGGGGGTGTGACTATGAAGGGGGGGACCCGGGCAAGGGGTGTGTAGCGGTCGGGGCACGAGGTTGACGTGGTACGATCATACCTCGGCTACTACGCCGGATCCCATCAGAACTCCGAAGCTAAGCGCCGGTGGGCGAGAGCAGTTATTCATTAATAGGGGAAGAGCAAATACAAGCCGAATATAATGGTTTTTCCAAGACTAGGAAATTTCGACATAGCCTAATCGCTATGAGGACGGTATATATATTTTGTAGGAAAAGGGGGAAAGAAAGGAAAGGAAGGAAGGATGAAGGAGTAAGAAGAAGTGGTAGGGAAAAGAAGAGGGCGGTAGGAAGAGAAGGGAAGGATAGAAGAAGGGAACAGAAAGAGGGAGGTGGGAAGAAAAGAGGAGAGAGGGAGAGAGACTAAGGAGGAGGAAGCACCAAAGGACCAAAACACGGCAGCAACCCGCACGACCGCACGGGCACAGCGTTTCAAGCACAGCCACTATCGGTGGGCGAGAGCAGTACTGGGCTGGGTGACCTCCCGGGAAGTCCTCGTGTTGTACCCATTTATGCCCCTTGCTCGGCACGTGCCGGGGGAGGGGCAAGCGGGAAAAAGAAAGGACGATTTTAGCGCGTCCGATTCTTTTCTTTTCGTTTTTTTTGCCCAAACAACGACCCAGCGGGGTGGGGGGCCCCCGGGGAGGCTTGCCCATGCGAAGAAACGCCCCGTGCGCACCACCGTTGGGCGGTTGGAAGCCGCACACGGTCGCGGGGGTGGAGAGCGGAAACGGGCAGCCGGGGGAGGGTGGGGGCGGTTGGATGGGACTTGGGGTGTACGGGGGGCAGGGGAGTTGAGGGGGCAAGGGGAGGGGCAGCAACGGGCAGGGGCTGGGCCAACTGAGGGCACGGAAAAGGGGCGGGCAGAGGGTGAGCAGAGGGGCGAGCGATGCAAGGGTGGCACCATAGGGGGGAAACCAGTTGCACGGAGGTGGGAGGTGAGGGGCGTGCGAGGGGGTGGGAAAGGGGCAGGGAGGG